GAGGCATGGTTGAGTGAGCAGCGTCCGAATGACTGAATGGCCGATGATCTTGCGGTAGGGACCTCCCTTTGAAAGAGTAACAGGTTCAACCAGCTTTTCTTGTTCGCGTCGGTCGAGATGCCGCCAGCACTTGAAGAAGGGTTTGAGAGTACATAAACATTCCAACTTGCGGGCGTGAGTTTGGGGCGGATAAACTTTCTGCACGCTTCTTGTGGCCTTCTCGGCTGGTGAGGATGTTGGAGTTCGCGTTGATGGCTGACCTCTCCCCACCTCTGGAGTCTCGACAGCCCCAAATCTCTCTCCAGGTCCGGAAAATCATGAGCCGAAAGGCATCGTCAGCCGCGGAACTCGGCCTTCGATTGTGAGTCCGGGGAAAAGGGGGATTTTGAGTGGGGGCATCAGCGGGGCCGCTGGGGGGTCAAACATCTCCAACTAGGATACGTCGATATATGCACATAGGATATAAGCTACATACCATGGTAGATTGGCGAGACGAAGCGACCCGGAGAAACAACTTTTGCCCTAGACGTCCTGATTCTGGGTAGAGGACCTTTTGTAACCATGGCAGGAAGCACGACCGATGCCTCTGTTGAAGCATCTCGCCTGGGCCAGCTTCATGGAAAGGTTGCCTTGGTGACAGGCGCCGGCATGGGCTTTGGATCTGGTATATATACCTTCTTCCCCCGTCGACCCAGCGTGTCCGGGAAATCAATGTGCTTATTATTGCCGCCGCCTAGCCATAACCCAGAAGTTTCATCGAGAGGGGGCCAAGATTGTCGCAGTGGACATCAGCCCTGCAATCTCCGACAGCGTGGTCAAATCTTACCCGGACGGCAGCGTCGTGGCAGTCATAGGCGACGTTTCCAAGGTGGAAACATGGAACCAAGCCCTTGAGACCGCATTGAACAAGTTCGGCAAGCTCGACATTGTCGTGAACAACGCCGGGGTCATCTACAACAACACGCCGAGCCACGAGGTCGAGGAAGAAGAATTCGACCGTCTCATGCGGATCAACGTGAAATCCCTCTTCTGGAGCTGCAAGGTCATTGTGCCCTATCTGCAGGCCCGCGGCGAAGGGGGAAACTTTGTCAACCTGTCGAGCACGGGTGCCTCGAGACCCAGGCCTGGGGTGACGTGGTACTCGACCACCAAAGGGGCCGTGAGCATCATGACGAAGAGCCTAGGCGTGGAATACGCTCCCAACAAGATTCGATTCAATGCCATACTCCCAGCCCTGGGAGAAACGGGAATGTGAGCTCCCCTATCCCCACCCGTCGTGTAGAAGCACAGCGGTAAGAAGATTTGCGAGCCATTGACTAATCTGTTCGCGGCTCGAAAGGCTCCCCAAGGTTCTAGGTAAACCAGATACCGCGGAGAATCGCGCCCCCATTCTAGCCTCTATCCCGCTGGGTAGGTTTACAGAGGGGAGAGACGTGGCTAATGCCGCATGTTACCTCGCGAGCGATGATGCCGATTTCATTACTGGTATATGTATGGAGGTCGACGGAGGAAGATGCATTTGAGTCACAATGGAGCGGAAATCTTCGAGATCCTCTGTAGCATGTTTGCCGACATTCTGGATCAAGTGTCAATGGCCATGGGTTGCACTAGGCTACTGTTATTTTCGAAAATGAAGAATAGTCTCGAGCTGCTTCAACCCCTGACTGTCACGATTAGTTACGCTGCGTTGGCCAGAAGGAAAGGGGCTGCTCTATGACCGAACTTGAATGCACATCGACTGTTCTCCTCTTTGTCCAGTACCGTAACGTTACAGGCCTGCACAACACCATAAGGACTGGTCGGTGAGTACCCACGAAAAGCGAAGCCAGTCGAAGCAAAACTGGCCTCAGGAGCAGGCAACGGGTTAGTCTTGATCTGCCATCCCTGCATTCGGCATGACCAAAGCACGGGCAGTCTTATCACAGCCCAGATGATGAATTGAAGCCATACACCGAGCCCTACAGCTCAAGACGCCCAAGTTGAGGACCAATGCTAGTCATTCTTGTGCGACGAAGGCTGGATTGATTGCCACAGTCATGCCAATGATTGCAGCTCCGAATTCTCTGGCTAAGAAATGCACCACTTCCAGCCAGGGTCAACACTTTTTGAGCCAACCACGTCCAAAACTTCGGTCATTTGGAGCCTGATGGAATTCCGCAGTGCATCGCAGCCATCATTTGTCCGAACCATTCCGTCTTCCGAGGGATCCAATTCTGCAATGATGTTAACCCTCGCAAGGTACCGGCCAGCAATTGTTTCCGGTTCGTCTTCATCACAAGGCCAATCAGGTAGAGGATCCGTCGGTAATACCAGCGCGCCCACTGTCCGGGAATGACTGAAATGGAATGGAGACAGGAGCAGAACACATCTGCCGCTCCAAAGGTGCTGTATTTCTAGCCAGCGCTCAGGGTTTTCGCTCAGAAATTTGAAGCAGAAGTGTCGCTTTCCCGTACTGGGAAGCTCAAATCGAAGCACAACTGCCTCGTCACTTGGCAGAGGGACATTCTCTAGAATCACTGCGTCAATGCCTGCAACGAGAAGCCCAGCACCGGTTGGTGTCGCAACTGCTGCAATGGGGTCGGGCGGTAGGGACGCGGTCTCTGGATTTAGCAGGTTGCTCGGTGCCCAGCGGAATCCATCAACTCTCAAGCGAGGTCCGGCGGCCCAAAGAATGCTGCTCGGAACGGTTTGTTGGCATGACCAGAATGCCTGCATCTTTTCTTCGTCAGGGACCGAGAGAACTGTTTCTAAACCGCGAGCCAGCAATATCGCTGCGCAGATCGCTACGTCAGATTTCCTTGACGTGGATCGGAAACGAAGACTACGCCAGAGGCTCACGATTGGGATGTTCTCTTCCTCCGAGCTCGAGCCTTGCTGGATGTTTCGAAACTGGCGAAAGGAATGATTCGCGGTCACGCCAAAATGGTGAGTTTGTTCGCTTCCGTTGAGGTAAATATCGGTCATTTCCCGCGACAAAGTGTCGTGGGCGGCGACATCGTCTGCAAACTGAAACACCAATTCTTTCGCCAGAGCCGCTTCTTGCATCGTCCACAGCCTGGAGGCCCATTGGCTACAAAATATCCGGCACAACGCCTCAGTGGGGGTAGATGGGAGGTTGATGGAGAGCATATCCTTCGCCAATACTAGCACTTGAGTTGCTGAACGATATACCTCCGCCATGCGTATGATAGCGGTATTTCTCAGTGGCTCCTGGAGTGGCACGCAAAGAGTATCCATCCAGAACAACATGTTCCTGGCACCCGTCAAAGCCGACACGTACCCTTGAATTGCTTGGATCTGGCATCGAGGCAAAGCGTTGGCCCTTGGATTACCCCTGCCATCAGACCACACGTGGCTGATAGCAACGTAAGCCACTCCGGGCTCAAATCGCACAACTTCGATCGCTTCACCCTGAAGCCTGACTAGAGGAAATCCGATACTTCCAAGTGCCGCGGCCAGCTCGCTCCCTTCCACTGTAACGTGTGGACAAATGCACATGGGTTCCGTATGATCGCATCGTTCTCGCTCACACGGGCAAAATGTCGGAACATGCTGAACCTTGTAGGTTCCGTGATCAATATTCGATGCGACACAAACATTATAGTGACAGTTGCTGTGATCTTGCCCCGTGCCAAAGCCAGGCATAAGACTGGCGAAGTAGAGGCCCTGGAGCTCCAAGGTCTCAAACACGCGAGTGAGCATGCTGGGGCACCAGCCGTGATGATCCCGCAGGATTGACTCAAATCGCCGGCACCTGGTCGGCGCAATGCCAATCAAGTCGGCAGAGTCCAGCTGCTTGCGGCAGAAATTCATCCTGTGTTGGTCAAACGCTCTGACAAGAGCCAATAGCGCAAAATGGACGTGGACAGGGGCGATGGCGCTGGCGAACCGATCGTGCAGGAGTTCGAGATCCCGCAGAAGTTCGGCAGCTTCCCGCAGACTATGGTAGAGTCGGTTGGCCCAGACAGAGTCCGACTCCAGTTCTTTACCTTTCTTCATGAACTCAGCAAAGACATTCCGTACGGTGATGTGGTGTGTCGACATTGTACGTCCCTCTGAATCCACCTCCGTCACGCATCGTGAGACCTCATGGCGGAACACGGGCCTCTTCAACGCCTCTTGTAAGATCCCCAACAGTATCCATGTTTGCACGAAAGCTCCGGCCACAGTACCCACGAGCTTGTTTATAGAAACGGGCGGGCCTGGCGGTCGTTCTGAGCTGTAAATGGAATCGGCCCACGGCAACCAGTTGGTGCAAGCGGCGCGGAGGCTACCTTTTCGCAGCGCCGCCACGTTCCAGCCTTGTCGCTGGTCGTAGCCGTGAAAGCCTTGGTGGTCGAATTCGGGGCCGCCAAGGTCGGGTATTACTTCGTGAGCAATAGCATTGTCAGGCAGGGGGATGAAGTCCATTAGGCGTCTCTATTCATTTGAAGGCAGATTCAAGTGCAGAAGTCGATATGACTGATTTGGTGACTTATAGTTAAGAACTCGAGGGATGATTTCCGTGTCCGGCGTTGGTTTACAGGGGAGGGGAGGGCTCCTAAGCCGAATGCGATGTGGCTGAGCAACTTCTGAGCTTCCCCCGAGTCCCATCCAAGGGGGTCGAATCTGACCAGTGAGGCTTCTTCGCTCTGACTACCAATGCATTCGGTCCTAGGGCTGGAAGAAAGCTAGCGACGAAAGGCTGCCGAGACTGAGACATCCTGATAGGCTGCCCTGCGCTTCAGTGGCACCGCTACAAAAGCCCTTACCTCGACTTTTGGTCACTGCTAAGCCTACAGTTGAGCCTCTCCAAAAGTCCCGCCTGCGACAGTTATTAGGCTCTGCATGAGAGTTGACGTGGCAATACTAGCCTGCAAGGAGTTCGTGGCAGGGAGCAGCGCAGAATGACGTGCATAGCACTGCCACGCGAGAAATGAATGTTATAAAAGCCTTGCGTCGCGAGATACTGAACCCTACTATCAACACAGTCTTTGCGTTGACAAATCGACCTGAAAGCCATGATGCTTTGTCAGTATTGCGAGAAACCGATCTCAGCCGCCGTCAAAGCTCTGAAAGGAACTGGTTATGAGGAGAAAATTGAGCTTCCGCTTCAACGTTCACGTTCTAGTATCTTACAGTCAGCTGAAGAAGGATGTTTTATCTGTAGCAGACTGGACTTGGATTCAGAACGGAATATTGAAGATGATTTCTCCTGTGAGGACGACGAGTCGGAATCCGAGATTGACAATTCGTTGGAATTGACAATAAAAACTCGGAAAGAATCAGAAGGTTATTTTATCCTGAACATAAGTCCGAGTGGGGGTCGTGCCTTGGACCTTGTTCTTGCACCAATACCGGCAAATAGCGCAGACACGGACACTTCGATAAAGTCGAAGTCTATCACCAGAGCCGCCTTCTCAACACCGAGAACACTTGAGCTGTGCTGTGGCTGGTTTCGGGCCTGCTCCGAGTCTCATACTAAGTGCCGCGAACTGGCACGCAAACCACAAACCTTTACGCCGCACAGACTGGTTGAAATATTCGCAGAGGGTGATGGAAAGTCGTTCAGCTGGAGGATTGTTCACCCCACTGACACTGAAAGTGCCACCTACGTAACACTGAGCCATTGTTGGGGGAAGTCCCAGCGTACATGCCTGACGAGGAGTAACCGCTGTACGTTTGCAGAATGGGTTTCGTTTTCCGACCTCCCAAAAACCTATCAGGATGCCTTTCTTATCGCCTTTTCGCTGGGAGTTCGTTTCATCTGGATCGATTCGCTCTGTATCGTCCAAGACGATGACGAAGACTGGACAGCTCAGGCTTCGATGATGGGACAGGTCTATCAAGGTGCCTGCTGCAACATCGCTGCGACATGGGCAAAAAACGGGGATGGCGGCTGCTTTATTCAGACAAGAACGCCCACTTTGATTACGCTGGATCTCGAACCTAGCCAGCCTACACCATATGAGGTTTTTCTTTGGACATTCTACTACGAGGAACTTGTGGAAGCTCCACTCAATCAACGCGGTTGGGTTGTTCAAGAGCGATACCTAGCAAGGAAGCAGTTGAGCTTTACTGAGAGTGGTGCATATTGGGAATGTCACGAGCTTGTCGCCTCTGAACGATTCCCTACTGGCATCCCCAGTGACTTGACAGACTTTTCACCCTATGATCGATCCCGGCCACCCACTGGGAAGCCCACATTGGATCTCAGCAGGCCAAGCGCTGTCCGCGAAGCCTGGGCCGTACTAGTGGAGTCCTACTCGGCTTGTCGGCTTACTTTCGTGTCTGATAAAATGGTGGCACTTGCGGGCTTAGCAGAAGCCGTGAAGGAGGCTACAGGAGATTTGTACCTTGCCGGCATGTGGAAGAACGATCTCGAAAGCCAAGTTAGTCATGGAAGGTCTAGCGCTATTCGCTCGAGCTTTGCGAAGGGACGGTTCTGCTTCCAGGAATGAAGCCGTGGATTGGATGTTTCAACTTACCAATCTCGACGAGAGTACTCGACAATGTATGGTGGAAGGCGTCCCAGTGGAAATCATGTGGGACGAGAACCTGCCCTATCGTGGGGCAAACCCTGAAAGATGGGCAAGTTTTATCAAAGAGCGCGAATCCAACTTTCTATGCATGCTGGTGTCTTTGCAGGATGGTTTGATTCTACGAAGGCTGTCCGACGCAACAGATGATGATACATATGTTAGAATGGGTAAATTCTTCGATTGGAATCACAAATTCTTCGACGTCATGTGCGCAAGGTTCAACATTCCACCCGAAGAACTTCTTGACGAAGGCATAGATCTAAGCGATGTTAGGTTGACAGATGCTGTCCACCGCGTGACTGTTGTTTAGCAACAGAAGGGAGCTCTGGGAAGGAGTCAATAGAACCAGTGAACTGTGAACACCTTCTCCTATCCAGCCGAGCACATGCACACGTGCATGGCTCCTGAGCATCCATCATTAAGCTGACTTGATAGATGTATCCTATAACGACAAGATATTCATAAATCAAGCAAAGGCCGTTAAGGAGAAACTACCAGCTCAGTCAGCCTGTTGACTCAAACTTACAGCACAGCTGAGCTTCCAAGCCAACGGTGAGCGTGGATGAGCCACTCTCTGAGTCTTAATTGAGGCATCAACCAGAGTCTCAGCGAGCAATCCCCTGAGCATGGTTGGCATGGTGCTAACGTCAACGTACTCCGCACAGGTAAATATACTGCTGCTGAGCGCTCTGTAGAGTCGGTAACCACTATCAGCCGCCTGGGCTTCCGACACCACCTAATCCGCCACTGATGAAGACGACGAGGACGGCCGCATACGCTGCACAAGCTCCAAATATCTCAGCTCTCCGCGCGTTTGTCAAGAAGCCAACGCATAAAGCGAAGACCGCGGTGTATCCGACAATAAAACCAAGCCGTTTCGTGTTACTCTCAACGTAGTAGAGATTAAACATGGCTCCGAAAAGTAGTAGTGCTGCGAGGACAATATATATAATGGCGACACAGATGTGGAGCCGGCGTTCGGAGTAATACGATAGTGGGTCATCGATATTGGAGCCCTGCCCTTGCTTCTGCTGCTCAATATCAAACTTTCGTATGTTTTTCTACGTCACCTGATTAGCATTCCGCGATCAATCTGGGCTTCAGCTACTGACGGCAAAAAGTACAGGAAACGTATTCTGCAAGAATCTGGTCAGTCGATCGTCATCTGTGACCACCCTGAGGGATACGAGGTCGTTCGCGTCGTCAAAGATGGTTGTGTTCCGTCCATCGAGTGCTGGAATGCCAGGCGTCAACGTGCTGGCGGCATTATTGAAACATTTTCGAATAGCCTCAAGGGTTCTGCGAGGCGGTCTTTCAATGGCTCTGAGTTTGTACCCCAACACGAGCATCTCTTCTTGACGGTGTCAGTTTCCAAGATTCCCAGCTAGAGGAACGACATACGGTATTCTCTAATCATGTACCTCAGCCTCAGGACCAGATCAATTCTCTCTTGGATCTGTGAACGACTTGGCTGATCGACATCGTGCTTGACACTCATCCCCTTCCAGTCTCTCAAATCCGCTTTGACATTCAACGGAGCCTGGATATGCGCAATGTCCAACTCTTCAAGGCGCTTTTCTATCTCGAGGAGCTCGCTCTGGAGATATAAGAGATTCCGAACTCCAAGCTCGTCGAAGCGGCGAAAGATGCATGGACTTCGGTCTTTGTCGCGAATCATGAACCGCGCCAAACCGCGGTAACCATCTATGTGGCTCATGGCGCCGCGTCTATGCTGGATGATGGTTTCTTTGATAAAGGGTAAGATACAGTCCGATTCTATTGATGACCGCAAATTTCAGGCAGTCGATAGGCGAATAGTCACATGAACAAAAACCAGGGACATGCACTACCATTGGTTGTTGTCATCACCCCGCAGATAGCAAGGCAGAATCGGGCGTCAACCTGCCCCTCCTGCTTTCTGATCATCTTAAAAACAAGTCTTCGAGCACGTCGGAGGGTTAAATGTGACTCCAGGAAGCCCCCGAGATATTCCACCATCATCTGTCGCAGTGAGGTCGCAAATGCCTTCGACCGTCTCCGCAGACGAGGAGCTATTGACTGGTGATCAGGTGTATCAGTATCTCCTCCCTCGGTCTCCAGGCTTGGTGCCAGTTAAAATTTCGTTTGAGGCTGAGGACGATTCCTTCTTTGCAAACAGGCCTTCGACGGCTGAAACAGACTTCCACGAGCTATCATTTCCAGGACTGCTCCCACTCGTCGACGAACCAACCGTTGAAGACTCGAATGCCTCAGCCCAAAACCAGGACCACTCTCAGATAGGTTCACGACCCGACAGCAACTCCCTCGAGAGTGACGACCTAGAGAACGAAGCCGTCGTGGACAGGGTTCAGAATCCTGATTCAGACTCAACTCTGCAACCTGTTCCTCGACCTCCAGATCAAGAATCAGAAAACAGCACTCGACGGGATATCAGACGATCTAAACTCAAATGGGATGTACCGATAGTCTTGGCAGGATCTGAAGTTCTCGCCTGTCCTGACACCGGTTCCGAGCAAAACATCTTGTCGAAAGAAATCGCGACGCAGCTTGGGATCTTGGACCTCGTAGACTCGAGCCGCTCGGGCAGGTTCGTTTTGGGTAACGGCAGAGATGTCCAGTCTCTCGGGGCCGTTGACATGGAGCTCTACTTCTCCCGAGAGCCGCAGGGGTTTCTCAAATGCATGTTCCATGTGTTTGAGAGCTTGATACGTCCCGCCATTCTCGGCGGGGTCTTTCTGAGACGTACCGAGACTCTGACCAAGCACCGCCAAAGCCGTCTGCGCCAGCGACTTGTACAGAGTTCAACTCGGTTGCAGGTGATGCACCTTGGTGCCGCCAGAGAAAGGTTCAGATGCTATGTGGACGGCAGCTTGGTGGCTGCACACGCCGACACTGGCTCAGAAATGGATGTCGTGTCCAGAGAGTTCGTTCGAAAATCTTCCCAGCGCCCAAGGGCTCTGCAGGATCCCCTACCCGTGGAATTCGCAGATGGGAGCATCGGTTGGATATCCCATCAGATATTCACCAGGTTCTCCGCTAACCTGGAACGACCCAAATCTGAGTGGGCCGGGAAATGGTTCTATGTGCTGGACGATCTTCCCTGCGAGATACTCCTAGGAGAGGAGACTCTCGACCACCTGGACGCCTTTAATCGAGAGACGTCGTTTGCGATGGAAGTCTTGGACGCGGATGGCATTGAGCTTTGTACCATATTCTGGGCCAGCCATCTGGAGCACAAAATGGCCAACGTGTTGGGATTCAACTGGAAAGGCCGAACGACGAAGAGAAAGAATGACACAGACGGTAAGACTATGCCAGAATGACCCGTCTTTTCTCCAACTTATCTCGTCACAGAAGCAGCAAATCGGGTTGCGGAGGTGTCACTGGCGTTTGACGATCCTCTTCTCGCCGATGTCGATCCTAAATTTCGCCAATGGGTAGGGGAAATGCTCTCTGGAAAAGAAGTGCGATCAGATCAATTGTCCTGTAAGCTGCCTCTCTTTTTGCCCGATACTTCTACTGAAAAGGCTGCGTAGTGCCGCACTCTATCGACTCGACTTTACTCAACGCCTTGGATGGATGGGAGATGAACCGACGCAGCCAGACGAAACATCAAAGTGGAAGCACGGAACAAGTGCTAGAAGAACAGCGTCAACTCGTATTCGATTCTTCGCGGGAGACTGTCCTGCTCGGTCTGCGACGCGCAGCGCTGCCTCCCCTCGACGAGGCTATCAGTCTACTATCATCTAGTTTTCTACCCTCGCCCCATTCTCACCCTGCTACTCCGCCTCCGACTACCGAATCAGGTCCCTCTGGGTCCCACAGTCTCCATCCCGACACCGAGAACGGCGTACGCACCCACCCTCACAGGTGTCCCATCGAAGGATGCCTTGCTCCTCCATTCCAGACCAGCTACCTCCTGAATTGCCACATGAATGTTCACGTTCCGGGGAGTGTTCATTTCTGTCCGGTAAACGGATGCCCACGAGGTCCTGGTGGTATGGGATTTAAGAGAAAGAACGAATGTGACAGGTTGGTATCGTAACCCAAAGACTCAGGTTGCAATATTGACGGATAAATACTAGACACCAGCTGGTCCACCTTTCGCCCGGCTACGTTTGTCCTTTCTGTCCGCCACAGCAACAACAACAACAGAAATATCCGAGACCTGATAATTTGCAAAGGCATGTCAGGTTGCACCACCCTGATATCGCTCCAGACAACCCTCCTCTCCGAAGCGTTCTGAATCGGGGTATAGACAGAGTTCCCTGATGACGAACACCGAGATTGTCACAGTGCGGAGACGGAGATTGTAGTCTACATAATTTCCAGGGATCCAGAATGTGGTGAAAAGACGTTTACTCACTCTTGGAATCGGGGTCTGGCTTCTAGCGTTCAATTGCAGATTAACACAAGGCGTGCATGAAAGTTGGAGTTTAGAAATACTGCGGTTTCTGTTGAGCGAGAAGACAAATCCCCGGACTTCAATCGCCCGCGGACTTGAGAGTTTGGCTGCGCAGTCTCGATAGCGGGAGTGTTGGTGGCTTGTCAATCCTGATGACCCTTAAACGCCTCATACAGAAGGAAAGAGAGAAGGATAGGAGAACGGGCCTTATTCGAGTTAGCCAGGACGCCGAATGGATGCCATCGTCCAAATTTGATAGAAGGTGGCTCGGTGAACCAAGGGCGGCGATGAGGTCTCAGGGAGCATTCCGGGAGCGTTGGGAACAATTTTTATTTGCGCGAGCCTACCACGAGTGCCCAAGCAGATAAATAGCAACTACCCGCGCAGTCTTCCGATCGATTCATGTCGTTGAAGCAATACAGAGACACGAATGTCAAATTCTCCGGTCAGGGAATGAATTGTCGTGGTGCTATGGAGAAGAGTCGGAAGAGAAGAGGACAAAAAGTCTGGAAGAAGACTAACCGAAGACGCAAGGTCGACCTATGAGACTCGACGGAAGGCGAAAAAGCCTCCGATTTTGTGCATCTACTTGTCTGCTTGTTATACTTTTACCAACCAGAGCGCCGTCTCCGTGCCGTGCCAGTAAAAGAGGGGAAAAAATAAGAAAATTAAATACCCGGATGTTCTATTGGCACCAGGATCTCGTGTCCTTTTCATTTGTGGGTTTTCGGGTTGGCCTTTTTTTCCTTTGTATCCGACCGTGCCGGCGGACATCCGGGTGCTGGGTTTCTTCGCTTTCCTGCTTCTCCGGCTTGAGGGAGAGCCACTATGGTTGACATGTGCGCGCGAGGTGAAAATGCGGCCAAGGAGAATGATTAGAAAAATTGGCAGGGACAACAGGACGGCCGAGGGCAGGACAGCACAGTCGGCCAGATCATGAGGCCGGACATCGTGGCTGTGAATCACACGGAGCCGCAGCGGGACTGGCGGGATGATGAAGGAAGGGCAGGAAAGCGCGGGATTTAAAAGGGCCACAGATCGGAGTGCCTAGGGTAGGGCGGCACGGCAGAGTGACGTCCCTCGCATGGAAGACAGACGTACAGTACGATTCAGAGGCGCCGTGAAGTGTCGCGATGCATAAATAGACGTGTGCATATGGGTAAGAGGGACATGGCGGATAAGGTCTAGCGACGAGTAGGTAATGCTTAATTACTCGCTCGCTAGATACACAAGTCCTTGATATGTACCTGTACGCAAATGACTAGCTACATGTAGGCTCCGAGGCATCTACCTAACTTAATGGGAACCAGACGGCTACGCAGAGGGGGCTAGACCCTACTCTTACCGAGAGAACTGGCAGGGTGGATGAGCTGCTGACTGTGCGCCTGGAAGAGAGCGAGAGACCCCGACAAAGTCTCTTGCGTAATCTCCAGCCCACAATGCCCTTTTCCCGCCATGGGCAAAGGTCGTGGGAATGGTGGGAATGTGGGTGATTGCCCCCCCTATCTGGCCCGGATTGCTTATGCTCAGGCCGGATGGCTAGTAATACGTGGGCTGAGGGTGATGCTGATTGCGAGTGGGTATCTTACAGTTAGCCCCAGCCCCGAGAATTGCATCATCCTAGGGGGGCTCCCCAAAAGAGGCGGGCGACGTTCGTGCGTTATTGTGCCATTCTGACCGTAGTAGACAGTTGGATACACTGTGCTAGTAGTCGGCACAGTGTTTTGTTATGTATGGTATTGTTGGCAGTATATATGTACAAAGAGGTGGGAAGGAAAAGGTGGTAAAACAACACAGCTAATGCTCCATCCATAAACCTGTGGGTTACAAAAAGGAGCCTAGAACCAAACGCCTTGTGGGAATATATCATGCAAGGCACCTTGCCTTTCTGGTATCGTAAATGCGGGTTTCATAAAAAGGACATGATTCGTTTTGCACCTAAGCAGCAATCACTTCATGGTTCAAGTAAAAGCAGGCAGAATCAGTGCCCCAAGAGATTCTGCCAGCCAATCCGCTCGTACATGACCACGGCCAGACAGCTCGCCACCACGGCCTTGAGAGGGATTCTCTCGTCGGCCCTAGCTGTGCTCCCATACCCATGGCCGTGTCCGTGGCCGTGTCGATGTCCATGGCCCTGCTCGTATCCTTCATTCTCGTTACTATCCCCAAGGTTGCCTCCGCTTGGCCCTCCAGCAACGTTGGCCAAGAACACCGTCAAGGCGCCCAAGACCTGGTGATCGCGCCTCTGCTTGTACACGGCCACAAGCGTGCCCTGGGAGTCCTCCAGCAGAAGGTTCCCATTAGCCGGGTCAAAGCCGTCGTCCACGGCGGGCATGGAGAGGACCTGGCTATTGTGGCTCGGGGGCGAGTGCCATTTATAGTTCCGCGACGACGGAGACCTGCTCAAGATGTACTCGCGCTTCCAACCATGGCGGGTAATGGTATAGTGGGAGCGGATGTCGTGACTCGCGTTCTGGGGTTCTTGCGTGGCCGAGGGAGAGTAGTGCATCTCCGGCGTGATGTTGTAGAGGGTAAGTGAGATGGACATACGAGTAAACCCTTGCCAGCCCTGGTACTTTATCTCTGCCAGAGGGTATTGTTCGTCCCTCTTGGAACCATCGAAGCTCTTGCTGGACCTGGGTTCCACAGGGACTTCGACAGGGTCTGCGCTGGGATTGGCGTCGAGATGGCCGAGGGTCTCGTCGGGCTGCGTTGGTGGGAGTCCAGTCACTTCGCTTCCCGTCTGGGCGACATCCCGGCCTCGCAGCCACTTGTGCTGGGGGTGCTGCTGATGGGCAGTGCCCGGGAAGATCTCAAATGAAGGCGGAAGCACAAACTTCTGCTTCCACCACTTCATGTTACTGGTCACAAAGACTGGTTCATGGCGGGAACTAGGTAGCGTCGAAAGGTCGGTGAGATGGCCCGTGTGGACAATCCCGGCATCGACATCGACGACGCTTAGCTGGAGGTTCTGCGGGCTAACCAGTCCCAAGGTCGTGCTTTTGAGGATCTCGAATCGGCGGATGGGGCCGTGCCACTCGTGCTGGAATTGTTGGTGTTCATCGGATTTGAAGAGTTGCTGCTGTTGCTGCCTGTCGACCGAGTCGAGCTTTCGCTGCTCTGACTCGCTGAACGCTCGGCGATGGTCGGTCGTGCGTGGCCTAGCCATAGACAGTCGTGGAGGGGATCGGGCTCGAACGTGTTCGGCGGCCGCTGGGGTTCCTGTTTCGATTTTCGCTTCTTGGCCAATTTCTTCTCCTTGGGATGGCACGGACAGCCCCCAGGGTAGTAGATCTCACGAAGAGTGATGGTCGTGTAGCGTCTTCGGCCATTGACGACGGTGTTAGCCTCTTCCTCGGGGAACAACGCATGATAGGAAGGGAGCACGTCGGCGTCAGCCATTTTGGGAGGGTGCGCGCGCGAGGCTGAATTGACCCCTTTAAGTATCTCGTCGAAAGCTGGGGAAGCAAAGGATATATCAAGGAGGGGGGAAGTAGTTCTTGAGAACTCTGGGGCTGACTGAGAAATATAATAGCAACGTGACCAGGACTGACCTTTACAATATCAAGGGCGTCAAGGGAAATCCACCGTCTCCGTCTCCGTCTCCCCCTGCTGCTGTAATAATTGTGGATAAACGTGCAAAAAAGGGGTCCCGGTGTTTTGGTAGCCGGAACGTTGATGGTTGGTTCGCCCGCTCGGATGCAGACGGAAGGCTGAGCGCGCCTGGACACGAAATGCTCAGACCTGCGAAAGCTGCCCAGCCCGTGAGCTGGTGGCTGAGATGTTTGCTGATGTGGAGTGCTGCGTCAGCGTTAGACGTCTGCTGCTCCTTGGACTCGTTTGGGAAGTGGTGCGTCAGAAAGTCGGGGCCAGTGAGGCGGCCTGGAAACGCTTCGTGTGTTGCCTTAGCACCGTGCTGCAGGTTTGTTTGGCTCGCGAGGATTGTGAACTGGCACAAATTGCGGTGAGGTTATGTAAGATGGTCGACGCTGAGACATGCATATAACAAAGCAGTTCAGAGTGCTTGCAGCCCGAAAACCAAGTCGAGCCAGCAACACTCCGGTTTTATTTATATTTATCTATTGCATGCAAAGCACGAGATAGGAATCTGCCTTGCCCTCGAAAGACGCCTCGAAAGATGCCTTGCACTTCCTGGGACAAAATCACGCGATTGCCGAGCGTCGGAGCATTTTAGTGTACTGAATGAGGTACAATGCAATGTGCGCACCGAAATCTGGGGTATATTTAGACATTCGACCGTCTCATGTTCTGATGAAACTGGCTCCGATTCGCCTTCGCCCAGTCTGATCCCGCGTATCCGTATTCATATGACTTTTTTCGGTGCCAGCCAGTAGCCGAGGCTTCGTGGAATATGCCAGGCACTGAGTGGCAGCTCTCGACCAATGGCGAGCGAGCTTGGGCCAGAGCATACGAGCCTCGTGCACCAGGACCAAGACATGTAATAATGTCGTGGGGTGATCTTTCGGGTGTCTGGACGATGAAAGTCTTGGACGTCGATGATGTTGGCAATGGTGGCAAACATCCACCTCCACAAGATCAACTGATCGTCTTACAGATGAATGATTAGGAGAAAGCCCACATCCGTGAAGAGACTTGTGCGCTTCGTCACTCCGTGACTTCCCAATCATTGCGTTTGAGTCCGCTTTCTCCTTCGCATCTACATCAATCGACATTCAAATTGCGCCGGAATATTTTCACGACCAGTGCAGGGTGGAGTATGTAGCTTAGCACATCCTCTCCGAAACGCCGACACGGCCGCAGGCTTCCGAGTCACTCTACAAGCATAACGGTCTCGTTTCCATACCGGAGCGCTTGCTGCAAACAAACAAATATTCTTTCCCAGCCTTCGACGGGTCGCCGGCTGTCTTTCGAGAAAAAGGATGATGGATCCTGTGGCGGCGTTTTGTTGAAATCTGGCACATCCTTAAAGCATTGCGATTTGTCCTGCAATCATTGCTACAGCACCGCGTGTGTATAGCTAATGCTAGCCCTAGTTTCAGTTCAAGTCACAAACCATTGCTCTTCAGCTTCTCAAAATCTGTTGTCCCCCTCATGGCAGCGATCACGTCGCGAGAAGGGTGCTGGAGGCAAGGATTGTATGAATAGACCGCGAGCCTGTCGGGCAGCCATCTACCAGCACACAACAGAGGCGTATAATCAAGGGCGGTCTTGCGAGGAAATACATAGGTATGCAATGGTTGAAGAGGCGCAAAGGACGCGTCGAAGGAGGCCGACGAGGCGAAAGGTGCATGGACGTAATTCCAGAGCGGCAGGTCTGCCGAGCCAAGGCACGTGGCCAATCAGCGTCGGCCAATTTGTGGAAGCTGCTTGTGACAGCATAATTTTCTGAAGCTCCTTTCTCTTCTGTCACCGACGGCTTCAACTCATCCCCCCACGACGATGCCTTGACTCAGAAGATCTTGAAGCTGTCTCGTCTCCCATCTCAGACTCTTCATTGAGACCGAAGCTCACATCGGCCTCTGTGACGCCCGTGGTGTCCTGGCTAGGTCAACCATGAGACACTCAGCAGCGAGGTTGCTCCTTAGAGCATCGCGGCCTCGTCTACCAGCTCATCCGTCGCCAATCCAACCTCGAATATCTAATCTCCCAGTCCGTAGACATGCTTCCACCTCTGAAGAACGGCCGAACTTTACGTCTCGACTGGTTGATGTTCTCTACGGCGCCACTCTTGTTTTCGGCCTTGGCATCGTCTACTTCTATGTCACCGATACTCGAGCAAGCATTCATCGTTACGTGGTCATCCCCGCCCTGAGACTGGTGTATAGGGATCCTGAAGAGGCACACCACGTCAGCAATGGAATTCTCAAATCACTTTGGGACTTTGGCCTCCACCCGCGGGAACGGGGTGACCCCGACCAGAAGCACGATCTCGAAGTTGAGGTCTTTGGGCAGCGCCTCCGGAATCCAATCGCTACTTCTGCAGGTATAGACAAGCATGCCGACATCCCAGATGTGCTTTTTGACATCGGCCCCGCAATCATCGAGATCGGTGGAACGACCCCCCTGCCACAAGAGGGCAACGCAAAGCCTCGCGTGTTCCGTCTAACATCACAACAAGCGATGATCAACAGATACGGTCTTAATTCTGAGGGTGCCGATCATGTGGCCATGAGACTGCGAAACAGAGTGAGAAGGTTTGCACACTCCCTTGGCCTCGGTGACGATGAGATCGCAGAAAAGGCTGTCCTTGATGGTATCGCAGGCGTCCCTCCGGGAAGTTTGATCCCGGGCAAGTTGCTTGCTGTCAACATTGCCAAGAACAAGTTCACTCCGGAGGATGATGTCGAGGCCGTCACTAACGATTACGTTTATTGTGTCGACAAGCTTGGACCCTATGCTGATATCCTAGTCGTCAACGTGTCCAGCCCTAACACCCCTGGTCTTCGCTCATTACAACAGTCCGACAAGCTGCGGACGATCTTAAGTGGCGTGGTAAATGCAGCAAGGTCTGTAGAGAGGCGAACGCGGCCCTATGTGATGGTGAAAGTGAGCCCGGACGAGGATTCAGAGTCGGAAATTGCAGGAATATGCGATGCAGTCTGGGCTGCTGGTGTAGATGGAGTCATCGTGGGGAACACCACGAACCGCCGACCCGAGCCACTTGCTCACTTGAAAAACTTGTCCCCAACCGAGGAACAAAATATGCTTGAAAAGGGAGGGTTTTCTGGACCTCATCTCTTTGAGAGAACGGTTGATTTGGTGAAAAAATACAGGAAATTGTTGGTAGAGAAGCCTGCGTCGATCGATACCTCAAACACTCCGACCACAAGGAAAGGGGCGCTGGAAGCTGAAGCAGATCGGATTAAAGCGGCTCTGGCACCCAACGCCGAAGAATCCAGCCCTGCTGGCACACCTGTTCCAGGCTCAGATAAAATCACTGCGTCTGTTGACACTGGCGTAGTGCCAATCAGCGGCATGCTTGAACAGAATGCTGCGGACAAACAACCTCTCATCAGCCTTCCAGACGAACGCCAATATGACAAGCCACAGCCAGAAACAGAAAATCCCGAGGTCGAAGAAGCACCCGCGCTCGATCTAGAATCACGTTCGGCGGAAGAGAAGAAACAACTGCGGTCAATTCAAGCGGCCATAGAGCGACTTCCTCCTCGGGCACAGCGTGACGCCCTCGATCGTCTCGAGTCTGGTCCAGCCCATTTGGAATCCATTGATCAGCCCAAGGTTATATTTGCGACCGGAGGAATCACCAACGGCAAACAAGCTCTCGAGGTTCTCAATGCGGGCGCCAACGTGGCCATGGTTTACACTGCCCTGGTATACGGAGGCATTGGTACGATATCACGAATCAAGGATGAAATGCGAAAAGAAATCAAACGGCAGGACCAAGAAAAGCGCTCAAATGCTCAAAATTAGACTGATGGTGTTGGGCACTATCTTGGCCGAGTGAGTTCGAAAGTGATCAAATTGACGGCCGTGCCGTTCTCTTGAATCAGCTCCTCGGCGACCCGGCGAAAACCACATTTGGCCAATATCTTGGCACTCGCAATGTTATTGCCGTCTATATCTGCTCTCAAGACCTCCGGTACCATTACAACGCAGTCATCAGTCCCGGTTTCCCCCTCTGCCTCCTCGACCGTTACATCTTTCCGGGGCAACTCCCACCATGCTTGGAGCCACCGCCGAAGCGCTTCTGTGGCATACCCTTTACCCCAAGAGTCGGTGCGCAACATGTAACCACACTCGGGTGGTTCTGCGATATGACAGCCTAACACACCGATGGGCTTGCCGGGACTCGCGAGCTCCTCAATGGCAAAATTGAAAGTGGTGGCGTCGTTTGGCGGAAGGAACCTGTTCATCCAGACTTGTGTGGCCTCCTTGTCAACGTCGACTTTCCCGGTAGAGGTCCACTTCATGACTTCAATCTCTGAGCGAAGGGCATGGAAGTCTTCCAGATCCGATTGTTGGATGGGTCGAAGGAGCAGGCGAGCAGTGGTCATGGGGGATGGTGGGACGGGAAATTCTGGACGCGTAGTTTTCTTCATCTTCTACAGTCTCGAGGGAGTTGAGATCGGAACAAAAGGTGGCAGGATACAACGAATAAAATGCACAGTAACTATTAAATCGTCAAAATACCTATCTGCTTCGTCTGCCTCCTCAGGGAGAGCGATTGAGGAGCTTGATTGTGACTCAGCGACTGTAAATGCAACGCAGCTCGACAGACACCTGAACTGTGACCAATGAGAGCATACCTTGGCATTCGGCAAAGTTGCCTATCCACCGATAAGCGATAAGCGAATTTCGAGTTGCGAATTTTTGTTCCCGCCCGCATTCGCATTTGCGCTTCTACAATTGCCACGACGTCTTTCTTCTCTCCCGTTGCCGCCCTGGACGCTGACCGGCAAGATGAAGACCACCTGGAAAGATATTGCGCCGGTCCCGACTTCCCAAGAATTCATAGACATTGTTCTCAGCCGGACACAGCGCCGGCTGCCTACCCAGATTCGTGCCGGCTTCAAAATTAGCAGAATTAGAGGTTAAAACCCTGCCCGTGTTGAAAAAGAGAGCATGGCTGAGACAAATTTACAGGATTTTATACAAGAAAAGTCAAGTTCACATCCGAGACATTCTGCGAAAAGCTGCAAGCCATCCTCGAAGGCTTTCCTCGACTCCAAGATATTCATCCCTTCCACAAAGACCTCCTCAATACCCTCTACGATGCAGACCATTTCAGAATTGCCTTGGGCACGCTGTCAACTGCCAAACGACTGATAGAGACAGTGTCTCGGGATTACGTTCGGCTCCTCAAGTACGCGCAGTCATTGTTCCAATGCAAATCTCTCAAGCGGGCGGCCCTCGGTCGGATGGCCACAATCTGCAAAAGACTGAAAGACCCTCTCGTGTATCTGGAGCAGGTGCGACAGCATCTGGGGCGTCTACCGAGCATAGATCCCAACACCCGAACGCTTCTCATCTGTGGTTATCCGAATGTGGGGAAGTCCAGCTTTTTAAAATCAATCACTCGAGCCGATGTCGATGTTCAGCCCTACGCTTTCACGACCAAATCGCTCTTTGTTGGTCATTTTGACTATAAATATCTCAGATTTCAAGCCATTGACACCCCCGGTATCCTGGATCACCCATTGGAAGAGATGAACACCATCGAAATGCAATCCATTACCGCAATTGCACATTTGAGATCTGCGATTCTGTACTTTATGGATCTGTCAGAGCAATGTGGCTACTCAGTCTCGGCGCAGATGGCGCTGTTCAACTCAATCAAACCCCTCTTCGCCAACAAACTTGTTTTTATCGTGGTGAACAAGACCGATGTCATGAAGCCAGAGGACTTGGACTCCGAGACACAACAACAATTGAAGGATTTGTTGACTCAAAACTCCAACACGGAACTTCTCCAATTGTCATGCGTCACAAACGACGGAGTTCAGGAGGTGAAGAACACGGTTTGCGATCGATTGATTGCAGATCGGGTTGCGGCAAAACTAAAGGCTGGGCAATCTGCACAATCTGCCACCGCTGATGCACCAACAGGCCGCCTCGGCGATCTTCTCGCCCGCATCCATGTGGCCAGGCCCTTGGAAGGTTCCGTGAGCGAGACCTACATCCCAGAAGCGGTCAGAAACGGAACCCACAAAAAATATGACCGATCAGATCCGGAGAGAAGGAAGCTGGAGCGCGACATCGAAGAGGAAAATGGAGGTGCAGGGGTATACAACATTGATCTGAAGAAGTTCTACGATCTCGCCACCCCGGAGTGGAACCACGATAAAATTCCCGAGTTCTTCAACGGCAAGAACATTGCCGACTACGTCGATCCTGACATTGAGCAGAGGCTTGCGGAGCTGGAAGCTGAGGAGGAGAAGCTGACCGCAGAAGGGTTCTATGACGAGAGCGACAGTATGGAAGATGAAGATGACGCCGAAATCCGCATGAAAGCAGATTTAATCCGGAACAAGAAGACGCTGATGATGAATGAGGCTCGCATGAAGAAGAGCTTGAAGAACAAAGCTCAAATACCGCGGGCCAAGAAAACGAGGACGGTGGGCCAGATGGAGAAGCACTTCGGCTCAATCGGCCTGGACGCATCGGCCCCTGCTGACCGAGCAAGAGCAGAGATCCGTAACGCCAAGCCTGCTTCAGTCGCCGGCGATGAGATGGAACTTGACGAGACAGCCTCTGCGAGACTGGCGAAGTCTCTCTCCCGAGCTCCGAAGACAAACAGGCTCACAGATGGACTGGGCGTGAGTGCCACGGGCGTGACGGACCCTGCGAAGCGAGAAAAGGCACAACGAATGGCGAAACTGAGCCAACGGAAGATGAATCGTATGGCCAGACAGGGCGAGGCTGATCGCCACGAGACGGCTTCGCTACCAGCCCATTTGATCAAGGGCAAGAGGAAGATGGGCAAGACGCGCTCCAGATGATCGAAGGATGGTGAGTTTAGAGATGGTGTTATTGTTTCGGTGTCGACCGTTATGGTTTACGACTCGGCGTTGGTGGATTGTTCAGGGAACCACAAAGCTGGAACGAGGCCTCGGAAGAGACGGTGCACGTTAGAGAGGTTCATAACATCAATCGATGTCTTCGTGCTCCAGAATGATCCCGCATCCTTGGTCACCGAGGACGTTTTCGTTTCAATCCGTCTGGGCTTCTGCTCTGACTCACCTGTGTCGTCGTCCTCGTTGAGCAGATGCAGTCATGTTGAGTCACCTTCCTGTTCTCGGTCCTTTTAGCGCCCGTCTGGACGATAGAGGTATGCTTGACTCTTGGGACATTAGGACAACTCCAGCTGGAATTCTTCTGCCCTGTGACATACCAACCTGGCCTTCGGTGTCGGGCATAATGCGATATCTCTTCCCATTGCTACGTCCGAGGCAGTAGTTCCTCGCATAGGAACGAGGATCACAGTACTACTCAACAGAGTACTAGGTGTTGTTGAGCGTAGATGTGTTTGTCATCACCACTATGCACCTGGTGCACCATGAAATGCACCATGAAGGCGACTCGGAGAATGATTCGGATTGATGCCGAGTTGCTTGACTCATCCCCTCATCCCTTGGCACTTCATCTGTAATCAGCTTCTCGCCTGAAGCCGAAACTCTGGCCCTTTCTTTTCTTCCTCCAGGGATGGCGCAATCTGCGGTCGCTCCCTAGCATCCTTTCAGCTGCTCCTCCGCGCAACCTTCAGCCCAGACAATGCAGGTCGGTGTTCGCCAACCCCGGGCCACCCAACTGCCATCGCCCACAAGACGAGGCGTCCCAAAGACCTCCCGTCCCTGCAAGCCCTCTCGCTCCCCAACCTGAGCACCCTGTGCCACGGGAATGTTGTTGTTCCTGCGCCGCTTTGTACAATTATTAAGCCGGTCGAAACCCCGCCAGGCGACACTGCGACTGTGATTAGTGGGCACCAACCAAGCAGTGTCCCCCACGTCAGCCTTGTGCTTGTGGCATGATGAGGGATGGCGAGCACGGACACCGGACGGAGCAAACTGCTACCTCCAAGCAAAACCATAACCCATTGTTTCTATGGATGGCCTCAGAAGTCCAAAGTATATTTAAGTGCAGGAGTCATACCACACATGCATGAGGAGCAGAACCAGAGTGGATATCGAGGGATTCGCACAGACAAACCTGAAAGGCTTTGAGAAGACGTCGATTCCACAATCAAACGCTCGATTTGGCATTTGAACATAAATTGCTTGCATCGCCTCCTCTGCGCCCCGTCAATCCATCCTCATCCACCGAACACGTACAACCCATCAAAATGGTTCCAAAGACCCAGAAAGCTCTCGTCGTCACCGAGGTCGGCAAGCCTCTGGTCCTCGTCACAGATCATCCTGTCCCCCAACCGGGCTCAGACCAGGTCCTGATCCGCGTCACGGTCGCCGGGCCAAACCCGCACGACCAGAAAGCCCGTGACCACGGCCTCTTCATCGCCCAGTCTCTGCCCGCCATCCTCACGAACGACATTGTGGGCGAAGTCGTGGCCCTCGGACCGAATGCCACAAAGTACGCCGTCGGCGACCACGTCGTCTCTCACGCCGGGTTCGACAAGGTGTATGCCCAGAACGGGCTGCAAGAGTACGCTGTCGTCGACGTCGACGCCTCGGCCAAGATCCCCAAGGGATTCACCGACGACGACGGCGCCACACTGCCCACCAACGTGATTGCCCCGCTTGTCGCGCTGTTCGATGCTTCAACCCTGGCGATCCCCGCTCCCTGGACCGATGCCGCCTCAAGCTTTGACTACAAGGGGACCACGCTGCTGGTCATGGGTGGCGGGAGCAACTGCGGAAGATTCGGTGTGCAGCTCGCCGCACTGGCTGGGATCGGGCGCATCGTCGTGGTCGGCGGCGACGAGGCCGAGTTGAGATCCTACGGCGCCACAGATATCATTGACCGCCACGCCTCGCCCGAGGAGCTCACCAAGCGCATCCGCGATCTCGTCGGCGACGAATTGCTGTACGCCTACGACGCCATCAACCCGCCCGCGACGCAAACCATCGCGATCAACGCACTCTCGTCCACCAAGAAGGGCAGACTCGCCCGCTTGCTCCCCACCGGACCCGTTGACGAGTCTCAGGTCCACGCGAAAAAGGAAGGCTACGAACTACTCAACACCTTTGGCAGTTCTCAAGCCAAGCCCGACGTTTCTAGGCCGTTCTGGGAGCGTGTCCCGCAGTACCTGCTGGAAGGGAAGTTGAAGCCGAGTGCGTACGAGGTGGTCAAGGGGCTGGACGTGGACAAGGTGAACGAACTCCTGGATCGGTACCGGGACGGGAAGAGGGTGGTGAAGACACACTTCCACGTTTCGGAGTGAAGTCTCGCTACGGGGAGGCCTTGATGTGCAAGAAAGAACCTCTACCAAAAAGTTATCTACGTGAAAATCAAGTGAGAGAATGTTCATTGTTACAGTCACCGTCAGCTTCTGCTTGAAAAAATCGGCCAGACTTGCATCGTGAATTTGATTTTAATGGGCCCTTCACGCTTTCAAGTACGATTGACTAGTTGCTGCCCTAATATCTCGCTCCGAATCTCTCGAAAGGCTGACAGCCTCATTCTGCCTCCGGCATTCCAGAGATAGTCTCAAGTCATCGTCGAGCGAGGCCTTAGCAGCCTGCTGCGTCCCCTATTGGTTTCACCTTCACCAACAGCTCACTACAGACACCACCACGATATCGCACAAACCTCCACTCACCGCCCGGCGTTTAACGATATCGAAATGTTCGTGTTCAAGGCGATCAAGGAGTTCTTGGGACGCCATAATTCCTCCTCTCCTTCCAGTCGAGCGACATCTGAAGAACCCGACAACGCAGTCACCGATGACTCGCCTACAATTGCAAAGGTACGAGATAAGGGCGAGACTGAATTGCACGATATTGCGGCCAAGTTGGATATGTCCATTGCAGCGAATCCGGCGATGAAGAGCCACGACCATCCCTCCGACGACTATTTTCCGCGCATGTACAAACAATTCCGGCATGGCTTCAGCACCTCCAGAGGCTCATGGGACAGCCGTTCTTGGATGGCCTTCGACATGTTCAAATGGTCCGAAATCTACACTGCGGAGCGAGATGCTGGGCTGCTTCCCACAGACCAAGATCACGGTTCGCTCCCGATGCACTGGACACTGTGTATGGCCATGATACTGTACATGGTCCTGCTCGTGACGAGGCAAAGCCTGGACTGTATCATGAAGGACATTCTACGGAGGCTCAAGGACTTTCCACACCTGGCCACCACTCGCCTGCGACTCCAGACACCGGAGATGCGGCAGCTCAGATACGCGGAAAGGCAGACCGTGAGAGGCTCGGAGGCATTTAACCGGTCGCTGGGAAATATGGCGCTTGAGCTTTCGGTTGCGCTGGGGAAGGTCAAAAAGGTACACGGCAATGATGAAGCTGAGGAAGAGGTCAGGCGGATACCAATATGTGAGGTGCTGCGACGCGAAATCCACACAGAACATCCTCAGCTGGAACTCCCAGATCTGACCATGCCAGTGATGGAGGTTTGAGCTGGTCCGTGCGCTGGGAGCCGGCACGATCGAGTGAAGCGTCAGTACACTACCTCGTACACACAAGGCAGTTTTCGGGTGTTAGAAAAGCCACACACAGATGTTTACGCAGTGGGGAGACAAACAGAACACCCCTTGGTGTGTCACTTGACAGACGCGTCGAGGCAGTTACGGTGGGCAGTTGAAAGAACACGGCCCCTTGTTCGGAGTTCAACTGCTTTATCGACGCCTCCAACCACTGCCTTTGACCGCGAATAAAACCTGTCTACTTTCTTCGGTCTACACAATCCCATCAACATGTCTGCAAGTTGCCCCCCAAAACAAAGCCCGCTCTGACAAACCATTGCAACAACGACGCACCAACTCAACTCTTCTCAACATGCCCAGAAAAGCAAAGAAGGAATCTAAAGGCAAGGGACCAGACTGCCACCACACGTATGATCCCATCACCACAATCCCCGTTGACCTCGATGTCGCCATAGACATTCTGGAAGAGGGAGCCACTGTTCTAGGACGCCACCTGTTCAATATCGAACACCATCGCTACGTGGAAGGCTTCTACACCCCGGAATCCTCCAACGAAGCTCGGCCTCTCCATCTACAAGCCGAGCTGGCTATTGAGAGAATCATGGGGACGAGTAATTGGGCAGGTGGCCGCCCGCTGAAGCCCTTGATGGACGCAGTCGCACGCGATTATGAAAGAAAATGGGGACATGGTGGTGTCTACCACGATCTGCTCAGCACCTACCCTGAATGCAGGGACGAGATCGAGAAGAACCTGGACAAACACGACATGGCGAATTATATGGTGCGTGAGATTGAACGTAGCTGTTACCTCGTTCGCAGAGCCGCCGCCCAACCCCCACAGCCAGACCGTAGAACTGTGTATATTCTTGGACAGATTGCAAGCACCTGAATGAATGGCGAGGAGGGCTCTTCACACAGACTCATACGGGAGGACATGGTAGAAGGCACAGCAGGGTGAGTGGCCATCACAATAGTCAGATGTAACATGTGCTCCCCTTCATCGAGGACACTGCAAAAATCAAATAGCAGGCCAGCAAGTACCAAAAAGACATTCCCACCACATGCTCTCCTGGTAGTTCACGAAGCAAGACATCACCAGATCCCTGAGACCGCGCATGTCGCCTCCCGCGCTGAGATCCGCCATTTTGAGATCGAGGTGAGGCAGGTTTCAGCCTCGTTCGAGAACAAACAATGTGAAAAGTTTGGGCCAGGTGAGCAAACAATTTCTTTGGAACAGTGTATTCACTCAGCAGTGTCACGCTGTCACTTGTGACTGGCGCGAGGTGAATCAGATATCCCACAATCATATAAAGGCGACTTCATTCTTTACACTTGCACCTTTCTCTCTCGCTTTCTCTTCTCTCTCAGGTGTTTTCTCTTCTTCGATCATCACAGCAACCTTCTTGAGTCTTGACCTGTTATCATTATCATAAATATCTCACTCGACATCCGTTGTTTCAGCACCGTCCTCGTCCTCGTAAGTAACAGTCTCTGCCTCCTTGAGACTCCCAGCTTACTCCTCACCCAGCTCACACAACCCCGACACACGGCTCACACAAGATGGAAGAAGTCCCCAATAAGTCTCACGGGGTGCTCCCAAAACTGGCTCGCGAGGCTCTACAAAAGATGACCTGTCAAGACCCGTCCCAGCCCGCCTCCGAAGAAGACACGGCCGCCGCCGACATCCTGCACGACTGCAACCTCGTCATCGGGCTCTCCAGCCGGGTGTCGGACTGGAAGGAGAAGAACGCGCAGACGACGCGCGCCCTGCGCGAACTGCGCGAGCTCGGGTCGTACCTGGAGGACGCGCGGTGGGACGGGCTCGAGAAGCCGGACCTGCTGCTCCGCACGGCCTGGGCGCTGCAGCACGGCACCGTCGTCGCCCTCGCGCGCCAGGAGCGGGCCATCGCGAGCGACGTCAACGCCCAGCTCGGGGCATGCAGGATCCTGTTCAAGCGCCGCGGCCAGACCATCCCGGACTTTGTGTCGGACAACGCGCGCTTCATGGCCAAGATCAACAAGACCCACGACATCGGCAGGGAGTGCATGCGCCTGAACTTCCCGCCCGACCAGGAGATGCACGTGTACAAGAACGTGCTGATGATGCTCACCTAGGGGGTTCACCACTTGGTGTGTGCCACGGTCGACAATATGGTGTCGAGTCGACAGCAAGGCGATGTGTGAATCAACTAAAGGAGAACTCTCAGGAACGCACGGGCCTAGATCGCCATCGGTGTCTTTTTCGCCATCTTGGACACAGGGACAGGCAATTGTGGAGACATTCTGGAAAGGGTTACTTCAAACAGAGTGGAGAAGGTGGTTCAAGTCTTGTATGTGATGGATACGTCGATCGTACGGCTCGTGGATGTATTGGATGGCCTGGGCTGAGATTTGAGGGGACACTTCTCAGGGTTGGACAGATATTGTGTGCTCTTCTGCAAAGGAGGAACGAGTCCAAAATGCCTACATAGATTTGGCCATTGTCGATTCCTCGAACTTGGATACAAATGAATTCAGGACAATGTGAGATGAGGCACGACCAGTGCAACTCAGACACGCATGAGACACAGAACCATGCCTTTGTCCCTATTTTTTCCCCTCTATAGTGCCATTCATGATCTTTTATCTTCACTCCTCGATCTGATCTTGCCCTTCACCGGTGCTAGTTGTCACGTACTGTGTTCGTACGTGTGGCTTCCCTGCCTTTCACTCCCTGCCGCCCTCGATCTCTCTCGCTGATTCTCCTCACTGAACTCTCCGGCGCCAGCCAGAATTCCCTTCTTCCACTAACCGCTCGTCTCTGCCTCCATACATTCTCCGCTCGCCTCATCAATCTCCCATTCCGGACCGGTCCCGTCGGTGCTGTCCTACGCCAAAGCAGAGTCTGACCTCATCTCCCTCACTTCTATACGTCTGCACTCGCTCCGCATCTCCCTGGTCTCAAAAATTCTGCGCTTCTGGTTAAAAAACATTGTTGTGGAAGGCTCGGGACAGCGAATCATCAATCAGCGACCTGGACATGGCTGATCTCACCTTGTCAAGCAATGATGGTGCCGAACCTCCAATCGCACAACATAGAGCCGATCGTGGTGAGGCCCCAGCACCTGAGTATACAAGATCAGAGGCATACCAAAGCAAACAGGACGACAAGTCAGATGTCATGAGCAAAGCAGACGACGGAATACAAGAAGAGCAGGAATTGTACGTCTTGCAGAGATTCCACGACGCCGCCAATCGCTTCTCCCTTTCCAGTTCAACTCCAGATGAACCCCGCAATTTTCATCAGGCGAAACGATCTCGCAGCGATGAAGGGGCACAGAACGCATTGTTAGACGAACTTGAGGCCGAAAAATTCTCCCATCTGGACGCATGCGCTAGGGCTGCTGAAGTCATGGGTCCACTGACAGGCGAAACCATTTCTTTCTTGAAGGACCTTCGAAGCCTCAAAAAGACCCTTGAAAACACCTCAAAACTCTCCCAGCCACTGCGGTCCTTTCCATTTCTGACTGAGGAGACCCGGCGCGTCCTGCTCGCACAGTCCATGACGGGCCACCATGAAGATATTCGACTGCTTGGCCAGAGAGCCCGATCTCTCATCAAGGCCGGTGATAGATGCTCCGTGCTTTGCCAGAGCATGTCCAGCCTCCATGTCCGAAACTCTGTGAGCCTTGATACGATTGAAGGCTTCCTCGAAGCACTTGATATGTGCGGGTTATGGTCTGTTGTCAATCGAAGATTGCGCCTCGAAGTCGAAAGCTTTGAGGTCGCGCTAAGAGAATTGGGAGTGCATGAGCATTTTGTCGAGTGAGTCGAAACCGAGCTGGACGGACAGGTTTGAAGGTGGATTTGCACCCTCCGTCAGTGTTGTGGAATTATTCCTGGATGATAGCTTGGGCGAATCTCCGGGGTCCCACGGAGACGGACGACAAGGCGACCAATTTGCCTATCCTGAACAGCTGGGTTGCGTCCAATGATGCAGCGTCTATTCTCCCTTCTGAGACATTCAGAGCGTGAGATGGGGCAATATAAATCTCAAGCTTGAAGGCGTAAGCATATTCAAGATCGGGTGGGAAGGGCCTGTGGAAAGGGGGATCGCATGAGTTGAGGGAAGGAGCTGCTGGAGTAGACTTGAGTCTCGCACTTCATCGCTCTCCGCTTCCTCTACTCAATTGTCTTCCCAGCTTTTTTTTACATATCATCCTTCCAAGAGTATTTGTTTCTGCTGGTATCCTTAGACGGCGCTCAATCGGTGGGTTTCTTTCAACTCTTTCCTTGCATCGGACTAACGCAAACACACTTGTAGTTCGCGGTGAATCAGCTCACTTCAGAATTTCTGCATCAGCAGCATCTGGAACTCGCAATCGCCGCGCGATCGACCGACTTCGCCCTCTTCGACAAGACTTCTAGTCAATCGCTAAGCCTCAGCTCGCACCAAACTCGCTAACGTCCCATCCATCCACTGGAAGCCAACTCGAGTCCCCCGAATCCACAAACCTAACATTGCGGGGAGCTTCAGTTTGGAGGGGACACGAAGTATCAAGTCTGGAGAGCTGGACCTGGTGGACTCCAATGCAGCTGCCGGTTATCCCAGAAGAGTTTGCAGATCGGGAAGAAGATGCAACTTTGATGGATATAGGCAACTGCGTATCGAGCTCGTGGCGCCCATTTCTTGAGAGAATATTGGAACGACCCGTCCCAAAGGGATTCTATGAAGTCGTCCCAGAGCCAGAGCTGAGCACAAAACTCACACACGCGGGGAATCACGCCACGACAATGCAGGCCCCGAGCGAGGTCGAAATGACGCTACGAGATCTTCGGACTTGCGGGCTGCTCACAGGGAAAATCGTAACGGTGGTGTCACAGTTGGAGAAATGGACCGAAGCACATGCTCGGGTCTGGAGCGCCTATAACCTGCTTCACAGAGGCTGTCGCTCAATTGACGCCAGATTAGTCCAACATCTCTCCAGCACATGGTTGGAGCACGACGCCGCAGCTCAAAACCTGCTGGAACAAGTCAAGTCGAAAAGGTGCCGCTGGCTCGAGTTCAACAGCAGTCCAAGCATTGTAGGAGGGTCGCAAGTAACAATCCGAACACCTCATGGAAGTGATCATCCTCCTCGTATGGGTCGATCGCTAGCCAATACATCTGGTGAGTCATCCCTGAGACTGGCCCAACTGAAGAAGGCGTATATGCGAATGGAGGCCCTGGCTTCAAGGGTCAAGAGGAATGTATGTTCGCTATACGCCGCTCAAGCAGGACTGTATGCAGCAATACTGAACAGCAGACCGGACTTTTTCACCGTGGAGGACGCAGGACCGGCTGGTATCGATCTCGAAAGAGCCAAAGCGGAATGGGATGGCAAAAACGAGGCGATCTTCAGGCATCGCGTCGCGAAGATGCTGAGGGAGAGAGACAATGTCCCTGTCCCGATGTGGTCCATTCCGGCAGGGTCTTGATGTATTGGGGGGTCGAGAGGATGTCGTCTAAGCGGTTGGTGTCAATGAATGAACGCATGAATTGGCCCTAGACGGACAGCTCCGGCACGTATGGCTCGGGCAGAGATCTGTATAGCTGCGATTCATCCCCCGTTCCCGTCGTCGTCGTCGGCGGCGGCTTGTCTGGCTAGTAAGAGTGAGAAATGGGGAAGAGCTGAGTTGATAGATGGCGGCTAAAAGCAGGACGTGGCACCTGCTTGATTGGCGGACGGGGTGGAGATATGGATGCTCCCATTTGCTGTCACGCTGTGAGGGGGAGGGGGGATGCGGCCACGGGCACCACGGGGAGGTCACGGAGGGGCCCGCCCAGAGCTGCCAAGCGCAAGGCGGAAAGCGGGAAGCGGGGATTCGCGCATTTGTCTCCGTCGGAGCAAACGAAACTCTGAACTGTGCGCAGCTGCTCGCTTCCACGTTCCAGATTTCCCCCCCAAGGCACATGGCCGCCCATGCAATGACCTGAACCCATGACCAGCCATTGATCCGCTGGATATTGATCTCGTCCTCAACACCTGCGCCTTGCCATTCTGTACCACCTCCCATGCTTGAAGGTCCCAGCTGCGCTCCAGCTGTGCGTCAATGACCGGCCATGGCCGACACAAAGGATCACGCTCAGCAAGCTCCGCCGGAATCAAATCCGTCCCTGAGCCACATTCCCCGTCAACCCTCATGGACCGGCTCGGTCGACGACAATAACATCAACCCATCGCCACTGCACGGTCGCAAGAGGTCTGCCGACCACCTGCCGACGGAACCGCATGTTTCGCGCAAAGGCCGAGCCTGTCTGGCCTGTCGCAAGCTGAAGGTGAAATGCGACAGTCTGGAGCGAGGCGACTCTGGGTGCTCGAGATGTCAGCGCCTGGGTCTGGATTGTATCACCTCGAAGCGGATGAGAGTGAGTCTGGACGATGATGGCGAGAACCCTCACCCTTCAATTGTTCGGCTGGACAGAGCTGTGGAAGACATTCTCTCCCGGTTGAAGATGCCCCCGCTGGAGGCTTACTCTCGCACCCATCCATCCCAGCACCTGCAACCACCGCCACAGCCTATCCCTGCAGAATCCAATGCACAGACTACGCGGGAGAACTCACGCGAGCCCAATCAAGAAGATGCGCACGAAGTCGCTCCCGCGCCCATGGGCAGCTTGTACGAGGTCACTCAGCTCAACACCCTGCGGAGCCGCCTAAAGTATGGCGACCCGGCGCGTCGCAACTCCAAAAGGAACATGGAGAACGACTTGGTCGCCATGGGAGTTATCAGCGTCGAAGAAGCAGAGGAAATGTTTAGCTTGTTCAAGACCACCCTCTCGCGCTACCTGTTCGACGCCACCGTTCACGAGTCTCGCACACTGCTCTCTGTCCGCGAATCCTCGACTCTGTTCTTTACAGCCATCATCACCGTCACGTCGCTCCATATCCCAGGCAAGGAGAAGATCCACGCGTCCGCGCATAAGCACCTCAGAGACCTCATCGCCACTTCTTTCTTCGACCGCTTCCATACCCTTGAGGATATCCGCGCGCTATGTATTGCAGCCTTTTGGCTTCCAGACCTCAGCTGGAAACTTTCCGGACATTGCGTCCGGATGGCGACGGAGTTGAATCTGCATCAAGCCTTCTTCAAAGCCCTCTATTCGCAAAAACAGTCGGCCAGTGACCGCGAACATGCATTCGAGAGGGCCAGACTGTGGTATCTCCTCTATGTCCTCGATCACCATTTCAGCATCGCGTATGGTCGACCACCTGTGACGGCAGAATTGCAAGCCATCAAAGAATACGATGTCTTTCTGAATGCGCCGGAATGCACGCCGTCGGATCGAAGAGTTCTATCACAGGTCACACTGTTCATTATACTGAGTAAAGCGTACAACCACTTTGGCTTGGAGGCCGAGAGATTGATGGATGGCGACGATGTTACGCTTCTCACCCACCAGCGATTTATCGAGGATTTGCATCGGTGGAGATATCAATTCCGGCATGCATTGAACAGGGACACCCATGTGGGCGACTACCCTGCTGTTGGTGAGTCCTTTCCGCCCACTACGCTGTCTATATTTCCCCTGTCTAACCCAGGTCTTTCCCTTCTAGGTGTCGAACTCCACTACAACTTTGCGTCGATGATGCTCAACTCCCTCGCCTTACGAGGTCGTTCCCTCTTCACCATCTCCTCCACAGCAACCCTACCCACGTCCCTGCGACCACTTGCATCGCACGCGATCTCCTCGGCGCACCAAATCCTGATCATCGTCCTTGAAGAACCGTCCATTCGGGACTCGATGGTCGGGGTGCCTCTGTACTTGCACACCGTGATCGCCTTCGCGGTGGTCTTCCTGATCAAGATGTCGAGTCGGTGGACGGGGATAGGCGTGAGCATCGACGCAGAGGCCCAGACGAAACCGCTCATCGAGAAAGTGATTGAGTTGTTCAGGAGCTGCAAGGCTGGCAAGGGGCATATCCTGTACGCGATGGCCGACGGGTTTGAGAGATTGCTGAGGCGCAACCTGGTGGGCAACAACGGCCAGTTTGGAAGGACCGTTGGCGGCGCGGAAAATGGCACCGGCGCGGCAGGGTATGCGTCCCTCGACGCCGCGGCGGCCATGGGTGGTGGTGCGCGACAGAACGGCGGGCGAGACACGCCCTACGCCCAGCAGCATGCGGGCCAAGTGCAGGGTGGCCAACCCTACCAACCCGCGGATCTGTACACCTCGTCGTCCCAGACAAACACGCCCTCCCTCCTCCCGCCGCAACACACCACGACCTCGCCGACTCCGTTCACCCCAACAGGCGGCACGCAACAGCAGCAACAGCAGCAACAGCAACACTCCAATGGAGGAGCCGGGTTCGACCCCTACGCCCTCTCCCCGCACTCCCAGCCCACGTCCACCTCGGCGGGCACCTTTGGCGGCTGGCAGACCGAGGACGACATGCTCTGGAGCATGGGCATGGGTTACGACCTGCTGGCCACGGCCCCGGACGTCAACGCCCACGGCCTGGGCGCCTTTGTCGGGTGGCCTGGCGGAGGCGGCGGGGGCAGTGGCGGCGGCGGCGGGAGCATTGATTCGTACTCGCAGGGGTTGTGAGTCAAAAAGACCTCCTGTCTACGTGTGGATGGATGTATCTACCTTCATACCTTTCTGGTCGCTATATATACGCTGTATCTACGTATAGGTAGCGGGGGGGAGAGGGAACAGTCTTTTCGGTGTGTATGTGTGGTATGACAATGCTGTGCCCATGATCTATCTGGTCAGGCGAGGCTATGTAGGGGTGGAATCTAGTAGGATATGCCAGCGAACGATTAGCGAATGTGTAGTGCGAGCGAGCAAGCAAGCAAATGGTCACGGCGCGAATGACAAGGCTGGAAAAAAGGGACGGAATGGTGAATTGGAGCGCGAGAACAAAACGACACCGTCTTTGCCCATGCACGCGTTTGTTTACATTTCCAACCCCTCCACCCCATTCATTCATCCATCCACCCGAGAAGGTAAATATCCTATGTAATTACATGGTTTAGACCTGTGGAGAACAGTTCCACGCCGACACACTCGAGGTTCTTGCGGATGGAGACCGGAAGAAAGGGCCAGGTATATTCGCAACGTTATAGCGTAGGGTGGAGGCGGAATAAATGTGAGGTGAGAAAGAGAGACCGAGAGAAAGGGGGAGGATGAGGTAAACATCTCCAGCTAACGGGGATAGATCACGATGGGGGACCAGAAGCAAGAGTCTGAACAGTGATGGCTTTACTGCATATCCGGGGCTCTCGCGCCTCGTACTTCGCGCCTATGACGATGTCCACGCCCTTGTCCATGCCCATGACTTAAGTCTGGGCTAGGAGCAAGAAAAGGGGCTCTGGGATATGTGCGTATTGTAGCTGGACTTCTTCGGCGTTGGAAATCCCCAAAAGTCGCTTCCTCTTGACGCTCTGCCTCGACTTCGTTCCTTTCAATCCGTCCTCGGCTTCGCATGCGTCAAACCCTCCACTAGTTGTCGAGCTGGGTCCTCCGCCTGTGACATCGCTTTGGAAAGCATGCTCTCATTCAATCCCAGGGTGACACTGGGCTCTGAGGCAACGACTTCTGGGCAGATGCAGTGCCGTACAGTCAGGGTTCGTGCTATCTCCTGTGTTGCGACGAGGCCCGGTCGGAATTCGGTGGGTCAAGCTCAAGCCGTGAGATTTGCAGGTCGACCGCGCTGCGAACAATGCCTTCCCAGATGTCTGGAGAACGTGTGCGTTCAGCCTGAGGCCTTCTTGTCGATACTGATCATAGACCCCGGTAATGCCCATCTGATGAACGGGTGGCCAAGTGTGCTGAGCACTTGCGACGATTCACCAGGCTGATCCATCGCGACGGAAGTATGAGAAGCGTGCGACTGTGTAGAGCGCAGCGTGTATGTACGGCTCATGCAGGTAGGTGCCGTCGGTTTCGATCTCTTTCAGAGAACCATTTGCATGGACTCCATCGATCGGTATCCATGACCAGTTAATCAAACCAGGCAGACCAATGTGTATCAACCTTGTCCGCGGGCCTGAAGGCCAGATCCAGCTTCTGAAGTCGACGTAAAGATATTCAATATGCGTCCAATCTTCATACCGGCAATTCTGCATTTCGGCGACCGCTCGAGATTTTCTCGAGAGCCATCTGGATGTACGGACCCACGACAGGGATATTGCCGGCGAAAGATGCTATGGTCGCGAAGAAGTCGCCAAAGAGGACGAATATCCCGTACAGTTCAACCAGGAACCCAGTCAGTGGCCACCGGATCAATATGAGTAGTATGCCAGCCATAAATGCTGCGGTCCCCTTCAGTTTTTGACGGCGGGCGAAGAAGACAAAGGTCTTTTGGATTCCGATGATGAGGGTGAGGCCGATGAGGAAGAGGATCTGGGGTTCAATCAGCATGCAGGTACTGCGAAAGTTCTGGGCGAACAGACATTTCCCATCGCCAGCCTGTGAAGAAGTCAGTTATGTCGTCCAAGAGCCCTGGCTGAGAACACCTACATTGAGCGATCGAAGAACATGAGGACACCTCCGAACAAGAACATTCCACCTTTTGCCGATTAGTTCATGATTCCCGAACAATCCAGTCAATGTATTTACCTCCGGAGCAAAACGCGACACCAACCTCTGCGAATGGTCAGCCGCTTTCTGTGCGATCGAGAAAGGAGGAAGCAAAGGGCGCATACTCTGCATATCCGTGAGCCACATGCTGGGCATATCGAGTGTTCTGTTTGGAATTGTGTACTGAGGGGTGACGCGAATTTGCCTGAGTAGCGGAAACAGGGCTAAGTGAAGACAGGGAGGAACCGTGAGCAGCAGGAATATACGCGTTCTCTCGTCTAAAGGGGCAGGGGCTTGTAAATGCCAGCGTGGAGACCTTCGAAATTGTTGAGTTGGCCTCAAGGGGTGGACAAATGCGCAGCAGGAACGGATGAACTTCGGATCCGGTCCAAGCTTAGCCCAGCCTTGCGACCGTTCAGCCTCGTCCGTGCCACTGCTAGCTATCGAGACCAGACGAAGTCCTCCTCAAAGGCTGTTTCAGTCGTAATTCTGCTGGTCTCAGATAACACACGACGCATTGATTCATCGTTGCTTTGTGTGGTGACTGTCATTTTCTGCCTCCCCGGGTCCCAGGCGGCGAAGGTGCACCCGATCCAGTTTCACAAATGACCGCCAGTCCAAGCCTCGTTTGGCATCATCAACGCCGACACATCAGGTAGACTTGAGATATCGGCCATGTCGAATTCGAAGGTTGCATCGTTCCATATATTTGTTCCAGACAAGCTGAGCTCTTGAGAGCTCTGTAAGGCTGTTCGTGGCAACGGTGCGTCTGGGTTTATTGGGGATAGAAATTGAGTATTGACATTCAATTCTACATTGTCAGATGAGTCGCCAATGTCGACTATAGGTGACGAGGACACGGCATAGTCGAGGAGGTCCCACAACAGTGCCGTCTCGGCCTTTGGTGGGTTATTCAAGCCCGTATCGATCTGTGAGGTTGCGAACTGCGCAAGTCTAGAGAGCTTAGAAACCTGCAAAGGATTAGGATCAAATGACAAAGGCAAGGAATACACCAGACTTACAGTATGTAGCAGATGGCTGTGAGTGTTCGCCATTTTCTCAACATAGCGCCTCAGCATTTCGAAGTCTCTGGAGGCCTTTACTGCCAACGACTCATCCTTGGAGAACTGTAAGAAGAACTGTGTCGTTGCGATCATCGAAGCCAAGTGACCGACAAATGGATCGAAGACGGTAAAGTTCCTCTCCTCGCACAGTCTCAGGACAAGGACGACCCAAGCCGAGTGCAGCACAGCTTGGTCGGTGGCATGTTGGAGGAACGACGGAGAACGGAGTCTCGGCCGACCGGGGATCCTAGCAATATGGAGAAACGGGTGGTTTAGGGTACAGTGTATTGTGTGGTAGATGCACTGTGTGAAAACCCAGGGCGCCCAGTATCCACGCTGCTCTTCCAGTTCTGAAATTGTTCTGTCGTGGAATCGAGTATTCTTGAAACGATGGACCTCCGGGAGCACAGTTTCAAATCGAGACATCTCGGACTTGATCTGTTGATAGACTGAGTTGGCGGTCCATGCTTCCTCAAGCTTTCCCTCTCTGATGGTCCTCAGATAAGCCATCAAGCGGCCCCATATTGATAGCAGCTGTAAAGCGTACGAGTCGATACCGGCATCCTTCTCTTCCACACCTTCCAAGTCTGCTGACCTATTTGACAAGGCTAATGGGGGCCGTCTGCCCGAGGGCGGCATCTCAGGTAGATTTTCTTCGGTAGGGATGGCCGGTAGACTCCGAAAGCTGCTCCCGTGCATTCGGTCAAGAATGAACAGGCTCCAGCAACATCTGGATAGGTCGGTATTTGGAGAGACGGTTTTCGCTGTGCTGAACATTGTGTTTGAGCATATGGCCATTCGCACAGCCACCCCCAGAGCCATCCATGCCCTCATCGTCTTCCCATCTGCTCGATCCTCCGTTAGCTCTATACAATCCTCGACGGATCTTGACAAACCTGCGATCTCGCTGAGACATAGCAGACAGAAGGCCTGAAGAGCTTCCAAGTCACCAGTCGGCTCTGCCGCTCCGGCGAATAGTATCTCGGACGCAGAGTTCTTGTAGAACTCTACAGCACGGCTTTGGGCATTTCTGAAGAAATCGATGTTCGAATATCTAACGGTCAAGGCTAGGAAGCTCCTGAGAAGTCCTCTGGAGAATCGAGGCGCGCTGGACGGCAGGCTTTTGATGTCAAATAGAGGCAGAGGTTGATCGGCGATCCTGTCGATATATAACCTGACTAATACCTGGAGCACCTCGGGCGGAGGATCTGGTCTGCACTTGATCAGCATTGGAGTTGAGCACCGATTGAGGGACACAACCGTTGCAAAGGGTCGAATCTCGAGACACCGCCCTGAGAACTGATGTCGCCGTCGACTTCTCCTTGGGGCGTGTCGGAAGAGCTGCGGAGCAACTGCGTTGAAGTCCCAGGGAATCTAGCCGTCGACTGCCCCGATTGCAACTCCACAAGCGTGCTGAGACGTCAGTCGCAGTTTGAAGGCCTTCAAGGAACTCACAGACTTGACGACGTCCGCGATCTGCTCCATCCTGGCCTCGAGTCTCTGGACACGTTGCCGATCGACATGGCTCTCTTCCTACTCGGTTCGTGAGCGGCTTATTCCCAAGGACCTCGTAGAACAATCGCACATTTAATCGCCCACCTGACCTGTCTTTCTCGATGCGATATCCGCGGGTATCGCTGCTGCGTGTGTAGCTGCATTGCTGGTTGAGGCGGGTGCAGAAACTGCAGCTTGGTTGTTCTCCAGGACATCTCACTTTCTTGCGTCTACATGGATCGCAAGCCTGTCGAGCACGACTCTGCAAAGGACTGGTCTGACTCATACCCTGACCCTACCACCGACCTACCGCCCCGAGGTTGTTGTATACATGTTGAAGGGAGAATGAGACACCGGGGTTGTTCACAGTCGAGGACATGAAGTCGGAAGAATTTCCGTCATTTTATGGGATTCTATGTTCAGCCTTTCGGGTCCGACTTCGGCTCAACGTCGCATTCCATTCTCCATCTCCATCTTCTCTTCAGAACGCATTGGATCTAGCGACGGCAACATAATAATTGGGCAAGAGGAGCGAAATATTTCAGCAATATACGCGCTAATTCCAAGACTCCTGCTGCCGGCTATATGCTCGTTATCGCTCTCGCTCCAATCCCCAAGTGTCTGAGAAACGAGCATGAACAACTGTGCCAGCAATAAGATTACTTTTTGTTAACAACTACAGATTACCACGGGCCATCTGCTCCCTTTCGATGGCCTCGAACAAAGCCTTAAAGTTACCGGCCCCGAACCCAGAGAAGTTGTTCCTCTGGATGATTTCGATGAACACCGTCGGCCTGTCCATTAAGTGCTTGGTAAAGAGCTGCAGCAAATACCCGCCCTCGTCGAAGTCGATAAGGATACCGAGCTTTTTCAGGGCTGCAAAGTCTTCGTTCAGCTTCATGCCGGCGCTTTCCAGTCTTTTCGACATGGTATCGTAGTAAGTGTCGGGAACACTGATGAACTCGATACCCCTCTCTTGTAGGTTGGTAACCGTGGTGATGATGTCCTCGGTCCTCAGTGCAATGTGCTGCACGCCAGCGCCATTATAGAAGTCGACATATTCTTCTATTTGTGATTTTCGGAGGCCCTTTGCTGGTTCGTTGATTGGCATTTTGATTTTCTCGTCAGGACTAGCCATCACTACCGACTTCAACGCAGAGTAGTCGGTGCAGATATCTTTGTCATCTACAGACCAGAATCTATGAAAGCCGAGCGTTCTTTCATAGTACTCGCAAGCGGCCTCCATTTCATCCCAGTCTTGGTTTCCTGGAGAAGTCAGTACAAGAACCCTCCGAGCAGTTCGAAAATCCGACTCACCAACGCAATGGTCAATAACAGCCAAGTCGACTGAGGGAAGGTACTTGGCGGTTCTCTCGACCTTTGTTACCGCTCGATAACCTGGCAAGAACGCTCCTTGATACTTTTGTCGCTCAATAAGAGTATGAATGGTGTCGCCGTACGTTCTGATCGACGCGATCTTCGTCGTCCCAAAATCGTCGCTCCTGCTCTCGGGTGCTGCAACGGAATACGCACCCTTTGCAACGGCCGCATCGTATACTGCGGCGACGTCATCCACCTCGAAAGCAACATCGCGAACTGCATCCCCGTGGGTGGTCAGATGATCGTGCATCTCCTTCAACAGAGCTCGATCGTCGGAGGAGAGCCAGGGGACCTTCGAGTCAGGGCCATGGAGTGGCGAGCTGAGTACGAAAACGACTTCTCCGTTTCGAACGACATGGGAGGCGACCACTCTCGAACCAGTTTCTAGCCCCCGGTATGCGATTCGCTCAAAGCCCATCCGAGAGACATAGAACGCTGCCGCCTGTTTGGCATTTCCTACCCACCACGCCACATGGTCATACCCTCGATAACTTGCAATCTTCTTGGGGGTATTCGGCAATGACTGCACCGGGGCCGTGTTGCCATGGATCGACTTCTGCCTGATTTGGTGAGGTGGGACGGGAGTTGGGGCCACAGCACTGGGAGCCATTTCGAAGGTGGTTTGTTTTCGGGAGCTGACAGTGGTGAAGAGGAAGGAGAGCCTGCAACATAGATCAAGGAACCGAAACTCAGTGTCGACAGTCGTCTTATACCATATGGAACTTCTCATCTGGCGCACAGAGGAATACCTCAGTTAGTGTGGGGACGGAGGGCACAAAGGCACCTCCGGGCACAACTTCCGGCAATAAGCGAACATTGCCTCAACAAACAAAGGGGTATTTCTGAGCGGTGAGACTCGTACAGCTGTATCTCAACTTGAAGATATCGTACCCGCTTCCTATCATACGACGCAAGGTTATCTTTCCGCGGCTGCACTGGAGTAACCTCTCGCTGATAAGTCAACCAAGGACCATCCCCCGGTCCATCGACTTTCTTGCTGCCAGACGCACCTTCAGAATGGCAGCCCCTGGACTCAGCGCGAATGACTTCAGCGTCTTGTCGGCACTGTTCGACCCAGAATCCTCACTATCAAGCACTGTACAAGTCGACAACAGCAAGCGTGACGACCAAACACACAGCAATCTGAGAAGGCTCCGGGAACAGGAACGACTTGCACTGCGATCAGTTAATCAGGAACAGCCCCAACAGACCGACGTTGAGCACTCTATATCTCAGTTGACGGAAATCATCACAAATGCACCCTCATATGCCTCTGCGTGGAACAACAGGGCGCAAGCACGACGAATGCTCGTGAAGGACGAAGACCTTCCCAGGAGCCCAGACATTGTGGCTCAGATCTTTCAAGACCTTGCTCAGGCTATCTCACTTTCGACTCCAACTGGACCCAACACAACCCTTTCTGGCTTTGATGCAAAGGTTCTTGCATCAGCACATACGCACCGGGGTTATCTCCTGCTTCTGGCAAGCAAGTCCGAAGACAATCAAAAGATGCTAGCGGCGGTGCCACATCTCAATGCCCTATCGACCGAGGAGCTCGAGGAGGCGGCAAGCCGGGAGCTTGGGATCGGAGGCCGTTATGGAAATGAAACCGCACGGCAGCTAGCGGTGAAGACCAACCCGTATGCAAAGTTGTGTGGATCAATAGTGAGGGAGGCGTTGACGAAGGAAATATCGGACTTTTACCAACCTCACATAGCCTTGTAGGGCAGTAATGCATCAGAGTCTAGGCAGCGCATATGCAAAGCATGCTTCTTAGACACCTGTGATCCCCAATTGTGAACTGTTCTCTCTCTTTCCTGTCCTCGACCTCTGCAGAGACACGACTGACAACAATGAGCGCGGAGGGAATCCGCCATATGACGTCTCTCCGAAGATAAGCGAACGAGGTCGTGTCACAAGGCCCGAACGAAGGTTGGTTTGGGTCGAGCGAGGACGGCATTCGCGGTCCGTGCACGTGCTGCTTTGTTTGTGTGTCGCTCCATGCATCAAGGCGGATTGTGGACTGTGGGATCTGTGTTATCGCTGATCAAGGAAGTTTTGCACAAGCCTAGGCACGCACCACGCATCCAAAGGACAGATGGAGCAGACAAACCAAAAAGAGCACGTCTGACGCGTCTGACAGCATCACGCCTTCCTTTCCTCGTTCTCTCACTTCGACCTCATCACAACACCACCCAGAAATATTTATCCACCTCTGTGTCGGTATCTCTCATATCTATGAGACACCTGCATCAGCTGAGCGGATCCCAATGAGGTGCACCAATGCCTGAAAATCAGTGTGTTGGCGCCGCTGTCAGCATGCGCACCTGGTCGATGGTCCTTCCGCAGGAGGTTGAGGGAGGGGTGTTTTTGGCTTGTGTGCTTCACACTCGTCGTGAAGGCTATCGGAAATGACGGCGACAGACACCCCCATTTTCCACATTATCTACCTTCTTTCGCAACCAGAGCGTGGTGCAGAGAGCGCACGGTTTGCCTGAGACTAGGCCTGAATACTCAAGAGGGTTGGGTTGCCTGAATAGCCCGCCACGATATGGCCAATCCCTCGACGAGGTCATGGTGGCAATCGCTGACTGTGTCTAGGCGCGGCTCCGGCACAACGGCATAGACCAGGAAACGGCGCCTGGTATTGTCTATCATGGAAGCTTTGCTCGTATCCTAGCGTCCAGAACGGCGCAATAACGCTCCAATAGGGTGGCATCTTGGGCGCGTGTCCTGACAGTGTGGTCAACAGGGCTTGCGTCAACGTGCCTTGCAGCACACCGTCTGTTCCATTCCAACACACCCTCACCCGAAAGGTACCTAAGATTCTCGGTAAATTTAACGAGGGATGGAATGGCAAAGGAATAATGCTAAACGACGCATGGGCATAAAGAGGGTTCTCGGCGCCTAGACGTTTTCTTATGGCTGCCTCAATGGGCAGACCAGAAGACAGACGAACCGCATTGAACTCTTCCTTCTTCTGACTACCTTCTGAGTTCAAGCGGAAACCATGGCCATCACAGTCGCCGTTGTCGGCATGGGTCCTCTGGGGCTCATGGCGCTGAAGAACCTCAAAGAGGATGGGTTTGAAGTGTCCGGGTTCGAGAAGCGAAGCTGGGTGGGCGGGTTGTGGAAGCAGTCGTACGACTCTATGCTCTCGGTCACGGAGGGGACAGTCTTCAACAGCAGTCGGTTCCGCGCCGCCTTCTCAGACTACCCCTTCTCAGACGCTGTGGACGACTTCCCCACGGCGAAACAAATCTGGCAGTACATGGAGAGCTACTGTGACCATTTTGGGCTGCGGCCACATATTCGCCTCCAAGCCGAAGTCAAGACATTCTCGAGAATCCAGGGGAAATGGGCCGTCGAATACGTCCAGGATGGAACCAGCCACACCGACTTCTTCGACAAGTTGATCGTGTCTCCCGGCTCCTTCGTCCTTCCGCGGTCCCCAAAGTTGAAGGACATTGCAAAGTTCAAAGGAGACGTCCTCCACGCTATACAGTTCCCTCACCCATCTCGCTTCCAGGGGCAGAACGTCCTCCTGGTCGGATTTCACGCGACCGCACAGGATCTCGTCGTTGAGTTGGCCCAACACGCCAAAAAGGTCTATCTGGCCCACAAGAACGGCTTGCTCCTGGTAGGTCATACTGTTGCTCCCCTCAAGTTCAGTGTTTATGGCGCCATTGCTAAATGTGTCACCCCCACAGATTTCTCGCTATACGGCAGATGGCAAGACCTTTGACCAAGCTCTAACTGTGTCACTCATGTTCGTCCAAGTCTTCATGGAGACGTGGTTCCCTAGGCTGTGGACATGGGCCCTCACCAAGTGGCTCACGGTGATGTCGAAAAACGCATTTCCGTACCAGCCCAAGGAATGGAACCTCACGCCGGCGCCGTCATTAGCCACGACAACCCCTTTGGTCGCCGATGCGGTCTACCCTTACCTCGAGAGCGGCTTCGCGGAGCCCGTGTCGGCAGTGCAAGAAATCATCGGACCAAAAGCCATACGACTAACCGGCGGGCGCGTGCTCGACGACGTCGACTCCATCATCTACGCCACGGGCTACGAGGCCGCCGTCCCTTGTGCGCCCAAAGAATACAACCCGTACCCGGTTGCCGACGAGCCGCCTGTCTTGTATCGCAACATCTTCCCCCTCCACCCGGACGCTGACGTGCGCAACTCGCTGGCATTCCTGGGGCAGGGCGCCATTGTCCCAGTCCCAGGCTTCGTGCAGTTCGAACTGGTCACCATGGCCGTGTCCCAAATCTGGCTGGGCCGCTCGCACCTCCCGTCTCTGGACGACATGCTCAAGTGGCACCGCGACCACCTCGCCTGGCGCCGCAGCCTGGTGCGCCGGTCCAAGTTCATGACGAACTTCTACGCGGTCTTCATGCGCACGCCGGAACAGCTGCGCTGGCTGGACCGCACGGCCGGCACGGGTGTGTTCGCGCACTTTGGCGCCTCGCCCTCCACGCTCTTCAGCTGGCGCGCCTGGCGCTTCTGGTGGAGCGACCCGGCCTTCTACCGTCTGTGCAAGACTGGCCTGTTCTCCCCTGCCATCTGGCGCCTGTTCGACATGGGCAGGCGTAAGCCCTGGGCCGGTGCGAAGAGGCAGGTCATCGAGGACAATAAGATCGCAAAAGCGAGGCGTGAGGAGAGGTTAAGGGCGATGGAGAAGTTGAAGGGCGCTGGAAAGCCGGTTTGAGTCCTTTCTTCGAATAGCAGTAGGACCAGTTAAACGGAATTTGCTGGCGCTTTGCCTCGTATGTGGCGCGTGGTAATGATCTTTTTCAGACTCGCAGGTCCTAATGGTTCTCGCTGCCAGTTCTGTCTCTCCTTACGTTCCTTGATTGCATGGCTTTGTCGAGAATCGTCCCATGTATCGAAGGCGGTCACGGAAAGAAACAACCGCCTATGCGGGTCTCCTGGCGCTGAACTGCTTGTATATTGACCGGAAAAAAGCTATATAGAATCCTCAAACGCCGCATGCCCTTTCCTGAGTCATTTTCTCGCTCCACGCAATCTAGCCAGCACAAATTCAGTTCGGAAACGATACACCCCAGCCGCATGGTGCCGATTTCGCGGCTCAATTTCTCAAGGCTCGCAATCTGTCTCCCAAGCCTTCTTCCAGCTTCGCCCTCTCTGCAGTCTCATTTGCCGGTAGCTCGTGTTCCGGCACATTCTGCTGCATTTCCTGGGACAGCTCAACCCCCGCTTCGTCGGCGACCCTGCTCATCAAGGCCTCGACCTCGCTCTGCCCTTCGACGCCGACTTGTTGACTCTCGACACCGCCCGCTACGCCTTCGTAATAGCCCGAAACCACGTCCAGATCTTCAAACTGTGACTCGAACTTCTCCATCACGGCCCCGATCTTTTCCAAGTCCATGTTCTTCAGCGCGGCGTCCATTCCCTTGACCGTCTGCGCCATCGACGCCGTCACCGTGCGCATGGTTATGGCTGTTTGGACACGGGCGGCCACGGCGTCGATTCGGGCAGCCAATGTAAGGAGCTGGATCCTTTGCTGCGAGTTGCGGACCGAATTCGTGGCGTACAGTCGGGCGATCTGGGGTTGGGGCGGGGTTTGAGTCAGGGCTTTCTTGAGTTTGGCCTGTTCGGCACGGGAGTCTCGGTCGGCTTTGGCAGCTTGCCTATTGAGTTGCTTGGAGGTGAACTGGCAGTAGGGTGGTCAGTTTAAGGGTGTTGGAGAGAGCAGTGGTGGTTGAGGCCAACCCGCCCGCAATCACTGGTCAGAGGGCAACCGTGCAGCTTCCAGGTCGATTGACCCAGTACTGAGAACATACCTTCAAGTTGAAAAGGGCCTTTTCGAGGCCAGACATTGTGATCTTGAGCGTAGGAATATCTCACAAGACCGACACACGACTGCTGTTCCTTGCGCGGATACGGCGGCTAGCCGTTCAGGCGAATTAGCGCAGATAGAGCGGTTAGCTGTATCAGGAGGTTGCGAGGGAAGAAGTGTCTTCAGATCTTGGTTCAGGAGAGGTCGGATTTGTGAAATATAGGCAGTAGCGGGAAAAGTGCGATGTAGGTGGTCTGGAAACAAATGATGTGAAGCCTGGTGCAAGTTGCAGCGAGGGCAGTGGATGACGATGGCGGGGACTTGCCAAGGCCCCTCTTCTCCGATGTTTAGCCGGAGAAGGTGTTGCGTATTCAGCCTCGTCAGTAACACTCGGTGGATACAAGCGGAGCCTTGCCAGTCAAATACATATCAAGAGAATGCACACATTCGCTCCGCTGATAGTAATCCGCAGCACATCAGTCGTGGCCTAAAACTCTAGTAGCTGAGTGACTGTGTGGCTTTGACCTGACGAATTCCATGCGCTTTTAGTTGTATGGATCGACCACACGAGAAGATTCGCCCCCCCCCTCTTTTTCTTGGGACAGCCGCGACAGCTTTGTTGCCATTACTGAGCCGTAAGTCTTTATACTTCTACGAATGAGCTCCCTTGAATAGCATTGCCTAGTCTCTGTGGTTTCCATCGTCTTTTTGTACGCTAATACTTCACCCTGTCTGTTTGTGGTATGGCCATTCCACTGCGTAGCCTTGCATTTCATGTCGTTCGATTCCTCATTGATTGTGAAATCCTATTCGAAGATTCCTTGTTCACTAATTGTATCAGTATGTCTCTGCCTCAGCCCCGGCATTCTACTGCAACCAACTGTCCCTGCTCGCAGTGGCTGCTACGAGCCCCCACTCCGGAATCCCTGCCTCTCGTTGAGCCCTCCGGAATCGTTTTCGGAATTTATTTGGTTTTTCCAGATGACGAGACACCAATTTTCCGTTCGCGTCATAGTACCAAATGTTTTCTCCATCGATATATGCAGGGACCGTGTCCTCAAACGGTCGCTGTAGAAGTGCCGTGCGCAGGATATCCCGTATGGCGGAACAATCAAATCCCTCAAGATTTTCGCAGAACTGCTCGATGTGCCGCCCACCCCAGAGTCTCCCCATGTTGGCTATGGCGAAGAGCATTGCGTCTAGGATCCTCTGTGCCGCTTTCTGTTCACAGTCCTCTTGGCGGTGCCGCTTCAACCGGAGGATCCCAAACCCGTAATCGTACTCGCCTGAACTAGTGAATTCGTGAAGAGTCGAGATAATGCTTGTGTGAAGCTTAACTTGCTTGCAAAGCAGAACGGCAGCGGCCAGCGATTTGCTAGCTTCCAAAGCGGAATGAGGCCTAACAGTCAGCATGTCCCTCAAACAGTCCACCCACTCCTGACAGAGGTTCGTCTCCCAGTTCAATACCAATGCTGCAGCAATCGCTTGAAATTCTCTCTCAGAATTCACAATCACATTGATCAACGGCTTAACGAAGACCGGTCGACCATAGATATCGGATAAAGTCGGCCCGATACCCTCATATAACACGGCGAAATCTTCGACTAAAGAAACGAAGGCATCGATGACCTTCGAGCGGAGGCTTTCTTGTTTGGTGATCAACTCTCCTAGCTGAATGAGGTTTCCGATCTCGCGCAAAGAGTGCTTAGGTCCTTCACGAACCTTTATTTCCAGCATTTCCGTCCAAGCTTCCACCACATGGGCCGGGAGATTTTGTTGTCCTTCAAGGCCGCTAATAGCAATTGCAAAATCATCTTTAGCGCCCTCTTCAGCACCCTCCAGAGGGGAATCGTAAAATCTCCGTGTAATTTTATCTATGGCCCATTCAAATGCCTCATTCACAAGTTCAAGCTGTCCTTTGAGAGCGCGGACAGCTTTCCTGGGGTAGATTGCGCACAAATCACGAATTGCATCAATGACATCCGGGTGAGGGGGATGGTGCCGACCCAACGTATAGTATATGCCAATCTCATATTTCCTTTCTGTGCAATCTACGCCCAGCATTTGTACGAACATCCTCAAGATTTCCACTGGTAGGCTGCGGTTTTGGTCGTTCAAGGCAGAGACTATGCGGCCCATTGATTCGGCCCAGTACCGTCGGTTTTGCTGTATGTGTGTGATACTCAATTGAAGGCATGTTCCCAACTTTTTGATATCGCCCGGCAGCAACTTGGAACAGTTTATATAGAATGGTATCTTCGGAGGAAGAGTCTCTCCTTTTCCAGAAATGGCATATTCAAAGTAGTCCAACACTTTAGTAACAGCTTCTGGATGAAGGTCAATCCGTTCCCGTAATATTTCATAAGAGCCTGTACGTGTGGTGCACAAATCATCGATCGCGAAATCAACCGTTTCTTTAGGAAGTTTTGACTGATTCTGCAAGATAGAGCACGCTGTTCCCCAATGACCTGTGTGACCAGGTCTCAGCCAGCCATCCAGCTCTTTGATGGTGGCATCGGACAAGTGTTCCTGACGTTCCAGGATATATTGTGCAACTTTTCGCTTATCTGTCTTTGATCGTATCTGCCCCATGAAGAATGCCTCGACATCTTCTGGTAGTTTCTTTTGACAGAGGATTGCTAGTAAGAGATTAGATTCCTTTAAATTCTCCACCACATCTTCGATAATACTAGGAGGTAATGGCGCCAGAATGTAGGAATAATTCGAAATATATTCGGCAATCCATTTGTTGTCTGCGGCAAGCTCCAATATGCGACGGATACTCTTCTCAGAGAGTGGCGTTCGCGCGGAAAATTCCTGGAGGAGCAGACTGACACTGATATTTTGTTTCTCGGGTTGGAGTGCTAGCTGAGACAGCTGGTCATAAAGAATACTCTCTGGAAATGCAGGAAAGGCACCAATACGGTTCAATTTCCCAAGGCCAATCTCTAGCAAGTTCCATTCTGCGAGTCTCTTTTGAATCGTGGCCCTAAAACTCTGCTCAATTCGGTGCTGGCACTCGCTCAAGCAGTGCATGGTCAGATGAATATGCTGTGTACCGACAATATCTCTTGGTTCTTGGTCCAGAAGTTTGAAGAAGTCATTTACGCATCTGGCGTCCGACAGACTGCCAGCGACGAACCTCCAGACAATTTCGTATCGACGGTTGTATTTGTGCCTTTGCAGATGAGCCTTGAGGCGATCGCCATCGCGAGCCAAATGTTGAGCTGCAAAGAACTCTTGGAACGTGAGATGAACGAAACTATGCCTGTGCCTCCGACTATCTTTCGCGCGGGACGAACGAAGAAGAGAGAGCTTCCGGAGGTTTCTTTCTAAGCTGAGAGGTAATTGGGTCCCACTTGTTTCCAATCGTCGAATGGCGGCGGTGATATCTTTGTCCGTAAACTCCAGGCGATCTGACTCCATCATGCTGATGGCTATCTCTCCCAGGACATCGCTTTCAGCCCGAACCAATCGCTCCAGGCGGGTCCCATCCTGCAGGGCATTAACGATATCAGGGGTCACAGGCTCGCCGTGGTCCACTTTGCCCAACTCTGGGATATCTTTGCGCCATAGTGTGCGTATAACAGCCTGATATAGAACCGTTATTCCTTGTGGACCAAGGTCCTCTTCTTGTGCATCCTCTTCTTGTGAATGCTCGTCCTCGTCTTGTGAATTAGGCTGTGGTGTAGCGCGCCTACCCTGAGGATCGCCCTCGCCGACCTCAGAGCAGGAACGCGGTCGACTAATGCTGTCGCACCCTTGTGCTATTGGAGACCTATGGGAGCGTTTCAGACGTTTGTTCTCACGCTCCGATTCAAGCTCTCCTTCAGGTGCGTCTCGCTTTTCAAGGTTACTTGCCTTCTGCCACTGAAGTTCGTTCCAGCTGTAGCAGATAATATCCAGGATGATAGGTAATTGAACGATTCCCTTGACCAATGGATGTCTTTCGATGAAACCCCGAATGTCAGCGGCCGTGCCATTCGGGACAATTTGAGTGTTTTCCAGATATGCTTCTATACTCTCCATGCTGAGCCCTAAAGCTTCGAGCTCGAGATCAACCGGTAAAATATCATGGTCGTAAGATCGTGATGTGATGATCACATCTGGTCGACCCATCAGCTTCTGGAGCAAGGCACGTTTACTCCGTGGCCAATGTTGAGCTTCGTCTAGACCATCCAGAATAATCAGGAATCTGGCATTCTTTTTGTTGGCACCTTCTCCTTCGGCACTTTCTTCGCCTAGAATCAGATTCGCCAGATATTTTGACATGTCGCTGCCATTCGCAGTAACGCGAAAGTATTCGTCAAACAACAGACTGTCCAGACTAGTAAAGTATTCAAGTTTGCGTACGGGGACTCGAACCACCAGGTCAAACATTAGGCGTAAGCTCTCATGCCAAGAGTACTCATACATGATGCGTCTGCATAGCGTCGTCTTTCCAACCCCTGGTCTGCCTTGGATAAAGATTCGTTTAGGTTTGATCTTCGTACCGCCCTCTAGTTCTCTTTCGTCAAAGAGGTTGTGTAACGGCACGGTTTCTCTCTCCGCATCTCTAGAAGTTGATCGTACAGCCACGGCCAGCATGGTGTCGTCTAAGCTTTCTGGTAGTATGTCTCCGGACACTCGTTGCATTGATTTGCGATCGATCATGGAATATAGATTCAGAACATCCCGAATGCCGTCTCTGGTTACGGGTCTGTCCATCATCCAGCCTTGCTTGGTGTTGATCAGATCATCCAGAGCTTTCAAAAGGATGACTTCTCGTTGGGTATGGTACTCCTCAGGTTTCAACGTTTCTTTTTCCAAGAGGATTTGAAATTCCTCAAAGCAGCCGCGCAAAGCCTCAATCAGTGGCCTGTTTTTCTCAAACGTTTCAAACATCAATAAGATCTTGAAGAAGAGGTCATGACGCCCAGACAGTTTTGGCTGATGCTCCTCTGTTTTTTGTTGGCCCTGATCCCCTGTTTGGAGTTGATTCTGCTCCTTTGTTTTCGGTTCATTCTGCTTCTCCATTTTAGGTTGATGTTGCTGTCTTAGCTCAAGCCGAAGCTGAGAAGCTTTCGTGTTTGCGAACTGCGCTTGCCACCGCAGCTCAGGACAATTTTCATTGTCGAAAAGAATGATGGGAATTGTGTAATTATGGTGCACCGTCTGATTTCTGAAGCGTAAAATCGCCATTTCGGTCAAAACATGGTGGAAATCGTCTCCCATGATTTGAGAGTACCGTTCCTGAACACTCCGGACTGCCTCCCGCAAGTTCTCCCAGAATTCAGCTTTGCCACTTTGTGATTCAGGTGCGCTATGTTCACCGTCTTTGCAGGCCTTGCAGACCTCGGTAATTGCTTCGGAGTATGTCTGGTTGTGGTCATTGTCCTTGAAGTTGCGCTCAAACAGCATGTACTTGGCAAGTAATTTGGAGTAGAAGACCAAGACATAGTCTACATTACGTCCATCTGATATCTTCGGTAGCAAGCAGATCTGATTTTCGATAATGTCAACACTTGCTCCTCGGTGGGCAGGGTTGATAACCGGGCCATATCCATGTGGTGATTTATCCGAATCCACATTGAGGCGAGCTTTCTTGAACCAGGAAATATAGTCTTTCACTACTTCTTGGTGTGCTTTGACTTCAGCCTTGTCGTTCTCATGGGCGTAGATTACGAAGAACTTGGGTGATTTTCGATAGACGCCAAGCTGTTGCAATATCACGAGGATCCTGTCGAACGCTTCCTGAACAAGCTCTGATTTAACTTCCTCGCTCAGAACCTTCTCATCAGTCGGTGTTGTCCCACCTTTAGCGTGGCTTACGGAGTCCATTGGTTCAGCCTGATCGGTGTCCTTTAGCAGGGTCTATCCGCTCGATTTCGATGCTGTTGTTTCATGGCCAACGCGCTCAGGACAAACGACAATCAATATAATGGAGAGAAGGTGATTCAGTGACGGCGACTTGGGCTTTGAAGACGTGTAAATGAGGGGCGAGTAATCATTACCCCGCCACCAACGCCAAATGCATCCGGGCGCTCTGCACCTGACTGCGCCCGATTGCATGCAACTGGACGCCACCAACACAGCCCTCGTTGAACCGACGTGGCTTGTGCAGAATATTTGGTCGAAATGTGATTTCACGCTGGCACACAGGCATTCGTCAAAACGATTACTATGGTAGTCCAAACAACCCGACATAAGGCTGCCGCTGTCCCTGACCAACATGTTGAGCGGCTGAAAGCAATCACTGGATCGAGAATTCGAAGCAATTTCAACAAGCCGTCCCTGAAGTAAATTCACTGATGGGTGCATCCAACGACTTATCAAGCCAGTGGCAGAATCCTAAAGATATTCTCTCTCTTCTTCTCTTGATTGGCGGCGACATTGTCCAAAAGGCAATTGCACAGCTGTTCGGAGTCTATGTTGAATTGGTCGAGGGCGGACCGCGTATTTACCTTACGCCCGTCGCGTTCTCCTTCGGCTGGGTTGGCTATGCCTTCATATCCCTAACCTCCGTCGTCGGGGACAAGCAGCTGATGCCCTCTGATGCAGAGACTCAAGCCATTGTCATTAACTGCAGCAGTGGGTACTCGCGGACCAACCGCTCCTGGCTATTAGCGCGTATCATCCGCGACCACGAGCTGAACGTAGAGGACAAGAAGGGCCCTGAATATGAGAAATTGAAGGACCCGTGGTACAAAAAGACAGCCGGCCTACCCCAGGACGCCGAGCCGCCTTTCGTCTCACTACGCATCGACATCTTCGACCTCGAAGGAGAATCAGGCCCGTCCATCGACTTCGTCTGGGCTCTCAGCTGGCTGACGATTGCCGCCCAGCTGGGCTTCTCGATCATCCCGCTGGCACTATACGATGATTGGGCCATCTTTCTGGTCACTGCCGCGGGCACGCTACTCGCTCTCTTGACCGGCAGCCTGCGTCAGTGGAACAGGGAGAAGTGGCCTGGCCGGAGGCTGAATAAGTCTGAGAAACGTGCCAACAACCGACTGGACAAGTGGAAGAAACAGTCTACATCAGCTATGGCCTCTTCAGACCCAGAGGGAGGTACAGGCGTAATCTCTAGGTTTCCCCCTGTGACGCCATCATCTCGCCAGCCTCAGCCTGACCTTCAGTCCAACTCTAACCCGAGGGAGAAAATTGTCTGCCTCACGCGCGGGGGCGGTTATCGCTATGCCATGATCCTTCGCTGTTCCAAGTTAGCATGGGACCTCGAGACCCTTGCTACCGCCACCTCCGAGTCCCTCCCAGAAACGTCTTGGTGCCTCGTAGGCCTAGCCGCCCTGTGGATCTGCCTCCTCATCTCCGTCTCCGGGCTCCAGTCCAACACTTGGTACTTGCTCCTCATTGGGGGCGTGGGCATGCTGCAGAACATATACGTGGCTTCGGCCCGCCGCGACCCGGCGGCCCTGGGCCTGAAGATGAAGCCCTATGAGAAGAGAAAGACGATTATTGGTTCACAAGTGGATGAGAATGAATTCTGGCTCAAGCCCAGCCTAGCGGAGCCGCCGGACGACGAGCTCGTGAGAGAAGGGCCACCGTATCTGGAGCCCTGGAAGACCGCCGCTGTGCGAGGCGCGATAAGAGAGCTGGAGAAGACAATACCGAAAGCCGGCATGGCGCTCATGCCAGAGTTCTTCCCCGCGTTGTTGAGGATGGAGAAAGAGAGGTACAGGGACGCGAAGGAGACGAGGTTTTGGCAGTTGATGTTTGACAACAGGTTTCCAGCCGCCGAATCGCCCACGACAGACGAAAAAGCCGGCTCGTTACATTGAAATGCAGGACAGTAATACCTACTATTCAAAGGGAATGGATGACTTGGGTGTTTCTCATGATCTATTCCTGCCTATTAACCTCCGAGTGTTGTGGATGCGACTTCAATACTCAACACTATTCAGCCCGCTCGTCGACTAGCTATCCCATCCTGGAGAATTTCCCCTTTCCATTGATTTCTGTCACGGATTAACGATCGAATCTACGAGGGCGGCTGCGTTGGCCAGCGCTTCATCTGCATATCGGTATCCAACCAGCTGCACGCAAATAGGCGCGTCTTTATAATCTTCGGGTCCCGTATCTGTAAGGTGAAAAATGTCAGCAGCTTGTCAATCTCGACGAGAGGGGGTGATTTGCATACAAAGGCTATACATGCGAGCATCTTCCTCGCCGTATTTCGCATTGCTGGGCTCATCCGCGACGTCAGACTCGCAGACCGTATCAACAGGGATGACGACGGCTGGGTAGTCGAGATAATTCCACAGGCCGGTGTAACTGGCCGTTGTCCATTTGTCCAGGGGCACGGCGGTGTGCTGGGCCGGCGGCATCAAGATGGCGTCGATGGCGTTGTCTCGGAAGAGCTTGAGGTAGTTGCGTGCTGCTTCTTGGCGACGCACGTTGAGGGCGAAGAACCCGCGGAGGTCGGTGCCCGGGAAGGTATTGATGCCAATGGCTTTGACTGAAGGAACTTCGGGCTCGCCCGTTCGTGCGAAGAGCTCAAGGTAGTTCTTAAGATGGAAGGATTTCCGTTAGATCAATTTCCCAGTTTAGCACCCGTGGACCACATCGACACTTACTTCGCTTCCCAACAACGTCCAGTACTTGATCAGGTCGATATAGTGGTCTTTGACATTGGGCAAGACAAGAGGAATAAGCTCGATATTCTCGTTTGCTCGGAGAAGATCCGCTGCCTTTTCGAGTCCTCGTCGAACCGGTGGTGAAGGCGTGTAGATACCGTCGTCCAGGACGAGGCCTATCCGAAGCTTTCGCTTGGGCTCGAGATTCACCCACGGCACAGAGATCACAGTGCTGTCATACCGCCACGTTCCCGCCTGCATGGTGGTTTTGAGGAAAAGAGCAACATCCCGGAGAGATGTCGCCATGGGGCCCGCCGACGAGCGCACCCCATCCGTTCCAGGGGTGGTGAGGTCCCTCACGCCCCCGTGTGGCACCAAGCCGACACTGGGTCGAAATCCATAAAGGCTGTTGCAGAGCGAGGGGATCCGAATGCTCCCGCCAATATCGGTACCGACACCAAGCACGCTACCCCGAAGGGCAAGAAGGGCGCCCTCGCCGCCGGTGCTTCCACCTGCCGTCAACGCCGTGTTGCGAGGGTTCAAGGTCCTGCCGAAGACATTGTTGTCGCTATCGCCGGTCATGATGGTCTGTGGAAGATTGGTCTTGCAGTAAAGCACAGCGCCCAACTCCAGCAGCATGGCGGCGGTCCCACTGTCCTCGTCCGCTGGCTCGTTGACAAAACACGCCAATCCGGTCGACGTATCGTACCCCGCGACCTGGAAGCTGTCTTTGAGCGAGATTGGGAGGCCGTGGAGCGGGCGGAGCGGCTTTTGAGGATTCTGTTGCCGTTCGCGATCAAGTGTGCGCGCTCGCTCGATGGCTTTGTCGAAGAAAATCTCGGTCAGGCAGTTGGTCTGTTGCACCGATTAGTCTCGATGCCTCGATGCCTCGAGACGAAGAAGAAGTCTACCAACCAGCTGATGAGCAATGGCTGCCCTCTTGCAGAAGGCGACCGTGACCTGTTCCGCGGACCAAACTCCATCCTTGAGCTTCTCCAGAAGCGCGGTGGCGTCAAAGTCGGAGGTGATATGGCACTCGGTGTCGCTCAAGATGCCACACGTTGGTGGTACCTGCATGAGGTTTGTGACTCCACGGTATCGATCTGAGGGAAGCAGCCATTCTTTGGGGATCTTGCTCTGGCGTTCCAACTGCTTCTCCACCGCGATGATTTTGTAGTTCCTGAAGACCTTGGCCATGCTGTTCGTTTCCTTCTTCCGAAAGTGCGATGGGCTAGTGCTTGAATGCCTCTGCTATAGATTGGACGGCCTCTGCGGCGTATTTATATTTCTCTCGTGGTACAAAAAGCACTTTGCAGGGAGGAACTAAGCATTCAACTCCCTTCGTGAATTCGCCGGTTCCGGTTCTAAAAATGCTCATGCTGCTGAGATGACAGTTGGATTCAGGCCCGACAACGACTCCCGAGGACCAGCCCCTATACCTGTCCCGTCATCGCGATTGTGGGAATGAGTCGATAGTGGGTATTGGATCATGCTTATTGGGTATCTGTTGTAGGGCTGCGTGGATGGTACGATCCTGGTGGCAATATCTCAATGGCACATCCATTGGCATCTCCTCGGTACGGGGTAGCATTGGGTCTGCCGTGTAACAAAATTCCAGATCTCTCATCCCTGGGTCTGTGTCGAGTTCCATAGAAACGATCTGAAACAGTGGAAGTAAACCCTCCGGTCAACGTTCCGGTCGACTGTGGATCAGCGGCGCATCGGCAGCTTGGCAGCTTGGCAGCATGAGCACGGTAGAATGTGCTCAGCCCTCACATTGGGACCAGCCCCAACCATCCTGAAGAGACCGAAACTACACCACTCTTTCCGTCTTCATACAAGTGGCCAGGTATTCATAGCCACAGCGCTCGTAAGAATCGCAATGATGGCAGTGTAAACTATACCACTCAACGAAAGATCGAGTCTGACGCTGGTGCTTATCTGATTCCCTGTCGAAGCGGCTGCTGTTGCTACACCGAACATGGCTGCAGAGGTTTCGCCTGTGCCAACTGCAATCGTCGTAACGGCAGAAGCAACCGCCACTGCCCCTGGCACCGAGTCTGACCCTGTCGTGATTTCGCGGATGGTGGATGAGGTTGCGTTGAAGACGGTCTGGGCCAGCGAGATCTCGTTGTTGGCCAGGTCGTAGACCACGTACGCGGAGCGCAGAAAGGTGTCGCCGAGAACGGCGGTGCTGGATGAGCCCAACGGGGCGAGGCCCAAGATGCAGGCTTCCTCGCCGTTCTCGAAACTCAAGGGTTGCCCGTTGCTGCTGGCGGCGGTGCCGAGAATCAATTCGTCAAACGGCACCTTGATTGTCTTCCCAGAGAAGGTAAAGTCGATGGTGTTATCGGAGCTGCTGGAACCCCCGCCACAGGCGACGTACGCATAGCCCTCTGAGGACGAATAGGTGGCGTCCATCTGGCTGTAGATCTCCTCGGCCAGCGCGTCGGGAAGGTAGCTGAGTGTCGAGCCGCTGTCGAGGACCACGCCGGTCGGCAGAGACGAGGACGAGGAGAGATCCGTCCCGTACACTGAAATGCCGGTGAGGGCGACGGCGAGCTCGGAGTAGCCCCCGTCTGATTTCAGAACAGGAATTGTGGCCAGCTCGCCCGAGTACTTGTCTGTATCGACCCCGCCGAACAGAATCTCTCCCGTGTTGGCATCCAGATCATTGAGCCAGAGAGAGTAGGCGTTGGAGGAAATCTGACCGGCAGCCACCAAGGCCTGGGGCAAATTGGCATATGTGGAGCCTGTTGTTCCATCTTCACTTTCGTCTGTCATGTAGCCAATGCCCATAACATTGTTGTCGGCTGTCGAGGTCTCCCCAATGCCGAATTGGAAGGAATCCAGCGTGACGCTGCCAAAGTGAAGGGTGTCTGTGGCGTAGATGCCGGAAGCACTGGAGCCATCAGCGTAGGTCAGGTCAAAGTTGGCGTTCGCAAACTTGTAGGTCGAAGAGGAAGTCCGGTCGTATGTGCCACCTTGGCAGACGTCTTCGCTGGACTCGCAGTACGTTGAGTTGGCTTCATTGACCCATAGGTCCGAGCTCCCTGTATCGAGCTGGACGCGAAAAGATTGCTTTGGAGTTCCGAGACTGATGTTTGCATAGTACAGCGTTAGTTCGTTGTCTAGTGTGGCTTCCACAGTTCCAGTCCGCCGCCTTAGCCGCGCGCGGTCACGCGTGAGGACATCTGGCACCGAATTTTTTGCGATCGGAAGGCTCAAAACTCGAGGGCTCGACCGCACAGCAAGTTGAATCGAAGATATCAAAGAAGCGGACAATGCAGTAACAGCCACAGATGCTGTCGACAGTCTCATCTCTGGAGGCACAAGGTAGAATGGCTGGGTTAGGTCAGCATGAGCCGAGAAGAGAAATTAATAGCAGCTGCAGTTTTGAATGGCTTGTGGAAAGGTAAGAGGACAAGTGGTAGATCTATATGTACTGCGAATAGGCTCTCCGTAAATAAATGCATGTACAGTCCGGGTATAGAAAGCAGATAAAGAACGTGGGCAGCGAGAAACCGAGTGCTCAAAAGGTGACCGACTGGGCTGTCGTCATATTAACACGATATTCTGCGGTCAGAATGCGTGTCCAAATGAGCTGAAGGTCGATGGTGAGTAGGGTATTGAGAGGAGTGGCCACGACGACGGTCGAGGATGTATGGAACTCGAAACGCGTAAATGTGGGCGCGAACATGGTTTGGGTCAGCCTGTAGGGGGCCAGCCTCAACGACGTACGTATGCAACTCTTTAGTTGACGGCGTCTGTCGTAATCTCAAGGAATAACATGACCGATTGCTGAAGAGAGTACTGAGATAAGGACTCGTAGGAACTTAGTTTCCTGGTTAAATATTCTGCATGTGTCAGGACTTGGATCTGTGCAGTATGGTCAGGATATCTCCAACTAGATGGTTTACAAACGGATGCTTCTTCAACTCTCAAGCGGGCCTAGCATCTTTCTGTAATTGCTCATAGGGTGTCCAAAGTTTCGATTGAGACAGGAGAAATAGTCCTCCTGCTCTTGTTCCTCCACGCTTCGCACTTCTCGCGACTCGGGTTAGCGAAGGGGGCTCTCTTCAATGCTACGACCACAGGTTTGCGAAAAACGCTGCAGAGCCTCGCCATAGACTCGAATTCGTCACCCATTACGTCTCCTTTACGTGGACATGCTGGACGCTATTCCTAATTTCCGAGCGTTCGCAGTTATTGCGATATGCTCGCAGGCCTGAATAACAACACTCACCCTTTATCTTGGGATGTTGTATAAGTAACCAGATAGATACTCGTTAGATTACGGCCTTCAAAGTACCCGACATGATAGATTTGACAACGCAGACCATCTGTGGCTCAACCCAGCTGCGAAGTAATGGACACCAGAAGTGAGCCGAGGACGTTACTAGCCCAGCGGCCCCAAGCATCAGAGTAAATTGCGGGTGTAAGTACGTGTACATAAGACGCGTCAGCTACCGGCGAGGCTGTGGAGCATAGGCACTTACCTGATTGTATCAAGTCCGACTCGCGTGGATCTGCAGCCTCGGCAACCTTAGTGTCACGAATATGTCCCTAGCTCGCTTGGGTTGGCGTCCTCCTCTCCTCCTTTACACCTCTCCTTTGTCGGATAGCACGGGATACGTTATCGACGTTGTGTTCCAGAAATAGCTTGTGGGGCTTGGAGGTGCGTAAACTTCCTCTATCCGTAAAGTGTTAACGCTGGTTTGGCTGGATGCAGCGCCTTTAACTGGGGTCAAACCCCTTCTCACTTCCGTTTGTGGCAACGTGAGTTCATCCCTTTCAGACATGGGCCAAAGTCGATACCCAGGTGTTATTACAATGGTCGCCGTTGATCCTCTGTTATGGTTGTTGTTGTGGTCGGTGGAGATGTCATTTGTTGGACAATTTCTCTTCTGGGACTTATATTTTGAGCGTTGTCGACCAAACACCCCGTCAACTAGATTGTGGGAACATGTTATGGGGACGGATGTCTCATCCAGCTCACGCAGGACCAGCCATTCGGTTAAACTGGAGGATTTCGGTGGAATTCGCCTGAACTATTCTCTCTTCTTGCTTCTGGGGGCAATCTGGCTGGTCCGGGTCGGTCATGGCTTGGAATATGGCGGACCGGAAGAACAGTTCATTAACCCAACTGTGCGCCTTTCCCAGCCTTCCTGGAAAGGTACAGGACTCTGAACTCATCCTTTCGCTCTCTTCGTACGCAGCACCGAAGTCACTCGTTTTGTTTTTGGCTCTTCTTTTCCATCCAATCGCTTTCATTTCTTATCCCTTTCCAGGCTGACCTTCGTTATTCCTGGCAATGAGGCTATCAAGAATCGCGGCCTTGCTGGGCCCAGCAGTGGGTGCCTATGCGCAGTCGAATTCATCCGCCTCTCCAAGTTCTTCAATCTGCTCGACGGCCTCAGCATGCAAACCCTTCTTGATCGAGCTGACGTGGGGACTCACGAACGCATCGAACATCTTCTCCAGAGAGGCGATCTTGACTAATGGCTCCTTTCCTGGCCCTCCTCTGAGACTCGGCGTCGGAGAATGTGTTGACTTTACGGTAATCAACAACATGCCTAACGTCACTGGTGTTCACTTCCACGGCATCCGACAGCTAGGGACACCGTGGGCAGATGGAGTTCCGGGCGTCTCTCAATACACGATTCAGCCAGGCTCCAGCTATAACTATCAGTGGACAGCTGAGGAATCTGGCATCTATTTCTACCATAGTCACTACAAAGGTCAAATGATGGATGGTCTATATGGGGCAATCATTATTTCCCCAACGGAAAATGCGACTAGGCCATTCTCACTAATCAGCAATAGCTCTGCCGACGTTCAGAAGATGGAGGCCGCAGAAGCAAACGTCGAGGCAATCCTGACAGCCGACTGGAATCGCTTTACCTTCAATGAGTTCTTTGAAATCGAGAAGTCCGCGAACATCGACTACTCCTGCACAGACTCTTTCGTACTGAATGGGATGGGATCATCCTACTGCTTATCAGAAGCCACTCTCAACGCCGACGAAGCTGCCCAGGCGGAGATTGTTCTTGACGGTACGTCCTTGACTGCGAAGGGGTGTATTCCACCCAACAACACCGTGGTCCAAGGCAACTACAGCCGTAACTTGGCCGCCTTGCCCGCTGGCGCATACTACGAATGCACGTCTTACACTGGCACGAACTTCACCTACTTGGTCGATGCTGCGGACGAGTGGGCAGCATTATCATTTATCAGTCCTAGTGGTACGGCACTTTTCAAGATCACCATTGATAGCCATAAGCTATACGTTTACGAGGTTAACGGCCACTATATCGAACCTCAGGTGGTGGATCAGATTGAAGTCGACAATGGAGATAGAATCTCAGTGCTGGTCAAGCTCGATCAAACCCCAGCGGACTACACCATCCGCGTCGCGAACAGCGGCTTGAATCAAGTCATCTCGGGGTACGGCATCTTGTCTTATCAAGGCAGCTCAGGGCCCTCGACCACCGCTGAAGCTCTTATGAATTATGGAGGCCAGAACACGACCACCATCACTGTTTTGGACAAGGCTACGGCTTACCCATACCCTGCGGAGGCGGTCTCAAGTACGGCCGATGCAACCTTCGTTCTCGACATTATGAAGGACCCGGAAGAGTCGATGTCATGGGCTTGGGTTCTGAATGGGGTAGACGCATACAACCAAAGCCGAGATGATGAAACCCCGCCACTTCTCTATCAGTCTCCAGCAGACATTCCCACTAGCGATCTCATACTGAGGACTAACTACAACGAATGGGTGGACCTTATCATTAAGGTAGCTGGCCCGTTGGCAGAACCGCACCCCATCCACAAACACGCCAACAAATTCTTCGTTATCGGGACGGGCACTGGGGATTTCAACTACACTACTGTTGCCGAAGCTCAATCCGCTGGGGTCGAGTTCAATCTCGACAATCCACCGTTTGTGGACGGCTACACAAGCACGGAAGCGGAAGGCGCAGCCTGGATGGTGTTCAGATACCAGGCCAACACCCCAGGAGCGTGGCTGTTGCACTGCCACGTGCAAAGCCACTTGACGGGTGGGATGGCGGTGGCGATCCTGGATGCCGTGGACAAGTTCCCATCGATTCCCTCCGACGTTGGCAAGGTGTGCTCCAATGCAGGGTCCAGCTTCACCGGCTCCAATACCACCGTCTCAACCACCTCGCCGACAGTTGCTTCGTACACCAACATTGCAGCGGCTTCGTTGAGTCACCAGAAGGCAGCTGCTCTCAGCGTAACCTTGGCTCTGGCAGCAGCTGCTGGTCTGTTCTACTAGAGTCACCTTAAGGATAAGGGCTAGTTGCATTGGAAGGGTTTTCGCATCGAAATTCTGCCTAATTGCCATACCTTATGATACGTTACGCTGGTTTGGGGATGGACGAGAGTGTTGATTAGTGCGAACTTGGTAGAGTATTGCTTCAAAAATCACCCACAATCAACCCACCCGTACGCTTTGCAGACAACAAGAACCGCCTCGTACAAGGGCGATACTTCTTGTATATATATTCTTATGGAATGGTCCCCGTTCCGCACAAAAAATAATGCCCAGAGATACCCTGCAGCCTTCTAGAATGGAAGAGAAGCCTGTCTGGAGACGGGGAAATAAACAGCAAGCCAATGGCGTCAGAAGTGGCAGTAGATCTTAGCTGACCATCTCAGTGCCCGTGAAGCCTGTCTGGATAAGCCCGAGATAGACGTGGCCCCCACGACGGTTGAGACACGGCCGATTGCCCACACGACTCGCCCTAAGCCCAACCCGGCAGCGGGCTGCGAACAGAGAGTTTCTACCACCTGGCAATTTGCTCCCAGCTGCGTCGAGGTTTACTGAATGACCAGCTTGTTCTCTCCACCAGCATCCATGCTCTTTTGCCATTCATCCACTAGAAATTAGTCCCGTCGCCTCGACTCTCGCCTGCCTCGCTCCTCAATGATCGTTGGGTCGGGGAACGCTGTTGGTCACCGAATGTTCCGTGTGAGAAGACCAGCATTTTTGACACCTTCTATTTGCGAAAGAATCACTTGCTCTTCTCCTTCGCCCTTCGCCTCTTCCTAGGCCAGGTCCTTCTGTTGGATTCATCCGAGGGACTGCAATGGCATCAGTCACGGCCCAGCGTCGCGGAGTCCGGGCTGCATGTGACCGATGCTATGAGCTCAAGGAACGCTGCCAGCGTGTTTCGCTGACTGCCACCTGTGTCAGATGTGACAGGCTAGGTCAGGCCTGTCTGACTGTGCGTCCACCGCGACGGGCGGGTCGAAGGCCACAACATGCAGACCACTCTGCCTCTCAAACATCGTCAAGCCGGTCAAGCTCGGACGCTCAGTCTGAACGCGATGTCGGTGCCTGGCTACGGGATGTTCCTGGTCTCTGCCCGGAAGAGAGGGATCTGATGAGTTTCCTCCTCTACCAACCCCAGACATTGCAGTTCTATGTGGTCGGCTCCAGCTTTGAAGATGCTGAGCAAAAGTCGTTTGAGGCCCCGTTGCCGGCCGCTTTGCCGGTACTCAAAGACGCCTACCTCGCCTATGCAGGCGGGCTGAAGGGATTCCAGAGCGACAAACCGATGGATGTGAATGTGGACGCTAATCTCCGGCATGCATCCTCAGCCATGAGAACACTGCGCATGCTGCCGATTACCAGTGCAGAAGATGCGGCTTTATGTCTCACAGTGGGGATGGCTTTAGCACTTTATATCTACACAGAGGTTGGTGTTGGTGTACCCGATATCTGCCGCTATTGCCTCAGCCGTGCCAGGCCTTATATTGAGCCTGCCGCATCGATCCCTGGAACAGAGCCCCAGCTCGTCTTTCTTGTATTGCTGGAGATCATGGACTGTGCGGTCCACCGCCGAAAACCGACACTGAGGATCCAGTCACCGCCCGCAAAAGGCGTGGATCGCCACTTGGGGTTCTGCCTCCCCTTACTTCCATACTATTACGATCTCTGTGCCATCAGCCACTCGCTGATCGACGCCAGCAATGCCAGTTTCGTATACACACTGCACCAGCATCTCCGGAGCATCCAGGCTGCTGTGAATGCATGGCAACCGTCCACACCGGAGCATTTCGTCAATGAATTCTCGTCGGTCGAAGTGGTCCACCTCCTGGCGCAAGCGAGGGTATACCGATTGGCCGCGTTGCTGATGGCCCACCGACTGCAACACGAATTTGGACAAGAGGATGGTCAGGCGGATATCTGGTCGCGCGAGGTGCTCATGGAACTCGAGCTGGCTCGACGGACGACACAGCGATCGATCCGGTTTGTAACGCTGCCGTTCATTGTTGCTGCGATCGAGATTCGAGACCCAGCCGCACGGACCAAAGCAGTCCAGGATGTGGACGAGTATGTTGATCGATTTATGCCGGTCGTGCAGGAAGCCACCAGGACATTTTTGTCGCGCATCTGGCGCGAGCGGGATGCTCAGGGAATACGCGCTTGGTTTGACTCCGTCCACAAGCCATGCGTTATACTGGACTCTCTCGGATCTTCCCGCTGCATGGGATTCCTCCAAACGCAAGGAAAGTAGAGAGCCAAGAGCTGATTCGGGGATCGAGGCAAAAGAGCGACCTTTGTGTTCTACTGTGAACCACCCCTCCCACGTCTTCACTTCTTGCCAGACCTCGAGGTTCAGAGGGTTCTACCACACACGGCAGATATTTTTCACCGGTTCTGAGCGCAAAAAAAGTCGACGATCTACGCCAGTGCGAATCGAATACTACTTCCAGGGAGCAAAAAGTTCAGATCGGGCGGCTCTGATCTTACCTTTCTCCTTACAACTAGATCCTGCCCTCGACCCTCGTTTTGAGGAGTTTTGTCAACCCAAGTTTACCCACAACCCACATGGATCTAGTTGTTTTTGTGATATGGCGAGACCACCTGCTACCTTGGGCAACAGCGAACACATATCAGGAGAAAGGCCCCACCCACCAAACCCGATCTGAACCCTTAACAAATCCCTTACTCAAAGCATAGCTTGTTATGAGGTCTCGTTATCGCTGTCACACTTCTTTCAGACAGGGAAATGTTAGAGGAGATTCCGGGCCTTTGAAATATATACCAAACATCGCGAAAAGGGACCCAGTTGGCATTGAGGTTCTGCTTGGCGGTAGTGACTGATACTGCCGGACTCCAGCAATATACTTGGCGAATCTTTGCCGATGACCCTTTTGTTCCGTCAAGCCTGAGCTGAGCCTCTGGCTGAAGGTCGTCATGGAGCCCGTCAGCCCGCTGCAGCTCTCAGCAGGATCCCTGTGCACCTCCTCCTCCCCGTTACCGCGGAGATTGTCCCTGCTTCGTCAAAACAACCCGGCCTGCTTTTCTTCTTGCGTCTCTTCGGAGTGGTGCAACATATTCCGCAAGTCCAAGTCTATGAAAATGCGGCAGAGGTCACAGGAAGCCTGACGACTAGGCGAAAAGCCGTCGGCCTTCATCAAACCATAAATATTGAAGTCTTCATTTTACGGCGTTTGGCACGGTCTACTATACGAGCTGCAGCGCGGCGGTTTCAGCAAAGAACCCAAGCAACGAGACACGTGGACTGATTAGAGCTGTTTTGGCTCAAGAACATCGCAATTCGACGAGAATGTCGACTTCAGCCTGGTCGTCGTGCTCGTTCTTTCTGTCATTGATGGGACAAGTCCAATAGGCGCAGCCTCCTCTTGCATCTTTTCACCGTTGAGCCCGCCACTCTTGATGTGGTAATTGCTTCAACAGACCCAATGCGTCCTAAGGCTCCAATATTCTGAAGTTGGGGGCCTCATACCGCGCCAAGTTGCCCTTTATTCGCTGCGTCCGCCTTCTTGACGATTGGAAACGAGTCTTGGGGGCCAGACTCGTTTACACTGCCTTGAACAACTTAGCCTGGCTCGTATCTGCTAACCGCTTTGATGCGGTGCCTGTCTCGGGTGCCTGTCGATCAACGGGGTCGGTCCGGGTTACACGATGTTCAGCCGATTCCAGTAATCAATATCATGCTCTCGTATTGACCAACCTTGACGGTAAAGCAAATTCTCTCCGAGCCGCCTCCGCCGCCGTCTTTTGAGGCAGGGCAGCCTTACAGCGCCCTGTTAATCATGGCGATGCTATCTTCAGCCCCTCGAATTTCGCGTCAACACTTCTGGCTTTGCTTTCACGAGAACGCATGTTAACAGCTTCAGGCGCCCAAGCACGTTGAGGAGGGAAAAAGATATAAATCATGGATTGTCCACTGTTTGTCAAACGTATGAATCAATCAATTCACTGTCGCATTTAGTTGACCCTGACGTTCATCACGATGAAGCAACTTGCTGTACTTGCGTTACTTGCGGTGCTTCCAATCTCGTTGGCGCAATTCCCCCAAGCTCCTACCGGATTGGATATTATTACCTCGAAGGTCAACCCCCAAGTGAAAATCTCCTATAAAGAAGTGAGCGAGTGTCAAGCGAACAGTCAAATACATTCACTGACAGAATGATAGACCGACATCTGCGAGACCACCCACGGAGTCAAGTCCTATAGTGGTTATGTCCACCTTCCGGGGTCCCTCCTCTCAGACGTTGGGGGGTTCGACATAAACACTTATTTCATATACTTCGAGGCGCGACACAATGCGTCTACCGCTCCACTTGCCATATATCTTGCCGGAGGTCCTGGTGAGAGCTCGATTTACACTGCTCTTGCGAGCGAAAGTGGGCCGTGCTATGTCAATGTCGCGGGCAACGACACGACGGCGAACCCGTGGTCATTCAACAACTACGTCAACATGCTCTACCTTGACCAGCCAGTTCAGACCGGTTTCTCGTATGATGAACTTGTCAATGGCACTTTCAATATTGAGACGCAGATCATTACCCCGGAGGATTTCGACACGTCGCCTTTGCCAGCGATCAATGCGACCTTTCAAGTAGGCACATTCCCCAGCCAAGATCCTTTGCATATCACAAATACCACAGTGTCGAGCGCGAGGGCTCTGTGGCATGCGGCCGAACACTGGCTCTCGTCCTTCCCAGGGTATTCGACCTCGTCCAACAAGCTCAGCATCTGGGCCAACTCGTACGGCGGCTTCTGGGGCCCCGAGACCGCCGCCCTCTTCAGCAAGAACCTCAAGAAGCTTCCAGCCAAACATCCCCTGAAGGCAAAGCACTTGACACTGGACACTCTGGGGATCACCAACGGTTGCATTGACTTTGAATATTCCATGCAAGGATATCCGCAGTATGCCTACAACAATACCTACGGCGTCCGTTTCATCCCGGAGTCTGTCTACAAGGAGGCCATGGACAACATCACCAAGCCGCAAGGGTGCATGGACCTCATGAAGACGTGCCGCTCGCTGGGCAAGATCGGCGACCCGGCGTTCAACGGGAACAACCAGACCGTCAACGAGGCCTGCATGGAGGCTTCGGAGGCCTGTTTTGGGATCATGAGCGCCTTTGATGCGCTGAACAATGTGAGCCATCCGCCGTCCCCAACCGATCGAGCCTCAAGGGGAAACCTAACTGACCAAATGATCCCAGCGAAGCGACTTTGACGTGGCGATCCTCAACCCGGACCCGTGCCCGTACGACCTCGCCGTGACGAACTACCTGAACCTCCCCGCGGTGCAGGCCTCGCTCGGCGTGCCCCTCAACTTCACCTACGACTCGGAGCTGACCACGGGCGTCTACGGTCTGCCGACGCCGTACCAATTCCTCGGCACGGGCGACTCGTTCCGCCAAGCGGGGCTGCCAAACATCGAGTACGCGCTGGCCACGGGGGTCAAGGTGGCCTTCGTCTTCGGCGACCGCGACTACCGCTGCCCCTGGACGGGCGGCGAGGCGACCGCCAAAGCCGCAAAGTGGGCGCACCAACCCGGCTTCCTCGCCGCGGGCTACGAGCCGATCCAGGGTATTAAAGGGGCTGGTGCCCGGCACGGCTTGGTCAAGCAGTTCGGCGCCCTCTCATTCTCGCGCATCCTCGACGCCGGACACTCGGTCAGCGCCTACGCGCCCGAGGCCGTCTACCGCGTCTTCGAGCGCGTCATGTTCGGTAGGGACGTCGCCACGGGATCGCGCAGCGTCGGCGCCACGTACCGCACCACCGGCCCGGCGGACAGTTGGGGCTGGAGGAATACCTTGCCCGCGAACGTGCCGCGGACGTGCATGGTCGAGGGGGAATTCACGCCGACGAACCCGTGGGGAGCCATATCGCTGTCCTGAAACTCAAAGTGTGGCCACTGAGGTAGCTGGGTAGCTGTGTAAATTGTAATACAATCATACAAATCCGTTCCCGATTTTGAGTCAAAGATATCCACCTCCCTTTGGTACGCAGCCTCGTCGTAGTTAAAACGTATGGATAAACCTGAAATGCCACCCCGTGTCCCATGCTCGCCTCATGCTTCAAGTCCCTACACTTGCAGATAGATACAAAAAGAGAAGAAGAAAACTCATTTTTCATAGTGCCTTCTGGACATCCCGCTCCATCATCCGCCGCAGCTCCGCGCCGACCATGCCCATGATGAACGGCTGCTGCGACGTCGTGAACATGTACCCACGACTCGTGTACCGCAGCTCCTTGAGCAGGGCCGGGGAGCCCACGAGATATGCTCCGGGTAGGCCGAACGCGGCGTAGAAGGAGCCGTAGACCAGGACCTGGTGGTCCCGGTACGTGGGAGGGGAAGTCGAAGTCGGATACTTGGTACCCGTCCTCGTACTCGAGCCTGTCGAGAGAGCATCTGCCCCTTCGTGCGGCCATAAACTCCCAGCCCCGGCGCGGTCGTGCATGAGAATCGTCATGCCCGCCGGGCCGCGAGCTCGCTGGATCGTCTCCAGGCTGTCGCCTTGATGATTGATTGCACAGTCGACGAATAGGGTGATGTAGGTCGCGGGGCCGCAGGAGCGAATGTGCTCGAGCAACGAGTCGAGGCTATCGCCGTATCCCTGAACCCTTGGAGCTCTCTTCTTGGACGCCGCACGGAACCCATCCCAGACGGCCTGGGGTGCTGAATCTGGGACGAGAAAGACGTGCTTCTTGAACCCTATCACCGGCCGACTCAGAGCGGCGACGGTCGACATCAGCCCAATGAACGAGTCCGGATAAGTGAGTGCGTCTGCGGTCCCTGTGAGCCGTGCAGCTAGCTTCTCGACTTGGATGTGCAGTTCCGACGTGCCTGTGATCCAGCGTGCACCGCCGGACCCGAGCCCGTATCTGCTTCGTGCCGCGTGGCCCGCATCCAAAATGGTATGGTCGCAGATTGTGCCTGTGGTCCTCCTGATGTCCTGGTCGATGAGTTGTCGAATATAGTCGCAGGTGTGCCGCGCCTCCGTTCTCTCCTGCTCAGTGGGCAGCTCGTCAAGGTAGTTGAACGGCCTGGGCTCGAACTTAGCATTCCCAGTCAGCCCGATATTCTGAGCGGCCTTCACGATTGCTGCGATCAGTCCGTCGACCGTGTCGTTATCGTGATCTGCGGAAAGACAAATCCGGACGCGAGACTCCCAAAAGGGAACTGCGGGCGTCGACACCGGCGTGGCGAGCAGGCCGACCTTCCGAAGCGCGTACGACATCTTCGCTGCCATGCTGGGCCGACCAGCGTGTACCGGGAGGATGGGCGAGATGGCATTGCCATATACGTGGACGCCGGCCCGGTGCAGTTCTTCGCGGACGAAGGTCGCCGCCGCAGTCAGCCTCCGAAGATGGCGCTGCAGCAGGGTCGGTTGGCCCAGGACATTCAACGTTTGGATAATGGATGAGGTCGGAACAGGATCGGCTCCAGAGGCAAGCATCTCGTCACGGCGCTTCAGAACCGTCGCGGCGAATCGAGATTTCCCGCACACAATGCCCCCAATCGCCCCGACCGACTTCGACAATGTTCCCGTGCGGAGGTCGAAGAGGTCAGTCGGGACGGGCTGGTCGGGGTGTTTTTCATTCCAAACCTCGATACACCCGCGACCCGTGCGGCCCAGACACATCAACGAGTGAGCTTCGTCGGCAAGCAGAGTGAAGTTATACTTCTGCTTCAGGCGCACAAGCGTGTCGAGAGCAGGCACGGTACCATCCATGCTGTGATTTTCTTGTCAGAGCGCACGATTCAGCGACCCGTGGAGATGACCGACCTGTAGAACCCCTCGATTGAGACCAGGATATTCGCAAACTTGTCCTTGTACTCGGCCAGGATGGCCTCCATTCTCTCAAAATTGCCATGCGGGAACTTCTTGACCAGTCCGGCATGACTGAGATGCGCGGCGACGTGCATCGAGTTGTGGCACTTGTCATCAAACATGACGAGCCAGTCCTGGTTCAGGATCGCCGAGAAGGCCAATACGTTGGAACCGTATCCTGTGCTGGTCGTGTAGCAGAAGTCGGCAGAGAAGAATTTGGCAAAGCCATCGTGCATAGCCGATTCCAGGGATCTCACTGTACGGGAGTCGGCGACGGGTAGCTTCTCGAGGGCTAAGCGCTGCAGTTCTTCCGCACCTTTGGTGAGATTGTAGAAGCCGGCATAGTTGTGTGAGGCGGCTTGAATGACAGTCTGCCGTGTGCCATGGCCATCTCGAACTTCAAGCTTTGGAGCCCACCGTCCCAGCAATATGCGCTCGTTCTTTCCACTCCGGTTGTCTAGCGGGTAGACGTAACAGTGATTGAATCTGCCTGCAACGGAGATCGGTTTCTGATCGTGTTCGCGCTGTTCCAGCGAGACCTTGCCGCGTGTGTAGGCAAGCCTGACACTCTCGGCGAGCTTGTTCCAGACTTTGGCAGCCGGCGGTTGGTAGACATCATGTTCCAGGGAATGTCGCGGGAGATTCTCGTTCGAAGATTGGAAAGCGACCGACGAGCAGGCTGGCTGGGCATGCTAGATCTTCGTAAGTATGCTGGCCCCAGTCACGGTTGACTCGTTCGTTGTTGACTTACTTGAGACTCCTTCGTATCTGGCTCAGAACTGTCGGTGCTGGATATCGAGTCTGTCTGATCGATGCGTATGATGATTGGCTGTTTTGCTGCTTTCCGAGGCTCAAGGCCGCTTACAGTGCTCGCTTTTTTGAAATCCATGTTACCAACTCGAAATATTCACCGTGATTGAGGATGTGAGATAGATTGGCATGCCTCTGCGAACACGCTGGACAGATAAATAGCCCCAAGGACGCCATGGCTCCGTGTCTAGACTGCGACCTGAACTCTGGCACTACCCAAAACCTCAGGTCGAGGTGACAGCTCGACTAGGCAAAGGCAACATGGTGCACTTTTGCTCGTTTGCACGACGCCATTTTCGTGCAGATGTCTGCCAACAAAGCGACAGTCGAGAGCCATGCTCGAAATGAACCAGCTGTAGCGCACAGCTGCTGCCGCCGAGCATGAAGCCAAAGTAATGCGATCGAATCAATGCCTCTTACCTGACCCGCTTCCACGTTGTTGAGGCGAAGATCTTTCAGATTGGGCATGTGCTTCTCAGGTGTATGAGCCACCTGGCGGCGATGGCTTGCTAAGGGACCAGAGGCTGGCTGAGAGAGAAGAGTCGGCATCGACATTGACCTCAGCAGCTCCATTCAATGGTTGGAGTACCCAGATGCGAGGGAGTGTCCACAACGATCTGGGCGTCGTTAGGCTGAATTCTCGATGCCCTGGATTTAGAAAGTGTGAACAAGCTCCAGGGGCGGTCTAGGTGGTCGATACTGCGCCAATGGTTAACGGCTCATACTCGTATAGGAAAGCGTTATGCTGACTTGGCAAGCCTAGCGAAGGGTAGCCCATATCGCCTACCTAAACAAGTTCGTCTTGCCTCCTCTTGGGCTCAGTGGGCGGGAAGATGCCCAGTTAAGGTTCTTGGGGCGTCACTTTCCGCCACATTTTGTCCCAATTTCGAGGAGGCGGTCTGCCACGAGCCCCTAACCAGAGAATCCCCCTTGACACATTTGGATGGTAGACGCGAGGCGAACAGATGCCACGTATGGAGTGACATGAGATTCCTCGTGCTTCGAACAGCATCGCAAGGCTTTCCCATCGAATGAAAAAGTTCATGTCCCGGTGCATCGGCGAAAATAGCGGTGCAGCTGAGTCTCCCATGTTCAGCTGCAAATGCTAGAAGAGAGATCGGTTCAGCCTCTAGAAAAGGTAACTGTGTTGCAGGAGACAGACCCTGTTCGACCTGGCGATATTGCAAAGCGTAGGTCATAAATGGTATAGACCCAATTCGAGAGTGACTGCGAGTACTTGGTAGTCCTGGTCCTCGTACCGGGAGGCAGCTGTCGCATACCATCGCCAATCCCTCCATTGGTGCTATAAAATAGGAACCCTTTGGCCCCAAGCCGCCGGGTCATTCCAGCAACCTTCACCCAGCGGTGCCTGACAATCTCGGCCGAAGCAGCTTGTACATGCCAGGAGACCGAAGCCCAGCAGCCCGAGGGCCATAAGCCCCGCATTCTCGACGGGCTGTAGCGGGCAGTTTGTTGCTCCGCTTCGGTCGAGGTCCACAGCAGATACCTATATTCAGGGAGCGATGAGGGGCTGTCCGCAGCATAACTCCCCCAAAGAAGCACGACACAGGAAGACAAGGTGTTAGAGTGATGACGGTGGTCAGAAACAATGAGTCCCCAAGACGCGTCAGATCAGTTTATGGCCGTCGAAAGGCCGAGCCGAAGAGCCACCGAGCTTCAGAACGCCGGAACCTCATCGTTCGACGCAAAACATAACCTGTCTCCCTTTCGATACCACAAGCATCGAGTTTAGAATCCTTGTATACTTATCTATCGCTTGGAAACATCAACAAACTGCACAGATCCAAATGGATTACCTCAAGCACCTTCCTGCCCTTCCGCCGCGGGATCGCGCCGTCCGTGCCGCTGTTCTGACTGGCGCGTCGACCGTGGCACTGAGCGCGCTCGTCTGGTGCATTCGAGACTATCATGCCTTCCTGGCTCTTGGGCCCGGTGGCGCTTCGTACAATGTCAAGGGCTGGGCTTTCGTTACCATGCTTCGATTGTTTGCTCTTTCTAAGCGCGGCGCAACCCAGGTCTCGGACTATCCAACGGATGGCGCTCATGAAGACATCAAGAATTTACCAAACAGAAAAGGCGAGCGTGCAGCCGTGGGTGGAATCATCCCGCATCGCCAGCTTTCGCAGCATGCACCTGATGAGATGAAGCCGGTATGGACAACCTGGACTGGAATACCCAGTTGTCGGAGTACTGATTGGTATCTAGTACATTACCAACTTGTTCAAGAATGTCGTGGTACAGAATAGCGACATCTTGGAAGAGCGCCTTTCTCTGTACGAAAAACATAACCCTGCGCTATTTGTTCGCGAGGAGGTCCTCGCGAATAAGGACCCAGCGGCTCCAAAACCGTCTTCAACGGCTTACACTGCCCGCGGCGAATGTGGGCATATCCATCCTGATGTAAGTAGCGGTTGCTCCTTCTCAGGGGATCTAACGTTGGCAGCTCGCATTGCTGATACTAATCTTGGGGCTCATTAGTACTCAATCCATCTCTACCTTTCTCCGGCTGATGCTCGACTCATTATCGAGAAAGGGTGGGGCGAGCGACATCGATTGTCGAAACCCAAGACGGCAAGGTTCACTTTCGAGAACGCCCACGTCGCCGACACATACCTGATGATATACGGCCCCAGGGACACGGATGAAGTTGAAGTGGTGCGCAAAATCCTGCAAAACAGCATTCGTTTCATGTCAGGAAGAGAGAATGTCGAAGCCCCGGAGTGGAAGGTGGCTCTAGCTCCTAAATGATCTGCCAACCATTTTTGCAGATGGTGTATGCACACGGTCATGCTGAGAAAAGTCGGCGCAGCGGGAACGGCGCGGCTACCAGCACAGCAATCTTTTTCCCACCTGGAGCTTCAGGCTCGTTTCAATTGAGGTTACCAAAAAGCGCCCAATCCTTGGGAAGTCATGCGTAATGATGTGCAGGCTGTACTCTCGGTTCGGTTCTCCTAAGAAGCTCAGTTCATCCACCACATTTGCCGAAGCATATGTCGCCCTGCTCTTTCGGCTACCGACTAACGCTAGCAGACGCGATGTTATGGAATGAGAGATTTCTGATTTGATCGTCCTTGGTGCTGCCCTTTTGGTTGACTGCGCCTCAATCCTGCCCTTCCCTTCTACCGGTTGCCCATCCCATCCCCTCTGCAGGTGATTCGGCCAAAACAAGAAGAGCAGTGCTCTGATTGGCCAGAAGTGGTGCATACCCCAGGAATGTGCGTGGGCAGGCTACTGTTGTCTGCCCAGAACTGGTCTATGTGGAGACGGCCTGCATCTGCTTGCATGTGGTTGTGGATTCGTGACCGACATTTCCATTGAGGTCATTGACTTTCGTTAAATGGCTCATACAAAAGTGGCAGCTTCTGCACAACATGCCAGGCAGAAAATCAAGGAAGTTGGAACTTTCTGGCGAGACCAAATTCACTCATATAAAGCATTCGCAGCGCGGTAGGTCGACATATCCACCGTTCCCACAATGAGGGATGGGTTGTGGTGAAGCTCTACAAATGGCCTTGATTCTCACCATCGCGTTCGCATACTTTCTGTGTCCTGTTGCATTGGGTGCAGTTGCTTTGCTATATCTGCTGGTGTTCTAACATAAACTACCAATCTTGTTTCGCGATATTGTTGAAACCCTTACCAGAGAAGGGCTTGCTAGCCACGAGCCCTATTTATTTTTTCTTATTCTCCCGCTGCCGTCCGCTCCTGAGACTGCTGCTTGCAAAGACACGACGCAGGAGGCTCGCATCGAGGGCTCACCGCCATATTCGGCTTGCTCCTGTTCCCTTCAACAGGTTCACGCCAAATGGCCTCAAATACCGTCAGTGGCAATCAGTCAAGGACCATCTGGGAACCATCGGCAACGAAGCCCATGGCAACTGTTTCGAAGATCACAGGTCAGTAGACTTTGATTCTCAGGCAGCAGAGTGATGCTGATTTGATACTCGGTCAGTCACTTCGGCTTCGTCTGCGCCACCACGACCGATTGATCAGATCACGGACGCATACCGTCGTCGGTACGCATCTTACCTTGCTTCGACTTTTCACATCAGTGTCGAGGCGGCCAACCTTGAGGCGGACTACCAGCTCCAGCCTCGTCGTCGATCTGAGGCGTCTGAATCAGAGGTCTACCGCGTGTAAATAGTGGCTGAATCTCGATATGTCCCACAGAAAGCATTGGTCTAGAAATATCTTCGCAACGTCCGCGACGAGTCTCCCGAAGCAGTTCTTGTTGAGGATGATTTTGTTGAATGTTTCTAAAGTCAGCCTTTCCAAGGTTGTTTTGCCAACAGGATTCTTACAGGACAAATACATGAGCCTTATCCTTAATCGACTACTCGACCCTTTTCCCAAAAAGTTACCCGGCGCGTAGCACTGGCCACTAAGACAAAGGCGTCGAAAGGTCTCGCCCTGGTCCGGGGGAAATATAAGTTCGCGTAACCAAGCGAGGCTCGGGGACTAGCCGGCATGCTTGAGAAGGGCGAAGTGTCAAAAATCTCGGTAGATCCTTCATGTGGATCGCCTGTAAGCTGCCCAGAGCGTTTAGCAAGAGGGACAGGGTATCATGCTGCCGACGGCTGTCGGCATCTATCGATTTGCGCCATGAAAAAGCCTATGCACATAAACCAAGACGTATTGATTTCGGCACGAGTTTGTCATTTCGACCGAGTCGTGCAAGAGACCATCTCACGATCAAGTGTAAAACGGTTCTCCACTGGCATTGGAGGCCCAAGGGTGGACTGGGGTATAGACAAGAACAGACAGAGGGGATTTTCGAACAGTCAGACGCCTCCCCCAAGACTCAGCCGCAAAAATGCCTCATATGAGATTGCCAGAGAGAAGGGTGGGCGACGGACCAGGCACGGCAAGCTCCTGAATGGCATAAATGGGCGGCAGAGATCAGGACTAGGCCTGGCAGTTGTCCGCAGGAGAAACACCCTTAACTAGGCCAAGGGGATCGCCTCTACCAGAGAGAGGCTGTGAAGCCACCAATTGTAGGCTGGCCCGAAGCCAACTCCGCTCATTTGCATAGGCGTGGGATGGGCGTTCGGGAAGACGGAACAGCGCACAGACTCCCCTCCAACTCTTGGCTTGATATCAGCTTGACGACTCGCACCGTTGATCTTGTGTCCCTGCCCTTTTCATTTATCCCTCTCCTTTTCTTCGGGCGGGCCGCACGTGCAGCCTTCGAGGAATGAACACAGACGGACGGTGCTCCTTCGATGGCAGCACACCCGAAGAAGGCTCAGAAATCAACGGCGAAGACGATGCCTGCGAAGCTAGCCGTCTTGTTCCGAGGTAAACCTTTGTGCCGATTCCACCGTTGGGTTATAGACCTGTTTTCTGACCCCGGCTTCTACAGTTCCAGTCCCATTTCGAGAGTCCTGAGTACGTTCCCGGCGTTGACCTGTCTGGATTTCAGGACCTCTGCATTGACACGAAGCCCGCCAGGGAGTTTCCCTCGCTTTCTGCACCGCTCATCCGGCCATGGCGGAGCCCGTGGCCAACACTCTCGCGATTTCGCTGGCTACTCAGATCCTCGTAGGGTGAAGCGCAACTGCGTCTCTCAGGCCCTTCTCGAGCTTGTTACTACTTTCCGAGCCATCCTGGGATACTCGTGGCTCAATAGCCTCCTCGTGTTCGTCCCGTTGGCCATTGCCAGCTACCTGGCTCGTGCGAACCACATTCTGGTTTTCACCGCCAATGTCATCGCCGTGGTTCCGCTATCGAGCTTGCTCACCTGCGCGACGGAGAACATTGCACGGGAATCGGGCGACGTCGTTGGCGCTCTGCTCAACGTGACGTTTGGAAACCTGGTCGAGATTGTGATCTTGTGAGTTTCCCTCCCGGCCAAAAGAAAAGTCCAAGACTAACATCTTCCAGTCTGTATGAACCGAGCCGCTTCCATTTCCTCAAAATATCTAACTGATGACTCAAGTGCCGCCCTTTATCACAATCAATATGAGGTGGTGCAAGCCTCTCTTCTGGGGTCGATTCTCGTGAACCTCCTGCTCATCCTAGGGATAGCAATTCTGGCTGGAAGTTTTTGTCATCAAGAGCAGTCTCACAGCAAAGAGGATGCGCAAGCTCTGGCTTGCCTCCTCAGTGTATCTGTCTTCAGTTTGCTCATACCAGTAAGCAGTCCTGCAGTGCTTGGTACAGTCACCTGTTGATGCATTGCAGAGTGCTCTTGTCCACTCTTTTGACGATCTGAAGTCAGCTGGAGCCGCCGTGTTGACTTTGAGTCGGGCGTCTTCCTTGACCTTGTTGGCAATATATTTACTCTATATCTTCCTGCAGATCAAGAAGACTATTGTCAGCAGACCATTGATCCGCGTCGTGAGCTCGAACGGCATGAATGGCTCTGCAAGGACGAGTGGAGACATGGCTGCTTCCAATTCATTGCTAATTCCACGCTCGATTCGATTTCAAGACGAGGAGGCGGCTAGAGGCCATATCACTAAGCCCCCAACCCGAAAAGATAGCTTGGAGATGTCTGCGTTGGACGATTCAGGACAGTCCCAGCTCGGATCTGACGACGCCAACGGTCAGCTAAACTTCGAAGAATCCGAAGGGGATGAAGACGCCGAGACACCAGGACAGGGTTGGAAGGCCTCTTCTGACAAGAGACGCAATCTGAGAAGTTCCATCTACCAATTTCCTTCCCGGATACGAGGATCGGATTCTGGCACTTCAAGTCAGCGGCATATAAGTCCTACCGGCTCGCAGCCCGTGCGGTCACATCGCTCGTCCTACGCAGGCTCAACCTCCAGTCTGCCACGCCTGCTGTTGGGAAACTCCGTCGGAAACGCCGATAGCCCAAGTGATATCGAGACGCTAGAGGATTCGCCTTTGGTTATTGGGAAGCTAGCTTCCAGCTTACTGCTCGTTATATCGTCCTTGCTTGTTGCTATCTGTGCCGATTTCCTTGTGAACACGCTTGACGATATCGTCGAGTCAGGGCCGTTCTCCGAAGCATTCATCGGGCTTATCATACTCCCAGTTGCTGGTAACTGCGCAGAGCTCATCACCGCGACTGCGGTTGCCACTGTAAGGATACCTTTGTCCTTGAAAGCCCGGTGCGGCCAAGGAGGAGCCTTGAGGATGACTCTATTGTGTTTGGGAGATGCTAACTGATATTTGCAGAAAGGCAAGTTCGACCTTGCGATTGGCGTCTCTGTTGGTTCATCCGTCCAGATCTCCCTGTTCGTGACACCTCTCGTCGTCATTGCTGGCTGGGCTCTCAACAAAGACATGACCATGTATTTCGGCATCTTCGAGACTGTGGCGCTCTTCGCAACAACCTTCTTGGTGAATGTGCTCATTCTTTATGGCAAGTCGAACTTCTTGGAAGGAAGCCTGCTCTGTGCCTGCTACTTCATCATTGCAGTCGGAGCATATCTCTTTCCCACGCCAGATCATCGAGCCCCGCATGACCGTCCTCCGGACTGACTCAGGTCGCTCCACTACGATGCGTGGAAGAGATATCAGATTGGCCATGATTGATGCAGTAACAGGCTCGGAAGACCACGGCATCGTCTACTCGAAGCCACAAGAGATAATATCTGAATAGGATGGTGTTATACAGAGCACCTTGGTTGAGCAACGAGAAGTGGAGGGCAAGGACGACTTACCAAGGGGTGCATTTGGGACGAAGATAACGATGCTACAGTAGCACCCACAGATATATATTGACGGAGGTCAGACGACGTCCCCGCGATGCTCCAATCGAACTGAAACGGCGCTCAGCTTTATGGAACGGCGTGAGGAGGGACCAGGAGGAAATCACCCGAGGGAAGAGGAAGTAAGGAGGGCTCAGAGACAATGCAAGGCTGAGCGAGGCTGAAGACAACAAACATGTTGACTCAAAGAGCCAAACTTGCCAAGGCATCATGACTCATGCGGATAGTCACGTGTCAATCCACCAAATCCAACATCATCCGGCCACCCACCGTTTCTCAATGTCACCTAAACTTGCTTTGCACAGTTAGCTTCGCTGATTACTAGGTGTACCTTGCTGATAAGACAGGGATGTGTACCCTCGGCCAGTGTCGTACTCTGATGGACTCGACAAGGCACCAGCTTCTCAACCTGGGCGAGATCCGACTTGAACGAGTTCCCATGGCTATATGTGTGCCTTGACTTCGAAAATTGACATGTAGCCGGAGCTGCAACTCTTGGACATCTCGGGCTTGACAAGAATCAGGTGACGATGCTGAGAGCACAAAAGATGCCCGGCTTGTGGCAAATTCAGGTACCCTTCCCGTACATTCCTTATCTTTCATTTTTGATCCTCCTGCCTCGCTTGTGGGCTTCTGGGGCCCAACGTTGTTCGGCGCCTTCGCCCATTCAGAGGCAAAAATGCTACTTAATCCTTAGTATGCAGCAACATCCATGAGCTGCCGGCCAATCTTGGCGGACAGGATGCGATATACTCCGCTCTTCGGCTATCGATCCTGTTATCTGCCAATTGGCTGTCGCAAGGCACTCTACTTTGTTCTTCTCCGCCTTTTCCTTGTCGAGGCCAGAGAACCCGCTGCGGAGCTTTATGCGACAGCTCTGTGCAATAAGAATACGTCGTCCCGCACACAAAGGGCTCACTCATCACTGCCAAGCTCTGGCAAAGGTCGTTCGGGGATTCAACAAGCACCACCTAACGGGTCGAACACAAGCTTGTCGTAACCGCAGTACCGCTATCGGCATCAGGCTTCCCGCGACGCTCCAGCGGGCAATACAACGCGGTATTGGCCAATGACTTGCTCTGGTCTTCTATCTGAAGAGGGGCGTCTCTGCATTGGCTGGGTCGGCACGAGAGCCTGACCTAGCCATCAGAGTTGCTCTAGCTGTGCACTACTCTCCAAGGTTCGTGCTACACAAGATCTTCTGACAGGGTAGCATTGTGGTATGATGACATCTCTCGCTTGTTGCGGTTCATATTTGGTGGAAGCTGCACCTTTACTCGGACGTCAATTCTCGTTCAAGCTCAGTTCGTCACAATAGAAGAACATGATGTTCAAGCGCTGGGATATCCTTCTGCTAGTCGGCACCTTCCTGCTGTCCGCCGTCTCTGGCCATCGCCGTGATGTTTCTCGAAACCGAGGGTATACTGCGAAAGCACTGGAGGATATGCGAACCAGGTCTCTCTATGGCAGGGATACCCCGCCAGCACAACGACTGTACTATACGAATGCGACCGAGAGTGAGTCTCACGCTCCTAGGTTACCATATTTCACGACATAGATATGGTATGCTCACGATGGCCCAATGTAGAATATTACGTCGAGTCTCTGCCCGACATCCCCAAGACCTTTATGACCGAGATGTACTCGGGTGTTATTCCCCTTAACATGTCGGATAACAGCCGTGGCATGTTTTTCGTCTTCCAGCCTCGTGTGGGGCCACCAGTTGAGGAGATCACTATTTGGTTCAATGGCGGTCCAGGTAAGGCTAGGAAATTAACAGTGCAGAGAGAGGTTTCGCTCACCGAGATGACAGGCTGTAGCTCTCTCGAAGGGTTTCTTCAAGAGAATGGCCGCATTCAATGGTCTTGGGGACAGTACGTGCTCCAGAAAGCTTGAGCAACAACTCCTTGGGACTTCTAAATCACTGTCTCTTGCCGTACTAGTGCTTGATGCTAAACAAAAGCAGGTATTCACCAGGAATCAATCCCTACTCATGGGTGAACTTGACGAACATGCTTTGGGTCGAGTATCCAATCGGCGTGGGCTTCTCACGAGGCGAGCCGACCGCCACGAATGAGGAAGAGCCTGCGGCTGAATTCATCGAATTCTTTCGCAACTTCCAGGTACGATCAAACTGCTCCTACATCATGACTCGGTCATTCAGACTGAGCTCTACTAGACGATTTTCAACATCAGCGACTACAAGATATATGTCACGGGCGAGAGCTATGCCGGCCGATACGTCCCGTATGTCGCGAATGCGATGCTTGATCAGAACGATACTACGCATTTTAACCTTTCAGGTACGGTCCGCCGCGCAGCTCTGTATCAGATTCGACAGGTTTTGATGCTTAGTCTTAGGTGCTTTGGTCTACGATCCGTGCATCGGCTCCTATGACTACCTCAACGCCATAGCGATATACCCATACATTCAACAGAACAACAACTTCATGGGGTTCAACGACACGTTCGTGGATCATCTCGCCCAGCGCGACCAGACCTGTGGATACTCGCAGTACCGCGAGAACTTCCTGCAGTTCCCGCCCAACGGCACACAGCCGGCGCTGTATCTCAATGCGACGGCCGACCCGGACTGCGACCTGTGGGATCTCGTGTATGATAGCGCCTACAGCGTCAATCCGTGCTTCAACGTCTACGAACCGAACCTGCAGTGCCCCCTGCTCTCCGACCCTCTGGGGTTCCCCAGTGATCTGATCTATTCCTATCCCGGACTGCCGCCGTATTTCAACCGCACCGACGTGAAGAAGGCCTTGCATGTTCCCGTGGACAGTGACTGGACGCTGTGCACGGGGCCGGTCTTCGTCGGTGAGGGCGGACCACAAGACCTGGGGGATCTGAGCCTCGACCCGATCCAAGCTGTCCTCCCCAGAGTCATTGAAGCGACAAACCGAGTCTTGGTGTACGTTTCTCACGCCTCATTGATACCCTTACATCTATGGTCATAGATCATACGGCGAGCTAACTCCTACGTAGGTCCAACGGTGCACTGGACATGGACCTGCTCCTGAACGGGACCATGCTCGCGATCCAGAACATGACCTGGAACGGCCAGCTGGGGTTCCAGACGGCGCCGTCCAAGCCCATCGTCATCACCATCCCGGACGTCCAGTACCAGCAGGTCTTCACCGACAGCGGCTTCGACGGGCTGGACTTCCACCAGGGCGTGATGGGCGTGCAGCACTTCGAGCGCGGGCTGATGTGGGCCGAGACCTATCTCAGCGGGCACATGCAGCCTCAGTTCCAGCCCCGGAGCTCCTATCGGCACCTGCAGTGGCTGCTGGGGCGGATCGACGCGCTGTGAGGGGTAGCTTACGTGTGCGAGCGGGATCGATTTGACAGAGTTGACACCGTTATCGTTTGCAGAAGAGCAAGCTCGGGGGGATCACCCTGACACAGCAAAGAGACACTTCAGCCTGATCAGCCCCCCCTTAGTCGAGCCTTCAACAGATATCTTTCCGGATATAATACCCTAGCAAACTCATCATGTAGCTGCGTGCGGTGTATATATATATATATATATATGAGGATACCTGGCAGATCTTCATCACGAACCCTCCTCCGAGCATTCTAACCGCAATAATCTTGCTCCGCAAGGCCACTCCTACTCAGCCTCACCCAACGTCCCCCTTGACGCCGACCCTCATCAGCGGACCCAGCGACCGAGCACAAGCTCTCCACGTGTCGCGGGTAGTGTGTCCTGGCGATGCGTCTTCGGTAGGTCGGGGTAAATTGACTCTGACTAAAGACCTTAATCGACGATATTCCGCGCTATTCGATTCTGTCACATGGATGGCAGCCGAACGACGATGACGAGGTTCCTTTCAGCGATCTGAAGAGTGGATCAGGCAAGAGCAAGAGAGGGTATGCTAATATCGAATTCTGTAAGGTGCAGGCGCAGAAAGATGGGCTACAACACTCTTCAGGGTGGACACGTGCTTCATCTAGGAATGTTCAGCAGCGAGATAGTTCCCTGCAAAATTAACGGAACATAATATCTCCTAGCATTCCAAAGAGGGAGCCTTATCTAGGGCAGCGCTGCAACTATTGCGTAGTTCTTGGGTAACGACTACAACTCACCGTTGCTGCTTTCGAAACTTCCTGGCAACCTCGACATGGACCCTATTGCTTGTCATCCCTTTTCTCTGAGGGTGCCTGGCCCTAACTGGATTATTACGGTTACCCAAGGGGGCTGTGGCAGAATTTCCTGGCCATATTTTTGAGGACAACATAAGCTATCTAGTTTGTGATAGCACCATCACACGCCCACATCGAACATATGATGCAAATAAACTATTTGTGATTAAAGGAGCTCGCCATTTCCTCGGCCTTACTCGTCAAAATCACTTCCTCGAAGAGCCTTAGCTGACTACATGAGGGAGGGTGAAGGAAAACTCGATGCGGTTGGGATGATTCGTTCGTCGCGAAACGTTTGCTTGGGGCATGAAGCTTCCGCTCAGAACATTTCCCCCATATCGTTCGAATTCCTCGTTGCCGCTGACGGGCCGCTGTTATACATACTGATTACACGCCCTCCATTAGCTCCCGCGAAAGTGCATACATTCCTATATATATATCCGACTTACGGTGCTGACGTGGTTGCATTTCCGGATATTGTCCGGAAGCCGGTGATACTGGTTAAATCAAGTCTTATATACCTACAGATCACCTCACAAGACCGCAGAGTGATTTCCTGCATAGAAAGGGGCCTGTTCACTGTTCAGATCTCCCTTACATGACCTTGACGAAGGGAAAGGATTGTTAATTGTCTCAGAAAAGCAGTATACGAAGCTCCACAACACCAAAGGAGAGGAAAGTCTCGAGATGGAGTGGGACGAGAACACGCAGGATGAGCACGAGTACATGGAGAATCCGGACGAAGAGGAACAGATGGGCGAGGAGGATTACTATGAAACCCCGCTGGAAGAGGATGAGATGTACATGCACGACGGACAAGGTGGGTACGAGGACGACGAGCAAATGCATCAGTACCATGGCGCTCAAGGGGCGGCAGATGGAAGCCAGCATATGGGAGCGCAAGGTCATTCAGCTTCTTCAGGTGGAGGGACAGGCTCGAATGGAATGAGCGCGAATCATTCTTCCAAAACACCGTGGCCTCGACCTGACTCCCATATCCAACAGTCGCAGTCACACCCTCAGCCCACAGGGGGAAATCAGGCATCAACATCTCCTCAGTCGGACGCCCAGATCGAGAAAACAGTCAATAGTCAGCTGGTAAGCAGTCTTCAGAGGCAAGGGAAAAGCCAAGCGGTAAGTTTCGAAATTCCCCTGACCGGACTTCAGGGTGGAAAAAAGGGATGTTAACATTTCATCCCCTTTAGGAGATTAATAGCGTTGTCAATTTTGCGAACAATCCCCCGGGCGGTGCTGCTGGGTAGCCGCCGTACTCTTTATTTGCAGCCATATATTCCGAACTCAACCTTCCTTCTCTCGAGATGATCGTATTATTCGTTCTCTCCGGATAGAAATAGTGAGACATGTTTTTTTTTTTAGCCAGAGTCTTGAAGAGGGGAGCCTTGTTTAACCAGAACAGCTGACGACTTTCACTTTCGAACGAAAAGCTAAGAACAAAGATATCACACTATCCCAGGAGGCGGAGGGGTATCCCTCCAGGTGTCAGAGCCAGGCAGTCAGAAGCTGTGTTGCTTGTTATGTAATCGTTTCATGGGAGCAGTGTTGAAAGAAGTCTATGGGTGTATTCGCCGCTGCTCAAACGAGGGCATTCAAGAGGTCTTTGGCGCAGTCACATCGCAGCTGGCTGATGGCGTGAAGTGGTGAGTAAAGTTGAGGTTTCAACTGGTTTCTGCCGGCCCACACGAGACAAGCGTGGCCGCCTCGTCGGTGCCACTCGCCTTTGTAGCCGTCGCCTGAGAGCTGCTGTCATATAGGATGCATACGCCAGTGTCTTCGTGATATTCCAGTGCGTAGCAAGCATTGTCGTCGCAGAATGTCAGGCAGGCGTCAAAGTCGGTGGATACGGTGTCGGCATAGGCCGCCAGCGCTGTGATGGACCTGCCACAGAGGACGTCGTAGGTGCAGCCCCGAGATCCTGCTGCGGTCGTTGGGCCCGCTTGGACACCCGTGGGACAAGCACCAGTCGTCTGCGGGGGTGTGGGAGTAGGTGGGAGACATGTGCCGTAGCCATCTGCATTGCCATTTTCACAGGTCGACCCGACATTGCAGCATTCGGAATCCAGGACACATAGGTCGCCATCGGAGACGCAGTCAGGGCAAGGGGGTTCGTCGCAGCATATCCCGCCGACATAGGGACCACAAGGGCCAGTTGGTCGGATAGGGAAGATTTCTGGGGTGGTTGTTGTGGTAGTTGTTGTCTGACTCAAGTTAGCTTAGAATATCGCAGAAAAGAAATAGGAGGCTTACTGATAGAGTTGAGGAGGTAGTAGTTGAGGTAGTAGTGAATGTCGTGGTCGATAGAGTGCTACTTGTGGTTGGGGTCGTAGACGTTGTGGTCGTTGAGCTAGGAGTCGTCGTGGTAATCGTAGGTGTAGTGGTGGTGGTTGTCGAAGAAGTGGTCGTGGTCGTGGAACTGCTTGGAGTGGTGGAGCTAGACGTGGTGCTGACGCTGGTCGTAGAGCTGGAGCTGCTAGAGCTGCTGGGAGACGTAGAGCGGGGAGTCGAAGAAGTCGGCGAGCTCGAGGTTGTGGAACTGGTTGAAAAACTGGAGCTTCTCGGCCTAGAACTTGTCGACGTCGAGTACGTCCTCGTGTGCACATAAGATGGCGCGGGGCTATTAGACGTTGAGTGTCCTGAGTGGGAATAGCTGTTCGAGGGCTGCGACGGCGTACTTCTTGTCGAAGGTGTGGGAGTGGATATCTCTACAGTGACCGTGGTCGTCCAAGTACTTGTCCAACTCTCCGAGCCTGTATGGGAAGAACGTGCGCCGGAATTTGTGCGCGTTCGGGTGGTCAAAAAATGGTTAAGGCTGCTGCTGTGTGTAGTCGAATGAAGAGGCATGGCAGGTTTGGTTCTTGATCCTAAGCTTTCGACACTGGTGCTCCAGTCGCCCCATGTTTCCGTCCTTGTATAAGCTGCATCACTGGGGGAGAACCAGTCATCCCAGGTCTCGGCACTTGTAGACGCTGGGTCAGCTGGTGTCGACCAATCTTCCCATGCAAAAGGTGACTCTGTTTCGATATCGGTGGTATCTGAAGCAGCTGTTACCGACGTTCCAGTTGCGAGACCAGATGGATGTGGCCAGTCTTGTCCTGTTAGGCCTTCGGTCTGTGCAGCTTTCGGACTACCATGAGTATGTGGTAAAGAGGGTGGTTTGTCGGTGAGTGTTGCATTGACCGACGTGTGGCCGTTCCAGTCGTGACCATTTGCTCCCTCTGACGGTGCTGAATCTTGCGGTATCCACGTCCATTGACCGGAAACTGTTTCAGTAACGATTGTGCATTGTCCTTCGCCTGCCCAATCGGCTGAAGAGCGTTCCGCTAATAATGAGATTAGTGCGATGCAGGAAGTGAGTGAAGTGAAAGAGTGCATTGCTCTTATAATGAGTGGCTTAGGTGAGTGACGGAAAATGACCAACAAGGAGTGTTCTGTTCACAATCTGACAGTAGGAAGGAGTACGTAAAGAGTGGGCACACCGAACGCGTGAATATATGACACAAACCTGGGGAGAAGCATGCTGTCGGTCGTCGTTAGGAATCGCCCATCGTTGCTGATCAAAGCCGTTGTACCCCGTGAACGCCTGCGACGATCCAGCTTGTGCCGGTCCAGGCGTGGCTTGGGAAGAATTGGATGGCGTTCAAGAGAGAGCGCACAGAAGCTCCTTAAGCGTGATAAACAAGCCTTGAAGAGACAAGCGTAAAGGCTACAGCTAAGTCCAGTCAAGCTTATCGCCACCGAATCTTACTGAGCCGATCAAGTGTCAAGAAGGGGGATTGTAACCGAGATCATGTCTAATAGATTAACGCCCCTAACTCCTCTACGGCCAGGCTTGGCTGCAATGAATGAGGGTTCACAGCTGGGCAACTGTGGCCGAGGCCCCAAAGGGGACCCCAAGTCCAAACTGACTGCTGCGAACGGGTGTCACACAGCGCTCCCTATGGCTCGCCCAGTGCTCGGGCGCGCTGCTCCCCCGGTGCTCCGTTACCCCTTTTTAGGACAAGCTCACTCGCGATCTCTTTGTAACCACTGGAAAGAGTCCGTTCTGTTGTGCCGTCGATCCACAGCTGAGAACCATAATAGCCGGACTGTTCTTGAGCGTAGTGGAAAGCGAGTTGTGTCTTGCCAATGCCGCCCATGCCCCAAAGAATGAAGGCTGAAGGCATCGTCGTCGCCTCTTTTCGTCCAGCTCGCATGGATGAAAGCGATCATCGATTCGGGTTCCGAATCTGGACCCCCTGGTCGAAACTGTCTCGGTACATAGACTTTACAACCAACAAAGGCAGAGACTTTTCTTATTTTGATCTTCTCATGGATTTCTGGCACTATCTTGGCACCCCATGGGGCTCATCCTAGAAGAAGTCGATGTCACTACTGACTGTTGGAATACTCCCACCGCCACCAATTGTCTTGCACTTTTGCATTCGCCTTTGCCCGCATTGACTGAAGACTTCTGTACACTGATTTGAACCCCGAGTCGTTCTCTGACAGGAACTTGGCCATGTTACTGTGATTACTGGGGATAGAGATGACTTGTACGTCCGCTGCGCCTGGTAATGCTGCTGAGTGCTGGGGCACAATCTGGATTCACTTAGTATAATTGCTCACGTACGTCTAGAGTCGTATCTCCCCACGACCACTCACCAACATATGTTTGCCTAGAATTACTGTATCATATTCTTCGTAGCAGAATACCATCTCAAAACGCTCCATCAAGGGAAGAAAATCTGTCGATTGGTCATCCAACCAAGAAGAATCTTCCTCAATGCTAGAGAGTATGGATGTTTTCGTTGTGATGAAGACAGACGCAGCGCGGGCCCCTCTCTTTGCTAGAGAAGCCACCTTACTTCCCTGTTGGGGCGTGCCCAGAAGGACAATGCCATACCTTGACAATATGAGAGCTCTGTTTGCTCGAACATGAGTCGAGGTGGACAGATTTTATAGGATCACAGGGTGGCCTATAGCTAGCTGACCTCGTTGTCATCTTGTTGATTCGTTCATGTGCCTCGAGCGCACATCTCCCTCCATACTATTTGTTCTTTTCTCTCCCTCGAACAGCTACATTGTGTCGGCCAGTAATAAAGGATCCTAAAAATGAGTTCCTCCTAGGCGGTTGTGTTGCTGTCGCAACTATTGCTTTAGTTAGTAAAGTCATAACAGCGTCCATTGACTACCTAGTCAAATCCTGCGGTACAAGTTCCGTTGCCCTACCATACCGCGGTCATGACGCCTCCGGCTTCTGCCCGTATACGACAACGCTAGAGATCGGATTAGCTTTTGGATCCTTTCCACACCGGGGGAAGGAACGGGGGTTTTCCCTACAATGAAACATAGCTGTGAAACCGTTGGTTCACAAGCTCCTTCCTCATCTGCGCCAGCAAGACCTCCAATTCCTCTCGCGTTTTGCCCAGGTTCGCTGTATAGCCCCGAAGCAAGAATGCCTGCGCGCCTTCCATGACATTCACCAGCTCCAACGCACCGACCTTCTTTAACCTCGGATCCCGAGCCCACGGAGAGGTGGGGATTTTGAAGATGTGCTCGTGGATGTTCTGGAAACCGGCCTCGGCCATCCACGACCTGTAGCTCCAAGGAGCGTCAGGCGCGGCCCCGATCCGAGCCGCGATCTCTTGGAACGTGTCGCACACCTCGACGTACGCTGATCCTTCCTTGGGCAAGGTGCCGTCATCGCTCTTGGGCACTGGCCACACGCAGGCAAGTTCGAGGTACCCTCCCGGCTTGAGGTGGCTGGAACCGGTGTTAATTAGTTTAGGCCGCTTTTTCGGGTTTGCTTTGGAACTGCTGCTCACCTGTACGCCTGCCCGATGAGCCTGGGCCAATCGCGAATCGAGTGGTAGAGATCTCGGCCATGGATATAATCGAATGAGTTTTCGGGATACAGCCAATCTTCTTCTGCATCATCAATTTCGAACTGGCAATTGGGAGGGACCCTATTTGTTTCTCATCAGCCTCTTTGAACCTCTTCGATTGAACCAGGAAAAACGCTAACCATGGGGGTTGGATGGGCGAAATATCCGTTCCGAGGACTATGGCCGACGGGAACATGTCGGCGAGGTAGATGGCAAAGATTCCTTACTACTGTGTCAGAACCTCTCTTCTCGAGCTTCGGGTTTCGTGGATTGCAAGTTAGAAGTAAGTACCTGTGCCGGTGCCAATATCTAACATCTTCTGGGGATTCGGAGGCAACGGGGCAAGAAATAGCTTGTTGTTCTGCAGCAGAGTGTACTTTTCGTGGTTCATGTCGATCCGGTCCAGCTCGTAATCGTCAACGGGCAAGCCATATTCTAATAATCCACGTTAAAAAGTCTTCGGAAGGGGAGTTGGGGACTAATATGCATATTACCATTTCGTCCGTACGCGGCATATACACGACCATTCTCAATCCGCCCGTTCCTGATCTCCGACCGGATCGAGGTACAGTAACTAGACGTGCTTTTGAAGGGTTTTTTCCGTCAGCGATATGATATGGGAGATTGAAGGCTGGCTCGGCCAAATCACCTCGATTCTGCAAAACCTTCGTCTTCCGGCGGCGACTGCAATATCGCGCGGTTCAGCAAAAACTCCTGGAGCAGAGCATGGATCGAACTTACGTCTGGCTCTATGGCCGCCTGCGTGATCTGCTGGTTCTGATTATTGTTGTCCGGTGGTGTGTCTGTCATTGTTTCGTCGTCTCTATTTTATCATGATGTTGTCTCATATGGAACAACCATCGTCTTGCGAACCATTGAGTTATTTGAAACTTAATCTAGGCGGAAACCACGGACGCTGTGTAGTCGGCGCTTGGGGTGACGCTTCCTGGTGAGTGGGGGAGTACTTTTGACGGGGGGAGTCTCTCCGGTCCGCCAGTGAGAGCACACACCTGAAGAAGCAACTGAGAAAGCTGGCTGAGGCTGGGATCTGGTGTATGGGGCAGTGGGCTGAGACTACCGGCACTGCCAACCCGAGAGCCGTGCCGATAGCGGCCGAGAATGGCGAATACTTAGGCTGAGTCGTCCAACTCTTTTTTGGCGACTCCAATTGACAGAGGGCCACGATGCAACCAAAACACCCTCGTATCTGCAACCAGCTCAATCGAGACGGTTGCCAACATACACTTCCCAATGCCAGTCACCTCCCGCCAAGCTAAGGGGAGCGCGGAGTCGCGGACGCCAGTCTTGCGTCCGAAGCGCCGCACCTAACTGCGCAAACGTGCATATCAACGTGCTTTGTTGTCTACAATCCGAGCCAGTCCCCATCTTCCCTTCACATGCCGCGCTCATGGGTGTCATGGTCCATGGAAGAGGTCTGATTGCAACTCCCGCGTAATCGTGCTGGCCTTGTGAGGGGCAGAAGGATCTTATCGAGGGGTTTCGATCCCCCTCATCGAAAGTAGAAACCTTGTCATCTGCTATGACGGTCTTTTATTCAGGCATCGATTGAACCCCTGGAAAAAGTTATTCAGCTTTCCGCCCGTCTCGTGGTCTGCTACAATGAGCTCCCAAGGAAACGACCCGCCCGCTTTGGATGTCGCCGCAAGTGAGCTCGTTGAGTCTCTCAACGCCCTGACCAATCAGATTTATGAGACCTCCAAGGACTACAAGGACCCCTCGGGGCAACAAGGTCTGCTGCTGCGTCAACGAATGACCAATGCGGCCCGGCAGATCATCAACGTCGTCCGGGAGCCTGGTGAGACGCCATATGAATTCTCGACACACGTGAGTGTTTTGGTCCCTCCCTATACACCCTGGACCATGCCCAACTGAGACTTGCTCCAGATGGCCGAGATGGGGGCGATTCGGATGTTTATGAAGATGAAAGCATTTGACAAGATTCCGTTGGAAGGAAGCATTTCCTACGAGGATTTGGCGGCCAGTCTCGGTGCTGAGGTGCCGCTCGTCAGTACGCTTGATTGGTTGCACATTTCGCCGAGACATGACTGACCGGCTGCAAGCTCGCATGGCTTGGATGATGGTGGCTACAGGTCAGTTCGGGTGGATATGACTGCGCTCGAGTCTCGTCGTCTCAACACGTTACAGGTTTCCTCCATCAAATCGGGGAGGACCGTGTCGCACATTCCCGGCTTTCAAAGCTCTATGTCTCTGGAAACGCCCAAGGGGTCTTTTTCCAGATCATGTAAACCTCCCGCCCCCCTCGCTTCGTGCGATGTGTGACACTGAGGACTATTCTGTTTCCAGGTTCGATGAAGCCATGGTCCCATGGGTCCAGTGGCCGCAATTCTTCACCAAGTACGGTCTGAAAGAACCCAAGTTGGGGAATCACAATCCCCACTCGTTCGCTTGGGGCGACCCGGAGAAGAATTTCTGGGAGGTCATCAGCAAGGACTCGAAACGTCTGGTCGATTTTAATCAGAGCATGAATACGCTCGACGAGGTGCTGCCGGTGACGGGCATGTACGATTTCAGCTGGATTGCGAAGAACACGGAAGGTCCCGAAGACAGACCGCTGATCGTCGATGTCGGCGGTGGCAAAGGCCAGGCCCTCAAGCGCATCATGGCTGCGTTTCCCGAGATCCCAGCCAAGAGACTGGTGTTGCAGGACCGGGCACCGGTCATTGAGGAAGTCATTCAGGCCAACGAACCCGGTTTTGAAGAGGTCAAGAAGATTCCGCATGATTTCTTCCAGCCGAACCCTGTCAAAGGCGAGTTCTATCTCCCCTTCTCTTCCTTCCTTCCCACCTCGCCTTTCCCTCCGCGAGTCTAACCCCCCTTTTTTTCCTCCTTTCCAGGCGCTCTCGTCTACTACATCCGGCGCTGCATGCATGACTGGTCCGACGAGAACGATCGCATCATCCTCTCTCACCTCGCCGACGCCATGGCCCCGGACTCCAGAGTCCTAATCACCGAGCAAGTCATGCCCAATCCGCCCACGGCCCTGAATGCCTGGACCGATCTCTGCATGATGAACCTCGGTGGCAAGGAGCGGACCGAGAAGATGTTCGATGACCTGACAGCGAGTGCTGGGTTGAAGATGGTCGGCGTGCACAAGAGCTTGGCGACTGACGTTGCGGTTATCGAATGCGTCAAGGTGTGACCAGACAGAGAGGGAAGTGTTAAGTTGGACGCTGGTCTAGACACATGGCCCACAGCCTGATTCGAGGTCCCGCCCCCAAATATATACAGCAGGCGCGTATGACACTATCCTCAGAAGACTATCAAGTATGAATCTCCTTAATTCCCTCTCTTGTAGAGTCACCTACTCGCTGTTCCATGTGTGAGATAATGTAGCATCCTATGGAATGTTCTTCCCGATGAACTCCTTTGCCTTGTGGCTGGAGGGAGTCCAAAAAGGTGCATTTGAAGTATCTTGATTGAGATTGGAGGTCAGCCGAGAGCAGGTTGATGTTAAGGGGGGGGCTTTGCCGTTTCTCGTCATCAAGCGAAGATTGAGGAGAGGTTCACCTGGGCCCGAAGAGGCCAGAATTCCTGTGAGGGTGTTGGATCCGGCGAGGCACGTCTGCCTGCAGCAATCGGTGGCGGCGCAAAGGTGACCGACGGGCGGTTTGAGCCATGTGAGGGGCCTAGGGTTCGCTGATCGGTTGCTGCGATATTAAGGCGCGGAGAATCAGTTTCATTTTCCACTGCTGGGTCGAACGACATGGGCCAATCAGCATAACCGCGAGGATGTGGCTTGGCACAGCACAGCCTTGCTAGTGGAGCATATATGTGTAGGGTAGGTCCGGAGAGAATCGATGTTCGAGGCCGAATGTGCACTACACAGATGTCCTTTGGTTGGGTGAGGGAACGCCCGGGTGGTCTGAGACATGCATTGAGTTGCTACGAGTACTTTTGCTGTGAGCTCGAAGACCGGAAATTGCAGCCTATTTTGGCCCCAATGGCACGCCACGTAGGTAGGTAAAAGGTGGCTGGTAAGGCAAAAAAAGGCAGCTATTGGGAACATATACCTAAGACTGAATTCCATCCTGCCCCGCAAAATACGTCTTAACAAAGGCATTCGACTGAACAGGATACCGTATACAACGAGCAAACCTTGTCGCAGATGAACTCTCAGATCAAAGAACCCTACCTTTCGAAGCCACTCGGACTCGATGATCGATCCATTCGCTTGCTCGTTGTCCATCCGCCTTCCACCTCGGACAACGATGGGGGACCTCTAAAGGCAGATTTGACGGTGGCCCAACTCGACGAGCATCCGGTCTTCTCTGCGTTATCCTACGTCTGGGGAGTGAAGGCCTCCAAGCCTCGGGATATCAAATGTGGAGGTTTCCCAGTCAATCTGACCGACAATTGCCATTCAGCCCTGCAACATCTGAGGCGACGCCTAGGGTCATTTACCATCTGGGTAGATGCCATTTGCATCAATCAGGATGACGAAGCCGAGAAATCAAGACAGATACGCCTGATGAGTGCCATCTACCGAGGCGCGACAGAAGTCTTCATCTGGCTGGGCGATGGAAACGAGAGAACCAACAGGGCCATGTCATACCTGGAAGCTTATGGACCGCTCGAGCGTGGCTTCATGAGACTAGCAAACAAGAAGAGAGACATTGGATTCTGGTCGCCAGTTTCCACGCTCTTCTCGCTCTACATCACCCGCTGGATGCCGCATATGCACCTGCCTCCACCAAAAAGCTACGTCAAGCCAGGGTCGCCAAAAGAGACTTGGTACCGAACTCGGACAACGTCAGGAGTGGTTTTCGCTTCGGCTGAAGATATAACTGAGCTCCTGGACAGAGAATGGATCAAGCGAATCTGGACATACCAGGAACTCATGCTCGCCAACAATCCAATCCTGGTTTGTGGCGACCACGCCATTTCATGGTCTGATCTCGCCATGAAACTGGCTACTTTTCACTACACGAGAATCGAGTCAACTTCACCTACCCTGACTGCTTGGAGACGCATAACACTCACCAGAAAACATGTACAGGCCCAGCTGGAATTTTCAGCAGCTTCTCCTAAAAAGGCTGACAATCATCCATTTCTCAGAATCGACTTGGGAGACTATCACCAGTTCCTTGAGGTCATCTCTGGCATAAAACGTTTTGTTGGAACAGTCTTTACTCTGGTTTCTGCAGTACTCCTTTTCTTCTTCCTCGGCCTCGGCTTGGTCTTCATGTCTACCATGGTGTCCTTGCTAGATGAACTGGGACCAGCAGAACCACCCGACAAAAAAAACGTCACCAATTTTAGCGGTGGCCAGTGTCAGCAGGAACATACAGATACTAAGCACTGTAAGATCAGCAGCCTAGTTCACTACGCTCGAGGTTGCGGTCTATTTCTCGCGGGGATCAGTGGCTTCGCCGCCTTCGTGTTGATCGACTCCAAGATTGGATATGTTGCGAAGACCCCACCCGGAGACGCAGTGTTGACCAAGGGCCAGAAGGAAGAAGATTCCAATCTGCACGATCTGATTGACGCTGTTTGTACACGAAACGCCACAGATCCCAAGGACAAGGCGTTTGGGTTGTACCCAATTCTAGAGGAACTCCTTCAGCAGAGGCTTCCCATGCCGGATTACAGTCTCCCAATCGGACAAGTCTACCGCGCTCTAACTCTCTACCTCCTCCAAGCCACAGACTCGATGCTCATCATCTTGGTAGCGGCGACGCACAACGTGGCTGGCGAACCATCATGGGTAGTGGATTGGTCGGCAGAATTTCCACGCTTTTGGTTGAGGCCATCGCTCATCACTGGCAAAAGCAAAGATCTGCAAAAAGTGGCAACGGATACAGCTAATGGAAGGCACTGGCGCCCACTCAGTGAAGCAGACGACAAAGTGCTCGTCGTCCAAGGACAAAAGCTGTGGACGGTACGAACATGCCTCAGTCTCCAAAGAACAGCGAGCTTTTATCGGGAAACTGACGATGCGTGTCATCTTCACAATCTCCACGTTATAATGTGCATCCTCAAGGAGAGGTCAGCGCAGATACTCAAAGACCTCCTTAGCGACTCGTGGAACCACCCAGACTTGCCGGACGACATCGGTCCCCTGAATCAAGTAGCATACTGGAAATTCCTTCGCAGGAATATATCCAAACCAGCCGCGACAATGCTGCAACTTCTCAAGAAGAGGAAGACAGGGAAAATGTTTCTGTCCTTCCATCCAGGGACAGTGTACAAGCGAGGGCACAGGACGTCTAATGCTGAGATCTTTCGCACTCATATCGCAATCTGCAATAGTCTGGTGCGAACAAACAGAATGTTTTTCTCGGCCGTAGACATCGACGACGAGGGCGAAATGGGCGATATGAAGAAGTCGAGTAATAAAAAACGTAAAGGTTGGGGAGTCTGTCTCCATCGAGTTCAAGTCGGTGATGATGTGATCCTTGTCCAGGGACTCGAAGTACCGATTGTCGTACGTCGCAACGCTGAATACCACCACCAACTTATCAGTCCCGCTGTCGTATTGCAGGTCCCAAAGATAGACGATAAGAGTTCGGAGGACAAATGGTACATTTCATGAAAGGACTTGGACGCCTGGGGGGCTTCGATGGGAAACTGCTGACGCGTGAGCTGTGTGTGGCGGTGAAATAGGGGCTAGGGAAAACAGCAAAGCGACGATTTCTCTGTCAAATAACTAACTTCTGCGAATAGGTATCCTCAAGTACCGGTGAGGCTCCCGTTTATAAAGGGGGCCCCCTGGGGCCTGAACTAGCTTCTGTGGATGGGCATCAGGATAGGGCTCCATGTGGCTCACCCAGTGCTCGGGCATGCTCCCCCGGCACTCCCCCGTACTCTGCCGTGGCTCCCTCGACGCTCTCCCGTGGTCGGCCGGGCGAACCCGATGCTCCGTTACGTGCCCTAATTAAAGCGGCTTCGCTCTGTTGCTTGAACGAAAATGGTAATGGACGAAGCACGGGTCGGGGTATATATAAAGTGTATATATCTATCTGTCCCTCCTGCTCATTCCATTGTGCCCAAGTCCTCGGCCACGGTGAACTTCGCACTGGTCTTGTCCCTGACCATATCGACGGTGACGCCCTCGGCGGTCTCCTTCAGGAGCAAGCCCTTGCCGCCGACCCTGTCGACCTCGAAGACGGCCAGCTCGGTGATGATCATGCTGACGACGCCCTTGCCGGTCAGGGGCAGGTCGCAGACGTCGACGATCTTGCTCCGGCCGTCCCGGTCGGTGTGGTAGGTGCAGACGATGATCCGGGTCTGGTCTGGGTTGCTGACCAGGTCCATGGCGCCGCCCATGCCGTTGAAGGCCTTGCCCGGGATGATGTAGTTGGCCAGGTCGCCGGTGGCCGAGACCTGGAGGGCGCCGAGGATGGAGACGTCGACGTGCCCGCCGCGGATCATGCCGAAGGACTCGGCCGAGTCGAACGTCGACGCCCCGGGCACCAGCGTCACCGCCTCCTTGCCCGCGTTGACCGTGTCGGCGTCCGCGGCCTCGCGCGTCGCCGGGTACGGGCCCATCCCGATGATGCCGTTCTCCGACTGCAGCCACACCTTGGTCGATGCCGGCAGGAAGGATGGGGCCAGCGTCGGGATCCCCACGCCCAGGTTGACGTAGTAGCCGTCGTGGAGCTCCTTGGCCGCGCGGCGGGCGATGCGGTTGCGCTTGACGGCCTCGGGGCTCTGCTCGGCGGTGGTGGTCTGCTGCGTGGTGGACGCGAGGACGAGCTTCTCGATGTGCTTGGGCGACGTGGCGGGACAGATGCGGTCGATGTAGATGCCCGGCAGGTCGATGTGGTCCGGGTCGAGGGCGCCGACGGGGACGATGTGCTCGGCCTCGACGATGGCCAGGCGGGCGGCCTTGGGCATCAGCACGCCGTACGCCTTGGTGGTCGTGCGGAAGACGCAGTTGCCGGCCTCGTCGGCCTTCCAGGCCCGCACGATGGCCACGTCCCCGCGCAGCGCCGTCTCCATCATGTACGTCCGGCCGTCGAAGAGGCGCGTCTCGCGCGCCCGCCCGGGCTCCACGACGCCGTGCTTGCCCGTCTGCGGGTCCTTGGGCCCCAGCCGGTGCGGGATGCCGCCCGTCTCGATCAGCGTGCGCGCCCCCGTCGCGGTGAAGAAGGCTGGGATGCCCGCCCCCGCGGCGCGCAGGCGCTCGGCGATCGTGCCCTGGGGACAGAGCTCGATCGCCACCTGGCCGTCGTGGTACTGCTGGCCGAGCGACTTGTTGTTGCCGATGAAGGACACGATCATGCGCGAGATCTGGCCCGTCGAGGTCAGCTTCGCGAGCCCATACTCGCCCGCTCCCGCGTTGTTGGAGACGACGGTCAGATCGCGGGTGCCTTTTTTCTTAATAGCGTCGATGAGGGTTTCTGTAGGAGACGCCCCGGATGGTCAGCTTCTACCTTGACTCAAGAGCTTCTCCCTCGGACAGATCAAGAGAACAGCAGCAGTTCGAGCTGTTGGGAGAATCCGTCTAGACACTGGTACACGCACCTGCAACGCCACAGAGCCCAAAGCCTGCACTCAGGATGGTGGACCCGTCCGGGATGTCGGCGATGGCATCGTCGGCGCTCTTGAAGACTTTGGACGCCGCTCTGTCGATGACGGGAGCTTGTTGGGGTCTTTGCCGTGAGGCGGCATCTTGTCGCTGCTGCTCTCTTCGACTCGATTGGGCGCTGAAACATCGCTTCTTCAGCTGTCTCCTCGGAGCAAGAGATGCCAAGGGCGACGACAACGATAAAACGCCAATTCTCCGCAACCCAGCAGTTTCGTGTGTCCGCGACAATGATGATGATGATGATAACGATGATGACGACGACGCGAAGCCCCGTACAATAGCCCTTCGCGAGCTCGCGCTCTCCACTAGGAGCGACATGAGCGGCAGCACGCTTTTCTTCTTCCTTTCTTCTTTCTCGCTCTCTCTAGCCTTTCACACTCGCGCCGTCAGGCTCTACTGGACAGAGAAGTTTCAGAGCTAAGTCAACAAAGTCACCCGCGAACAGATCGACTCGCCGAGTGCGGAGGAAACGCCATTGCTGGTACTCGGTACTTCGATGGAGGCCGCGGTGGGGAAGGGGCCTGATTGGCAGATCCGGGTGTTTTCCGCTCTCGCTCGGGTATTGATCTGGATGCCGAGTGGAGAAGGGCAAGGATGCTTGTTTGGGACGGGTCGGCAGCTTGATAAACGTGAGAAGTATCCAGGTGGGAGGATATCAGTACGAGTAGATAAGTATACGGTGCTCCTACTAATGCTCTGAAAGCGTGAGATGGTAGCAGTGATCTTATTCAGGCAAAGGCGCTAACCAACTACATCAGCAATCAACACAAAGACAGTATATCCATCTCTACGGCAGCCCCATCCTCTTGGTCGTCCGCTCATTGTGGCCCCAAGCATCCACACTGCCGTCGTGCACGGTACACCTCCTCATGTCGCGGGCGTATTTCTCCATGAAAGTGCCCTCGCCCGCCTTGTGCATGACACAGGTATTGTCCCAGACGACCAGGTCGCCCTCGTTCTCCCACTCGACGCTGACGAGGTACCGGGGCTGCGCGGCGTGGGCGAGCAGTCTCTCGATGAGTGCGGTCCCCTGGGATTCGGGCACCCGTTCGAACGGCTGCTTCGGGGTGGGCACAAAGTCGGCGGACTTGGGCGTCTTGTACTCCAGGTGATGCATGTGGTTGGCAATGTAGAGGTTCTGGCGGCCGCTGGGCCGGTGCGTCTGGACCACGTCGTGGCGTCCAAAGGGGAATTCTTCCGGGTTGACGTCCTTGAGCCACGGGCTGTCCTTGGGGGCGGCCTTCTTCCGGGAATGCATCAGGCTGTGAGCGCCGATGTACTCGTTTTCTAGCAGGTCCTTGCGCAGATCTTCGGGCAACTCGTCGAAGGCGGTTCTCGTGTCGGCAAAGTCAGTGTTACCGCCGTGACCCCTAGGCGGAAGTTGATGGGCGCGAAGCAGACTGTAGCCGGCTCGTCGGGGGTTGAAACTTGAGTCCACATGGAATATCGAGTTGCCCTGATCCAGGTGAGTCAGCTGTTTCTGGACATTGAGGAGGTCACTCTTGCTTACCAGACCCATGTGATGGCGTTGACTTCCGATTTTAACAAGCTGTCCGTCGTCCTCTTGGTTAGAAACGTCAAACAGCTCATCAAAGGGGAATCGATTCTTGCGACCGAGAGTGAGGTATGGCTTGACGTCGTCTAGTTCACCGAAGAGGGCAGAGAAGGCGACGTGTCGGGCATCATCGAGACCAGCATTGCGGAAGACAAGCACTCCATACTGCCGAGATTATGTTAGTTTGCAGAACGTGAAAGGTAGGGGAATTATCATCGATGTTGAAAAGCGGCAATATAAAGGCTATTCAGATGACAAGACAATACAACGGACTTACGTCGACGATGGCGCGGCGGATCTCATCAAAGACCTGCTTCTCGACGGGCTTGGAGAAATCCACACCAGTGACCTCAGCCGCAAATGTTGGCGCGAGCTGCTTAACCGTGATATGGTGGTACTCGGAGTCTGTCGCGTGAGGCATGGTGGATGGTTGCAACACAGAGTCAAGGGTGATGATGCAGGGTCGATGCTCGTATAGTCGGTCCTCCGGGCAGGATGATCCCAAGTGCAGCTTGTCGCCTTAAGGGCGTCGTGGCTTCTACGTCCGGATTCAATTGCAGTAGAGTTACCACCCTCTGTGAGGACAGTCCTGGACGAGCTTGTCAAAGAAGATGATGAACCGTCAATTAATGCCGCCCCCGCGGGAGCAAAGCGAGGCCAACGAGAGATAAGCGGCTTCCTCGACAACGAAGATATCTCGGAGTTTCCCGCACACGCAGCAGCAGCAGCCCGTCAGCAGGTAGTATGATAAGATATATATCGGTATTTTCATAACAATAGCCAGAGTCAGGAGACAAAGGGGGTTTTTTTTTCCCTTGGCTGGACGGCAACGCGGGTATCCGGAACCAATTGCTGCCAGACACAGCAGCTGCAGTCGAGTCAGTTTGGAGATGTTGTTGTATAACTGCCTCCCCCCAGTGCCCCCTCCCCCCGCGGGGTGATGGAGATACCGAGGCTGGGTGGGAAAAGGGGCTCATCCCCCATATTTGTGGAGAGGAGCAGCGATTTGCGGGGGTCGGTAACAGCTCGTAGTACTTCACCCCCTTGTCCTACGACGGTGCAACAAAGTCCACGAGATTGGTCAATGCTGCTCACAAGCTGAGTGGAGGAGAGAGCGAGACTGCTGCAAGCACGAGGTCAAGACGAAGACAGGGCAGACTGCTCGGCCTTCATCGCACCGGATCACTCACCGATGTTCTCTGAGAGATTGTCACTCGTGCACGCGGGGACAGAAGCAGATGACCTCCTGCAGTCTCATCGGTGTGCCGTGGTTTCCCTTTCAACCTCGGTGGGCAGAACCCAACGGCTGTCTGCCAACTAGACCAAACGCCCGTCTTGTGCAAGCAATGCCATGGCTGGATATTCCTTACCGGCAACCCTCAGGCAACCAACTAAGAAGGGTGTAGGAGGGCAGTCCACATCCCATAACCCTAGGGGGGTTGCATCCAGAGACTCGGAAAGCAGAATTCGACCTGGACCTTGCACCAGCTGGTGGACCATCTCCCAGGTCCTGTCCATCTCCATTCCCCAGCTCACAGATCAGCCCGCCACCTGATGCCGCCACGTTCTGGGCGTGCGGAGAGATCAACATGCATTTCCTGAATGAGGAGAACCAGAAAACAACTCTGCGCAAATCGCTTCTTCTTTTAGTGCTTCTTGAGGCCTGCAGGAAAGCCCTTGCTACTCTGGTTCCGGCGGATCTTCACCTGGGTCGACAGTCACGGTCTCGCCAACCATTCACACAAGCATAGGCGAATGCAGGGACTGCATGGCGAGACGGAGCTGTCCAGAACAACGGGCTGACAACCCCCGTGCGCTCGCCGGTCTCTACGCCGATCCGGCAGAGAGGTTGGCTAGTTGGGATTTCCAGAGGGAGAACTTCAAATACCGACGGGAGCCACGCATGGGGAGGACGTGGATCCCGACGCTTCTTCTCGCTGTCCCTCCTACTTCGACTCGCGGGTCGTGAGACACTCAGAAACCCGCCTGACCGAGTCCAACACCTGCCTTGAAGAAGGATATTGTCTATCGAAGGCGGACAGGGACAGATCACATCATGGCGGGTATCACAACCCTTCCAGAACCCATCACAATGTCGAAAGAGATGGACGTCCACTCTGAAGGCATCCACGTCGAGAAGGTCTCGGAGCATGAGCAACTCGTCGCGAGACTGAACAATCTCGACCCTCCAGTGACGCAAGAAGAAGTCAAGCGGGTGAGGAGGAAGATCGACCTCCGCCTCCCACCCTTCCTGATGGTCCTGTACATCTTCACATGGCTTGACCGCGGAGCGTTGGGTCAGTACCTTTGAAGTGTCGCGCGTGCCCGGTAGATGCTGACCAGCTGAAACCAGGTAATGCTGCCCTGATGAACATCAAAACGGACCTCAACCTCTCCGGGGCGCAGTACAGTCTCGCCGTGAGCATGTTCTTCGTGGGCACCTGCGTAGCCGACGTGTTTACCAATGTCGGAATGCGATACATCCGTCCCAGTCTCTATCTCTCAGGAGCTATGGTAGGCCCTGTCCTGGGCGATTTCGGGAAGAGAAGATGTGAGTTAATTTGGTGAGAACAGATTGTCTGGGGTATCATGGCTACACTCCAGGCGGTAGCTGGTGGCGCCTCAGGGTTGTTTGCCATCAGATTCTTCCTGGGCGTCTTTGAGGCCGCCTTTATTTCAGGGGCGCCATATTTGACAACAGTCGTAAGTACCAAATCCTCTATCGCTTGCGACACCGTGCCATAGTTTCAGTATAAGCATATGCTAACAGCGACTTGCAGATGTACCCCCGAGCCGTGAGTTCTCGTTCCCACCGAACTTTGTGACCATGCAGGCTGAATAGATCTAGGAATGGGGCAAGCGCATCTGCATCTACCTCTCTGCAACGCCCATCGCCGGCGCCTTTGGCGGCTGGATCGCGTGGGGCGTGGCTCACATCTCCAGCCGCCACATTGAGAACTGGCAAATCCTGTTCATCCTGGAAGGACTGCTCACGATCGCGTTCGGGATCCTGTGCATGTGGGTGCTGCCCGACCGCCCGCACAACACGCGCTGGCTCAGCCCGCGCGAGCGCGACGTGGCGGACTGGCGAATGATGAACGACGGCAACCGCACGCACGGCAAGGTGCACTGGGCGGTGGTGGGCAAGCAGCTGCAGGATTGGCGCATGTGGATGAACATCGCCATCTACATGTGCCAGGTGATCTCGACGTACACGATCGCGACGTTCACGCCCATCATCGTCAACACCATGGGCTTCGACAAGGTCAAGGCGCAGCTGATGGTCGCGCCGCCGTACTGCGTCGCGTTCGTCATGGTCTTCGTCGTGGGCTACCTGTCGGACCGTTTCAAATCCTGCTCGGGCATCCTGGTGATCAACTCGGTCGTCGCCGCCGTGGGCGACCTGCTGCTCGTGCTGCTGCCCGCGCGGTACAACCACGCCCGCTACGGCGCCACCTTCCTAACCCTGACGGGCATCCTGTCCGGCGTGACCCTCTCGGTCGGCAACATCACGGGCAACTGCTGCGGCGACATCAAAAAGGCCATCGCCACCGGCCTGTTCCAGGCATTTGGCTCCACCATGGGCGTGGCCACCGGCTACCTGTTCCCCCAGAAGGACGGCCCCGCGTACAAGACCGGCTTCTGGGTCTTGTTCGCCTGCACCTGCTTCACCGGCACGGGCTCGGCCGTCATGACCTTCATCAACGTGCGCGAAAACAGGAGGCGCGATGCCCTGACGGGCCCGCCGCCGACGGATCGCGTCATTGACTTTGACGAGGGTGGGTTGATGGAGAAACACCCCCACTGGAGGTATTATAGGTGAAATGGCGGACCGGTCAGAGCGTGAAGTGGTGACGATTCTCAGCGTGGACAGGCCGGTGAATGGGATGCATAAGTCAGGGCCAAGGGAGAGAGGAACACTGATGGATGGGTCTGGAAAGTCTCATCGCACATCATTGAAGGGGGAACAGTGCTCCTGGGCACCCGATAACCATATATCGACAGATCCAGGTCTAGCGAAATGTTGGAAGAGTGCTATCGACCAACCCAGCGATGGAATGAATCCATGTCTCTCGCGACTACATTCTCCCTCTCCTTCTGCTGTTATTCTTCATCCTCACTTCCATCTAACCAAATACTCCCGGGAAGGTGCACCAAGTCAGGTCTTCGAGGCTAGTTATCGGGTAGAGAGAAGCAAGGCGCTTCTAGCATATCAACGTATGTTCTTATGCTTTTTCGAATGAACAAGACTTTGTCCCTGTCGAATAGTACTATTTGTCAAGTGAGGGAGCACAGCGATTCTAAAAAGTAGGGCTACTTGAGTCAGGGGGAAACCGCTGGAATACATGTAGATGACAAGGTATTTGCCAGCCTTGGTATACGAAGCGGCGCACTGTTCAGCGTCCACGTCTCTTACTGAGAAGGCCAGCCTCGCTTGGACCGTCTGGTCTATCTCCAAAATACCACCATGATGGCAGTCCGCCATGTATGATTCTCAACGCCATGAACCATCCACCCCCCTTTTAATCGTTGTAAGCCCCTGGCCAAAGCCAACCCATCCTCCATACGGCCCAAATGCAAAACCCAGTATTCTAAACCTGTCGCGGAATAATGCTACATGGCGCACTCGTGGATCCCACCGGGCCCAAGCTCGTTATACTCGCTCCGGCTCAAGAAGCCCTTGCTGTTGCCCTGGTCCACAATAAAGACCACCTTGGCAGCCACTTGAGCTCCCAGGAACCCAGCTTCTTCCATGCCAGACATGGCCGGGTTCTTCCACTCGGGGAAATATTCGGGAGGTTTGACGAGTTTGATGGAGATTGGCGCTTGGGAGAATCCTCGGTGGTGGTGAGATAGCGTCGACATGGGGTTGTTGGGATCAGACATGCCCATTGCCGTTGGCGTCCCGCCAAGAGAAGGGTTCATTCCGGGGACTTGGAGGTGGTGCGATTGCGTATTAGGCTGCATCATGTTTTTGGTCGCGGCAACGAGCAAAGGATTGACGCCGTGACCTCCGGGATGGTGGAAAGGGTGGTTTCCCTGGCCAGGAATGGGCGTGTTCGTTCCGGGCGTGGCGACTGGGGTTGTGAAATTCGAGGGAAGCTCGGAGGTGAATATCGTGGCGGTTGACGGAGACAGGATATATCGTGAATTGAGCACGGAAAGAAGGTTAGCCGTGAAGCCTGTTGGCAAAGAAGAAAGCAAGTTAGTAATAGTAGCATCTGTCAATTCCAAGTCAAAGCTCACCTCTGATCCGGCTTCCATTACCCAGTATGATTAGATTGTCCCAGAGAGTTGCCCGCTGGGGAATGTCGGGAACGCTCATAACGGTATGATGGATCGCCTCCGCGATTGTGTCGACGATGCCCTCGCATGCTCCTGGCGGGGGAGTCGCTGCCATGAATCGTTCCACCCCAACTTCAATCTCTCGCTTTCGTTTTCGACTCAAGGGTTGATCGCCATCCGTCGACTCCTCCACGGGGATGAAGTCCACATATATAAAAGTAGCTCGTTCTCGTTCTGAGTTTCGCAGTCGGATTTGCCTGGCAGCCTCGGCGGCGCCACCTTTCTTCGCAGCGGCCTTCTCGGCCTTTTCCCGTTCTCGCTTCGCCAGCACCTCGGCGGCATTGTCGCGCGCAACGATAGCTGCGACGTCAAGAACACCTTCGTTGTCCTCGTCGTCGCCGTTGGGACCTTCTTCACCTACCACGGTTCCCGTGCCCGGGCCGCGAGGCGCCTGACCGGGTCTCAGTCCCTCGCCATCCTTCGCATTCATTCCAGAATCCAAAGCTCCTGTAGATGCCGCGGCAGCCGGATTGGCAGCAGGGACAGCTGTGCTGATAGAGGTGGACTTGGGATACGGAGTGCCAACGGGCAAAATCTCGCAGATCGGGCTCTTTTTCAGTTGCTCTGCCATATCTTCGTCGAACCCCTGGTTCTCCAACACCTGCTGCAGCCGGAGCGTCATGGCGCGTCCACCACAACCGGAAAGCGCGATGCCCCTCCCGATATCGTTAACCTGAAACTCCGTGACCGCACTGACATCACATTTCTCATGTCCGACATCCAACACCAACGCCGTCGGCACACCATATGCATAGCAGGCCGTTAGCGCGGCATCCATGAGACAAAAGGCTGGGATCTTCCAGTTTTCAAAGACAAATTGAGTAATCATTTCATGATCTTTGGCGCTCCAACATGGTTGTGCTACAAAGAGGACCGGCATATGGAAGGGGGGAGACATCATATTGTAGATGTGCGAAAGGAGGGCGAAAAAACATGACCAGTTCTCGATGCGCCCTTCTCTGATCGGGTAGACGGCGCCCTCGGTGGACCAATGGTCGTCCTCGAAGGTTTCGATGGTTTCCTCTTCGACATCGGCCGCGGCTTCTCCTTCTTGTTGAGGGTCGGGTTGTGCTTCTTGCTCGGGCGGCGGGACCATTTCAGTATCCTCGGTCTCGGGCTTCGAGGTTTCTTCGCCCGCAGGAGCCTCTTTCATCTCAACATCTGTCGACGGAGCAGGCTGATCTTTCGGCTCTTCGACTTTGGGTTGCTCTTCGGCGGCCTCTTCCAGCTTGAGCTTTGCTTCTCCATTCGGCTGCTCCTGTTGCTCTTTTACAGGTGATTCACCATTTGTTTGCTCAGTCTTGGCCCCTTCACCGTTTACTTGATCGCCATTTGCTGGTTCAGTCTTCTGCTCCTCGCCATTCGTGATAGAAACATCCGGTTTGGCATCGAGGTCAATAGGTTCTGGCTTAGGGGTCGCAGATGCGGGCACGGGGTCCGGTTCGACGACTTTCGGCTTCGTTATGATCTTCGTCCTGATCTTTACGGGTTCCCATTCACCAGGCTTCGCGCCCGGGAACATGCGCGTGGGGAAGCGATATCTCGGGGGCGTGAAGGACTCGGGCAGCCCAAGTTGCGCGGCGGTGATTTGCGACCCGGGCGCAATTATCTGGGGGCGAGTCAGCGAAAGTGGTCTCTTGGTGTTGCTCTGTGCGTGCGGAAGTGAAACTTACGAGCACATGCTCATCTTTGAATGGAGGCATCGCGGGGTCGAGCGATCACATTGATCTCTCCTCGTCAATGCGGCTGGCGCGACGGATCGCAACTCTTGGGGGACATTTTCTGTCGCGCCGCCAAATCAACTGCGGACTGCAACGCGAGGCTTTGCCAAGAAAGTACTTACGTTTCGAGCTGATATGATCCACGTTAGACGGCGAAAGAGTGCACTTGATCCACCGAACCTACGACGACATCGGAAACTTGATATCAAAATCATCCTTCCAGAAACGCGGAGACCTGGTGAATTGTAGTAGCAATACATTATGATCGTTATGTTCCGTAACCGGACTGAATCCATCCACCGAATACTTCGTCTATGTCTCAATCACCAAAGCATCAGATGCTGAGGCACCCCTCCATGACCACCATGAGCTTGATTCAGATGTGCGTAGCATTCCGTGCTGGTCCCGAAGACTGCCATACACACCCAGCAGAGGTGCGACTTACACCCTCCGCATGTCATATGATTGCATCCGTCCGTCTTCTCGATCCGCGTCGTACATTTGGGGCAGTCTTTGATGTTCAATTTTCTCTTCAGTTCCTCGAGAGCTTTGTAGCCTCCCGATGCAATGTCTTTGTACTCGGCACATGTTTGGCCGTCATGCCGTGTATGGCAGGATGTGCATACGGGCACCAGACAATTGGGACACATGTAAGCCGGAGGCTTCGAGTTTGAGGCGGGAGTGCAGCGATAGATATATCCGCAGTCTGGCTCGGGGCAGTAGTGGAAGGCGTCGGGGCGACGTTGGACGTACTCTTCGAAGGACGACTTGAGCACACTTTCGAAGACAGAGGACGAGAGTCGTTCCTTCAGCTCTTGTAGTGTGAATATGGTCGGGCAAGTACATCCATCACCTTGGCACTTGACTTGAAAATCGGCTTTGCTGGTTGATGCCGCAGATTTGCAGCTGTCTTCAAAACACTCGAGGCAGTAAGTGTGCATGCATGAGGTTTGAACAGGGGTTTCTGCCTCACAGAAGCAGATCGGGCAGTCCCCTTCCGGCGAAGATGGGTTTGCGGCGCTGGCACGGATTTCTATACCATCTGCGCCATTCAAGATCGCCAAAGCCATTTCATATTGTTTCTTTGTACCACCAACTGTAAGCCTCTTCGATACCACGTCAAGGACGGCCACATTCTTGCCCAGAGCTTGTTCAACGTACTTGAAGCCCCCTTGGACCATGCGCGAAAACTGATCGGGTTTGAGGTCGATCTTGTAGCTTGGAGACGATTCTTCTTTGAGCGCTTCGCTGATCTGAGTAACAGCCTGCTGGTATTTCTCGAGAGGTCCGTAGAAGCAAAGCTGGCATTTCGCTTTGTCTCTGCGGACAAGTATTCCAAGTTCTTTCTCAATCGCCTTGACTCTCTTGTGTGCGCTTCCATTAGTCCTAAGTGCTGATGTCCAGATTGGATCTTCGCCATTCTTTAGGACAACTCCCTGCGAAATTTGATCAAGCGTTTTGCGGGCATTGGCCACTTCGTTGGGGTTGTCGCCCTCAACCTTTAGCACTGTAAACCCTGGCGGGCTATCCACGTACACATGACATGCCAGATGTCGTTCTCTCCAGATCTTTCTTTCCTCATCAAATCTGGTCTCCATGGCTAAGTAGAATGGCGTTTGAATCTTAATCTTGGTTGACTGCTTCAGTGTTACAGTCAACTTTCCCTTCTCAAGGATAGAAAGCTGCTCGTTGTTGAGTGAGCATGCCGACATAGCATCTGCCTCATCCTGAAACAAAGCTACAGCCTTTACCCGTTTACCCATGGATATGGGCTCAAGATAAAAGTTCTCCAGCCGGCCGTGTTTTTCCAGAAGGCACCGAACTTCGACACTGACTTCTGCATCGGAAGCTCGGTAGCTCGGGCGTGAGGGTTCAATATGTCGTGGTTTGTCATACGACGCTCGGATGCTTTCTTCAACATCAGTACGTGTCGCAGGGCCAGGCACGTCGCTTAAGGTAATAGTCCACGCAACAGGGTTGTGCGAAAATCCGCCTCGCCTCCATCCAGTGTCAGCTTCCTTGGCTTTAGAACATTTGACAGATTGACCTAGAACCTTGTAACGACCGTCGGCGAATTTCTGGGCAACTCGGTCCGCGATACCGCCATTTCCATAGTTTACCCAAACACTTCGCGTAGCTTTGTGCCAGGAGACGGAGACCTTTCTGCAATTCGACCGCTTGCTATGGATTGGGTGTGGCGTTGCGCTGAGGTCGGACTGCTGCTGCTTGAGCCTGTCGCCGAGCTCTTTCGCAAACGACGGGTCTTCCACTTTGACTAGAGCTTTCGTCTCTGACGGCAGTGTACCTTTTGGAATTCGAACACAATCTATGCTGACATTGAAGCCGAAGCCACCAAGAATCTCGACTATTGTTTCAGGCTGGATCCCTGGTTTGAGACCAGTTATGCAAGCACAAGAGTAGTCTGTTGGGAGAGAAACTTTGAGGACATGGCCGGTTTCGCTGAAGGAGACCAGGGCGCCTGAAAGATCTCGAGTAAAGTCGTCTTGGCCTTCTTGGTCCTACATTGTAGGTAATGTCAGTATCAATTTCAAAAGACAAAGCGACCAAGTGATGTGGTACTTACCTCGTCCTCGATCATCGCGAGATCATGGTTGCCTGTCTTCTCAGCCTGATGGCCACCTGAAGTGTGAGAATATGGACATGGATCATTTCGACAGCCTCCTGCGCTCCCGAAGAATTTGCAAGGGATTGTGGCACGGGAGTCTGATTGTACTTGAGCAGTAGAGCTGGCACGAGTCGCATCTCCGGTATTTATATCGAGCCGTTCGATGTCGGCAGATGTTGATGCAATCAAGTTGACGTCTTTCTCGCTGTTTGCGGCCCGCTCGTGGGAGAATCTGCAATGGTCCCCGTTTCTACATCCTCCATGTGCAAAGTAAAAACACGGCTTTGCCTTTGTCGGTGCCATGGAGAACTATTTCGATAGCGGCAATGGCCTTAGACAATCGTTGTTAGTGCCTGGAGCAGGTGGAGACAAAAGTTTACGCGTCCATATTATTGCGTAGATGCACAGCCACATTTAGATAGCGCTAAGTTCACGTGACTATGGTGGCGCAGCTGACGCCACATTCGCACCACAAAATCATCCATCACATTGCAGCATGCATGGGCTCAGAGATCTTTGGGAACGACAATTCCAAACATGAGTATAGTCCTGCGATGGAAAGACTGATAGATATCGTAAAAGGCTTTTGGTTGAATTCATCTATGGAAGGTTCGTTATCAATCTCAATGGACCTCCTGTGCTGGCACCCAGCTCCCGCCATCATCTCTGGTAATCGTACAATTGGAACTCGCGCCTTGCCAAAGTTGTGAGTTTCTGGCAACGGCCCCATAATCAACGCCGGCCATGACCTTGAACTCCGATACTCCATCATCTACCACAGCAGCTTTCTTGTCCATCCAAACTCGACGACGGATTTTCCGATGTTCTCTCTCCAACCTCAAAATTACCCACTTAATCGTCATCAGACTCGACCATGTCCACCGACGTTCAGGATCCTCAGCAAAACCTTCCTCGCTAACCACTTGCTGCAAAGCCCGGTCTGTCGCTGCCAGTAAGAGGCGCGCCATGTGTGGGCTGCAAGCGAGTAGTCGACTCAGAAGCTTCATGCGAAAGACCGCTGGTCTGGTCGGTGTCGAAGGCATCGAAATCAAAGAATGAATTAGTGGGAAGTTGGTCAGGATGGAGGAGAAATCCTGTTCCGTCGAGGTCATTGACAATCGCTGCGCCAAAATCCGGAAAAGATTGCACATTGGCAAGAGCGTTGTCGTCGAGAAGGAGTGAAATATCGTCAAGGTCTGGAAGACCTGAAGCAGGTAGCTGATCCCAAGGTTGTGTCTGGGACTCGATGGGAATGCTGGCAGGCTGATAGCCCAGGTCTCCGGCTGACACTGCAGGTCACACAATACCACAGCAGGATATTGTGCCATACCGGAGACGGTGGGGAAGCTTGAGAGCGTTGCCATCGAATCAGAAGTGGTCTGTTCAACTTCGGGATGTTCGTGGATGAGGTTGAGTTGAGGAGCGAGGACCGGGGATTCGTGTTTCATGGGAGTCGAATCTTCGGATAGAACCAGGGTTGGATGACTAGACTCGGTATCCGAGCAGTCGTTGAATGACGAGGGAGTGAAAGGTGGTTGAGTGGAAGATGCACGCAAGTCGTGGGACGGTGTTGCATCCTCTGCGTCGTCGAGGTCGATTTTGGGGGGTTCGGCGGGGACTGGCAAAGGGAAGTCTGCCTGGACACCGAATCTCGACTGATAGCGATCCAGGAGTTCCCGGAGAGCGGCATTTTCTTTCTCGATCCGGATCTGCCTGGCCTCGAGTTCTGCCACTGCAGCCTTTTGCCGTTGTCGAGACTTGTCGGCTGCTCTGCGGTTTCGGAGAATTCTCTCATTCTTTCTCTGTTCCTTCTCCTCCGCCGTCTTGGCTCTTTTTCGAGGCGGGAGTATTTGTTTGATTTCCGGAACAGGCTGTCCCCAAGCCTTCCTCTTCTTCTTCTGGGGTTGGTCTTGGGGAGGTTGGCTGGCCTCCTTGCCCTCGTCTGACAAGGGAGGTGGCGTCGGATAGCTGCGACTGTAGCCCGCTACAGTGAGGGAAGCAGGGTCGACAATATCTGTCGGACCAGCCATGTTGGTAGGATGGGCGGTGTGTTTTTGCGCGAATGACGGAAGGAGGAGCGATTAAGATAGATGGCAAGTTGGTAGAAGGGATTAGGTTGTTGTTTATTACGGTGAGGCCCAAGAGACCACGTATCCTCAAGGCCGACTCATGACTGCTCAGGCCGAGCCATGCCAGTATAAAGTGGAGTGAACCATCAAAGGGAGATTAACCAAGGAAATTCATGCAAAGGAGTCAGAAGGTGAAGAAGAAAGGTTGGTGATGAGGTCGAGTTGGGTGAGGGATTGAGGAACAGGCACCTGGAATAAATAAGGCCAGAGTGTCGAATTCGGGGGACGCAGGGGGTGTGCTCACCAAACATCCACACCGCAGCCTCAGCAAGGGGGTTTCGGGTCCAAGCCTCTACACGAGCCAGTCGCATCTCGTCTTCTGGCTCATGATCCTATTTCTGGCCTCCACTCATGTCGCCATCATCCCGCCTTCAACGCAAGCCCCTTGCCTCAGTCCACCTCGATGTTGCCTCCTACGCGAGTTCCTCCATCCTCAGCTCAGCCTTCGACTCGTCAGCCGCACCTCCTTGTCCCACTCTTGTACGCCGATGCACATCCGATCCTGCTGCTTTGGTCTATCCGTGGCTTCAGGAGACACGCAGCTTGTTCCAGTCCTACATGAGAGGAAGCTACCAGTGTCTCTCAGTATGCAGGGGAAGTTCTCCACAAGAGCAAGAAAGGGACAGACACACAAAGAAGCCCGAAACCTGTTACCACATGGAAATATACTACGTGTGGCTGGATCTCAGCATACGTCCGATCCAGGCAGTATCGTATTGCCATAGTGAGAGTGCTGACTGCAGCTCTTCGCTCCCCGTATGATAATCTCTATAATCTGACTCCCTGCAGACGTCCCTTTAGGGCGCGGACTGTACGCAACCAATCAGACACTTTAGTTGATTCTCTTCATGCTCTCGATGATGCGTTTGTCATGTTGTTGCTATTTCCTATCCTCTACCTTGAAGGCTGATGCAGAAATGGGGTATCATTGTAATCGACTTTTTCCTTCCCTGGCCGCCTGTCAATCATGATCTGTCTTCCCATAACACCTGCCCGATATATGCCTCGTTTTGTCAAGGCCGCGAGTATGCCATGTCCTTCCAGTTTTGGTCTGCAAGTGTTGCCATACCTGGATATGCATCGCACACCTCAACATATGCCTCAACATATGTGTTGACTGCCCCAGATATGGCCGTCCTCTTCCCGGCACATCTTCGCCAGACCAAATATTCTCAGATAAGGTCAAAGCAAAGACTGCATCAGCTGTGTTGAAGACTGACAGGCGCATCCAAGACCCGTTTCTTCATCCAATCACGGTCCTCGTAAAGCTTCTCCTGGTAGATCTCGTCCACAAGATCGTTAACCATATCCTCGACGATTTGCTCTTGATACCGCTCACCGATAGGGCGGGCATTGGGGTGTGCAGGGCCGTCCTTCTCATATCCGTACCACCAGGGGCCATCAAACTTGCACTCGACCGCTCCACCAGTGTAGTGACTGATCGCTGGGTAATAACCTAGCAAGCCGTCGTCCACATCGCCATGCCCACCGGTGACGGCTCGACTACCCTTCTCAATGTAAGAAGCAGGTGGCAGGAATGCAAAGAGGTGTTCCCAGACCACGCCATGGTATTTACCATTTACCCAGAGTTCAATCTTGCTACCCGGCAGGGTTCGTAGGTGTGGGAGGTCATGGTTAGGATGAGTCTCGGTCAGGAGGTCGTATTTCTTGCCAGTTTCAGGGTTGACGGATTTGTTCTTTGTATTCAGCGTTGGCCGGCTGAGATCATGGTTGGGCGTGTACTCTGGACATTCGAAGTAAGTCATACCTTTGTGGAGAAATGGGTTGCGGTCGCGGATGATGTCGTGGTCGGAGGGCATGGGGCATCCGAACATCGGACTCAGGGCGGAGCGGATTGCAGCTCGAGCATTGTGCGGTTTCTTGACAGCATCCTCTTTACTCTTAGGCACGTCGCCATCTTTGGGTTTTGATCCGCCCTTAGCAGATTTCTTCCCTGCGCCTTGCTTCTTCTTCATAACCGCCGGCCCGCATTTGAGATCCGGATATTCTGACGGGTTGTAGGTTCCCTCCACCACCTTTTTGTGTACCTCCAGCGACGGTAGCGTGATCATGAGCCCAACAACATCGCCGGGGGACAAGTCGTCGGGATCTTGTGCGCCTTCACCCTGCATATGGTACATCATGGTGTTGAACCGCACGCTGCCATATTCCTTGGATCTCCCACTCCTCAGGATAACTGCATATGAGTAAGCATTGCCGCCCAAGTTCTCGCTCCAGTGGTGTTCACGTCTACAGAAGCCCACTCTCAACCCGCCTCGGCTCGTTGACGTTCTGTCCAGATTCTGAGTCTCCGCAAGTGCGCGATCTGGGGCTTCTCGACCTGGCGGGGCAATGCTGATGACCTTGGCTTCGAAGAAGAATTGTCCCTCCCGGGCAAAGACATTAGCCCTTGTGGTGTAGCTACCGAACTCCCCACTCTTGCCCAACATGTCCTTGGTGAAGACATTCTTGAGATTCTCGACGCCACATTGAGGGTGATTCTCGTCGCTAAGGCGGGCGTAACGCGGAGGAGGCTCGTCGGTGTGAAAATAAAAGGTGGAAGGATCTCGCTTCGCGCGAATGTAGTAGCGCTTCTCTTTGCTCTCGACGCTGTGTCTCAAGGTTAGAGATTCCACACGCTTTACGAGAGATGAAAGGGTCTGTACTGTGTCCCGAGAGTGTAAAAGTCGGTCTTGTCACCATTCGGGGCTATCTTAGAATGGTCAAAAATCTTCGGAACCTCCTTCTGGTCTTGTAGGAATTTGGAGTCGTTGGGCGCAATGTAGGTGGGAAGCGCGACAGGTTTCTCATCTTCGATCCGGTCGATCTTGGCCGAAACTTGTTCCTTGAGCTTTTCGCTTGGTTTTTTCTCCCGATGGCCACGGCCTGAAGACTCGTCCATGCCGGACTCAGGCTCAGGTTCTGGCTCAAAATCAGGGTCGGGCTTAACTCTCTTTTTAGGGAGAAAGGGGATTTTGAAAGTGACCTTGTCGCGTGTCGGCATTGTGACGCCGCAGTCTAATAGAGCACCTGTCGGAACGGATAAACTTCGGGCCGAAGTCAGTTATGGAAGACGGAGTTTGAAAGGGACGAAGGGGGTCGCATATTCGGCCCCAGTCGGTATTCCATTTGTCGCAAGCGTCCTACGCCGTGTACGACAGAGACTCACAGGCACTGTCCCGCTCTCCAAGGCAGTGCCAATGGAGTCTCCTCTGTCCTGTCACTTCATTGTTTCATCAGCTCCCCTTGAGCCACCCTCCCAAAAAGCGATACGCGGCCAGTACGTCTCCTACAGGACCAGTGTCTCGTGCGAGCCCAACGAAGGTTAAGAACCAGCCTTCCACCATCCACCTTGCTACAAAACCAGAAATCGCCAAACCAGTGGCAATCATGTATCCGCAGTTGAGTAAAATGAGCAATGCTTCGATATTGTTGAGGAGGACCGCCCAGCCCACGTAGTTTGTCGCTCGAAAGGCAAATCCGAATGAATCGCTTTCCTTTGTCTCTGTTGGCCAGATGACCAACAAAATGGGAAACAACTTTGTGCAGCTGGAAACTAATAGGGCCGTGCTAATGGCGCTGGGACTGGCGTGGCTTGTGGCAATGGTCGGTCGAGTGTTGGGGGTTGAGCAGGAGACCGTTGTGGGCGTCGCATCTGCGAGGGCCTGCTCTTGCTTTTTCTGGTGGGACACGAGCATCCGGACCATTGCTCGGATGATGCCGTGTTGGGCAAACGTCGCAAGGACATTCATGGTCAAAAAGAAAAGATATTGTGCCAAGATGGGCATCTCGCTGAGCCGAGAACCCACGGCAGGGCCTCCGTTGGCTGCATTTGATTTCTCAATCCTGGCCCAAGTGATATAGACGTCGAAGAGGACAAGCAGTGTACCCAGACGCAAGATGCTGGGGTCGAACTTGTCGTCTGAGCGTCCCAACCTGTTGAAGAGAAGATGGCGGTAGACCTACCCACTTGTCAAACAAGGCATGTGAGAGGTACAAAGTCCACTCACCTGTGGTTTTATCAGCACTAGATCGATGAATAGGACGACAAAGTCATGTTCGACATATTTGTCGGCGAAACGTTTGCAGTTGGGACATTGTGTCAGGCGAACGCCTTTGCCCAGAGTTCGGTCATCTGCTTTGCTGTAGACAGTGTATAGCTCCTTGACTGGAGTACTGCATGTAATGCATATGGGCATGCCTGCCTTGGACACGACTGAGCGACTCCGGGTAGTATTGCATCAGGGGAATGATGGACACGAAAGGATGAGGGTGGATTGTCAAACGTTCGGGGATGCATGTAGTGCTATGCTGTAGAATAGTGGCTAGGCGCTGAGGCCTTAGTGAGTCGAGAGGGCAACTCTGCCGACACCAAGCGAAAATCCCAAAATCCCCATCGTCACTTTTTCCCACTCAACCTGATCCGTCAACATCGAATTTGTCTGCCTTCAAGAGTTTAGGATATTTTCGCACAATGTTCTGGATGCGGCTTAGGGATGTCTGCCTCGTGCTACACTTGCAGGCTTTCTCTCTCGCACAGTCAAGCGACCCACGAAGAGAATCCACTTACGTTCAGTCTCCCTCACGCCTGAAATCGGCTTGCATGATTGGCTCGAAGAATGATCCCTTTCGGGTATAGAGGAACTTTGTGAGTGGTAGCATTCAGAAGCCCTTTTCCTTTCTATTCCTCTTTGGGCAGATTCCGCGAGAAAGCCTCGCTGTCAAAAAGCAAAATCGAAGAGGCTGTGATGGCGCAGCGCGAAGCGAGCTTCGTATTCGCGTTAATATAGCAGGTAACGCCAGGTAGGGTTTGTGACGGAAATGGATATAAGTGTTTTTCCACATCCTTTCTCTTGCTCAAACATCTCGAGTGTCGCCGTCTGTATTCTATCTCTAAGCTAGTTGTCACATCCCGCCATGGTTTTCATATACACGTATCGCAAAATCAGAGCCTACCGCGCCCGCAAAGCCGCTGAAGCTCAAGCTCAAAATCAGATATCAACCACACCACGCCTAGAGTCATCAAGCGCGCCGAACAACCCAAAGCCTCCAACCAACAACCCCAAGAAGACAAAACCATGCGCGCAATGCGTACAGGAAAAGAGCAAAGCCCGCAAATACAGGTGGAAACTCCTTTTCTGCCTGCTCCCAGCATTCTTTGTTTCCAGTCTGGACTTGACCATAGTTGCGACCGCATTACCACAAATCGCTTCCCATTTCAGTCAGTACCATTCTTCCCCTCCAGGATTGGCCAGCTTCTCCCGTGCAAGACACTGATGGAAATACCGCAGACAAGTTTAACCAGCTAAACTGGATTGTTACTGCCTTTACTCTGACGTCGACCGCGTTCATCCCCGTATTCGGCCAGTTAGCAGATACATTTGGCCGTCACGTCACCTTACAATTTGCCGTGATTATCCTCACCATTGGAAGCGTCCTTTGCGCTGCTGCTCCGGACTGGGCCGTCCTCCTCCTCGGTCGTGCACTGCAAGGCATTGGCACTGCCGGAATCGGGAATGTCAGTATGATCGTTCTGGCGGATTCAGTGTCCCTGAGAGACCAGGCTGTCAACACAAGTATTTTCCAGTTGTTGAACGGAATTGGCTACAGTAAGTTCAGACCCTTCTTGACGAGTGCGCCTCCTATTTGAGCCTTGTGGAATGTACATTTGGTAACCTCACTCTCTCCTCTCAGGCGTTGGTCCCATCATAGGCGGGTATCTGACAAACTCGAACTGGCGGTACTGCTTCGTTCTAGGCGCTGGCATTGCCGTGATAAGCATTGTCACCATCTTTCTCCTCAGAAACGACCTCAAAGCAGGCAAAGTCTCGCTCTCGCACCCTCCACCAAACACCAGCCGCTTCCAAGCCCTAACAAGCGGTCTATCGACACTCGACCTTGGTGGCATCACACTCTTCATCTTCGGAGTCGGTCTCATTATCTTGGGAACAGCCTGGGGTGGTTCAACGTATCCCTGGTCTTCCGCCGCCGTTCTCGCACCAATAATCATCGGTGCCATTCTCTTCGCACTCTTTTTGTTCTATGAAACGCACCTTTCTTCTCCGACCAGCTTCCTGTCCCGCCACTTACCACGAGGCACCGTGCCCATGATTCCATCCTCGATCCTCTCCTCCAAAGACGTCACTCTAGTCTGCTTCATCGCCTCCGGCACCGGCGCCGCTCTCTACAGCGTCTTCTACTTCATCGGCATCTATTTCAGCCTGGTTGAAGGATACGCAGCTTCCCACGCCGGTACCCAGCTCTTGTACTACGTTCCAGGTATCGGAGCTGGCGTATACATAGCAATATTCATCTGCAACGTATACCCTCGGCAGACATTCCCGCCCCTCCTCATGGGCACCATCATCGAAAACGCCGGAATCGCCGTTCTTGCCTATGCCGTGAAGGTGAAAGATGCGACACTGGTCAATGTCATGATGGCGATCGCCGGCGCCGGCACAGGCATGCGCTTCATGCCTTCAAACCTACACTTGGCGGGGATGTTTCGCGACAGGCTGGCGCCGGTATACTCGCTGCTGCGGTTCGCATTGCCGTTTGGGGGGACCCTCGCGCTCACGATCATGGGCTCGGTGTTCCAGAACCAGATGAGCCAGTACTTCGGGTCCGACGCTGTCAATTCCGGCAACACGAACAACAACGGCACATCCTCGTCCGTGGGCTTCAGTCTGCACAACCAAGCGTCCCTCGACCTGATCAAAAACTTGCCCCCGGCCGAACAGAGAGCCATCCGCTCACAAGGCGCTACCGCGACTATGTGGGCATTCATCTCCATCCTGCCGATCCTGGGGCTGAGTTTGCTGGCCAGCCTGTTCTTGGGGAACGTGTGGATCTCGAAGAAGAAGAGTAAGGGAACCCCCGCCTCAGCGGACCACAGTCCCAGAGACGCGGAAAAGGCAGGAGGCGAAGGAGCTGAAGGGCCCGAGAACGTCCGCGAAGACGGCCTGTGTCGCCGGCACGCCGCTGCCGCCGCTGCCGCCGCGGAGGATCCATCCACGGCGGCGGCGGCCGTGGAGAACGAGGAACAGAGAAACGAGGTCGAATTCGTCAGCGAAGTCTTCTTAATCGCTGTGGTGAAGGGCGACGTGCGCAGGCTGAAGCGGAAAGGTGCTTCAGAGAACACCGGATCATCGAGTATTAGCACCTCGCAGGTGCGCGGAGGAGGAAGCAAACATGGAGGGCAAGGGACGCACTTGCAGACGAAACTGGACGAAGATGCATAACACAGCCATTGGCAAGATTATCCAGAGCTGGCGCTGACGGGAGGACATTGACACGAATTTCTGGAGCGGACCTTCTGCGTACATGATAGCATAGCGTACGGGCATGGGTGTTCTTTCACGAGCGGCTTTCTTTAGAATCTGTATCAATAGACGTTTGTCAAATCTACATTCGATTCCATCGGCTGTACATGGCCTGTCAAAATAGCTCTACTGTACTGGTTGCAAATTCGCTAATCAGCAATCTTCTTCCCATCCGCCCACGTGGGCTTCACCGTCCGACAGACGCTTTCGTAGTCCAGAAAGACGCCCGTCTTGTGGCCGTTGTCGAAAATGCCCGGCGTCGTCCAGAACATGGTCCAGTTCGTCGCCGGGATCTTCCACGTGCCCCTCGACCTCTCAAAGTACCATTTGTTCACGGGATTGTCCTTTCGACTCCGCCAGCAGACGCCGTTGGGGAAGCACGTGCGGACCATGGCGTTGAAGACGATGTCCGCCACCCCGCCTGCCCCTTGGGATTTCTTGAGGACGGCAAACTTGTCGAGGTACGGGACTAGACGGTCCGTGTCGTCGTCTGAGCAACCCGGCGGGGTTTCCCATGTAAGGATTGCGCCGCCTTCGTATTCCCCGGCGATGATCACCCCGGCGATTCGATCATTGACGCGTTTCAGATATGCCTCCACGTCGAGCTTGCGATTGAAAGAGTCGTCGACAAGGTACGTAAGACGCTCCAAGTCGATCCGGGGGTCCGTCAGTTGCAGGCGAGGCTTCGACGTAGCCGTCCAGGTTTGTGCCTCTGGATTGGGCAAGATAGTCAGTGGCATGCCCCGTTTCACAAAAGTCGAAGTCGTCACCGGTACTGAGGATGCGTCGTGCGCCAGTCTGCCTGTGGGCAAAGATGACGAATACGCCGGTTTATCAGTCAACAGATTATGGATCAAGGGGTTCTTCTGCCTTCTCGTCCCGACACCCGACACTCCGCTGTCGTTCAACCTGGCACTGTTTGCGGCTTCAAGCGGCGTGGTCAGCAGTCCGGATGAAGAAGGGGGAAGCATTTTTAAAGCGTCTCGAAACAATTTTAGGTTCGAGGCATGCTTCTGAGAAACATTCCCTTCAGTTGAGCTTCTGAGTTCCTCTTGCAAAGCAGCATATTCTTGCTCCAGATTGACGAAAACGTGCCTTTTGTCAATAGACTTTGTGCTCGGGATTGACCCAGTCTCATCAACAACGATGATTCTGTCCAAGGATATCTGCTTGCGCGCCGTCTCGAGCTTTTCAGCCGCTGGCTTGAGCTGTTCGCTGCCTCCAGGACCAGAGTTGTACCCGGAAAGTTCTCGGGTCAATGCCAGGAGAGCCTCGTCAGCTGTGATAGAGACGGCCTGTGACTGTTCCGCGGAATAAGCCACTGGAAGGACGATTGGTATCCTGCCACGCCTCAGAGGGCGTGTCAACAGCTTTCGGAGGAAAACTTGGGGCCTGCCGTCGGTACCGAAACTCAAGAGATTGTCAAGTACTCTTGCCCCCGAAGGGTGAATCGCGTCGATGGCAGCAACAAGCCTATCCGCAGCCTGAGAGAGGTTTGCTCGTGTTGCTTGCGGACTTCGCTCATGAGGTACCTCCAAGACGACACAAGGTGCCATGCTGAGACGGGAAAGAGAGGATAAGGTCTGGGCAATGCCCTTCACAATCTCGTCAGCCATGGCATTGATGTTGCTGACCTTGACGAGGGCAACATGTAGGGTTTCCAGCTCTTCAAGCGTCGAATGCTGTCCATTTTCATACTGCTTAAAGACCGGGCTCTCCTCCATTGCTCTGCTTCGACCGAGTAGATCTCCGGCATTGACCTGAGGTTGTGATCTTGGCGGGGCATGTTTTTGCTCCGGAGCAGCCTTTGTCGGGCTCTTAAGCCGAGATATATACGCCTTTGCATCTCTTTTGGTAGCTGCCGAGCTCAACAGGCTGGTGAAGAACTCTCTGTTGGCGAGACGCTGTCTGGCTCTCTCGGTAAAGGAGGTTTTCTGGTCATGCTGCGCGACCTCTGGGGCGTTGTTCGACGCAGTATCATCTGTCCGTGGAGCGGGTTGAGTAGAGTAGGAACGAGGACGGGATCGGGAGAGAAGTGAAGGCGAACACGGGTGGGAGACGAGGTAGGCCTTCAAGGCTTCAGCTGCGACGTTCCTGCATGTAAACTGTGAGGGATAATGACTCCGAACTGAACTCAGGGCGGTGTGGTTCATGTTTCCACAGGGCAGTCGACAAGAATGAAGCACCAACGGCCAAACAAGGGCATAGCAACGTCACCTGGGTAGATATCCCGCCACGGGGTATATATCACGGCAACCCTGCGCAGATTTTCACCGTGCAGAATTCATGCATCGAGGGGGAAAATTTTGTGACGCTGATGGCCCAAGCAACGCAGGATACTGCCATGTTGAGCGAGGCCGCAGCCTTCACCGCCCTGGCCAGCTGCCGAGATGATTGGTTTGGTGTCGTTACCCCTCGGCGCCCAGGGGGAAAATCATCTGCAGGCGACTTTCTCCAATATTTCTTTTTATCTTGCCTGCGCTCCACACATTCAACGCGCCCCTCGCACTGAGTCCCGAGTGTCGCGCCCTTTCTCATGCCTCTAGGGATGGGAAAATGGCTTCTGTTTGCCATTGATCATTGTAAATGCTGACCAAGTCGTCGCTGCACCTCTGCAACCCGTGTTCTCCCGAGTCTCAGGGAGAACTCTCAGCCTCGCGTACGCGTTGTACGATGTAGATTCGTCGAGTAGTTCAACTTTGTCAGCCTCCGGAATGTCTCCGCATGCCCATCTGCAACTGACGACGACCAACGTCATGAGGGACAACGGGGAGAAACGGATGAGGCTGGCTCCTTGCACGGTCCGTATCAATTGACATCTCACAGGTATAAATGCAACCAAGATACCTGGTACAAGTAGGTGGAAGAATACATTTGAGCACACTACGTCGCGAAGTCGCAACCTCTAATTCCTAGCGCACTCGAACTTCAAATCCACATCGATACTTCCAACAAGATGGCACCTCAATTGGCTTGGCTAGGCTTGGGGAATATGGGCAGGGTCAGTATATCTCTGTTGACTTGCCATTGCAAGATGCTCACTCCCAAACCTAGGGCATGTGCAAGAACTTGGTAGAGAAAGGCAACCTATCCAACCCGCTGATCATCTTCAATCGCACCCCGCAACGAGCCCATGACCTCGCCGCAAAGATAGGCCACGCGACTGTGGCTTCCTCCGTGCAAGAAGCCGCCTCGAAAGCAGACATTATATTCTATTGTCTCGGCGACGACCCAGCCGTGCTTTCGACCCTCGAAGAGGTCCTCAAAACCGATGTCAAGGGCAAGCTGATCGTGGATTGCAGCACGGTCCACCCTGAGACCACGGCCAAGGAAGCAAAGATGGTAGAAGAAAAGGGAGCCAGCTTCGTGGCGTGCCCGGTCTTTGGAGCACCGGCCATGGCCGATGCCGGCCAACTGATATGTGTCGTGGCGGGTCAACCTGACGCCGTGCAAAAAGTGCTCCCATACTGCAAGGGCGTGATGGGCCGGGCCAATGTTGATTTCTCGGGTCAAGAGCCGAGCAAGGCCACACTCCTGAAGATCATCGGCAACACCTTTGTCTTGGGCATGGTCAACGCCCTGTCCGAGGGGCACGTCCTGGCCGAAAATTCCGGACTTGGGGTGGACGAGCTCCACAAATTCATCGAAGTCATGTTCCCGGGACCATACACGGCCTACTCGAGCAGGATGAGATCCGGTGACTATTACACGCGGGCGGAACCGCTGTTCGCGGTGGACCTGGCACGAAAAGACGCAAGACACGCCATGGATTTGGCCAAGAAGAGCGGGTGCCGGATGCGACAAGTCGAAGTCGGGGACGACTATTTGAAGACTGTCAAGGAGACGGTGGGTGAGAAGGGCGACATAGCCGGTATTTACGGTGCCGCAAGACTGCAAGGGGGGCTGAAATTTGGGAATCAAGAGTAGTTCGATGTTCTCGGAAGTGGTGCTGAGGTTGAAGCAGTCGGTGAGAGAGTGCAGGATTAATGAGCCAGGCTTAGAGAAAAGATGCACCGATATGTGTGTATCTATATGTACCAGGGAGGTCTATAGCCAGCTGGCTATGAAGCGAAGTGGCTCCTTGGGCAGACGAATGCCAGATGTAAGAGATTGGGCAGTCTTGATACACACTGTCCTGCAAAGTACGAAAAGTCATGCAACCACATCTCAACAGGTGCATTGTGCATCGCATCACAGCGTATTACAGCACGTCGACAGGTTTCACAACATCGACTCTGCGTGAGTTTTGCGCAACGGGATTGTGCAGTCTGCAGACAGCCCTCTCCCTACCTCTGCCGTCACTATTGGTACTACTACTCCTGGTTACTGGTCACTATCTATTTAGGATATTAGGATATCGTCCAACACCTCACTCTTTTCCACCGCTCCATTTGATACAAGGACATCAAGTAACATTAACGTTGTCATTGTAAAATTGGATACCGCTTGCGCCCTTTTTGCTTTCCTAGAAGACGTTATGGGCATCATCTAAGGCCCTACCCTTGCCAGCTGTAGGCGTAATTGGGCAGACAGTGACCATTTTGGCGAAATAACAGAGTGGTGGGAGCAATCTATAGTTACAACCCCATATTGTCGTGCAAAGCTGGCGGTTTGGCGTACGTAACATCTACCGCTGATTTGCCCGCCCATCGGCTCGCTTCAAGGTACAGCCCAGCACCCATCCACGCTTACAGTTTCGCACGTAGCAATGGTCGAAACCTACTTGGGGCAGCTGAGCGAGGGCTTAGCTGGTTAGCATCTGGGCATTTGGGTACCTCAGGCCTTATCAGGGAGACACAAGCGAACCCTCCCGCTCTCTGTCTAGACTCCCACGTGGTGCTTCCCTTTTTCTCGATACTGCATCCGAAGCGAGGAGCTAAAGGCCGTTTTCACGAAGGCTGAGGCCCCTCTGCTTGGTCCCTGGCATTCGTGTGGCGCACGTCCTCGAACCTACCAGCCATCATGGCGGTGATGAAATGCCTTTTCTCCAGAACCTTCATAGCCTGGACCGTGTTGAACTCGTCATGAGACAGAAGGTGAGTCGAAGATCTATATATGGCTCGTTTGAGACGCGTCCAGAGCGCCAGAGGGCATCTTCCCAATCCCCTACAGCCGCTGTCACTCTTTTCGTACACCAAATCTGCTTCATAGGTACAGACCAACACCAGAGGGAATCATGAAAGTTATCATTATTGGGAGTGGACTGGCAGGGCCGGCAATGGCCCTTGCACTCAAGCGACACGACATTTCCTGCAAAGTCTTCGACCTCCGCGACGAGACCGCGTTTGACGGCGGCTTCGTGGCGCTGGCGCCCAATGCGCTCCGCGCCCTGGACCGAATCGGCGTCTACGACCGCATCCGGGCCCAGGGCTGGAACTACGAGGAGTTCCGATTCCTCTCGTCCCGGAACCTGAGTCGCATCGCCACGGTGCTGAACGGCAGCGAGGCCAGATACGGATACAAGGCGCTGCGCGTGTCTCGGGGCATCGTCCGGCAGACGCTGGTGGACGTGCTTCGCGAGCGGGACATCGAGCTGCACCTCAACGCCAAATGCGTGCAGATTCAGGAAACCGACCATTCCACGGTCATCGCGACCTTTGCGGACGGGCGCACTGAAGAGGCCGACTTCTTGATCGGCGCCGACGGCATCCATTCCCGCGTCCGCAAACACCTCGACCCCGATGCCGTTCCCACCTTCAGCGGCCAACTCGGCGTCGGCGGGTCCCTCGCCCGGTCCAAGCTGCTCCAGCCCGGGCAGGAAATGTACATGCCGTGCTTGATCCTGGGGAAGTTGAACTCGTTCATGTTCATGCCCTGCACGTACACGGGGGACCGCGTCAGCTGCTTCGCGACGGTCGAGGCCCAGGATCGGAGCCGCGAGGAATGGGCCCAGCTCCAAAAGGACGAGGCGGCCCTGTACAAGATGTTGCAGTCGCACCATGAGAACGAGACGTGGCCCGACATTGTCCGCGTCGCCTCGCAGGGGGTCGACATGTCCTCGCTGTCCCTATGGCCGTAAGTTGGATTCATATTCTCCCTTCTGGCCATCCCGGCAATAGTACTGACATTGACTGCGTCACAGCTATTACAAAGTCCCCGAGTTGAGCTCCTGGTCAAGCAGCTCGAGCAGGGTGATTGTCATCGGCGACGCGGCGCACGCCATGCCTCCCACTGGCGGGCAAGGCGCGGCGATGGCGTTTGAGGACGCTCTTACTCTGGCCGACACCCTTGCCCTGCTGGACAAAAAGGAGTCCGCCCGTCATCAAGACCTGCTCGCACAGTGGCAAACAACGAGGAGAGACCGCGTGAAGAAGATCCTCGCCTTCACCTCCAAGGGCGGCGACATGCGAAAATCGTCGGCCAGCACGTTCCAGCAAATCGTCAAGGAGTGGGTCATGTGGGCATACTTCCTGTTCATCGGGGAGGACGCCGGTCTGTCGTGGATCTATGAATACGACACGGAAAAGTTCCTGGCTACTCATTGAGTGGTGCTTTCTTTCTTTGCTGGCATCTAGGGGATCTGGAAAATGTTCATACCACGTCCACGGCAGTAGGGCTACACGATGTGGTTCTGGTGATGTACTATGTTATAACAGTTGGTGGCTGTCTGAGTCGCACATTATGTATCAATACTTCGTCCCGAGCATTCCAGAAATGACAAAACTCGAACCACTTCCCTCTGCCCAAACCGCATATCTCGCAATCCACCAAGACATGGCTGGCTCTACCGGGAGGGCCCGCCTGTATACAAACCAGACTTCCACAGATGAGCTACGTACTTTTCATCGCCCTGTCGTATGTACGTGCGCCCAGTAATACAGCTTCAGCCTTCAAGTGAGTGTGAGCGCACGCAGACTGGAGTTGAGACCAGCTGACTCGCTGGACAATAGTAGGTAGGTAGGTCGAGGCATTCTTCTATATTCCTCCTACGCACCTAGCCGATCTAGAGGGCTCAAACGAATCACTAGCCTGTCTTATTAACTGCACCATCCTAGCACTCCTCTCGTTAGAGCCTAGGAGACCCTGGTGATTGATCCCGGCTCGAGAGCAGTCGGAGTGCCTATCGCCTAACGAGCACAGTTGCGAGCCCTGCGATCAAGTTCGAACCAGTCAAGTCAAGTCCAGTCCAGTCCAGTCCCGCCACCTGAAATCCCTAACCCAGAGCTTGATCCGAAAACGCAGGGCCGCGGATCGCATCAAGGGGATGGGATGCAAGGGACCTCAGGCGTCGGCCATGCATGCATGGTACTTACCCTTACCCCCCTAACCTCTAACCTCAAACTACGAGGTCCATACAACATCCATATGCACGGGGATCTACATACATAGCTACATAAGTACATAGCTACATATACCACGCATGAGTCCATACAACATGCCACACGCAACATGCCACTCGCCACTTGCTCGCCACTTGCTCGCCACTTGCTTGCTACTTACTTGCTACTCCATGCACTTCGGTTACCGAACGGGCCCTGCGTGCCTGCCCTACCGCCTACCCTGCCACCTGCCTCCTACCGAGTCCCCTCCTCGTACAGCGAGGCGGACGCAGGGCGACTAGCGTCTTTCGTGTGCAGATCATCCAGTGATCACCGAGCGAGCACGGGAGGTGGGGTGGCAAAAGAAAAATGTCCCGCGCGCGCTGTGCTGTGCGTCGGATGGCTACTTGTCCATCGGAGTAGGAGCAGCTGGGAGGGACGGCTCGGACGGGTAGCGCGTGGGGTGGGATGTTTGAGGTGTGATAGCTGGTGATGGTGGTACCATTAACGCAGGGTGATACTGTGATACTGTGATACTGTGATATTATGTATGAGGCCCTGTGACGCGGATGGGGAGCTGGCCTTGTTCGAATAAACAGCGCATGGGTTCATCACCGCTGAGGAGGTCGTCACCGCTCGCCTACTAATTGACTGGCTCACTGACTGACTGATCGACTTCCTTACTTACCGGTTGACTAACATCATGGGACGGAGGGCTGAGAAGAAACAAACAGAGCCACTCGGTACTTAGGTATGCTTTATAACGTCTGGCGAGTATAGAGTAGTAGGTAGGCATAGGCAACTCGCAACAGCATCCATCCACCTCCCCGTTGTTCCCTCTCTCGAATCTCCTTCCGCAAACATCCCTCTCTCGTCCGATCCCAGATACAACAGGTTAGCTACTAGGTAGTCAACTTCTCGCCCCTGCACTCCGGCCGTGCGACCACTCTGCCTCACGACGTCAGTGGCTTTTCGTCCTCTCTCTCTCCCCCTCTTCCCGCACGTCCACGCGACTTGATATTTCTTCTTTCTGTAATGTTAGGGCCGCCACGAGGGAAAACTCCCCCAATGGCCAGTAAACACCCCCCCTGGGTCATGTAGAACTACTTGTAAAACCGTGTCCCGAATAAAAACCCCCATTCCACGCACCGAAAAGGAAAACGGTGGGCCAAAAAAACAAAAACAAAAACAAAAAAACGCTCAGAATGCCGCGTGATCACTCCCCGTCTCACTGCTGCCGCCATCGCTCCTCGCGTCGTCCCATTGCTCGTGAACATCCCACTCGAAGAGATCCTGCAAGCGCAGCTGGGAATTGCTTTCGGCGACCACGACCTCCACGGACCCGTCGCCTCGCTTCCCCGGCCGCCTCTCTTCCACCGTCCACTTCCCCCTCTCCTTGAGCAGGTCTTCCAGGCCGCGCTTCATGCCCTGGGTAAACGTGTGGTTCTTGCCCAGCATCTTGACGCGCCCTTCGAGGACTTGCCAGTACAACTCCTCGGTCAGGTCGAGATGCCCCTGTTGCTTATACAGCAGGGCAAGTAACCGGAGACTCTCCAGTCTTCGCGGGTGATTGTCGCCCAGCGTATCCTTCGAGTCCCGGATCGCGCAGCGGAGGACCGACACCGCCTCGTCGATGCGGTTCTGCCGCTCCAGGGAGCGATGCAGATTCGTCAGCGCCGAGATGGACTGCAAGTGTTTGGGCCCCAGTGCCGTCGACGAAACCTTGTAGACCTCGCGCAAGACCTGCTCGGCTTCTTGGAGCTTCCACTCCACGTTTAACATGAACCCATAGCAATACTTGGACGCGATGGCCCGCGGATCTTCCTGGCCGTAGTGCTGGACGAACTGCTCGTGCACCCCGCGGAGCGTTTCGCTCGTGATGTCGTGGTTACGCATCTGTCCGTTCGCCACGTAGACCATCCACCGCACAATGGTCGTGAGCGGGTGACTCGGCCCCAGTAACCGTTCCGCCACCAGATACGCACTCTGCATAATCGTCTTGGTGATGTCCCCTTGATCGTGCATCTGGAGGATCTGTAGTGTCTGGTTGAGCGCCAATAAAACTTTAGGATCTTGTCGCGGCACGAGCATCTTCTTGAACTCGGCGTCCGCGTCGGCGAGACTTCGTTGCGATAACGTATGGTTGCCTCTTCGCAGATAGATGCAGGCGGCGAAGCACCGCGCCACCCACTTCCACGAATGCTCGTGACCGCGTGAGCTTGCGGGGATGGAGATGGTGCTTTCCGGTAAATCCTGGGTGGCGTTCAGAATATTGCGTGGTAACTGAGGCATCTCCAGATTTGGGAGACTGATAAAATGTTCGCGGGTGGATTCATGGCATGTCGGACAGATCTGTTCATAGTCCATCGAGTCCTCGGACGAGCTGTCGGCGAACAATAGTGCCCAGCTCCGGATGTCGTCGTGGCCGCAAAGGGACTTCAAGGGCGGGGCGTCGACTAGCTGTAGTGCCATGTATTCCACGTCTCGGCCCAATTGGTTGCAGGTCATGACGGGGCTAGTGTCGTAGACCGTGCCAGCATGGCGGACCTGGTCTTCCACGGTGGCCAGGGGTTCATAGGGGGCAGGATAAGTATAAGACAGAGCCGCCGACAACGGGGCATCCTGGGGAGAAGAGACGGCATGGGCGCGTGACGACAAAGAGGGTGAAGCATCCGACGAGTAGGTGGTGGTGGTGGTGCTTTCCTTGGATGGGAAATAAGGACCGTGCCTTTGAGGCGGTGACACGGCCAGCGGGAGATATGGCGAGGCTGCGTGGTGGGGTGACCACCGCTGCGAAGGACTAGTCGGGGAATGTTGGTGGGCGAAAGCGGAGGTGGGGGCTGTGGAACACGAGGCTGGTCCTGGTCCTGGTCCTGGCACACTCGAGACCGACTCTGACGCAGCTCCCCTGGGCGAATCCTTGGCCGAAGGGACGTTTGCTGCGATCTCGGCCGGCGGCCGTCCTCTGGGAGCGGACGAGGGAGGCGGTGCTTCTTCGGCTTCTGCCTCAGGCTCGGGGGTATAGGCTCGCACATGAGCATATTGCTCTTGCTGTTGGTCTGCGGCGGTACTACATTTGACATTAGCAAGGGCAGAGGCGAGGAAATCCTCCTCGGTCATCTTCCGCCCCTTGATGTATTTGTTGAGGTCCTTGAGGGAGCGTTTGTGGCCATGGATCACAAACGCCGTCGACCGTTTACCGCTTTTTTGGCGAGTGTGGTGCAGCACCGCACCTGCAAGCTGCTCGTCAGCACAGGACAACAGGTAATTAGAATAAAAAGAGGAGCAGAAACAGCAGCAATCCCAGTCGCGCTCGTCTGGCAAATACCGCTACAAATATCTTTTAAGAAAGGGGGTGTCGAACTTACATATCTGATAGTCCTTGTCGGAGTAGTTCTTACTGATTCCCCACTGCGACAGTCGGGCTTTATACATCCGCTCCCTGGGTTTCAAAAAAGAATCAGCAAACAATTAATGCATGGGACGTTGAGCCCGCGGCCAGAATAAGACGAGTGGCTGGGGAATTTCGGCAGCTCTTGCCCATAACACACACACACAACACACACTCACGTTGCGCGGAAATTGTGCCGGTCTAATAGTATCCTCCTGACATCTCGCAAGGGGTGCTTTTCATACAGGATCCGGATCTCCTCCTTCACCGCCTGCCACTGAGCGGGAGCGGGGCCTTCGCGCGCCTCGAGAAGAGCAGAGGCAGAGGCGGGCGCCTGGGTTGATGCTGGAGCTGGAGCTGGTGCTGGAGCAGCAACATTCTCGACGGTCCATCCACGAGGATTGCCCAGGCTCAGGGCCATTGACTTGATGTTGTTCTGCGGTGCTCAGCGGTCATCACTGCCTAAAGTGAAGTTAGGGATCCAGAAAATGGCCGAAAGCTAGTCAGCTTCGAAGCAGGAGAAAAACAGCTCGACAATAAGGGCTTGCCTGGCCTGGCCGGCTGTACGCGGTTCCAAGGGCAGAAAGGAAAAAAGGAAAAAAAGGGTAATGTTTGCCTTGCGAGAGCGGCCTCTCACAAAGGAAGTCGACGAGGAGGGGTAATTTGGGTGGCCCGTGGGCGCAGTGGCTCGTCTTCATGTGTCGTGGCCCTTGGATGAGCCCATGCATCTCAACGCTACAGGCCCAGTTCCAAGGGCCCGTTGCATATGCATTGTCCCTTCTGTAGCCCAATCACCACCCACCCCGGCGACAGCGGCGTGGTTTTAGCTTGACACGTAGCCGACAAAGTAAGATTGCGGCCAAAACAAAGGCTGAAACCCTGGCCCCTCGGCGGCGGTAGCTGCCTCCAGCCTCGGGCGGTGGGTGGGATCGTCACCCGGGAGCAACATAGGAAAGGCAAAGACTTTCTGTGGAACTCGAGACGGCGGACGAGGACCCCCAGGGGAACATCTGAGGGTTTTAAATACTTGATGTGCGTCACTGCCGTCGGCCACTCCCCCAGAGCAGAGAATGAGACTCTCGTCATGGCATCGAGATGACGGTTCTTTCTCCTCTGCCTTTGGACTGGCACGGCTTCTCGCCTCTTCCCCTTGGGATGACCGGCAATCTCTGTGGACCATACGCCAATAAGACGACTGATGATCGCCCAAGGTGAGATTGAAGACTTTGCTCCCCTCCCTTGCCAGGAACTTGGCAGTGCCCAATATTATTGGTGTGGCTGGTATTGGGATTGCCATTCCCATTGCAAGCGCTTCAATGGCAACCTATTGACGTACTTACGGACTTTCAATTCCAGACGGGCCTTCAGGAAAGTCACCAGCAACAATCAAATCTAATCCCAGAGGAGAGTTTAATGGGGATGCGTATATACAATGGATATGCAAAAGATGGTTGCAAATGCGACAACGATACCACAGCTGTTGGAAGGTTGGTTTTCAAGGGCTCGTCTTCTTCAGCTTAGGACCTTCGCCCATAAGCGGATATCCCTAGGGGTCTCGCTTCCCTTCCTTTCCCCCGGTGCCATCTGCTGACCATAGCCCGTTGGATGCCCACCCAATTGGCCTCATTGTCCAACCATATCAGTCCCTTCAATGCTTTCACACCAATATTCTGGACACGTGATGCCGTCTGAACAATACCAGCTTCATCAAACAATCCGAAAGTTTGGGTTAATAAATGGGTAAGGCTCGGTCCGAAAATCTAAAGCGCGGCATTTGACGAAACCATCTCCGTTGTTGTCCAACCCATAAGCCCGGGTCAACTTCCAAAACATACCTGTCTCGGCATTGTACTCCATTCAATCTGTCAGTCCAGGGGATGATTGACGAAGACGGCGACGTCAATGACGAGCCCAGCGACTGGTGGTGAAACATTGGGCCACCCTATCCAAGGGAGCCCAACACACCAAAGGCTGGGCCAAAGAAAGAAAGAGAGAAAAAAAAAAAAGGGATACATCGGTCGATCCAGATCGGTCAATGGTAACGGTGATAAGGGGTAAGACTCCCCCTTGAAAGGCTGCCAGCATGACGAAGGTCCATGAGACACTGGGTTCCCTGTTGATGGCATTTGCCGCCGAGTGGCTGTGGCTGAAGCCTTTCTGCCGCCTTTGGTCGGGACAGCAGGCGAGACTGCTTTGAGTTCTCGTTGTCCTTGGTCCCTAGCAGTAACGAGTCTATGGGATAAGCAAACCGCCTCCAGTGCCATCATCCAACCTAACGACCAGATCTCCGCCCCGACTGGTCGATCGTTGAGGGCCGACGATCTTGAGCACTATGTGACCGAGGAAAGTCCTCTTTGGAGTCTGTTGAGCCTTGTCGCGTTGCTTGTGCTGGGAAATGTCGACTTGTCACCGCCTTGTCCGCGTCGAAGGTGTCGGGGCCGGGTTGTGATGGGGGTTGAGGACCTGAGGGGCCTCGACTTATCGTGGACTGCTGGTAAGCTGGCGGAGGATCGGATTCATGCTGTCCAATGTGTGCATATCCCGCTGTTTGATATCCGCTCGTCAGGTACTGACCAGGTTGCCCCGGTCTCGGCGCAAACGTTGCCGTGTTCACGGTGATGTTGAAACTGGGGGAGGGTTGATCGGGTCTTGCTTGACCTTGATAGTATGGACTGGGATTCGGTTGGATGTTGTGCGGCTGAGAATGGGAAGCGTATGCGTACTGAGGCTGAGGTTGATGGTACCCAGGTTGGGGAGGGCTACCGGGCATGTTCGATGTCATTGTAGCTCTCTCCTGCCGCCCAGTGTCAGCAGGCTCATTCGCCGCATCTCGCTTGACCCGGGGTTGCTGAGGTCGGTTTGTGCCGCCTTCTGACGGTCCCTTTTTCGCCCGACGCCTGGCGGTATCCGATTCTCTATAATCGTACGGATCTTTTCTATATTCTCCTGCGAACACAAAATTTTGTCAATCCTTGTTGTCATGCGTCTCCGCAAGAAAGTATAGGCGTACTGCTTTGTGTTTCCAAGTCCCAGTCTCTAGAATCATTGATGAGATCGCGAATGCTAACCTAATCGCAACGAAGGCGCTCAGCATGAGGGGGGCATCGCACAGTGGGGAAAGGCTCTTACGGCATTGAGCGCTCTTTTCGCTAGGATGTTGAAGCCCGTTCGTGTTTTATCCTGGCGATGGTCAGTTGAGACAAGCACACACTCCCCCGGGCTGGTCTCACCGTGGGATGTTGGGCCGACGTTATCTTTGCCGTGCGATCGACCCATCGTGTAATGTAATCGACCAGAACTGCGGCGTTGATGTTTTCGCCGGGAACAAAAAAGTGTATGGGCTGAAGATCTTCATCGCTGTCGTCAGAGTCATTATCGTCGTCTCGCTTCAGCCTCTTGCCCGACTTCGAGGGTTGTTTAGGCATGACGGGATAGTAGATCGGAGGGACGGTAGGCTAGAGGACACGGATCACGGGAGAGGCTGTTAGCAGCGGCGCTCCGGGTCGTGATGAACCTCGGTCGCAACACAGGCTAGCGGATTCAGGGAGAGGGCAGTGGGAAATCGAATGAGCATGCTTGAAGAGATGAGGCGGATCCAGACTCGATGGAAGCCAGAGAGAGATTAACCTGGAAGACTCGAGAGGTGACAAGATGATGCCTGGTTTGGTTTGCGGCAGTTCAAGAGTGCAGCCGCAGCCGATACATTTGCTGGCAGGTTGTCAGTTGGCAGTTGGCCGGACGGGGTGCCGCAGGCATGTGCAGCAGGAAGGGGATGAGTTGTCAACGAGGTTAAGTAAGAGCCACTGAATCAGACGAGCCAACACGGGACAGGACCTGATGCATGAGAGAGAGCAAATGAAAGGTCGAGTCGAAGGCTGCGACCGCGAGAACACATGATGCCCAGTGGGCGACAAGGTCCAACATTTTACCCCGCCGTCGTGCATCATCGTGTTTGTGCTCTGCTGTTGCTTTGAAGCCGCCTTCTGAGCTGCCTGCCTCTCCTTCTCCCCCCGTAGCCTGCCCAGTGCCCAGTCAGTGCCCACTTTCGCGAGTCCGAGTCCCTCCAGCACCAGACTTGTTTCCAAGAACGTCACCCTCGGAGCGAGGTCCTCCGTGGATTACCGCCGCGTGCTCATTGATGGCAGGACGAGGTGGGAACCCCCAAATCTTTGGCGCGTGTTTTAGCGATATCTCAGGAACCAATGTGGCGGCTGGTTGTTGGATGATGGAAGATGAAGACCAACGGTGAGGGGCAGCAAAGCCCCATTCTGGCTGCCAGAGTCCTGGTGCAATCGGCCGATGGGCTCCCAGGAGAAATAACCCGACTCAATCACAGCATGTCCAGCCCGAGAAGCCCTGACAATCCAAGTCTATTTGAAGTAAGCCATTTTCCCCAGGCGCACCGAGTAGAGAGCTGGCGACCCAGGGCTCTGGTCCGTAGATGGCAACGGCTGACCGATGGTCGAACAAAATCCTCGAGGGGTTCTCATGTCGGGTGAGCTGCAGTCAGATTGGGTCGGCCTCCCTGCAATGACCTTGAGAGGAAATGCTACGCCGCGCAAATGTCGCCTTGCTGCCGAGTGTGGGGCCGGATAAACGACCGAGCAAGTGGAGGACAGACTGACTAGGCAGAGATTCGGGGCAAGGAAGAGGGGTGTCCAACGGGCGGCCACAGCGCCTGGTCGAGGGGCTCCGAAGACGGCCAAGGAACAGTATAGAGACATGTATATACGCACGTCCATGGACGCAGATGTCGAGGCCGTTGTCGAAACAAGGTTGTCACCATGTCAACGGCCCGATAGGCACTATCAAGGTCGACTCCGACACTCGGCAGCCAGCTTACAGGAGAAGCACGGTGTCAATGTGGCTCACCGCTTCTTCTCGGCCGCAGGGGTTTGTTCCGGCAAGCCAGACTAGTCGACCAGCGTGCTGCGACCGACAAGACGTTCACACAAACCCATCTGAGTAGGAGATATATAAATGGAAAGGAGTGAAGGTCAAACCTAGCAAGATATGACGACTACGTTGTGTGGCCCAAAAGGGGAAGTCAGCCTCGTCCGCAAAGGGTGCACACTGCCCACCCCAATCTGTCACCCCGGCCTCACCCTCATATGATCCCTCTCGTGAAACTAAGTCTGTGCTGCCGGTAGCTGGAAGCTAGCATCCTGGGTCAAGGGGATGTTCGTATCGATCGTGACGGCCATCGTTGCATTGTCATAGGAGAAGGTCGAATTCTGCGCACCAGGGATGCTGAGGGTTTGTGGCGCTGATCTAACGTTGCAAACTGTGATCCGCTCGATACTAACATTGGCTGGATAACTGTAGTCGCCCGACATCGAGAAAGCTCCGTTGGTGTACGTAAAGTTGATATGTGTTGTGCTAGGTTGATCGATCATGAGCCCATCGTCGATGTAGAGGGAACCCTTAGCCGCCCCATCCGTGCCAGGTGCAATCAAGAGATGAAACCCTTTCGTACGCAACTGTGCTGTAGTGTTTGCACTCTCCACTCGGAGAGGGAGGATTGCACCGCCACGAACATGAAGTGGGATGGTTGTAAAGTTGACATTGTTCAAGGTGACCACCGAGCCGTTTCCTCGCACCGGACTAAATCCGTGGTTCCAGTCGTAGAATATATCGTCAGGTAGATAAATGCGTACGGTCGTTTTATTCTCAGCCGTGACGGGAGACACCAGCAGTGAATTTCCGAAGAAGAACTGGGCATCGATGCCAAAAGTCTTTGCGTCTTCGGGATAGAGATAGAACATCGGGTTCAACACAGGCGTTCCCGTTTGTGTCTGGGTCCAGAAAGCAGTATACAGATAGTCCAGAGCACGGTAGCGAATGTCAATGGCGTTCCTCGACGCTTGGGCTGTAAGCGGCCAACGGTATGCTTCTTGAGGCCGGTCTCCGAGCTCATTGTGATTCCGGTAGAACGTCTGGAAAGCCCCCAACATCATCCAACGCGCACAGAGTGTTTCGGTAGAGTTTCCAGAGTAACCGCAAATATCACTGCCAACCATTGGCAGCTGGAAGATGGAAGCAAAGTTCAACATGTCCGAGATACTGATCTCGTACTGGCTCCAGTCAGCACGGTTGTCCCCTGTCCAATGGCCAACATGGGCACCGGCTCCAAGGAAGGTGCTGCGAGTAATAACGAGCGGCCGCTCGCCAGGACGTCGGTTGAGAAGTGCGTTGCGTGAAGTCGACGACATCATAGTTCCGTACATGTTGTGAGTGTCGTATTCAACAAGCCCGTTGTAGTGGACAAGGTCGGTGTTCAGTGTCTTGTTCGACAGGCTACCAGCTGCATTTTGGATCATGTAAGGAGGATTGATGAGCTTTCTGCCTGGAAGACCTAGCATATTGCCTGTAGTCGGTGCTTGTCGTTTGGAGTTTGATGGTGGTTGGAAATCCGCTGGGAACCCCGGTAGGGCAATAGCCGGACCATTTCGCAGCGCCGCCGGTTTTGGTGGGAACCCGTTTTCTTTGGCAAATGCGCTCGGGTTCGAACATGGATAGTTGCAAAAGCTGGCGAACGGTTAGCAAGCCAATGCAAAATGATAGGACGACTCATACTTTGAGGCTTCATTCATGTCAATCCAAAGTCCGGAAATATCCACCCCAGTCTCGGGGCTGAAGAAGGACGCAAACTCGCCATTCCAATAGTCTTGGGTATCTGGATGGAACCAATCCGGGAACACGGTTGGGCCAGGCCAGACGACGCCCTCGAACACTGACCCGTCAGTCCGCTTCATGAAGACATCCGAACTGTTGCCGTTGTTGAACGCCGAGTAGTTCTGATATGCGACTGCCGGATCGACCATCATGATATAATGTTGCTGGTGGGCGTGAAGATAAGCTACCAACTCGCGCATCTTGTGCAGGGGGAAGCGTTGTGGATCCAATGTGAAGACCTTGCGGGCATCCTATCCCCATGTCAGTAGCTTCCTACGATGATTCCAGTAATATTACCATGTAGTCAATGTCCGTCCACATGGTCTGACGTCGTTAGCCCAAACCTCTCTCGATAGACTGGGTGCCTACCTCCAAGGGAATGTTGGCTGCACTATAGTTGTGCACAACTTCGGCCACGTCCCAAACGTCTCTGTAGCCATATCTGCACTGGTGGAATCCGAAGGTCCAATACGCCATCATCGCTGGTTTCCCAACGACCTCGGAGATTTGCTGAGAGACTTCAATTGGGGAGGGTCCAGCAAGGAAGTAGAAGTCCAGAACACCCCCAAGAGTGTTATATTCGAGGTATTGGCCAGCGGTGTCGTTAATCTTGATATCCATACCGTTGGAGTTCAAGAACAGCACCCCATGTGTGCCATTGGATCCTCGGTGATCAAGGTATACTGGATGATTCCCGTACAAGTTGGTGCCCTGGGGGATGCCATAAGCATCACGGGACCACAAGGTCCTTGTGTAATTGGAAGTGTTCAATCTGAAGTGATCCGAGTGTTCACCAAGCCCGTACAGATTTGGGTGGCTGGGCAACGACGTCCGGAGTCTGAGATATTGAGACTCGAAAATGATGGGTGACCCAGACGTATTGAACAGGACCTCTCCCGAAGACCGAGAGACAGAGAAGCTGAAAGGGTTTTCCGTGTAGTCAAACACAAGCTCAGCATTGGAGGCTGTAGAACCCTCTGTGACATTGGGACGAGGAAGAACCGACTGTGGAACCTGATAGACAGTCTGGTTCTGGTCCTCGATGATGACATGAAGCCTCGTAGCTCCCCAGCAGGTTAGCAACAACACACGGATGACCCACGGACAACGAGCATACCAGATTGATACTCCACAGTGAGGGTTAGATTGCGTAAGTCAGTGCCATAGATATTACAGGCGGGCCCGGCGAGGTTGAGATCGGCTGTCAAACCATTCGCAGTCTGCTGGACGTTGGTCGCACGGTAGCCTGGACAGGCCTTCTGAGCAACGGCCACCCCAGAAGCAAAGAGGCCCAACAGGATAGAAGTCAACTTCATCTTCGCCAGGAAGGTACTCTGGGCAATGAACAGATGGATGAAGTCCAGCACACAGCTGAAGTTGGGCGACCGCCCTGTTTAAGAAGCACAGAGAGGCCTGCTCGACCAGCTGGCTCCGCGCATCCCGGATGGAGGCAATGCTGGACAGAGGCATATTTTCTCGCTGGAGCTGCAAGAGCTCTTTTGACCAGTTGCCGCCTACAACGTCAGAGCTGGAGTCGAAAAAGAGGCACAAGCATCCCCCATCATCCAGTCAAGCTCCAGCTTACCCCACAGAGTCGCATTGCGATCAACCTGGCGCGGAGTCACGGACTGGAAAAGGCGTGCTGCAGAAGATGGGATTCTGGGGGAAAAGCAGGCTCAGAGTCCAATGGAAAGGCGATGGTGCCTGGCTAGAAGCTCCCATGGTGTCGTCGAAGATTCAAAACTGGTTAAACTGCGGAGGAAGAGGGACAAAGTGACATTGGGAGAGCCTGGGAGGGGGCTACATTGCCAAGCGGTGACATTGAGCAAATTCCACCGAGTATTTTATCCAGACGAGTAGAAAGAGGGAGGTGGAGAGGAATGCTCGTCACCAGGCTTAGGACAGGAGATGATTGACAAGAATAAGCAGGCAAACGAGGCCTCCATCATGCTGGAGTTCGTATTCGTGTTGCTCTCCCGCACCCAAGCCCGGCTTTCCCATCCACAGCCTTATCAAGTCTCTCCGGCAAGGCTGGCCATGTATCTACCGACTTCTGCACCGGCCAAGGAGATGTCCTCTCACAAAGAACGTCCTCGTGGACTGAATCTGGAAGGTCGGCAATGATCTCCTTAGCGATAAGGTGGGCATCTCCTCCTCGCTGTTGGAGCTACCGGCAGTCGGCCGGAGCAGCTTGACTGTGGTATAGACGACATCAATCGATATACAGCGAGTATATATACGCATGTACCTCCAACGGCTATGAGCTGCCACGGCAAACACAGCAAGTCCGAGGGATGAAGACAGGGCTTGACCAGCCACGCACCGCAAAAAGATGGTGTACTTGAATGTTCTTGCACTCGCCCTCCTCCTCCCCACTCCCTCATTCTCACAGACAACCCCCATCGATGTCCGCGAAGCCACCATCTCCAGCATCCACAACTCTCTGTTCTCTGGCCTCACCACCTGCCGGGGCATAGTAAGCGCCTTCATAGCCCGGATCGAGCGCTTCAACCCGGACATCAACGCCATCATCACGCTGAACCCGGATGCTCTGTCGATAGCCGACTCCCTGGACCAGTCCCTCTCGCGGGGCAATGCCACAGGGCCACTCTTCTGCATCCCCATCCTCCTCAAGGACAACTATGACGCCCTCCCCATGCCCTCAACGGGCGGCTGCTTGGCCCTGAACGCCTCGAAGCCCGCCCAAGACGCCCCCGCCGTGCGTGCGTTCCGCAACGCCGGCGCCGTGATACTGGGCAAGTCGAACCTGCACGAGCTGGCACTCGAGGGCCTCTCGGTGTCCAGCCTGGGCGGGCAGACCATCAATCCATACGACTTCACCCGCACGCCGGGAGGGAGCTCAGGCGGCACGGGCGCAGCAGTGGCCGCCTCGTTCGCAGTGTTCGGTACAGGGACCGACACGGTGAACTCGCTGCGCAGCCCAGCCAGTGCCAACAACCTGTTCAGCTTCCGGCCAACACGGGGCCTGATTTCGCGCGCGGGCGTCATCCCCATCTCGTACACCCAGGATACCATCGGCGCGATAGGGCGATGCCCGCTGGACATCGCCACCGCCATGACCGTCATGGCCTCGGTCGGCTACGATCCCGCAGACAACGTGACGTCGGCGATCCCGCCCTCGGTCCTGGGCACCGACTACACGACGTTCATATCGCAGGGGACCCGGACGAACCTCACGGGGATGCGCATCGGGGTGCTCGAGGGGTTCTTCAACCGCGCGGCGAGCAACGAGACGACGCCGGTCAACGACGCCATGGACAACGTCATCTCCGTCCTACAGGCTCAGGGGGCCAGCGTGGTCCTCATCAACGACACGGCGACGTATAACGCGACGGCCATCTCGGCGCAGATGGACGTGCAGACGTCCGAATACCGCGAAATGCTCAGCCACTACCTTGCGAGCGACAACCTGACGGGGCCGCATCCGCGCAGCATGCCCCAGCTCTACACGGCCAACCAGACGACGCCCGAGTTCCTGGTCATCCCGTCGCAGTACTCGTACGTGGAGACGGCGCTGGTCTCGTCGACGTCCAACGCGTCGTACTTCGTCAAACAGGCCCGGATCGCCAACCTGACGCGGGCCCTGCACGCCACGATCCTCACCAACCAGCTCGCCTGCGTGGTCTACCCGGAGCAGAAGAACCTGGTCGTCCCCATCGGCTCGCCCAGCCAGTCCGGCCGCAACGGCATCCTGGCCGCCGTGACGGGCTCCCCCGTCATCACCGTGCCGATCGGCTTCTCGCCGCCCTCGGCCACCGCGCCCATCGGCATCCCCATCGGCATGGAGATCCTGGGCCTGCCCTGGAGCGAGGGCACGCTGTTGCAGGTGGCCAAGGCCGTCGACGACGTGCTGCACGCCAGGAGGATGCCCGTGACGGCCGGCTTGAACGAGACCGTCGAGCTCACAACGGCGTACACCCAGGTGCCGCGGGTGGTGCCCCTCGGGGCGAAGAATATAGACAAGGCTGCCTATCCTCTCGGCGTGTACTGATTGATATCGACACAGCCATTTACCCTAAGTACGAAGGAAAAAGTTCAAAACAATTCTCGAATAGCAAAAGAACAAAGGTCATGCCGTTTGCACATCATTCCGCCTACAAGGACATCAATGTGCTTTATAACTACCGTTCAAGCCAGGATCCCTAAGAAATCTAGTCGATTATCACGGCCGTTCGTAATAGCTCACCATGTATTAATACTCTCATCGTTGCCATGTAGTATCTGTGGTATCTCGAAGTGCCGTCAATCGTGATTCTAGCAATCATCTGCCGCTCAGCCCATATTAGCGGAGTCCAGAATAGCAAAGAAGTCCAATGCACAGCCCCTAAGTCATCAACTAAGGGCACTCCATGGCACCCAAATTCTAGCCTTAAACAAAAGGAAGATCGTGGTCTATCACATCACAAGATGGCTCCCTGGTCTGCTGTCGGATCCTCCTACTCTGTTGCCACCGTGGTACTGGTACTCTCCCTCTGTTTCCTCAGTTCCTCCTCGATGAGGCTTTGCTTCTTGACATACTCCAACACAATCTCTTCTTCTGTTCTCTCTCTCGTAAGTTCTTCCTGGCGCTTGGAGTCTTCCTCCTGCGATACAGTTATAGCCCGCTGTAATTCTTCGTCGTTCTCGTTCTCGTCAACTGTAGCTTCCTTGGCGGCAGTGACTGATTCTGTATGTCCATTCGTGGCCGTCAGTGCAGCTTCCCGATCTGTAAGCTCTTTCTTCTTCAGTTCGTTTTCGGTGTGAAGCTTTTTAGTCTCTTCAAGCTTGCGCATGAACCTTTCGTCGTAGTCGGTGTCCAATCCAGAATCACTGTCATCCAAATGGTGGTGATCTTGATACGCCAGATCTGGATCCTGATCTCCTGCAGCCTGGGCCAGCTTGTGCTCTTCCAGACTCTGCGCAAGAGCCTTTTCGAGTTCGGCGTCATGCTCGTCCTCTGGCTTTTCTGTAGTTGTGGATAAGGTACCGCTCCGTCGAGCATGTTCTTCTTGAGCTCTCTTGAATTCTCGGATGCTAGCCTGGATGGCTTGTTGATATGCTGCATCAGAATACTTGTTCGGATCATGGCCTGAACTGTGCAGGTCCAGGAGACTCGCTCGAAGTGCCCTTTCAATGACAGCATCTTCCATTGGGTTGCCTGTACTAGTTGAACTTACGGAATGCTTGATTGCGTGCTCATAGTCAGCCAGGACGTTGTCTTGGGACTGCGAGGGCGTATTGCCACGGCTGAGCGAAGAGTCCAGACTGGAGAGAGAATGGCTGTGCTTGAGATGGTGGCTGGTTTCGTGGTCGAAGGGACAAAATTTGCATCGGCTCTTAATCTTGCCACCACTCTTGCTTTTTCTCCTCTCTTCCCTTTTAATCTCTTTTTCACGGCGTTGTAATTCCTTTTCTTCCTGTTTCAACTGGTCCCTTCGTTCAGCAAGAGCCTTTCTTTCATCCCAGCTCAGGTGTCGCGTGTTTCTGAATCCGTGAATCAATTCAACAGAATCCGTCTTGGTCCTCGTGATAATGTGACTTTCAATTGCCACCTTGCGATCGTTTCCGTACAGTTGCCCATGCTTTCGAGTTTCCAGCCTGCCATCTTTCCAAGCCGTGACAATTCGTTGTCTTTGTTCTGGAGTACTGTTTTTCCAATCCTCAAAACCTTGCGCTGTCCGAGCCGCGATGATGTAATTCTGCACGGAGCTTCCAAAGTGTTTGGAAATCTCGCTGTAGATGCCTTTGGCAGTGTATCCCGGGAGTCCCCATATACCCGCCGCAGGTTTGAGGACTAAGCCGCCGATGCCTTTGGCTGCTCCCTTGAAGAAACCAGCTGCACCCTCTTTCTTGGCCCCTGCTAGTGGCTGAGTGACTAGACCTGTGATGCCGTCATAGAAACCATATCCAAACTCTTTGCCTGCCACCCGCAAGCCGGAATGAAGTCCCACGATCTTTTCGTTCTGTCGCACGGTCTCATCTCCGTATAATTTCGGTGCATTGTGGAATCCTTTTGCTAGAGACAGTGTAAAATCCATGGGCGACTTGACACCAGCTGAAATGATTTTACCAGCCGCTTTGGCGCCAGATATGGCCGTGTCCAGCGAGACTTGTCCGACTTCTTCGCCGACGCAGGGGTCACGATTTCCATTTGCTGCCGGCGAACCAGAGCGGGATCGGGATCGGTGGTGAGACAGGCTATGATGGCGGTGATGATGGGAAACTTTTGATGATCCATCTGCGGTCAAGACGGTCGACATGGATGAAGGTGCCGCGGCGGTTGTGCCCGACGAAATTGACTGCTGAGATTGGACGGGCGTGATCGTTGCCGCTGTTGCACCCGCAACTTCAGAAGACTGGCGTTCCGAGGGCGCGACGGGTGTGGAAGTGCCACTATTTGAGCGTCTCTCGTGGATTTCTTTCAATTCTCCCGAGGCGGTCTTCAATGACTTGAGGATTTCAACCGGGAAATCTGCGATACCCATGGAAAGATTTCCAAGTGTTCCAATCAAAGCAGCTGCACCGCCAGATATTGGCTCCCACGGCCCGTCTTCTGTCTCATACTCTCGGGGACGGTAAAGTTTCAGGTCCGAGAAGTCCAGCAGGCCCTCAGTTCCGAGAACAGTGGCTGCAAGCGGCGACAGACGGATATCCGTCCGCTTCACACGCCAGACAGCAACGCTCGACGGATCCAACGAGCATCTGAGGCTCGACATGTGCAACTGCTTGTGAAAAGACTGTGCGCCAGCTTCACAACCATCCTCTGCCTTGATCTTCATGCTCAGGTCCTTTGCGCGTTCGAGGGACTCCGGCTTTAACGCCTCCAAGATCGAGTGGGCAAGCTTGTCGGCATTCAAGTTCTTGTACGCAATGGGTACTGGGCCTGCGCCGGCCCTGGCGGTCATTGACCCCCAGAACGGTTGATCGCCAAAGAATGGAACTACCACCGTTGGTCGACCGGCTAATATACCGGCAGCAGTTGTACCTGCACCACCATGATGCACCACGCACGACACGTGTTGGAATAGCCAATCGTGAGGGCAATTCCCAATCATGAAGACACCCTCCGGTATTCCTAACTCATTGGCACCGAGCCCACCCCAGCCTTTAGAGACTATCGCTCGCTGGCCAGTCTTTTTGATGGCGTCAAATATCATCTTAGTCATGGCATTCGGATCATCGACCACGATAGAGCCGAAGCCAATGTAGACAGGAGGTGGTCCGGCAGCTAAGAAGTCTGCTAGGTCTTGTGGTGGAGTATAGTTGGTAGATAGGTTGAGGAAGAAGAAACCCGATATGTCGATATAGCTGCCCCAGTCTGGTGGTTTCGGGATCAAAGCCGGCGACCAACAGTAAGTCCACGGAATGCGCAATCGGCTGACCATGCCGGGCGCCCACATGATACTCACGGGTTCCAAGCCCAGACTTCTCTCCCGAAACCTGTTGATAACATCCCCCAGGCCCTGCCAGGTCAACATGTCCACCAGGGCATAGGTGACAAAATTTGTAATACTGGAGTCTGTATTCGAAGAGATGATATTCGCGAGAGGATGTGGAAAAGACTGCGTTGGCGACCAAGGCATGGTGAACATCAGATGTAGGGGAACGCCCAACTTCTCTGCAATGTGCACATGAGCAAAGCTCGGTGGGTTCGCAATGATTGCGTCTGCGACAAAGGGCTTCAGAGTCGGATCTATGCCGAAAGACATCGCACTGTCGAAGCTGCGCGCATCCATATTATCATCGCTGAGTGGCATGCCCATACCGTCTCCAGCCTCAATGCAGGATCTCCAACAACCTGTGACGATTTCGTAGATGCCTTTTCTTCGCTTGCCCACGTCTCCACTTTTGAGGGAATCCATGCCCGGCATAAGACCCGGATTCTTGACCATAAACGCCATGAGCTCGGCGGGATCTCCTCCTATGCTGAAGAATTCCAGACCGTTCTCTCTGACGAATTGTTTGAACGTGGGATGGGTGGCGATTCTGACACGGTGCTTGTATTTGTTCTTCAACACCTGGCCCAATGCCACAAAGGGCTGCACGTCTCCTCTGCTGCCCACGATTTGAATCACAATGTTCATAGGCGGTGGAGGAAGGCCGTCCACCTCTCCCAGCCCCTCGGGAACGGGTGGCTCTGAGGGAGGTTTCTGCCTCGACAACTCCAATTGGCGGCGCAGAGCAGGCAAAAGCAAGCTCGTGAGCTTGCCCTTGTGCTGGTTGATGTTGATATTGACTCGGCCATCACTGGCTATCCGTGCGCCCGTATCAAGGCCGTTCTGACTTATGTCCAGCTGTCCGTACTCCGCGCCATTGTAGGCTGGCGGAGGGACATCCTCCAGGTGGGGAGAGACGCCGCCATGGTGCCGTATATGTCCTTCTGGCGAAGAATTGGACACATTTGGCTCTCTTGGACCACCACACGCCTCCTCTTGAGCAGCTGCAGCTGCCGCTTCCGCTTCTTCTAGGATGATGGGAGGGATAGGTTCGCCTTGTCTCGGTGGGGTAGCGGGGGGATCTGAGTTAGACATTATCGCACCTAACTAGACATTAAGGATGGACAGGTCTGATCTGAAAGGGAAAGAGACTGCCTTGGGCAGGCAGGAGAGGGCAGGAAAGCAGCAACTAGAGGGGGCGAGAAATATGTAGACGGCAAAGGTGAGAGGGCCGAGGGGGACGCTGAAAGGGTGTCGACCGTCGGGTCACTTGAAGTCAGGTGGGCATGAGCGGTGACAGGGACGTAATCACTGCTATGGGTGATACCACAGGAAGAGAAGATCTCGAAGGTTGCCGGCAAAGGGTATATCATCATTTTTCTTGTCGCAGGGGACCGCAGACATCATCGCCAGGGCTCTGCAACATTGAAGCCGCGAACCACAGAAGGAGGATGTTGAACTAATGCCGCTGTGACAGGTTTGCAGCTGGACTGGGCGACGCTTAACCGGAGCCAGTCGCTGCAGACAACACCTAGCTAGCTCACAGGCCAGAGGGTTAGTTTAGGCAGTAGAGCCCTCGAGCGCCTTTACCCGTAGAGCCTGCGGGCGAGCCTAGGGGACCCCTTCCAGGAATGGTCAAAGGCTCCTCCCCCTCCCTTCACCGTGAAGCTGAATCAGCAGAGCTAGAGTCAGCACCCTGTTCTTTATACCTCATCCAGCAACTAGTATATCACTCCCTACTGTACCGCGTCTTCTGGGCAGATCTGTTCCGAGTTGCCCCTCTCCTCTCCCTCCCGTCGCCAATGCAAGCAACTCACATAAGGCTGAGGGAGCTACTGGACGCCACCACTCAGCCACTTCATCAGACCCAGAGCTGAGGTAATCCTAGGTAATCGTGACCTATACAATCTCTTCAATATCCCGTCTAGGTTCCCTATGAGCGCTGCTGTTTCCAGCTGTGTGCGACCCCTTCCATCGTCTCGAAGGTGATCTCGCCATCCCCTGCTGCCTTTTGCCGTTGCACTAGCCTCGCGATGAATCGATCAATCATGCCCACGATATGGGCTCGACCCGCGCTTTCAGGATGCCAGATCATGCTACAAAAGGCCGTGCCTCTGATTAGCAAAATGCCTCAAGGGGGTTGGACCGCTTATGGAAGCAGCATTAGTGTGACTCACGGATATACGGAGCCATAACCTTTGCCAGGCCCTTCATCCAACCAGCTTTCATTCTCCCATAACCAGTCGAACCTATCCCACCACATCTTTTCCACATTGTCGACCCCAACGTAGCCTTGCGTGTTGGCTGCGTAGGGATAAAACCCAAGCTGATAAGAGTTAGGACTGAGATCATTCTCGTGGACGACAGGTGGCTTACAGGAGTCATGTCCTCTGTATACCAGCTTGAGGGGATCTCCACCAGAGCCTTGTTGGCCTCAGCAGTACCTGGCTGCGGCTGTGTCGGTATTGAGGTGGGAACCATCCAACTGCTGGCATCCTTCTTGTAATCCGGAACATGGGGCGGCTCTTGCGGAAAGGGATTCACCAGGAAGTAAGGCAAAGAGTCGTGGGCGTTCATGCTGCTGTCATAAAGAAAGTCGTGGTCCTGGAGCAGCCGGACGGTTGTCTCGCGGATTTGATACAGAGGGGCACGATATCCGACCGGTTTCTTACCTTGTCTGAGTGCTGTTATCAGGCCAATGCATTTCTGCAAAACATCCTTCTCCTGTTCAACCGTCATTGCATATGCGCCTTCATGGCTGTAGCCATGGAGTCCAATCTCGGCTCCGCTCTCTGCGATCTCGCGAGCCTGCGATGGAAATGTTTCGAGACTGTGGCCGGGGACGAACCAGGTGAGCTTATCGGAAACACCGTGCTTTTTGAACAAGCGCAGCAGTCTTCCCACTCCGACGTTGGCGCTGAAAATGCCCGCTGAGTAGTCGGAAAGCGTGTTTTGGGGATCATGACCTGTTCCCAAATACCCGGAGATGGCATCAAAGTCTACAGAGAGACAGATTCGCATTCGACGTTTCCTGGTGGCTGGAGTCAAGGAGGCGGGTATGGTCGCCATTTGCAGCTTGGTCTCCTTTCCGCTGTTTCCCAAGACTTGCTCCTCTCGCCAAATGATCCGGCCTTCCATCCCCCCATCAACAGAGATGCATTCTCCAGAGATATGACCTGCAGCACGGTGACTGGCTAAGAACGCCATAGCCCGCGCGACGTCTTCGGGTTGTGCGATCTTCTTCAGCGCGACGGTAGCCTGGCATTCTGCCCACATTTCCCTCGGATCGTCCAAGCGATCACCAATGAGAGAGGTGTTTACCCATCCCGGGGCCACAGCATTAATGCGGCCTTTCGAATTCAGGCGGACAATTTCGTTCTTCACCGTGCGAACGAGGCCATATTGCAAGCCCGCCTTGCCAGATGCATATCTGCCGAACGTTTTAGCATCCTTCAGAAGATCTCCCTGGGGTACCTGTGCACTAACTCAGCGTGCCCTTCCTGGCCAAACTTTCCAGTCTCTGAGCCAGTAATAACGATAGAAACATTGTCGAGCTCAGCTCCCTGGGCTTCTTGCGCCTTCTTCACCGAGAGCAAGAATTGCTTGACGGTCAAAAATGTGCCCTTGACATTATTGGTGTTGACCTTTCGTGACATGAGCGTTAACTTCTAGCGACAGCCCCCTGGGAAAATTCAGACCTTGTCCCATAGACTCTCCCCGATCTCCCATATTGGCGGATGAGCGCTTTCATCCGTGATGCCTGCATTGGCTATCAGGATACTCAATGGGCCGAAATGGTCTGTTGCAGCTTGGAATGCTTCAGAGACAGACTTTTCCGACGTCAGGTCGCCTTGCGTCGTGAATAGCCTTGACGACTGCTCTGGTGATGAGCATAGCTTTGCTCCATCGATAGATCTCCGGTCAAATGCCGTCACACGACATCCAAGAGCTGAGCATGGTTGTCAACGTCCTGTCGAGGCATACCTCTGGGAAGAGCACATACAGAGAAATTCTTTTACTGCAGCACCGCCAATCCCACCTGCTGAACCTGTGATGAAGACATGAAGGCCCTCAATGCCTAGAAAGGAGCTCGAGCTTCCAGCCATGTTGGAATCGAAGATATGCAGCGACCCGGATGATACTCGCACTCCCTCGCACAAAACGCAACAGTTTGACGTCTACACCATCAACCGAGCAATGTTTTTTCCACGGACATGTCCGTCTGGCGACTCGAGGCTGAGAATGTGGAGGGGACGAAGCTGTCCGAGTGGAATGTTCCCCCCCGTAATCACCTAAGATACCGCTAGGGTCGCTGATTCGATTCTCATGACACCTCGAGAGCCGAGATCTAACGACTCCTCATCCACCCTGTCTCATTACCTTCGAGACTGTGAGGGACTTCCGGTCCTGAGGTCATGGTGAGAGTGGAGAACTGCGCCGGCCTCGTGGCAGCCGGGGGAATGGTTTCTCTCCTGCCTCATCAAATTTAGCTCTCCGCCCAGCCCAGGCTTCGAGAAACCGGTCGTGGAGTGCCTGAAGCTCGATTTCTGACTTGACATTATTTGGTGTCAGCTATCTCTCTCCGCTCGCTCCCCTATCTGAAACTTGGTTTTGAATTTATCGCTTGTTTCCATTTTTGCCAATCGAATCCTAAGAGACGTCGTCTTCGTGGCTTGGCTGTGATTGGGACAAACTCCTGGTCAGCGACTTGACTGAATCAATCCAGGATCACGGACTTGCGCTGATTAGTGGCTATCTTCCGGTATCAGTCCCGCGCGCAGATCCGAGTTCCCTGGCCATCAAACGTGGCCTGCGTTGTGGGCGAGACGCGCCTATCTGACTGACTGCTTCCCAGGAATGCCGATAGTGAAAGATGAGTATATATCAGCGTTTAGTCTCCTGTCTCTCTCCCTCTTTCCCCTCCCCTTATTTTGCCATCTGCTAGCTTTTCAGGACGATCGTAAAACATGGCGACCGCGGATGAAAAGAAAGACCCTGTTCCCAACGAAGTCGCGACTGATCATCCATCCGACACTGCGGACAATGCAGACACGGGTGTCTCCGAGCTCATCAATGCTTCTGGTCACGTACAGGAACTTGAGCGAAACTTCAGCCTTCTCTCCGCTGCTGGGGTTGGCCTTGTAGTCGGGACCGTATGGCCTGCTGTCGGAGGGTCGATCCTCGTCGCCATCTTCAACGGCGGGCCTCCGGGAGTTATCTACGAGTTCATTACAGTTTCAGTTTTCTACTGGATAGTAGCAGCATCTTTGGCGGAGTTGGCGTCAGCTATACCTTCTAGCGCTGGGGTTTATCATTGGGCTTCAGTGACTCCGGGTAAGAAATGGGGTCGCGTCGTTGGGTATGTTCCTCTCCCAAAACCGTTGGTCGATGAAGTTTGCTGACAGCCTGGTACTACAGGTTCTTTGCCGGATACTGGAACTGGCTGGCATGGGTATTTGGTGCAGGATCAATGAGTTTCATCCTCGGTTTGTAGGATCTCCCCGCTGAAGCCATAAATGCTCATTCTCGGCAGCGAACACCTTCGTGCAAATGTATGCTCTCGAGCACAGCGACTTCACTGCGAAGCGGTGGCATGTCTTTGTGACGTATCTTGTAAGTCTGCAAACACCACCAGAGCGACGTTGACCCCGTGGGGAGCATTTGCTGATGATGTGCTAGATCGTGACATGGATCGCCTGCCTATGCGTTTGTCTGTTCAACAGGGCAATGCCGTATTTGAACACCGTAGGCATCGTTCTCCTGCTGGGCGGTTTCCTGGTCACTATTATCGTTGTGTGAGTCTTATCACTGATGTGAAGGGAGAACAAAAATTGATCGTTTTCAGGGCCGCCATACCAGGATCGGGCGACCATCCGCCACATGCCTCGTCTAGTTTCGTCTGGAGCGAGTGGAATGCCGATATAGGATATCCTAATGGCTTTGTCTTTGTTGCCGGAATGTTAAATGGCGCATACTCTGTCGGAACGCCCGACGCCGTGAGGTTCGTTCGAGATGCATACACCACCACCACAAGAATATGGACAAGCTGACCTTACACTTCGCAGTCATATCGCCGAGGAGGTCCCGTATCCCAGCAAAAACATTCCAATCGCCATCGGTCTGCAAATGAGCATCGGATTCTTCACTGGAATCTGCTACATTATTGCGATCGTAAGTTCTCAACCTGCCAGGCAATCTAGCGAAGAAGCTCGCCATAGCCGCGTCGTCGTCGGTAGTTGCTGACAGATACTTCCAGATGTATGCAATCAGTGACTACGATGCTTTGTTCAATGCACCATTCCCACTTGCCGAAATCTATCGACAGGCCACCGGGTCAGCCGGCGGTGCCATTGGGTTGCTGTGTCCCTTCCTCTTCTGTATCGCAACCTGCTTGGTTGGAGTATACATCACAGCCGGCAGGACACTATGGACTCTTGGACGAGACAAAGCAACTCCATTCCCTCAATACATTGGCAGAGTCAACAGGAGGTTGGAAATGCCTCTCTATGCTACTCTGCTGTGTGGCTGTCTGGTGACTGTTCTGGGCTGGTAAGTGTTCTAGGCAGTATACAGTGCAACTAGCTGACCGTGGACGGAACAGCATCTATGTTGGGAGTGCTACAGCTTTCAATGCATTCGTGGGCAGCTTCGTGCTGATGTCTTCCGGAAGGTAATTCAGAGGGGATCCCCAATCGAGATATCAGCGTCGGAATTCGCTAACATGAGAATAGCTATATCGCAGCAATCCTGCCTCATCTTCTGACCGGTCGCAAGAACGTCAAATTCGGCCCGTTTCACCTGGGGAAATTCGGTGTGGTGATGAACACGATTGCATGTGGATACATGATCGTGTGGTTCGTGATCTACTGCTTCCCCTTCGCTCTGCCCACGGACGCAGAGACCATGAACTATGCCTGTGTGATCTGGGGAGGTCTGACCACTTTTGTCACGGCTTGGTGGTTCCTTGGTGCGAGGAAAAGCTATGAGGGCCCCAAACCCGCCGGAGGAGTCGAGCACGAGGTTGAGCACATGAGAAGACCTAGTGTGGAGAAGCGAGTTTCAGTGTAGGTGTTTGTACATGTAGCAGTTATCTTTTCCCTCTTGCACCGCAAATTCAATAGCAATTAGAAATAATTCACCAGTCCATCTGGAAGTGATGAGATTTTTCGGTGCGTATACTTGTAGGGTGCGGCACCGTGGGCCACTTGGGACACGAATAAGGCGCAGGATCAAAATATCGCCTCGGCTAAACTGCGGACTGGTTGATTCACGTGACCAGCAGATCTTGGCAAGAATTTATCCCACAACTAAAAATCGAGCCTCCACCAGATCGCAGCAGCAACGAGTGAACCGTCCCAACCTCGACAATCCGCACACCAAACCAGCTCGTCAATATGTCCGACAACGGCGAGGTCGAAGTCGAAAACCCAACCTCTGGTTGGCCCGTCCTGCCCAAGGATGTCATGCAAGAGATCGGGAGCGTGAAGCTCTTCGGGCGCTGGAGTTACGAGGATGTCGAAGTCAGAGACATCTCATTGACGTACGAAGAAAAGCCCCTCCGTGCCCGGATACCGATGTCTTCGGGGGAAAAGAGAGAAAGAGAAAAAGGCTGACGAGACCACTCTTTCTAAAACAGCGACTACATCCAAATCCGATCACCCGTCTACATCTCGCACTCCGCAGGTCGATACGCCGCAAAGCGTTTCCGAAAGGCCCAATGCCCCATCATCGAGCGCCTGACCAACTCCCTGATGATGAACGGTCGCAACAACGGCAAGAAGCTGATGGCCATCAGAATCGTGGCACACTCGTTTGAGATCGTATGTCCCTCCCCTTTCCTGCGGACCAGAGGAGAAAATGCGAGTAAACACCCAAAAATCTGACTCCTCCATTCTGTTGTTTTTAGATCCACATCATGACCGACCAGAACCCCATCCAAATCGCCGTCGATGCCATCGTCAACTGCGGCCCTCGCGAAGACAGCACCAGAATCGGCAGCGCCGGCACCGTCCGAAGACAAGCCGTCGACGTGTCCCCGCTCCGCCGCGTCAACCAGGCCATCGCCCTGCTCACCATCGGCGCCCGCGAAGCCGCGTTCCGCAACGTCAAGAGCATCGCCGAGTGCCTCGCCGAAGAGCTGATCAACGCTGCCAAGGGAAGCAGCAACTCCTACGCCATCAAGAAGAAGGACGAGCTGGAGCGTGTGGCCAAGAGCAATCGGTAAAAGGGCAGTCCGTGGGATATGGCGGTGGTGGTGGTGTTGCCTGGGAAGATCATCGAACATGGTACTACGACTTGCATTTCATGGCAGTCACTTCAAGCACGCAGATGGTACGGGTCATCGTCTGCTTTGCGGGGGAGCATCAATCGAAAATAGCACACGCGCGGCTGTCCCGTCGGGTCAGCAGGATTGCAGATTCAGCGCATAGATGAGATGCTGAATGTCCACCAAAATTCGAAATGACATGAAAGTTTGACCAGTGTTTGCGTCGAAAGTCCTGTTTTCTCCAAGTCTGTTTTGAGGTGACGGCGAAATTCTGCAGGCCGTACTCGCAGTGCCGTGTTTCCCGTTTTACGGCATTGCTAGACGACTACAACCGAACTGCTGAATTACGAACGGTGAGCGAGTATTGGGATAGAGTGAAGGAGACGTGATTGAGCACTGAATTCGTATTCTCGGAACCCTCGCTATGATATCTTCGCCGTCTGATCCAAGTTCTAATCCCATGCACACCTTCCCCCACCCCAGTTTGTGTATTGACTATCCTTGCTTTTAGTCGAGAGATTCATTGATCCGTTCGTTGTCGTTGTTTGGCTTTTTGCTTTCCGTGTTGGCTGCTGGTTTTCTTGCTTTGGAGTCGCTGAATCGTCGGTTAAGGCGTACTGGTTGGCAATCTGCCTGCCCATTTGCTTTCCATCGTGTCGAGTGGTCGCGGACCTCGCAAGCAGGTATCAAGGTCAAGCGTCGCCCATCTATTCTGCATTGGTCTCGGGTGTCCATTCCTTGTCTTTTTGCAAAGCGCTACCTGAGGCAGAACCCCGAGAGAAGCATTTCAAGGTGCTTGCCCTGAATGATTGTACCGGCTGAGTCGCTCTCATGTCTCGCGAGGATAGTGCCGTGGCGGCCTCACTTCCCCAAAGGCCATCATTATATTCCTGGAGCGTACCTCCCTCATATATGCTTCTTGCTCTGGTTGCTTGGGGTTGAAACTCGCGTCATTCGTGTCTGGCTTGCCGAACAGCCGTTGAAAGGCGAAACCAACGGTGACGGCGCCTGCAGCGCCCAAGATGCACAAAAGGACAACAACTTGATCGGGAATGCCCATGGTGAATTGGAAGTTGATGAATCGCGAGTCCGGAGAAAGGAAAAGGGACACGTCGAACTCTTTTGTTTGTGTTCGCGGACTTTGGACTGCCCGGACTATGCGTGAGCAATGGACTAGGGCAAGGAAAAGAAGATTTGTCAATGCTTAACAGACAGGAGACCACCTTGACTCTTGGAGCGAACGAAAGAGGCTGACTTCAGAAACAGACAGGAAGAGGCCCGTATTGTGACACCAGGTGTGATTCGGGAGTCTGCCCTTCATATACCACGATTCAGCCCCAGCTTGGGGAGCGCAATTTCCATGCGCGGCAGCATGGCGAGTGCCATCGACCGTAGTGTCTCGGATATTGAATGGCCGTCTCTTGTGAATCATGCATTGATAGCATGCAAACAAGGTTGGAAGCCTTCACCTCCCATCACAATTCCTGCTTGTCCCAGGCCTTAGATAACTGGCCCGTTGATATCGAAGGATGGGAATGGTAAAGCGCAAGCCAACATACTAACCAGTTTTGATCGAGAACCCGAGCGAGTCGAATCGGCAAAGGTGCTGGAGCTCCACTGAGGTCTCGGATATCCCACAAGGCCCCTTGGGAGCAAAGTTTGATCCCCTGTCTGCCAACAACCGCTTGAATGTGGGATCCATTGGGTCTGACCAGTGGCAGCAGCGAGGACTTTCAGAGGCAAACCCTGGTGTCAGACCATCCATTGACCGGCAGCGTGTCCCATGTTTAGGCCCTGTTCTCTCCCTCGACAACACGGCCATTCAACCGAATATCATGTCCCCCAGAACAGCATTTCCAGCCATCGGCCAAGTGTTGAGACCGTGAATGCCACTCCGATGGGCTCTCGTCGGAGCGGTCAATCGAAGTCCAGGACTGGATGCTTGACCTGCAAGTAAGTTCGTCGCTGCGATTTGCTGGCTAGTGTACTGATGTTGTCTAGGATCCGTAAGCGTTCCCCCTCCTGTAGCTTGTCAGGACATGGTGCCTCTTTGTCGCCAGAATAATCATGAGCTGCGCAGACTAACACGCGATTTCAGGCAGAATAAAGTGTGACGAATCGCAACCACATTGCAGGAGATGTACCGAGACAGGTCGAAAGTGCGAAGGCCCCGTCGCCCGCCACATTCGTTTTGCTGAGGATCAGTTGTCAACTCCGAAGTATCCTGTTCTCCTACCCGAGCTTTCCATTTATGCACCGCAACACAGCGACGATGAACGCTGGGCTTTCAACTATTTCATCTACCGAGTGGCTCCAGTATTTGCCGGATTCATAGATGGTCCTTTTTGGCTCGAGTTGATTCCTCGCCTTGCCCAGTCGTACACCTTTGTCTGGCACATGGTGATGTCAATTAGCTGGGCTTTCGAGCACGTCCAATATCGAGAGCTGAGGACTGTTTTTGACACTGGTCGTCCAACTGCTGTTGTCGTTCACGCCGAGCACCGACGCGCCTTGAGGTGGTATTCCAAGGCCCTTGTGAGTTTTCGTCACTTGCTTGAGCAAGGGGAAGCGGACAACGCACACACTCTCTTGAGTTGCATCCTGTTCGGTGCCTTTGAGTTTCAGCAGAGGAATGTTGGCAATGCTTTGCGCCTGATGGACAATGCTTACAGAATGCTGGGCCAGAATCTCTCGGGTCGCCCGGCCCAGCAAACGCTTACCACAAACACCGACATCGACGAGACGGTGACGGCCTTCTCCTCGAGGAAGGCGATATTGATGGCCACTCTTGCCACTCCAGAATGGAAATATCGGGCAAGAGAACGTCTCTCAAAGCCTTTCATCGTCGCCACTTTGGCTGTCCTCGACGAATTCCGACAGCATTTGTACACGCTCATGTTCAAGGCGTATGAAATTGTCCGGGTGACAGCTCTGCTTTCTCATGATGAGTATGAGATGCAAAAGTTGAGGCCAAGACAGCAGATATGCCTCGAAGAATTGCAAAGATGGAAGGATTCGTTCCTCCCTGTTTCGGATAGCTTGCGAGACGGTGAAACAGAATGGATATCTTCCTATCTCCTGATGTATTGGGGCGTTTGTCACGTTTGGCTGGCCAGCTGCTTGAGCCCGTTGGAGAGCTCATTTGATGAGCATATGCAGGAATTTGCAGCTATCGTCGATAGGGCAGAAGAGGTTATCGACCACCATGCTGGAAACGAGACTAGCGGCCCAATATTCACAGGGGAAATCGAAATGCTTCTGGCGCTATATTTCGCAGCGACCAAGTGCCGCAACGCGATTGTCCGCAGGAGGGCTCTGCGCCTCATACGAAAGATTCCCTACCGAGAAAGCGTCTGGGCATCCATTGCATCACCGCGAGTAGTCGAAAAGATGATCGCTGTCGAGGAAGGTCACGACCATTTCTTGGAGTATCCATTACCGGCGGGGCTTCTGTCGTTACCACCAGAGGAAAATCGAATACACCATGTTGCCATTATGAAGGGGGATGTGAACGAAGTCCGGCGGCGTCTGAAATTACAGTGGACTAAGGTCGCGTTCGACGATCACGGATCGTTGAGAATGGTACACGAGAATGTCTGGCTAGAAGACTGCGTCGAAGACCCTGGTCGAGATTCTGCACTGCTAAACACGGGATGAACACATGATTGTCAAAATGCAAATCCTTGAGGCGGCTCCCTCTTCTGAGACCAAACATGAAAGAGGCTCCGAAACGCCGCATCGTCACTTGCTGCAAGGGGAAATGAATCGCTGAATCGAGCAGAGGAGCCTCAGTGAGTCCCCTCACCCTTTAATGTGGTAGTTTGTGAGTAACTCAGCAGACCATCCCACTTTGTGTCAGGCTGGCGGTGAATTCGCCATGATGCGAATCTCCTCTGCCCGTTGCGCGAATGTGCTTCACGGAAGGAGGACGTCCAGGTGTATTGCTGGAGGTTGCGAGGGAGTTGAAAGCTCCATCTATTGTCTCTCGGCACAAATCATTGGAGCTGGAAGGACAGGTGGAGCCTGCCATACTCTCAGGATGACGGGTAGCATGTTGCTGCGATTGAAGTCAGACTGTCCCCTTTAGTAATGGCGGTCGCCCAGCGGGATATGGCGTCCAGGCTCCCTCGAGCAGGAGATTCAGTATGCATGATGATGAGGAAATTTGGGAATACTATAATGGCTGCTGGGAGGAATGTAGTCCAAGGAATATGAAAAGATGATGGGATTGAGAAGGACTTCGTGTATGATGGGGCAAGAGCCACAATTATTGTAAAGACATGAGAATAAGCAACTTCTTCCTAGAAAGGCGTGCTGAAATTGGCAATGCTGCTCGTCAGACGGTATGAATTTATAGAAGTGCTGGAATCTAATCAAGATTAGATCTGCTAGAAAAAAAGTCCACAACTTTTCCAAACCCCACGGCGACTGCGACTATTCAGCGAGACTTCCACGCCAATTGAAGTCTGAGACTGAAAAGTGATCGGAAATAGAAACCATGGGAAAGCGCAAACTCGGAGCCCTCGAAAAGGTCGACGCAGACCTCGCGAACCTGCAGAACAAAATCAAACGAGATCCGAAATCCTACCACACCGACTTCCTGCACCAGCACATCCAGTATGAGAACCAGAGACAGATCTTCATGCAGGCCCCGGCGTCAGCCTCTTCCAGCGGCATCATCTCTTTCCGCGACCTAATCGAGTTCGTGGCCCATGTGGCGGACTGCTACCGGGAGGAGACGAAAGACTTTCCGAAACAGTTGATCGAGATTCTGTCGGCGCACCATGCGACGTTGGAGCCTGAGTTAAGGGAAAAGATTGTGGGCAGTCTGGTGCTGCTGAGAAAGAAAGAGATTATCGACTCACACACGCTGCTACAATGTTTCTTCCCCATCCTCACCACGACACCCAGCAAGTCCCTGCGAGCATTACTGTTCCAGAAAATCCTGAGCGATTTGCGTTCTGCGAACTCGAAGACCACAAATCACAAACTCAATCGCAGTGTGCAGACGACGCTGCACAATCTTGTCACGGACGACCGATCGTCTCCGAAAGCGTTATGGGCAGTCAAGATTACACGAGAGATGTGGAAGCGGCAGATCTGGACGGATGCGAAGGCCGTCGAGATCATGAAAGAGGCGGCGCTAGCTGACAACGAGAAATGTGCGGTGGGAGGCTTGCGGTTCTTTCTGGGCGGCGACAAAGAGCGAGAAGAGCTGGAGGATGAGAGCTCAGACGAAGAGACCGTCGATATAAGCAAGCTGCGGCATCAGATTGGGGTCAACAAGAAAAGTAAGAAAACGGAGAGAAAACTCGAAAAGGCTGCCGCAACAGTTCGTCGGAAAGAGAAGAAAAAAGGACAGCCTCATCCGCTGAATTTCTCTGCCTTACATCTTTTGCACGATCCCCAAGGGTTTGCGGAGACGATGTTTTCGAAGCACCTGCAGAGTGCGAAGTCGAAGTTAAACCTCGAACAAAAGCTGTTGGCGTTACAACTGGTGTCACGGCTGATTGGATTGCACAAGCTGACCGTGATCAGTTTTTACTCCTATTTTCTGAAGTATCTGACACCTCGACAACCTTCTGTTACATCATTTCTAGCATCGCTTGCGCAGTCGACACATAATCTTGTGCCGCCAGATATACTGGAGCCCCTGGTACAGAAGATTGCCAATGAATTTGTATCGGAGGCAGCTGCTGGGGAGGTGGCCGCGGCGGGATTGAATGCAATTCGCGAGATTTGTGTGCGGCAGCCATTGGCTATGAATGACACCTTACTACAAGATCTGGTTATGTATCGGAAAAGCAAGGACAAAGGGGTGATGATGGCTGCAAAAGGTCTTCTCAGCCTGTATAGACAAGTGGGCGCTGAAATGCTTCGCAAAAGAGACCGTGGGCGAGACGCCACACTGGGTCTGAAGTCCGGCGAGCAGAAGCAGCAGAGATTTGGTGAAGAGGCTGTTGGAGAAATTGAAGGGTTGGAACTACTTGAACAATGGAAAGAACAAGAAAGGCAGAGGAAGAGATTGGAAAAGGGTCTTCCTGCAACTGGGTCTGAGGATGAGGAGGACGAAAGTGATGAGGAAGACTGGAATGCTTGGAACATCGAAGAAGATGCAGACAGCGATGATTCGGGAGGCTGGATCAATGTCGAGAGTGACGACGAGATCAATATCAGTGACAGCGAGGACGAGCAACCTTCGGCGAAGAAAGTGCGGTTCGATGCGCAGGTTTCTACAAGCGACGACAAAGAGAACGCAGAGAAGCCCGGAGAAGCAGCAGATTCAACCACAACCCAGCCAAAGTCAAAACTCGCTACGACTCGGATTTTGACACCGGCTGACCTGACCAAGTTGCAAGAGCTTCGAACGACGGCCTCTGTGTCGTCGCTTATGAAGAATCACAAATCACACCACGCGTCAAGCACATCGCAGCAGACCAACTCGCAACGGCACATGGATGACCCTCTGACTGCGGCAGAGATCGAAGGGTTAGCGTCGCTCTCACGAGGTAAAGCGACTCGAGCACAGAAGCTAGCGTTGCTGCAAGAACACAAGGATGACCGTGAGGAGCACAAGTCCAAGGCAGCGCGGAAGAAGGAACGCAAGGAGTCGGAGGGCAAGAGCACGACGAACAAAGAAAAGGCACGCAAGAAGAATTTCCTGATGACGCTGGGAAAGGCCAAGTCCAAGGGGAAGAGGAGCTTGGTTGAGCACCGGAAGATCTTGAGGGCGCATGCTGAACGGGGGAAGAAGGGAGGGAGGAGAGGCAACCGAGGGTAGATACTGTAGACACCTAGGGATTTACAGTACCTGCTCAGAGAGAAGCATTGATCCCTCTCATGGTATCGACATCTGATGTGCTGATCAAATCCTCGGTCCTCCAGACCAAGAACTTGTCGTCCGTACGAGGTCAGCAACGAAAAGACCAGGCAATAATGCATCGTCGTACCAAGCGTACCAGGCAGTAAAGGCATAATAACGTAAAATGTCCGGAGTAATCTCGTCCCAACCCTTTTTTTCCGTCTCTCTTCCTCGCTCGGTGGCTCAGCCCGCTTTTCCCAGCGAACCCTCAACGTCCAAGGGTTGCCCAGCCACGATGAAGGCCGCCCAATGAAAACGTGGTCGCGTAAAGTGCCAGCGGGAAGCCTCGCGTCAGTTTCGTGTCAGCGCAGGTTTTTCAGGGACAAAGCACTTAACACTTAGCACTTAATGGGCCATTAACCGGCCGCCAACTGCCAACCAGGAACATGAGTTCACCATGCCACCCAATAACAGCTGCCCAGCCCAGCCCAGCCCCGGAGTTTGCTGCTGAGGAGTCCGCACGCTAGGCCTGAAACTCAGTGGTTAGCGGCGGGAGCGCAGCCACTATTAATATCGCCACGCATGACAATTTTAGGGGGGCGTTCAGGGAGGCTGGGGAGGCGGGCTCTGGTTGGGCCGGTGGCCAGCTGCTGCAGGGGCTCCCGGGCTCCAGGGCTTCACCCGCCTCTCCCAGGGCCTCCTCATGGCTGGAGGGGGAAGGGGGGCTGACGGTTTAGGCCACAATCCCACCAGCAAAAGGGCAAAATGAGGGCAGCCCGGGAGCCCCCATTCGCCAGGGTTCCTGGCCCAGACGGCTAGGAGTGAGTCTCTCGCTCGCTTGTTGCTTGCACGATCCAGTCGCTCCGGAAACTCGATAAGCCCTGATAATATCCTCTTGCAGCAGCCGCAGTCGTCCACGATCCAATTGCTGCACGGCGCCGTTGCCGGACTCCAGAGTTGCGCATCGCCCTCATTTGGTTTTAACTTCGACACCTGCATCTCCCGCATCTCCCTCATCTCCTTCTTGAATCAGCTCCTGTCTCCCTTTTCTTTGCTCTTGTCCCTCTCACTCTCAATCTCACTCTTGTGTCTGAAAATTTTCGCTGCCATCTTCACCTTCACTGCTGCCCATCAGCATCCGCATCAGCTGCATTTTATTCACCTCATTAATATTCCCCTCTATCTCTTCGGCGCCTTGCTATTCACTTAGCAGGGAGGGACCCTTTCGTCGAGCCTCCACACTCGTTGGCTTTCACTGTCACTGTTGACCAAGATCGACATACCTACCTACACCTGCATCCATTAGCAAGGAGCTCCTGTCAGCTCACTCCTCAGTCGTTTCGCATCCTCTCTTCATCACCGCAACACCGCTGCAAGATGGGTCTGCCGCAGGACTTTTCCACTCCGGTGCCCTCCATTGAGTCGGACTCACCTCTCTCCAAGCGTCGTCGCTTCACCCCCCACTCCCTGCCACCCATCATCCCCATCGCGGACAACTCGGACATCGAACAGCATACCTTTGACTCTCCATTGCTTCTGCAGCTCTGCGAACAAGCCCCTGACCAGGCGGAAATCGAGGCAGGTCTTCTCCAGGTCGGTATGCGCGTGAGGAAGGCCGTTGCTGAAGGATACAAGACCCAAAAGAAATTCACGCCTCGGCCCTTCTTCAACATGCACCGGCTTTCTCCCGAGACCCAAGCTGCCCTGTCCTCTGGCAACGCTGATACCACCAACGAGCTCTCCCCGTATTCTGCGGCCCAGGTCCAACCCCTCACCACGGCCACCTTTTGCGGCATCAGCCTTGCTTACCTCTCCCACTGCAGCGAGGATTGGTCGAGCCCCTCGATTGCCGAACAGTCTCTCTGGTCTTACTCCACCAGCCACAAGCGTTCCTACGAGGCCGACTCCGACAGCGACGACAGCCAAGACTGGCAACCTCAGACTCCAAGCTTGGTGGCCGATGCGGGAATGCACATGCCTGTCGATTATTTCGCCATCGATATCGATACCATGAGTGATGTCAGCCCAATGACCCAGGTTGGGGACCGTGCCAGGCAACACCTCAATGGTCGACGCATGGCTATGCCAAAGACTCGCGGCCGATTCTTCCAACAGCCCGAGACACAGATGCCGCCTACCTCGGCTGCCAATCCATTTGCCAACATGATTGTCCACCAACCCGACAACCAACTGGCCAATCATTTCGGTCACAAGAGGATGGTGAGCTGTGGTATGGAGGCCGCCATGGATTTTGGCGAGGCTTCCTTCCTGCAACGACGAGAGGATGTCGAGATGGACTGCTCCTGAAATCACCAAAAAAAACTTGATTAAACCAGGATTTTGACGATTGTGTTATTTATGCTTTGCATTGCTTCATGACTTTTTATTTTCACAACGGCCAGAGATGCGTCCAGAAAATGCCTTCGAACGGAATTGCGGTGACCTGGAAAAAGGCTTTGAAGATGCAAAATCGATGAGCATGAGAGGGGAGATGGAGAACGGCCGAGTGATGGTTGAATGAACATCTCAATCATCCTAGCCAATGTTGTAACATATTGCGAACTGTGATCATTACTTGGATTGGAAATGGAAAATGGAAACACTGTATATAAGGAATTGGGGCTCAATCGACGTCGATCGAGCCGTCTCCAGCGGGGTACGAAGGCGCTCATCGCCTCTACCGCTGGGAGAAAACGGGATTTTGCAGGAGTCGGCGCACACTGCAACAAGAAGTTTTGCATGCCTCATGTTATGCATAACCACACGATGAAAATCGAATTTAGCTAGATAATCAAGAATGAAAGATGATCTGAACTGAGAAGAGAGTTTTGACTCGCTCTTTGACCGCCTCTTTGACTCCTCATGGGTGGTGGCACGTGATGCGGGAAACGGTTGGGAAATCCGCAGCCGTTCAAACGGTGAACAGTAAATACGGAGTATATCTTTCAGGTTTGGGTTGCCCTGCAGCTCTTTCTCGTCAGCGGAAACTTCACTTGCAGACTTTGGTCAGGAATCTCGTTGTCGAATGCAGCTGCGAACCTGGCTCGGACTGCCCAAGGAAGTGCTAGTTGCTCGCTGTCTCAGGATAAGATATTGAAAACCCTTCCAACCATCCTTCTAGTCCCATTTTTGCTTCGATGGGAGGAATGGTCTTGAAGCCCAGGTGAGTGATCCCATCAAGCGAATCCCGACAATTGCCTCCTAGAGATTCGAAGGCTGCAGGCATACATCTCGCTCGTAGGCACCCTGGCAATGTCAATCACGGTTGTGAGACAGGGGCAGGCCAGAAGCCTCACAAACGCCCGTCTTCTATTGGCTGTATGCAGCAAACACTCTCGCGAAACGCGGGCGAGAGCAAGGAAGATGGCATGACTCCTGAATTCACTCGTGAGACAAGATAACGTGCAAAGAAGCAATTTCGATAATGTCGTCTCGCTCTGCTGACCGACTATTGATAATGAAGCGTTGACCCTCGACCTCGTTGTTCTTCTCGAGAGCGCTGTGATGGGTTTGCCCAGGCTCTCTTGATTCTCTACCAGAAAGGTCAAATCATCCAAGCCAAGCTGGAATCTGTTTCTTGGCAATGTAGACATACGATGTCAACAATCACCATTCCAGACCTCTCGCTCATCCTGCGGGCGAGAGGGTCGCCCTCTCGTGACCTGGTGTACAACTACACACCCTTGCCCGTCGAAGGCTGGCTGAGGGTTTTGGTGCTTCACCCAGGATTCCCAAGCGATGCTCTTTCGTGCAGTCTTCAAATTTGGGAAATCGAGGACGCTGCCAGGCTGGGGTTCGAGGCTCTATCTTATGTCTGGGGGGATGATCTTGGATCACAAGTGGGGAAGAACATCAACTGTGATGGTGCTACGCTGCCCATTCGGGAGAACCTGGCCTGTGCGTTGAATCACATTCGCCATGACAGAAACACCAGGTTCCTCTGGGTGGATGCCGTGTGTATCAACCAGGAAGACCAGGACGAGAGATCTCGACAGGTGAGCCGATCCTGGCAGGACAATGGGGTTGTATTGTTTTCAAAGCTCTCCATTCTAACATTAAGTGGTAGGTCCAACAAATGGGTCGAATCTACGCGAGCGCCGCAAGAGTTCTCGTATGGATTGGCCCAGACCTCAATCAAGAAGCAAAGGAGTGCTTCTCGCTGATACAGGACACGGCCATTTTCCTTGCAGAGATGGTCTCTGACTATGGAGACGTAAATGTTTTTCCCCCGGTTACCCGGGAGAATGGGAAAATTTGCTCAGATATGCGCAAGTGGGATATGGTTCGCCGACTGATGGATTCAGAGTGGTTTTCCCGAGTCTGGGTGCTCCAGGAAGTCGGCCTGGCTCGATCCGCAGTCTTGCTCTACGGCAACGTAACTATGAACTGGGCTTACCTCGTGGAATTGATGCTTATCGTCGCGTCACGCGTTGATGTCGCCTCACACATGGGAACTGTCAAATCCGGTATGTTCTGGGACTTATTCGACGATCTCTGGCGGACTTACGAAAATGACATATCCTGGAGATATGAGTTGCCAATGTCCAAGACTTTGAGTAGTAACGAGTGTAAAGTGAGCTTTATTAACATTCTGAATGATGGACGATCCTACAAGGCTACCGACCAGAGGGACCGTGTGTATGCCTTCCTCAGTCATCCGAGTACAGCTTGCGGTGCTGCAAAGGAGAAAAGACTGGTGGTCGCCAACTACAACTTGTCTGTCGACCAGGTCTATCTCAACACGGCGGAGGCAATCTTGGAGAATGACCCGTATCCGTGGACTGTACTTACTTGCATTGACCACACTACGGATTCCTCCTCACTTTGCGGTCGGCGAGCATCCTGGGTTCCACGTTGGGACGAAGGCTGGCGTGTGTATTGGCTGGGATATCCGGAAATGTGGTATCGAGCTGGTGGATCCAAATCTGCACAATTTCAATTCGAGGTCTCCAGGTCCGAGTCGTCGTTACGCGTCACAGGCGTGATCCTGGATACTATCGAGTGGACCTCTAGGGTATTCGATTCGGAAGAACTTCTGCTGGAACGTCAGAAGAAGGAGACGCCGTTGCAGAAGTTGTGGCAAGAGTTGGAACACGACCCTGGCAACACTATTTATGGCAGCAGCCATCGCGATCGAGAATATGCCTTCAGCCTCACGATCGCAGCTGGACGGGCAGCTGACGAAGGGCCCGCTGAAGACAATCCCAGCCTTCACCACGCCATCTATCGGGCGTACAGGGAAATAGTCCACGGTGAAGACAGCAACGACCATGAAAGAAATCTATTGTCATCGACAGAGGCCGACCCCAACCCCAAGGGTCAGGAAGGACAAGAGTCTCCAAGATCCCTCGAACTCGAAGCCCTGACCTACGTCGGCAGCAACCAGCGCAGAGCCTTACATAACCGGCGATTCTTCAGAACATCAAAGGGCTACTATGGAATCGGTCATATGACAACCAAGATAGGTGATGAATGCTGTGTATTTAGGGGAGCGAATGTGCCATTTGTTATTCGCAGGGTATCAGCCGATCGTGGGCAGGGCTCTACCTCTGGGCAACACGTGCTTGTGGGGGAGTCGTACATCCAAGGCGTCATGAGGGGAGAAATATTCGAGATGATGGATGCAGGCGAGCGTGATGAATTTGTTGAACGAACAATTATTCTTGTGTAAGATAGATTCTTTGATTTAGAACGAAGCATCATGGACCTGAACCGCCATTTGGTTCCTGACAAGGCTGCGACCCGCACGAGGCCAGTAACGACCAGCAACGAGTGCATGACTAAGCAGATCACGTGCCGATAGCCAAGATTGGATTCCCGTTTTGGGGTGTAAACAAAAGAATCCCAAGGACATGGCAACTCTGCCTACAGTGCCTCTCACACAGCAGCACGCAACCCTTGCAGTACTACGTCAATTGAAACCATGAAAGCCTTATGACAGTGACTTTCCTCTGATGGCTTCTAAACTCATGGATGCGGCTATCCTTGTCGACGACGACAATATGGAAAATCATAATCCCCACGTCAGTCCGAACCCGCTCAAATGCCCTCCTGCGCCTCTGCACCAGCTCTCGCCGGAGCGCATCAATCAACAACGCATCCCTCAATCGCCCTCTCTACACAGCTACCTTGTTGAGCACGATCGACCCAGCACCCGTGACTCCTTCACGTCGGACGTTCAGTCCAAAGTCGCTTTCCTGAACAACTTGGCGGCAAACACCAGCGTTCAATCGTCACCTACTCGGCCCAGAAGGCTCGGGGCCGGACTCCCGGATAACTGCAGTGGCACCCCTAATCATAATCTTAATACCAACAATGCTCTGCAGCGGGCGGTCATGGGATACGAGGAAGCACAGGCAAGTCTCGCCAGTCTGAACGCCGAGCTCGAGCGGGCCAAGGAAGAGCTGGCCTCCAAGAAGAAAAGGGAGAGGATGCTCTCACAACGCGTCGAGGATCTCCTGGAAGAACTGCAGGCCGACAAGGAGAAGAGAGGTCGAGACCAGGAGTCCTACACGAAAGAAATCAAGCGGTGTCGCAAGGAGACGTACCGCGCTGAATTGGCCGTCGTGGAGGCGCGGCAGGATCTGCAAGAAGTGAGGGCCGAGTTGAAGAAATGCCAGGCCGAGATACAGCACGAGAAGACGGAGAAGGAGAAGAGTCGTCAGGAGAGTTTCGAGAGGGCTTACGCGCTGGCAGGAATGGTGGGCGAGATGGATCAGCTTAGGGACCGGCTGAAAGCTGTGGAAAAGGAGAGGGACGCGGCCTTGTTGGAGGCAAAAGCAACGGTTGTCGAAAAGAATGCGTCTCTGGAGAAGGGTGTTCAGACTGAGTCGCGAGAGGCTCAAAATGATGGCGCAGGGACCGAAACCCCGGTGAAACAGGAGGAGGGAAAGGCATTCCAGGGAAAAGAAAAGGTTCGATCTCCGCATCATTCGGATAGCGAGAGCGATATTCAGTCTGTCTCCCAGTTTCGGATGATACCACCCTCAGCGTCAACGAGTCATACGATATCTGGAGGCCCTGCCCGTCTGGTCCCCTTCAAAATGCCCGACTTCGCTGCTGCGATATCTCGATTGGATTACTACGACAAGCAGCTAGGAGGAGAGAAGATCACTCCCGAAGAAGAAGTCGAGTTTCTCAAGCAAGAGCTCGCTTGGGCACGGAAGAAGCATGAGGAAGACTCGGATTTGATTCATTTCATGCATATGCAGTGCCAGTTCAAGGCATGTCCGTGTCGACTGGCTGAATCAAACGGCGAGCGCTTTGTTCACGATCAAGTTTATGATGCAAAGATGCAGCAGCAGCGCGCATCAAAAAAGAGGAAGCTCTCGAATGATGAGGAGAAAAGGCCGGTTCTTGAAGAAAGTCACAAGAGATTTGCGGAACAGCCACTCACAGGCAAAGACATGCCTGCTCAGAATAAGCCGAAAGCAGAACCTCCATCAATAGAGAGTGAGCCAGCCAGACTTCCACCTGACCCGACGCCAGAGTTGATGGACAAGACATCAGAAGAACCTCTGGTTCTCGAAGAAGCTATCGAAGTGCCCCTCCCGGACCCAGACCCCATGGAGTTGGACTCGAGCACCACTACACCGGACGCGACGGCCCAGTTGGAGGAAATCACGCAAGTTTTGGTTGAGCCAGCAACAGGGTCACAACCATTCTCTTTTTCAACATCTATCACAAGCAATGCTGGCATTGGGACTGCAGCTCCGCCACTTCGACATACTGAGAGTGCGTCGGCAGTGCTTGACCAAGACCTCTTTGACCTCTCGCCACCAAAACAAGCGCCTCCAAGACGACCGTCTACGGCGCTGGGTATCTTGACTGTCGACTCCCCTATCCGACTAGTGCCGGATTCACCACGCTCAGTCAGGTCTTTTCAGCGTGAAAGCGTGCGAACTCTCACGAAGGAACGGAACACTGCCTTCACGCCATCAGTCACGACCACTACCACAAAAATCGCACTCAAAGACTCGCCCTCCCGCGGTAGCCTGCACAGGCGAGCACAATCAAAACCGAATCTTCGGGGCCAGTCACCTTTGGTGGCCTCAGTCATGTCTCACCACGATGATGGAGACGCACAATCTACATTTGTAAAAGACTCTTCGGCTTCTCCCGCAGCGAGCACTTTGTTTCCCGTGACGCCCTTGCACAAGCATTCGAGGTCGATGCATAATCTGGCTCAACATGCGCAGACGCAGGCTCATGTTCAGGGTCAAGCTCAAGCGCAAGTTCCCGGTCATGCAAGAAGTCCGGAGTCGAGTGCTGCTACAACTACAACCACAACGACCACGACACGAGTGCCTCTTAGAGAAGCGGTTGACGCAGATGATGTGTTCAGCCCGGAGCACCGTTCGAATCGAAACGGATACGATCACGCTCAAACCGAAGTCCTGAACATCAGACTGGACTCGGATCCAGGCAGAGAACCAATTCCCCAGGCACAATCTAGAGTGACCTCGCTCGCAAGCTCAGCAATGCTCTCCAACGTCCCTGGGACTCCGATCTCAAGGGAGGCGGCGCTGGCACAGATTCGGGCACGGAGAGATCGAGCCAGGAGCGTCAATCTCAAACGCTCTGTTGAAGGCCATGGCAAAGGAGTAAATGGCACAAGGAGTCCGACGAAGCCCCGCCCTGGGGTGTTGAATGGAAGCAGCGGGCTGTTCCAAGCAGTCGGAAAGGAGAATGCGCGCAGGGAGATCAGCCAAGCGAGCGCGCCGGGACGGCTTGCTTTCTGAGTTGCGCTACATAGGTAATCTCCAACGCATGGCGAGGCCGGCTGAGTGGCCGATGACTGACGGAATGAGTTTGACTTTGGAAACGGATGGACGAGAAGGACACGGTTCAATTGGCTAGTGGCGAGGCTATCTCGACCTGTGCACAGACAGACAGACTTTGTTAATCGACGCCTTTCCACTATTTTCTTGAACATTGAAGGAGCCACCGTAACCCCAGCCCTGCATACCAATCTAGGTAGGGAGCCTACGGGACCGGCCGGTCACCGCGTCGTGTTACATTCTTATATGTCCTTCGTGACGTGCCGTGGCATATCCGCCATAAGTACTCGGTAAGAATGTAATATGCGGGAATGGATGGGGTAGACTCTATAGACCTTTTCCACGCAGAGCATGACCCAGCGCGATGATAGGATGTTGGATGCGAAGTTTTCCACATCGCAGAGCATGTAAATTATGGACGTGCTTGCAATGCCTTTGCGGGGTGCAAAATACCGGTCTATGGTCCATCTTTGTATTATCTAGACAGGCATATAACAGACACCATGTATTACGATGAGGACCGAGTATGACGGAGCCAGAACGGGGATTCAATCTACCCACTGACCCGGAATAGATGGTATCATCGACCGAGCCTCTGCACTCCTCTCCTTTTCCTTGAGCCGTCGCAGGAATCCGAGGCGGATATACTGACGAGGGAAATTTGCGAATTTAAATGAGGCGAGCGTGTCGGTGTGCCATTGCAGGGAAGGTGGCCCTTGGCTGTTGATAATCTGTTTGACCTCATCCACGTCTGAAGAGATACTTAACCAGAATGCCTCGTCATGGTGGTAATTCAGAAACCATAGCCTGAAAACGAGTGATCTTTCCTGCTCCGGCCATAGATTCGGATGGGGCATCAAATCCATCATCCCATGATGCATCGATGCCGCTTCGAATGCATTTTTGCAGCGACCCTCTGCCCATACATCGGCACCGGCCTCAAGCAGAATTCGCACGACTTGCCCATGACAACCCTTGATTGCAGCCTGTAGTGCATTACCATAATACCCGCCCTGGTGGTTGATGTTAGCACCGGTATGGAGTAGAGTGCGTACGACCTGTTCGTGGCCGGAAAAAGCTGCGGCCTGTAGAGCATTACCATAATACCCGCCCTGATAGTTAACATCCGCACCGGCATCGAGTAGAGTCCGTACGACCTGTTCGCGACCGTATTGAGCGGCAACCAGCAGTGCATTGTCGAGACATTTTCTCCGGCAGTTGAATTTGGTGCCAGTAGAGAGGAGAATTCGCAAGACCTCATCATCACCGCGATCGGATGCAACTTGTACTGCACTATCCCAATCATCCAGGGCCGGCAAATTCAAGCCAGCACCAATTTCAAGTATCTTTCTTACAGTCTCCGCGCGCCCTCCCGCAGCGGCACAGTAAAGTATCACTCTGCAGGGGTTTCTGCGAGGAGGAAAATAGGCCACTACCTCAATCAACAAATCCAGCATCGTCTCCAGGTCAACAGTGCGATGAGCTGCATAACCGAGCTCCCAATATAATTCTAGGGGAGCTCCTGCAGTCAGTCGATCCCACAGAAGGCAGAGTTCGTCGTGCAAGGGAGCAAATCCATTCATCTTTGCGTCTCGGAGATGAATGTACCAAGATTTCTTGGCATAGCGCTTCAAGCTCTTTGCTGCCACCATGACCTCTGGGTCTCCTGATTCGCTTCGGTGGAGTACTCCTGGGGGCCAACACATGGCACGGAGGTATATCTTCGTCCAGGTTCTCGCAGTGTCTGCGGAACTTAGTGAGTGTTTCCAGACACCACATTCCATCTCTGAATGGCGGATTAGAAACTCCTTGGCAGTCTGGTGGACAAGGTAGATCTTAGACCGCTCAATGAAAACGAATAGCCCGCACCATTCTCGAATGTGATTCTGAAGACGGATCTTTTCGACCAAAACCGAGTCCAAAGAGTCAACGTCCTTTGAAGTCGCGTAACCGAGGGCTAGAGACATCTCGCCGAGACTGAGGGGCTCCTGAGCACCAACTATGATATGGAAAATGGTTCGCACAATATCGCGCTGATTTGTCCGCACTTTGCTGAGAATCTTCTCGTATGCGTCGTCCACCGACGCGGGGAGTGTTGCGATTATAGAGTTAATCGAGTCCTCATCATGCTGTAAGCTATCTCTGAGGTTTTCGTAAATGCCATCAATGACGAGAGAGAGCCATAGATACGTCCGGTTTTGCATTCTCAATAGCTTTGAAACCAGCAGCTCACTCGCGTTTAGTGACAAGGGTACAATTTCTGCCATCTCAGCAACTCGGCGGCGAATGACCAAGTCAATCTCGGATCGGATTGCATTGTTTTCATTTTCGCCTCGAAGGCGAATTATCGGGACTGACGTACAACATCCATTCATGCTGCGCTGGAAGTTTAACTGGATGCTATCATACGGCCGACTAGTGACCAGGATCTTCAGTGAGTGGGTCCGAGGTTTTGTTGTCTGTGCATCTGCGAAGAAGACAGCGAGTTTGTCGATCAGGCGTGGCCGATCAACATCCCGACATTCATCAAGGGCGTCTAAAACGCAGAAGACGTCGCGGGAGTTGGTGTCTGCAGTGGCCGCGAGGAATATCCTCCATAGTTCATCCACTTCCTTCGTCAACTGGTCACCATTTCGTCGCCAGGCAGGTATTGCGTGTGCAAGAAGGTGCGGCTGGCTTGTGAATAGCTGGTGCAGAAGAGCACAAAATGCAGATGCCAGATTGTCCTGATTCTGATTCTCCTTGAAAAAGAAGTAACAACATATTCTTTGCTTTGTCGTCTGTAATTCGTGATCGATTAGGGATTTCGAGAGGACAGATTTTCCGCAACCTGGATCGGCCGATACCCACAATACATCGTCAGCCTTGTTCTCCTGCCATTGTCGGTATTTGGGATTGCTTAGAACCCAAAGGCACGTGTCAGGAGCTCGTGATGGGTTGACATTCTTCTGCTCTTCATACGAACTCAGTTTGAAGGCGCGATGGCATGACTGATATTCCGTGTTCTGAAAATTCGTCTCATGGCTATTTAGCTGCTCTCTTAGCGGCTGGACTTCGCCTTCATCGGAACCTATTGGTAAATAAGAATTAGATCCACTGCAGATAGCAAGTCTTCAACTGGGAAAAGTACAATTACAGAGAATGAACTCTCAACATTGGCAGTATCGTATAGGTCAGGACCTACCTGCGATGCCTTTAACCGTTTGTTCGCGGTCGAGCTCCTCTGCTGTGACATATAGAAGGAGTTCTTTTGTCCATGCTGCCGCTGTTGCAGCAGCGTACGGATGCCATTCGTCGTTTTTGTGAGAATCAGCGTAGTCACAGATTCCCCTTACCGTCAGGAACGGGGAAATATTCGCAAGGCCAGCAGCTTCCATCTCCACACATAACGCACCATAAGATGCCCGGAGGTTGTCTCGAAAAAGGGGGTCTTTCACCACCTTATTTCCAGAAGCCACGATGCCATAATGGATCTGGGGGCCGGTGGTAGTTCGACTTTGACGAATGATTTCATAGCGAGGTAAACATTGCTCGCAATTGTTTTGACCTTCGGGGTGAGGGTACCTGCTGTCAAAGAGGCGATCTTTTTGCTCGCTAGGGATACCATAACACGGATACCGATGGATCATGTCGGAAAGGTACTTTAACATCGGTCGATCTCGATCTGAAGGTTGTGCTCGTATCGCGGTGATGGCAGTCAAAAGCACATATGGAGGCGTATTGGGAGCGGCCTTGAGCTCGAAAGCACCTCCATGTGTGGCCTTGCCCTTGTCGTAATGTACAACGCCACCGCTGGTGCCGCTTGGGATGCCCACAACAACATCGCCGAGCCTGATGTCGAAGCCCTTCTCCGAGCCCGGTAATCCTCCACCGATACCGACCAACATGATGAACTTCAAATGTTCAAATGTCCTGACCATATCTTTTGCCACGTGTGCTGCCGCGACAAGGCCGTCAATGCCTGCAGGGAGACCAGCAATAACGACATTGTGATCGTGTACACGTCCAGCATGGTAAGTGTTTTGATCTCGACTTTTTCCCTTGACGATGCCATAGTCTTCATCCAGCATTGCTGTCGCTGCCACCATCTCCACGCTCAAGGCGCATATCCATCCGATGTGATATTCATTGTGTGTTGGGCGGGCCATAACGGCCGTTTTCAGTTGTGGAACAATGCCATATACGAAAAGGATCGTCCTCGAGAGAGTGAACGCGTGAGGGACTCAGTGAGGCTATCAGACACGGTTGTGAGGAGCGAGCGTAGGTCATTGGTTTAGCCGTTGCACAGTTTCTTTTGGGAGGGTGGTCGTAGTGTCAAGGGGGGATGAAAGAGAGGACCAGGCTGGAGGCTGATGAGGCGCTGATGAGGCGCAGCGCTTCGGATTGGGGTCGCTTGCAGCGCCATGATCAGGCTTTCATAATATGGTTGCACATTGCCTGGAGGGTCGACATTTGTGGTTTGTCGTTTACGAGGCGGGGAGAGTCTTTAACGAGTTGCGGTTGAGGCTTAGCCTGGCTACCTTCCCCTCGCAGCTAGCACTTGCTCGGTGGTCAGTGCTGAAGCGCCCAGACTCCAAAGCTCCACAGACGTTTCGACGCTTGGGCTCAAGGACAGCCTCAAAGTCGATTGCTTCCTTTCATCTTTCTTCGATCCATGTGATCCACAGCACAGACAGATATTCTTCGGCGCGGGGCGAGCGGGTAAGAGTACACGGTTTCTATGGTCTATACAAAGAGCCAAATTCTGCGCCTGGATGAACTCTCATAGGAAGGTTCGTTGTCCACTCCTTCCGTCAGTTGTGGCTATGCGGAAAAATATCCCTCTCGTCTCAATTCATGTTCTTGAGCATATTCTCCTTCAGATGGTCGTCCGCCTCTGTCGCCTCTGCCTCGACATAACCCTCGTCTGTGCCAACGTAGCCTTCCTCATCGACATAGATTCCCTCCGGGATGAATGTCCTCATGATATTGTTCACCCAGCCGTGCGGGACACCGAGCTGCACCGACTCGTCGATTCCCCTGTTCATCCGCCCGATGTACTCCTGCACGATTTTGCCGGGGGTGGTGCGGAACTCGTCGACGTACACTAGCGCTCGGATCGTTGTGGGTGGGTGCGATGCTAATGTATGCTCATGGGCGGTGCCGTTAACCATGTGAGAAGAGGACAGAAATGAGTTGGACACGCTGATGCCGTACTCGGTTGGATCCCTCAACCACTTCGTTACCGTGATGGGCAGGTAATGCTTGTTATAATCCCAACCCCCCTGAAGGTGCCGCTTGATTATCTGCGTCTCCGGATCCGGGTTGATTTCCGGTATCGGGTTCCTCGCCTCGTTGTGGCCCTCGTACATGTCCAGCCGGGCCTCGTCCACAGGGTGCATGTTGTACAGTACACCCCATACAGTGTTGTGGTCCGAGGCGGCGTTGGACTCGGGAAGGGCAACCACGTTGGCGTACCCGCGTTCACAGATTATCCAGGCGTGCGAGTCCAGACGTGCGATTCCAACGGGTTCGCTCGAGGCGGGCGAGTGCTGCAGCCGAAGCGACATTTGGTACGCCGAGAGGTTGGACCCGTAGGCGAAGTAGAAGGTGCCCGTCTTGGACGAGGTCGAGTGGGGGTGGTGGACGACTTGCTCTGGAGACATGGTGTCCTAACTTTGGACGTCGTCTCCCTTCTAGCTTGAAGTGATCACCAGGACCGATAGAGTAAAAGTCGTAGCCTTCGTAAGTGCGTCTGATCTGTACACTATCCTGATCTCAAAGTGGCTCTTGTTCCAGCTTTAGGTCTGACTGCCAATTCATAAAACGTAGATCGACAATATCTAGGACGGTGATACCTCAATGAGCGGGATGAACGATGTCAGATCCGTAATATGCAAGTCGTCTGCAACCGACCGAGTGAAATGTGTAAAGATAGGGCGGGGATATCAGTCTGGACTGATGGATGAATAGTCGTATCGGTGACTTCGCTCGATCTATCGTAAGGAGAAGTGAATATACGTCTGTACCTTAACTTTCTAATCGCGCTAATATGTTGTCACAAAGGATTCACAGATTCACGATAGAACAACACAGTCTAAGGGAGGGCGATTGTTTTTAAGAAGGAAGTGAATAAAGATCGAGACGGGATGACTAGCGACAAGTGAAAGGACTAGCGAAGGTGCGAGATGGAGATGTGCGATTTTTCGATCTGGACTAGAAATTCCGTCGCGACTTTCGAGGCCGCGATTGATGACATAAAGCACAGCGCAAGGCTGCGGGCGAGACTGGACCTGATTGGCCCAGGACCATGAACGGCGAGGATGGATGGAGAGCGGCATCATGGGTGGCACTGGAATGTTCCTTAGTACATTCCTCATCCAAGTCAGTCACTGCCTTCAATTCATGGGATATGTCTACGGCGTTATGATGAACTCGTCAATCATGATCACGGCGGATGTAGCTGACAAGCTACTCACCCGTGCAAGCCACTTCATCCGACGTAGACCGCATACTTCATGAACTCCTCGACCTTCCTCAGCCGGTCCAGGTCCTCCTCCCTCAGGCACAGCGCCGCTGCAATCTCGCCGTCGGGGCTCTTGGGCATCAAGTAGAACAGACTCTCCACCGGCACAAACTGTGGCCTGCGGACAGCCTCTGGCTTCCCCAGTCCCAGGTTGAAGTCGAGGTCGTAGCAGTCATACTTGGCCCAGGAGCTCAGCATGATGTCCACAGACAGGTCCAGCGTCGCCGTCACATTGACGTTGTTGTCCTCCGGTGCGTGGTGAAGCCACGTCGCAAGTGCACGGGTCGCGTAGGCCAGGTTCGAAGTCTTGGGGTCGACGGCTTCTCGGAGTTTCGAGGCGACGCTACCCAGACGTGCAGCGAGGAGCGCGTCGAGAGGGTATGTGGTGTACGTCATGTTCTGGACGAGTCCCGGGTACGTAGCCGGAATTCCCAGGTATCGCCGGGGGTCGATCGCTCGTGCAAAGGTGACCTCTCGGGCAGGGTCCAGGCGAGGACGGCGGGCTCGGGACACAGAGGACCAGATGAAGGCGCTCAGAACGTCGTCGGTCGAGACATAGGCTACGTTGTTGGCGAGGAATTGCATGGCCTGCGATTTCAGACTGGCAAGAGACGCGGCCGAGAATACAAAGTAGGCCCAACTGCACTTTGGAGGTTCAGGCCCGGGCTGCTCAGACTGGCCTTCGGCGGCTTTTGTGGCACCCTCATGCGCAGGAGGCCTGCCGATCTGATGAGAGAGTTCGGGTCCTGGCCTATACGCCTCGTCCAGGAGTGGGATGAGGTTGCGTCGGTCGAGGTTGCCGTTGGAAATTTCCTCGGCCGTGAATGGATCGTTGCGGCAGGCCTTTGAGAGGAGATGCATGATTTGAGCCATACCCGTCATGTCCATGGTATTATGCTGTGTCACAAATGTGAGCAGGAGCCCGCCCGGGATGAAATTGGCCTGCAACACAAAAACCGGCGCTGGTCCGTCTGTGCCTGCCGCCAGGGTGTTGATGGGTGCAATGATGGACTCGTCTAACATGCTGAACGGAAAGTTGGCCTGACGCAGGATATCCATCGTCAGTATCGACGATCCATCTTTGAAATCCTTGACCACCAGCCGAGGCGTCTTCTCGAAGGGTTTGATTCTGTAGAGACTCCGGGTGCCATCACGGGCATCTTCGCGAGAGACCTGGCCTGCGACCCATGGAAATCTGGCAGTTAGTCTCTCGAGTCCTTCCGTCAGTGTGCCAACAATCTCTGACTGTGATACACCACTGCCCATCCGAAAGCACAGGCATAGTTGGGTGTAAAGCTTGTACAGCCCTTGCTGTTGGCCGAAAATATCCAGTTGGTCTGCGACGTCTTCCATGTTTTGTTGAGCGAGTTTGTGGTTATCATACTTACATCTCTGGCGGCTGAGAGGAGAGTATTTGTATTCAACCTGAATGCCACGTCTCTCTGCAGCTTTGACGTAATGCGTTAGTGGTCCAGACAGTCCGGTGGCACAAAACGTGGTCCATTTCAAAAGCTCCACGGCGAACGTTGATATGGCCTTGCCGGCCGAGGAAAGTGGAACAACTTGGGCCGAAAAACTGATCCCCCGCCGTCCGGCCGAGTTGAGAAGATAAGTTATTAACGACAAACTGCTCCCATTATGTGCTCATTATAATTCATTACACCCCATTAAACGTGATCGTCTAACATCGTTGCGCTTCTCTTCAGGACTAAAGCAATATATCCGCATACCGATCCGGATGCGCAATCAGTGGGGTGACTCCGCCGCTTTTCAATGGTACATTGATACCACACCTCGCCAGCACGTTGGTGACCGCGCACACCTTGACTGAACTCAGCGTGATGCCGCGCTGGTCTGGGTGCCTATCCGTCAAGAGGATCAGGACGTTGATAAGCTCTTGTATCTCTTCCATGTCCAGGACCACCCGCCGTCGGTCGGGGGTCAGCCTGCGTTCTTGGGCGAACACGCTTATCTCCTCGTCCAGCCACTCCGCAACTTTAGACCGGAGATGGGTCATCTCCCCAACGGATTGCCATACTTTGACGTCTTTGAGGAGGTGTGGGGCCGAGATAGATGCATGCGTGAACTTTTGCTCCGATGCGCGATAACGTTCGTCGAAGAGGCGCGCAAAGATGGAGAGTTGGACGTCAACCTCAGCCTCAGCCTCAGCCTCAGCCTCGACGCCCTGAGAGGGGAGTGACGAGGAAGACGGACAAGCCTTCGTCTGATCGATGCACTCTGATATGGTAGCTGCGATTACAGCCATTCCCCAGACAAAGTTATATGCCAAAGAGCCGGGCGACAGCTCTCGCAATCGTCCGTCGATCCGCCAGGTCCATGACATGCCGGAGGACGGGTTGAGCGGGCCAGTGTCCTTCAGGCGCAACCAGTCTGCGGCCTCGATTGCATACATCCTGTTTGGAGCACTGTCTGAGACCAGCTCGTCGTATCGGTCCCGCTGCAGAGGCCAGATGGTGTGTATGTCCGTTCGCACCAGGTCTCCGCGCACAAGGCTGAGGTAATAGTAAGCGTAGTACAGCATCCGCGCCGTCTCGGCGGTCTGGGTGGTTCCCGAGCCTGGAGGGAATGCGGGCGCTGGAAATGGTACGGCATTCCAGAGCTGACAAGTGTTGAGCGGGGCAAGGAGAGACTTGACTCTTCCTTGTAGGTTTGCAAGGAGGACCTGCATCTCAAGGTTAGACTCGAGAGGTGGTAATATCACTGGCTCTGTTGGAAAGGCCAACCTCACCTGTAAACTTCTGTATATGGTTTCCAGTGACATCAATGCAGAAGATATTAGATTGCTTTTCTCCCTCAACGCTTTTCGCTTTTTCGGGCTGTGGGAAGCGATATATGCCAGTACTGTCTCTTTAAATTCCTCGTCCTTCTTGCGCATGTCATTCTTAATCTGTTCTATAGCTCCTTTCACCTCGAGAATCTGCCGGAAGATGAGCCTTTGTTCTTCCTGGCTGTTAATCTGGGCCGCCTGCACGGCGCCAACCATCGTGACGCTGGTTTTGGCCTGCTCCTCTGCTATTGCTTTTCTGGTGTCAGCGTTCTGCGACTGTAATGCCCGTTGCAAGATGTGCCGGTCATTGATCATAGCATCGACGATTATCTTGGTGTTGTCGCGCTGAAGGTCGGAAAGGCAGAGTTGCTGGAGCGCCAGGAGATCGACGCGTTCTCTGTACAAAACAACAATTAGATGTTGGTTGTTGCCACTTTCGGTATTGGAAAGGTGATCACAGTCTCGTCTGCAATCTGACCGCCGCAGAGGGATACTTGACATACCTAAGATCCGCAACCAGCCGGAGGTTGATCTCGTCTCGATATGTATTCAGCCGCTTCTCAATGGCATATATTTTCTCTTTGCTCCATACACTCCGTAGAGCCTTCCTCGTGCTTTTCCATTTGCTGCTCTTCCCTTCCACCGTCACCTTAGCGAGGGCATCGAGAAGCTCCTGTGCGACATCCCTGCAACCATGGCAAATGCTGTCGAGAGCCGGATCGCTCGATTCCGGCAGCTGCGCGCTTCCGTCCGGAGGTTTATTAGGCTGAAGCTTTGCTGTCAGCTCCGCGAGATCCTTGGTCGTCGCCTCAACGTCCACGGCTTCGTTGTCTGCCCCAGATCGATGGACTTCGCGCGCCTTGGAGATAACATTGATACTCTGGTTGATCAGGTCGAAGATGTTTACCACCAGGCTGACGGCACTGAGAGGGTCGAGAACCATCCTGCTCTATACAATAAGCAGGTCTGTCGCAGTCAAGTGCATGATTGACCGAGACAGTGTAAATGAGAGACCGAGGGGTGCCGTGGAATTTGAGGCCCTGGTGGCGTCTATATGTGCCCGGCAGCTCTCTTGATTGTTACATTGTAAGGCTGGGTAGCCCATTGGCGCCCTCCGCCCCCTCAGCACATCAACAGGAGTCTGATTTATAAGGTAGTTGTGTGGTTGGTCGTTGAAATACTGTACCCGGGGTTTTTGGCGTGGGATGGTGAGGCTGTCACTTGGCGGGTGAGTGTCTTCCTAGTTTCCTCGTCTTGCTCCCCTCCTTAGGCGCTGGTGGCGTTACCTCAGCCTCAGCAGCCCCCATTTCCAGCCATTGTCGACGCTAATACTGGTACGCCATATTATAAGTTCTGCATGAGTTAAAGCAGAAATTTTGGTGCCTCCTGGTCAAAGGCGAAGACTTGACCCAATATCCCAGAGCATCCTGCATCTGGGCGAGACTCCTTCTCGCTTCATTTCGGTACTTCTACTGAAAAAGGAAAAAATAAGGAGGACTTATGACATGCGGCTATCACGATGTAAGGCCCTTCGGAGACCTAATTCAGTCTGTTACAAATAAATATCAACTTCGTCCGTAACCTTAACGTGTGCACAGTCAGTCTGGGCGGGTGAATGGCACGGCACGAGGCTTAGACCCTGCCGGCTGGGGCCAGTGGGAAGATCACGAAGATCTTAAGGCCTGGCCGAGACGGACGAGTTGCATATTAATGACTGCGCCTCCCAGCCGTTTCAGGGGCACAGCCCGCCATTCCTGATCCACCAAATGCAGGACACCCTTCTTGTCTCCATAGTTAGAAGTTCATGTTGAGTCAAGGTTTGTATCAAAACAATCAATCAGAGTGAATTATTTGAGACAATGGCTTGTCTTGGAGGTGTACAAGGACGTATATCAGGCCCCTTGAGTAGATCGGAATTTGTATACCAACGCCGATAGAATCTCTCGCAGAGACAACACTGGCGGAAAGATGAACCAACGCAATTTCTCGATGCTGCTGTTATCACGCTCAACAACCCCCTAGCTATTCGCTTCTATGTTGGAAACTTCAGCCACGCTCGTCTTTTCATCGGCAGCTCCAGGGTTAAACAGCATAATAGATCGGTCGAGGGCCTCTTTCTGCTCTTCGGTGATTCGTGTGATTTGGACGACAACGGTGTCCCCGAAAAGGGTATTGATCTCCTCAAGGGAAAGGCCTTTGGTCTGTACCGCGTGAGCATGAACTCCGTCAGATCCTGTCAGAGGGGAGACATACCTCCGGGAAATAGAAGTACATTATTATGATGTTGATCGTGGTGAGGAAGATGAACAGCAGATAATATTTCCATCCGACTTCGGCGAAGGCTGTAGGCGCTGCCTCGAGGAATGGTATCGTCGCCAGAAAGAGAACAGAAATACACCACGCCATCCCCTTAGAGCGAATTTGGGTCGGGAAGATCTCTGCGCAATAGACGAAAGTCGTTGCGTCGCAGCATCCACCATAGCTGGAAAACTTTAGCTTTTGTAAGGGTCCGGAAGATCAATGCTCAACATACAACGTCACAAAGAAGAACAGGAAGAAAACTCCTGCTCTAAGTCCTGCTCTGTTCGTGGTGTTGGAAAACGAAGCGTCCATCGCCGTCTCACAGCAAAGGCAGATGAGGCAACCGGTGAACCCGATGACTTCTTTCCGTCAGCATGGAAATGACCTGAAAAAGACGACCGTACTCACGCATCAACCTCACGCGTCCAACGCGGTCGATAAGCAGAGAGCAGACATAGTTCAAGCAGGCCGCATAGAGTACGTATATCGCCGAAAGAAGCAGAGGAATGCTGCCTGTGAAGCCAAGTCCCTCGTAAAGGATGACGCTGAAGTCTTGTCCAAGGTTAGTCGACAAGCTGTCCGGTGGCGAGACTGACTTACTGTAGATAACAAGGTTGCCGCTGGCCTCTGCAGCCCACATGGTGATTCCTCCACAGATCATTCTTTTGCGGTAATGGGGCTGGCGGAACATATCAAGGAAGGATACTGAGGCGGATTTGTCGGCCTTGACCTGCTCAGCTATCTGATAGAACTCCTCTCTGGCAAACGTGTCTTGGCTGTCTCCTGGTCGCTTGTGGAGTTTAAGGACAATATCCCATGCCTCCTGATTTCGTTCTTGCTCCAGCACTGTGACATTGTTAGCGTGAATCAACCAAGACCAGGCTGCTTGAGAGAATTGTAAAAACAAACGGGATGACCATACACCATCGGGGAGACTCCGGTATCCATGGTAAGAGACATCCCAAACACATAGGCCAAAGAGTTTGAAGAGCCAGTGGGAAACGCCATTGAAAGGGAGGGCTGTCGGCAAAATAGGTCGCGTATCCCACCCAGCCCGCAATTGCATATCCCATAACAAGAATGAAACCTAGAAACAGTTAGTCGCAGGTCCATTTACTCTCGGCATTGGCTACCAACCGTGTTGAGCAACGAGAAATCCTCGCGTGGCAGGAGGTGCAATCTCGGATTGAAAGATCGGCACCAAAGTGACAAACATGCCTTTTGAAGACCATTAGTGTACAGCACGGGCAGTATCTTTAGGTTTCTTCATACCGACACCTATACCCGTGATTGTGCGTGCGGCAAGGAACATGCCAATATGGACCGAGCCTGCTGAGAGGGCACCTCCGACAAGAGAGACCACTGTCGACCCGGCCAAGGCCTCTTTTCGTCCTCGTGCCTCGCACCACCAGCCCATCAACACGGCGCCCAGGAAGCCGCCGGCCGAAAAGACTCCGTTGCACGCGCCGATGATTCGATTCGTATAGGCATATTTCCCTGCATCCGCTTTGTCCTGCGTGAGGCCGAAGTAAGAGTAGAAATTGGGCTGGCCCAGCGTATTCGTGAGCACACTGAAGTTATAGCCATATGTCAAGCTGCCAAAACAGAGGGCTAGCACGATCTGAAAGGGTCAGTCATGATCTATTGAGCGGGGAGACCTTGGGTGTGAGTCTTACCAGAAGGTTGAACCAAGTGTGATCTTGATGGCTCGCCATACTTGTTGTCGAACCCGAATGATTCCTTACAGGCAAGGAGCTGGATGAAATGGTATGTTCAACTCATTCAAATAGTTTTCCACTCTGCCCAATTGACCACATCAGACCTCGGATCCGGGGTATCGAGTCGGCGACTTCGCCCCACAGTTTTCCAGCGGTGTATATTTCCGATTCATCGGGAAGGAATCCGATTACTCACTAGGGCATCGAAGTATGCCTGAATCAACTTATTTTCAGCACTTGGATGGGCAGGCTTCGCGAAAACGAGACGGTGCGGTCCCCAGAAGCCGAATCTTTCACCCATCGAAGCGATGTCCCGGGCTGTGAGAATACCCGAAAGGACAGGAAAGAAGCCTTCTGCCGAGGAAACGGTGCAATAGTCTTCCCAGTCATACGGCCGAGCTTGGGAAGTTTTGATGTTGAGTTTTCGTCAGCGAAGTGCCGGTCTGATTTGACAGACGTCCAGATCAGAGCTGTTGGCATTGTTGTATCGGACGGCATAGAGAAACGGGGCCATTCTTGAACGAGGCGTGGTGCTTGAGAGAAAGATTTATTGGCCCTTTCAAGGGATCTGATGTCTCCTCCATGGTCCTTCTGGGATATGTAAAAGCCAGGACATGGGTATTGGGGCAGCCTTGCAATAAGAAAAGCTCTAGGTTATGAGGCTTTTTGCTCGATACACCCTGTTCAATGTTCATTCTTCTCCGCAATACAGCGGATTATCCTAGTTAAAGCGCCGATAAAGGCTGTCCACTTCATACGGCAGGCAACCGACAAATGAGAGACCAGGAAAATTAGTGAATGGACTCAATTTAATCCACGATTGCGACTCTTTCCAGGCACAAGCGATACACTTTCGTTGGAAACAGGCAATTCGACGTCGGAATCTTGACAAGGGTACTTTCTATTTCCACCTCTGGGCCTGGGAACGACTTGACGCTCGCCGCTTCAACCTGAGCAAGTCCGGCACGTCACTGATATCATGTCAATTCGGCCCGGGCAACGGATCAATTGTACCCATACCCGGGTCAGGTCCAATTTACCTTCAACACCGCGCTAAGGAGAATGGTATATCCCCAATCGAGCAGAGCTGTGTCAGTGGCTGCTTGGAAATATTCGAGTGGGTGCTCAAAGTGGACGCTCCGGCAACTGTCGACGATGTTGAACACCGTGGCATGGATCTTTTCGAGCTTCTGGGAACAATCGAAGAGCCTGTTGCTCTCCAGAAGACCAAACATTACCTCGCCTCTGGAGCAGGGTCCAATCATGTTTGTTGGGGATATGCTCCAATTATCACCATTGCAGCCCTAAACGGACGGTTTCGTGTTGTTGATCTGCTTCTTGATATGCAATCGATCAGATCTTCTCGCATTGCCAGCTTGTCCTTCGCAAACCACTGGTGCTCTTCCTGATACTCCCTCGTTGTCGAAATTCATCTGTTTCATTCGTAAAGGAATAATGCCTCTTGATTTTAGAGCTCCTGGAATGGTTGAGTCCAGAGAAGATTGTATGGTGCCCTGTATCATTACATTGGACGCAGGAATCGTATGCTTCCTCCTCTCAAAGATAATTGGCATCGGCTGCTCGTGATCGGCAAGAGAAAGAGTATAGTGCTGTCTTTGACGTATGTTCAGTACCAGACGAACTTTCTCATCATTATCGGATGAAATAGTCTCTCTAGAGCTCGAAGACCGTGTACGTAACATAACTGCGTTGGAGAAGTCGAGATTTTTGGGGATCCGGGCGATTGTTTCTATTGTCGCCGTGCCATCCTTTCGAAGAGTTGTGAGCTGTAACGCTCCCTCATAGAGGAATTGCCGCAATACAGACACGGCCGCTTCGTCTGTCAGTCCACCAGAGCTGAAAGTTATGGTATCCATGGGCTGAATGCTGGCTGCATGATGACGGGCGTTCCTGGCTTCATTGAATGGAATGTGTCTCTGGCCCGGAAGAGAAATCTCTTGTGCGGGCGAGGCCTCTGCTGCGTCCGTTTCAAGCCTACGGCTTGGAAACAGCGTGTTGATTGCATCATGACAATTCACAAAATCTAGCCGCTGAGATCGCTGGTAATGGTCGTAGCCCATGATATAATTTCCACAGTTCGAAAATCTCAACTTTACAAGCACAGTCGATGAGACCTTGACATAACCTTGACCCGATACTAGACGCATTCAGTTAGCTTTGTCTGATTTGAACCCTGCACCTAAGACATGGGGATGCAATAGATACCTGAAGTAAAGTTCCAAATTACCGTTTCGTTCTCACGTGCAAGTGCAAGCGCCGGCAGGAATGGATGGAAGCATGCTATATAGCCCAAGACACTACAAGCAAAGAGCAGTCCAGTTGGGCTTGTCTTCGCTACAGGCTGTGGCTTCTCTTCAGGATTAGAGAATGCGAACACGCGGAGAGCCGAATACTTCGGAGCGAAGAGTAAGTATCTCCCATCGTCCGAGAAAACGATACCCCATATCGACATTGAGTGAACACTGGTCGGATTGTCCAATATCCGTGGCCTTCCGAGAACGGCGCAGTCGTAAGTGCATCCCCATCCATTTTCGTCTTGGAACGACGGGTCGAGGCTCCTGATGATGATGAGGTCGGACATGACTTGAACCTTGCGCAGATCACCTGAAATACCAAAGGTAACTTTCAGATTGGTTGTAGGAAGGTAGTGACCGCTGAGACAGTGATGAAATTCGGACTCCGAGTCATGACAACTGATGGTGGAATAGACCTTGAACTTCGTGACCTTCGAGGTTAAATCCCAAACCTCGAAGCAGAGCTTCCACGGCGGGAGATTTCCTTTTGCCTTGCCGAGCTCGATTTGACCAAGGTGAAACTTCAGGCAGTCTTCACATCCAGCTTCCCACGAAAAGCTGAAGGAGAAGGTGTAGAGTTAATCGCACGGGTCGATACTGATGAGCTGGTTCAAACTACTCACCTTGGTGCTATGAGACTGACTAATCCAACCTCAAGACCGTTCGAAGAAACTCTGGATCCGAGCGAGATTCTGTGACCCTGATGTTTAGCACTTGCTTCCAGAGAATCTAGTGTGGCCTCTTCTGTTCCCAACCAGAATTGTGACCGACAAAGAGATCGGATGCTGGGCTCCCAGATCTCATTTGATGTTTTGCGTAGCACGTGGCCCCAGTCGGTGTTGAGGCGTTTGAGGTCTCGTGAAAAGTTAGAGATGTCCTGAAAGAAGTTTCCGAGACTCTGTGAATCGGCTCCGGTCGAACAGCGGCGAACAGAGACATTCTTCCTGGAGAAAACTGCCATGCCGTCAAGCTGAGGCGGCGCTCCAAACAACCAAGAAGCTTCTATCCAGGTCATAACAGCCCTCTTGTCGAGGATGAAGCTGTGGATTTCATTCAGGAGCTGCGTGAGCCCTAAGACTTGCTCCGGCTCCAGGTCAACAGCGGCGTTCCCCTTGGAACTGCCATATTTCATGGCTGAAATAACGTGAAAGGTCCAGTTTTGCAGTATATATGGAAGTAACGGAAACCGCTGTGTCTGAATCTTAAGGTCTGCAGTGGTGTTCGTGGAGCCGCTCAGAGGCTCTGGGGGAATGTATTTAGCTAGGTATGACACGCAAGAAGCTGCCAAGTGAGTTGCCGTCTGAAGAGGCTGAATCAAGCGAACGTGATTCTCCTCAGTGGTTGAATCCCTCTGCAGACTGTGTTGCAAGTACTCAGAGAGAGAGCTATGTATGAAGCTCACAGTATCATCTGCAGTAACTTCCAGCAAGCTACCGGAAATCCGTGGTATGGCCTCTCGAAATTTCGGAATCTGAGCGATGTGAGCGGTGCTATCTGCCGGTAAATTGACTGCTTCGCTCAGTTCGTCAACGAATAGAGGTCTTCGAGCACCGTAAATCCATTGAAACGCCTTTCTGACCCTGGTTCTCACCTGCGAAGGCAAATTTGTCTGCAATCGCCAGAAGATCGCGTTGTACAAATTGTCTAAGCCTTCAAGGTACACAAGATCACCTAGCGCATCCAGTCTTTCCTGTACGGTGAGGCCATCTGTGTTGAGATAGCTATCGAGTAACCTCGCCCACAGGAACATGCCACCTGCATGAGATGCAGCCTTCTCTGCAAGCTCCTCTGTTTGTTGGTCTTCGTCTATCATGCCATTGGCCACGAGCTGCTCGAGAGTGGAGTAGATGAAAGCTGCTATGTCAATCTGATTCTGGTCTTTACGAAGCGACAGGAGGCGAGTCCGTTCTAGCAAAGACTTCGGAACGACAATACTGGGGCGGCTGAAAAGTATGACAGCGGGCCCGGGGTCATTCGTCGTCGAAGTGACATTAGGTGTTGTAAATGAGTCGAAGGACAATCTTGTGTCCAGGTTTGTCAAGTCAAACTCCGACAAACAAAGTTGAAGGCACTTGAAAAAGTGTTTGAGATCATCGGCTTCGTCGAGGCCATCGAATGCCAGCACCACATTCCGGTATCGTCGAAGGTACCAATGGAGCAGAGTCACAATCTCATCTTCGCTCGCTATTCTTTGACCAGAAACTCCATGGTACATCATCAAGCATGCAGCATCGAGCGCATCATTGTCATTGCGGTAGTTGTGCAACGCCTGGGTGAGAATGGCTCGAAAAGCTCCCGAAGCACCCTGTGTCCATGGCTTCAAAGCGTCGAAATAGTAGTAGAAAATTCCGGAAATAGTGCTGTCTGTAAGAGGATTTTCTGGGTGCTCGAAGCTCCCAGAACGGAGACGATCAATGAAACTGGAGCACAAGTGTGTCTTGCCAAACCCTGGCTTGCCTACTAACAGTGAACCTTGGGGCTCGAATGACTCGATCTCAGCGTACCTTGAACAAGCAGAATGTTGCACTCGGCCTTCTGGTTCAATTCCCACGACTCGTTTATTCCAGACCGCCAGCTACTGAGCACTGGCTCCGAAAAGAACCACGTTGTGCTTCCAGCATGCCTTCGGGAAGAAGCTGACTCGTGAGATTCTTCCCAATTTGGGGCATTTATCCAGTCTTTCAGCCTCTGGATAACCTGCGCTGTACAGGAACGTTATCATAAAGGTACACGAGCAGAATATCTTGCACCAGATTACTCACATTTCAAAGATTCCTGTTCACTTTCCCATTTCCGTTCCTGGGTGGCCCTAATTCTCTGCGCCTCAATCATTTCTTTTTCGAAAGACGCATACAGTCGATCCAACTGGTCGCGCTGATTCCTCATTTGCCGAAGTTGGGTTGCACCTAATTCCATCTGAGCAACGCGCACTTCTTGGTTGAAAAGGTCCTTGTGCCATCGCAATCGTTTGAGTACGTGGCCGAAACGATCATCAAACGGTTGCCACGAGAGTTTCCAGATCAATCTGGCCTTCTCCCGAAAAGACTTGCCCCTCGACAATAACCTGTAAGCTTCAAAGCAGTATTCCATGACATCGCTGTATATCCAAGAAAGGGATACCAAAAGTCGGCGATCCAGTCGCTTATCATGCTCGTCTTTCAGAGATTTCAGTGATTTGACACCATGCTCGTATATTGGCAGTTGAACAGATATCTGTTCGAAAGTAAGGCTGATCTTTTCCAAGAAGGTCACATAATGAGTACCGAGTTGGAATACCAGTCGTAGTATCCCCCATACCAGCCCAGAGTATTCTGGATTGGTCTGAACGAAGATGTTTATTACCTCGAAGTATGGACCAAACTTGTCGCTGAACCGGCGTATCCGTTTTGCGCAAGCCGTAAACCGAGATCGGTGAAGGAAATGAGTCTCAGAAAGCTGATTGATCGACTGAAGCATGTCTTCAGCAGAGGTGAACCTAAGGATTTCAGCTCTTTCTTTGTCGTCGAGCTCTTGGATAAATGCCTCGCACGTATCACCAAATGTCGCGAGGACGGCATCGACACTGTCATAATATGCGAAGTTAGCGATGCCCGACAACATCGTCGGCTTTGCAACGTGGCAAGTATCAAGAACACACTCAGCCTGGTCCTGTGGCGTCCCGGACATCTTATACGCGGTCTGGCTTTAGTCCTGCGAGATATTGATGATGATAAAAGTTGAGCTTTAATAGATACGGAAGGAGTTTATCCTCAGGCTATATCAGGCTATGGAATGTCCTGCCTCTATTTCTGCCACGTCACTGATGCCTACATTTTACGAACCTGGCTGACAAATAATAGGTCAGAAAAGCCCAACGAGCGGGGAGGTTGGACGAACCAATAAGAGGCATACATCCAGAACCACACGTGATAGCGGTACCAAGAAATATGTAATATATTAATATATCATTTAGTATTACTACATCGGGAAGGGACGAGGAAGTTTTGGCTACGGATCGAGGCTCAACGGCGAGTCTTGCGTTTAGCAATGTGGAGGATTTCGGAGCACAGCCCATCTCTCCTGAGCCGTTGCAAAGACTTCATGAGATGCAGGAGCAAGAAGCCCATCATGATCTGGAAATGAAAGGTGAACAGCCGCGTGTGGTGGAGGTTGAGGATCCTGAAGCACATACCCTACAGGCGTGAGCTGGTGGCTGTTTGTGGGGTAGAGCCGGCGATTCACAAGTGACAGAGACAGGCTGTAGGGCAGAGTTTACCCTTGTGCATAACCCAGAACCCCTCATTCCAGGCTGTGATCACGGAAATTGAAATGAGCTTGTGGGGATTCTCGGCCCGTCTGCGAACGTTACTGCCTTCTGCAGAGGTTAGATGGAGCTGGAAGATGGGGAAGAGTTGATATTCCGTGGTCCATACGTCTGACTCAAAGGGGATGCACAGCTGTTTCCTTTTCCAAGCAATCCGGACAACGCCCATAGGTTTGCACAATACCAGGGAAAAGGCAGAGCAGCCCAACAGGCGTTTTCTCTTCGCGGTCGTATTGCGACCACAAACTGAAAACGCCACCTATGCGAATTCCGGCGGGTTGTACGCCATCCAACTGCCACTGGTATTGTGCACCGTAGCTGATGATGGAGCGCCATCTGACTTCCCGTCCATTAGGGATGAGATTGGCAGATCCGCGAATGCCCGATTATAGGCCTGTGGAAGATAGTGTGCGTGCGTAAGACCCCCTGAGAAGTATAACACAGGTAAATGGATTGAGACGGGAAGGCTAGTCTTCGAGCCTTACATCGTCAGGAGGCACTCACCAAGCTTTTCAATCAATCAACTGCCACCATCCGCCCTGCTCCAGCTGCCAATTGACGTTAGGTAGTCATTGCCTTTCCAATCATGAACGAGGCAGAAGACAAGGCAGAATTACTGTGCAAGTAATTCACAGTTTTAATAGCGTTGAATTTAATAGAAGGAGGAAGAGCGCCATCTTTGACAATTTGGTTCCTCCTATTGAGCTCTGCACGGTCAACAATGAGGAAGGCACCACGACCGATGTCATGTCGCGACCCAGGCGAGACCTCAAAAGAGTTCTCAAAGAACTTCGAAAGATGGTAACCAGGGTGAGCTGGCCGAGCCGGCCCTGAGCCGAAGTTGAGCCGGGGCAAGAGCCAGCCTGAGCAAAAGCAGCGCCAAGTTACGTGGGATACGAAGGAAGGGCGTCGAGATTCCGACGAGGAAACACCCCTGACTAAATCAGGTGAGCGTCTTGTCCGCAATATCCGGCAAACAGATCCCCAGGACAAGCCATTGGCAACGCAAGGCTATATTATGCATCCATTAGCATCGTCGTGACGGGGAATGCCCACTGGAAAACTGTGGAATCTGCAGAAGAATACTCTGGACTATCGAAGACTGGGCAGATGGGCTTTTGTCTCACCATGTTCTCGACAAATCTTTTGCGTTAAATCAGGGGAAACAATGCGCTTGTGATACCACGCTTGTACTTTCTGGTTGGGACACAGTCCATCACTTATAAAGGGAATGGCTTTTGTTTCAGATCGGCGTCTTAACCAAAAATTACCAGCTTTGCCAATGCGAACATTACTGCACAAATCCCTCGCCTGTTTTCTGGGTCAGACTATTCATTCTGTGCTTACTTGACGACCTTTGAATTTGTCTGTAACGTTGCCGTTGGTCGCCTCAGTGCCGCTGTACAAGCATGTAGATTTGCTCATCGACCGGGAGACAGCGATTTCCTCCAAGGCTGTTCTCCCATAGCCCCACCACAACTCGCAGAGATGATTGGCCGGTCTGGGAAGTTAGGTCAAAGCTAGGCCGTAAAAGACCAGTCCAGCCAGCGGACATCAAGTCGCCGACTACTAGCTCGCTAAGTAGGAAACGCCGAGCAATTATAGGCATATTATCTAGAAGTCGGCTACTAGGCTCCGGCAGCGGCAATGTCAGAGCCAAGATTGGGAACTGGTCATTTATATACAGAATACCTAGACAGTGTACAGCAATTCTGCAAAGAGCATTTCTGCTTACAGCGGATTCTAATTTCGCAATGGGGTCCATTGAGCCTACTCGATTTGGTCTCAAAGAGCCGTCTGAGGACGCCAGGGCTGTCGCTGATATCAGGAAATTGATCATTGATTGCTGTCGGCAGTATGTTTTGGGTCATGGAGGGGGTGCTATAGGCATGGCTCCTATGGCTGTTGCTCTCTGGGCGCATGAGATGCGGTACAGCAACAATGACCCAGAGTGGTACGATCGTGATCGGTTCGTACTTTCCAATGGTCACACGGCTATTATCCTCTACGTTATGCTGTACTTTGCTGGCTATTCTTCCGTGACCATGGACGACCTCAAGCTTTACGCAAGTCCGTTGCCGTACGACAGAGAATCGAGAACAGCGCCTCAAACCAACTGCTCTGGTCATCCGGAGAACCACGTTCCCGGGATTGAGGTGACCACAGGCCCTCTTGGACAGGGGATTGCGAACGCTGTCGGCATGGCGATTGTGTCAAAACAACAAGCCGCGCAATTCAACAGGCCAGCGTACAAAATGATCTCAAGCCGCATCTACTGTACCACCGGAGATGCCTGCTTACAAGAAGGAGTGGCTCTTGAGGCGATTTCCATCGCCGGCCAGTAAGTCTAGTCTGTTACTCTCCCTCCTCTGAATACTGACAAGAATCCAGTCTGGGGCTCGATAATTTGGTGTTACTCTATGACAACAATGCAATTACTTGCGACGGACCATTGAGTTGGATCGATTCGGAGGATGTCAATCTCAAGATGCAATCGTGCGGCTGGAATGTGATTGATGTCTTTGACGGCGACAACTCAGTGGACGACATTGTCTCGGCGCTCAACTTGGCTAGATCCTGCAAAGGAAAGCCGACGTTCATCAACATAAGAACCACCATTGGTTATGGTACATCCAGCGCGGGCACTTCGGAGTCTCACCATGGAATGTACGATCAGGCTGACGCTGAGCACTTTGCCCTTTATCCGAACCAGCCACCACATTCTCCCACCGAGGCCACAAAGCAATATCTTGCTTCAGCTGCTGACCGAGGGAACATTGAAGCTTCTTTATGGGCTTCTAAACTCCAAGATTATAGTCAAAAGTACCCGGAGCAAGCGGCCGCGCTGAGAAGGCGTATGGAAGGACAACTGGACTACCAGGAAATGCTCGAAACCATGGAAGCACCGCATCATCTCCCTGCCACTAGAGAGTCAAATGGCTGGGTTTTCGGTCAGCTTATTCACAGGCTAGAAGGTATCTTCGCTGGAGGCGCCGATGTCTGGGGTCCGAACAAATTGGCCGACTGCTCGGATCTCATCTTCGACAGGAACAATCGACAAGGGCGCGTTATACGGTATGGAATACGCGAGCACGCGATGGCAGCTATCTCCAACGGAATTGCGGCGTACTCGCGAAATGCATTCGTCCCTGTGACCGCCACATTCTTCATGTTCTATCTCTACGCCGCCGCCGGCGTCCGAATGGGGGCACTTAACCGTCTTCAGGTAATCCACATCGCCACCCATGATTCTCTGAATGAGGGAAAAAATGGCCCGACCCACCAGCCGGTCGAGTTGGATTCGCTCTATCGCGCAATGCCCTCACTACTCTACATCCGGCCGTGCGATGCTGAGGAGGTGATAGGTGCCTGGATGGTGGCATTGGGTGAGAGGACCAAGTCGTCTATTATATCCGTGGCTCGAGAAGGGCCGCAGACTCGCGTTCCAAACACCAACCGGCACAAGGTCGGGCAGGGTGGCTATGTTATCCTGGAGGCCGACAACGCCCAGGTGACGCTGATTTCGACGGGTTCAGAACTCCAATTTGCCGTTGAAGCTGCGCGGGAGCTATCCGCGCGAGGTATCCCGACTCGCGTTGTTAGTATGCCCTGTATCGAGCTCTTCGAGAAGCAGACGGACGCATACAAGGAGCAAGTCATATCATCCTCTCCACACGTCATATCCATCGAGCCTTATGTGCCCTTGATATGGGCCCGTTATTGCACTGCATCAATAGGAACGGAGACGTTTGGGTTTTCAGCTTCTGGCACAAGCAATTATGCACGATATGGCCTGGACGGACCGAGCGTCACCGGAAAGGTCCTTCGGCATCTCCAAGACTCGACTGAAGGTCGGAGCAGACGTGCAGTGAAGTGGAAAATCCTCGCCAACGCCGAGGACCAGGCCAAAGGACTGTCCAATAGAGAGCGGTGAAGCAGCAGGCCGAACATTCATTCTTCAAAGTTCTTTGTTGAAACAAGTCTTTCCACACTGTCAATACCCGGTACAGAGGAATCGATGCTACAGAGCATGATACACCCACGGGAATCGAAAGCACAAGTGGTGGGGAAGGAAACAACGTTGTCATTTCTCTGTTCCCTGAAATGCCTCGAGGGAAAAATTTTCTGGCACGTTGAGTCCCCTAAAATCTCCATATGCTTATGTGTGTTTGCATATACTCCTCGAATGCTTCCGTAATTACTCTATAAAACGTCCTACTATGACACCCGGTTGGCCATGGAGAAGGGGTGGACCACAGGTCTCTGAATCGAGAGCCAGAATGTAAACCTATCTGCGCTAGAATCACTATAGGTTGGAAAGGTTCCTGAGACTCTTGACAGACAATGAGGGTGTACTGGAGCAGCAGATTTCTGCAAAGGTTCTGACTACTAACATGGGGGCTAGATCCACAGATTTGAGTGTCCTTATTACCATGCAACAGAATGCGTACATCAATGGGACTAGTCTTGGAAGGAGGATGAACCAATCCAACGTTTCGCTATTTACGTAGAAACGCACGACGAGGACTACTTGCTTTTTAGTGAAAGTGAAAGGTGACGGGTGACGTTATTCCCCAACGGGCAGCTGACCGAAGTCGGCTTCTTGATCCCGCTTCCACCAAGTCGCCGTCTCATAGGGCTTGTTGGGTGCAAATAGTCTTCAGCCTGCCATGTACCTTCGAAAGCTCAATCATCCCCACTCGTCTTCAACATGGTGCCCGTTTCGTGGAAGGGGATAGCCTCGGGCGCGGTAGACCTTCGGGGTGAGTCTTGTGTTCTTGGGCTGGAGCCCCCAAGAACTGGTAGAGAATCTCCTACACATCTATGAGCACCCTCTCTTTCTTCACAAGCTCCTTTCACATCAAAAATGACTCCGATAATCGAGAAGCTGTTCTCGCTCGAGGGCAAAACCGTCATTGCGACGGGTGCCACCGGCGGGCTGGGATCTGAGATGTGTCTTGCTTTAGCAGCTGCCGGAGCCAATCTCGTTGTTCTTCATCTGTCAAACGACCAAGCCATAACAGAGCTTCAAAACCAAGTAGAGAAGCATGGTGTTGGATTCCGAAACTATCCATGCAACCTTGCTGATTCGGGAGCACTTCGTGCAGTCTTCACCCACATGTGGGAAGACGGAGTGGTGCCAGATGTTCTGCTCAACTGTGCGGGATTGAACCGAAGGGGAAAGATCGAGGACATAACGGACGAACAGATTGACCTCGTATGTTGATTTCACAATCCTGCGGCACCATGATACTCACTTCTAACCTCTTTGTTTTTGAAGATCTTCGCCGTCAATCAGAAAGCTTGCTATGTCGCCTCCCAGGAGTTCGGGAAGAGGCTATTGGAGCTGCAAAGACCTGGTAAAATCATCAACATCGGCTCCCTCACAGCATTCCTCGCCGGTGTCAACGTCGCGGCCTACGCAGCGTCCAAAGGTGCTGTCGTGCAGATGACGAAAGCGTTTAGCAACGAGTGGGCCAGCAAAGGCATACAAGTCAATTGCATCTGTCCCGGGTAAGTCAGGTCTCACCTGGCAATGGAGACAAATCTGATTGTTTGCAGGTACTTTGAGACACCATTGACCGTTGACCTGCGAAGAGCCGATGGGTTCGAGGAGCACATCATCCAACGAACTCCAGCAGGACGATGGGGGAAGCCGTTCGATCTCTGTGGTGCTGCCATTTTTCTGGCCAGTTCAGCAAGCGACTATGTATCCGGCACAACCATAGTGGTGGATGGTGGCATATTAGGACGATAAGAAGTCTCGAGGCTTCCGAGGGTGCCCAAGGTTGATAAATATAAGACTTCCGCAAATTCTCTGGTCACTGTCTGCACTCTATATTCTTAATCAAGAGAGGAGTAGGTTCCTCCTCTTCAACTGCGGTTGGGGAAGTATTGTAGCTTCATGTCCTTCTCCGCTCTGGCCTTAGATCGACCGCCCCTGGAAGCCTCTCTAGCCTCGGTCTAGTGAGCAAGTCTCTATACTCCTAGAGGCAGCTTGGGAAATGGTCCCCCAGCCACTACTGTACCCCGCGCTGCCCCCATAGGAAGAGTTTGTTAAATGGGCTTGTCGTCCCTCCCCAGACAGACTATTCTTGGCCATGCACAGATTTGCTGGCTTGGGTCCTATACGAGCGTTGTCCGCAAATCGCCATGTCGGCAGCTCCTAGTCAACGAGTCAAGGTCGCCTGCAAGCTTTGCAACCTGCGGCGTGTGAAATGCGACCGCACAGATGCCACAGCGTGCACGACATGTAGTCTGGCAGGTCATATTTGTGAACCTATCGCATCCAGACGCGGCCGGTACGCCTCGATCAGTCCTGCATTGTGCGTCAAGATGCTCAAGCAATTTTAGCTATGAAAGATCTTCCCACAAACAGCAGCCATACATGCACTCGGAGAGGTCAGTCCTAGCAACCGATAGCGATCCTCGTGTGAATCTGACGTTGCAAAGGTCTCATGAGCCCCGAGATGGTACCACTCGCATATCTCATCCTCATGTGGCCAACACATCCACGACAATGGCATCAGCCACCGGTGGTGAAGACCCAAGTCCTTCTGAAGGATCAGATATGCTCTTCGCCAGATTGGTTGATTCCCCCACCAACAAACACGATTTGTCTCACCGCCACGATAGCAAGGTGGTTTACCTGGGCGAGTCATACAATCTCAACTATGTGATGCATCACCTAGCCCGTCCGTGTGGACTTGCAGACGCAGCAGCAGAACAAGAAACACGACCAAAACAACTACATTACTTCGTTCCCGAGAACATCGAGATTCGTGCCAGAAACGTCCCCCGTGACCTCCGTTTCGAGACCGAAGAAAGAGAGACCTTGGTCAGGAAGGGAGCCCTGACGGTACCGCCAAAAGGCCTCAGCGATGCTTTGATCCAGACCTTCTTCCGATGGATTTTCCCGGTCTTCCCAATCTTCGACCGACGAGATTTCCTCTCATCATATGAAGCCGGGAAGGCGTCGTTGCTTGTCCTACAGGCTATCTTTTTCGCCGCAGCCACGCATTGCGACATCTCGCTCCTTCACGATGTAGGATTCCCCTCACGCCATGCAGCAAGGCTGGCCTTTTATCGTAGAGCGCAGGCGCTCTTTGACGCAGATTACGAGGCCAACCCGGTTGCCACGGTCCAAGCGCTCTGTCTTTTGACCCTGTGGTGCGGTGGACCACTCGATCAGAAGGATACATGGCATTGGCTTGGGGTTGCTGTGGGCATTGCACAGTCACTGGGGATGCATCGATGGTAAGCTCAGCATGCGTAAGGTATACCACATGTTATTAGCTGACCGTCTCAGCATGCGATATTCGAACATCGACCAATGCCACCAGCGACTGTGGAAAAGAATCTGGTGGTCCCTTTACGTCAGTTAGGACGTTCCTAGCTTGACCTGTGGACAGACTTGCTGACACAACGCAGATTCGGGATATCCATGCTGCCGCCGCACTTGGGCGGCCTCCACATATCAACAATGTGTTCTGTGATGTGGAATGTGTTGAGGACGAGGATTTCCACGACGTTAGTACCGTGAGCTGCGAACTAGTAGGACAAGATTCCACTTCCAGTGTGGCATACTTCGTGCAATCCTCGAAGCTGGCGGTGCACAGTGAGTTCTCTAGACGTCTTGAATTCTTCGTCAGCCTGACTTTGTGCCTTTTGTGAGCAAAATCCTGATTCACAGGTTTGCACCCGGGAGCGACGATCCAGGACGAATGCCCGATCCTAGCCTGCTGTCAAGGGATCTAAAAGGCTGGATGGACGCACTTCCCTCGTCGATGGCTTGTCCCAAGGGGGAGATCGCCCTCTCTGAGTTTTGGGCAACCATATTACACATCACATATCAGTACGTTCCGTTTCTATCTCTTTCGTGTGTGACGCCACTAATCTTTCACAGCAACTACCTCATCCTTCTCTATCGGTCTAACGACTTGTCGGACGTCAACCTGACAGACGACGCCGCAAGCATCGTTTCGGCAACCAAAATCACAAGGCTCCTGGAGGATCTGCTGTACTCGAATCTGTTGCATTTTGCTCCAATCAGCATGTACGTAACTTTCTCAGCATCACCATCGGTGCCATGGCTGTGCCGTGCTAACGAAAAGGGAAAGAATCTCGAGTCTATTTGCCGCGCTCACCATCCACGTCCGGTGCATTCTGCACCGCGAACTGTCGCAGACCATACAGTCCGAGATCCTCGAATACCGAATCCGCCTCTGCATGCTCGGCTTGGAGAAGCTGCAAGAGAACTGGCCGGTGGCGGCCTGGACGCTCCATCTCTTCGAGCAACTCATGGAGCGGCTTCGAAGCCACCAGTCCGCGTCGAAGCGCTACGCCGAGAGCTATCCGCAGGCACCGTCGAAAAGACCCCGGACGTCGTCTCGCGTGCCCCAGGAGGATCCTCTGGATCTGGAAGGTCAGAGAGACCAGGAGCCGAGGGAGTTTCGGGATCTGGGGGCGTCGGAGTCGGACATCCATGTCGGCGTAGGAACCACCCCAGCACCCATATACTGGAACATTGAGGACACCGAGTTTCTGTCTACGGTGTTCTCGGATGAGTTCTTTAATGCCGTATAGCCTCTTTCACGAATACCACAAGTGACAGACAGACTGGATAGAAACCGCAGTCTCGTGGCGTCAGAGTCCTGCAAGTGCTGATAAAAGCAACAAGGCCTAGGCGAAAATGTATGTAAGACAGTGAGTTCAAGCTAACCACAACTTGTATCACTTACATGTCCTCCCTGGCTAGTTCGGCTGACTGGGTGTCATGCGATTGGGCTGTTTCAGACCTCCAGAGTGAGGTATCAATTTGTAGGAATTTGTAGGAGTTTGTCGAAAAAATGGCGCTGTGCTGGAGACGATTGACTGCCGAGGTCTCGCTCCAGTCTGATGTGCAACATCGGGTGAATAGTAAATTCTGCGACCATCGCTGTACGCACCTATCTACTCGTCGGTACCTGGGGTATTATTAGGTCTTCGTCACCCGCCGGATCATGACTGAGGACCAACCGCCAGTAGCAGCAGCCTCCTCCTCAGAGTCCGCCATGCCTCCACTCCAACTGCCACCAAACCTGAAATTCGGCCCCTTTTCGGTAGCATCACAGGTCTTCCACCTCTCGCCATCGCGCCTGTCCTACGGCTTGGTCAACCTCAAACCCCTGCTGCCAGGCCACATCCTGATCTGCCCGGTACGCGGCGTTCCGCGGCTCTCGCAGCTCTCCGGCGCGGAAACGGCCGATTTATTCAACACCGTCCGCATTGTCTCGGTGACGCTCCAGCGCGTGTACCACGCCAGTGCTTTCAACGTCGCGGTCCAGGACGGAGTCGACGCCGGCCAGTCCGTGCCGCACGTGCATGTGCATGTGATTCCGCGCCAGAGGGGCGATTACGACGACAAGGGCGGTGGCGACAGGATTTACGATGCCATGGACGGCGAGGAAGGGGATCTGGGCAAGGCGTTCCTCGAGATGCGGAGAAGGAGAGGCGAGAGGTCAGAGTCGGGAAGGGAGGCCCTGGGCGGACCCGACAGCACCAGGGAGCCCAGGAGTGAGGAGGAGATGCGGAAGGAGGCAGAGTGGCTGAGGGAGGAGATTGAAAAGGATCGTTCACGCGCCCAGGATGAGGAGTGATGGCGACTTGGAGGTTTCTGCCACGATCGATTAATGTATCAACAATTCAGCTAACTGCTCGTGCATAGAGATAGAGTCACTGTGCGCTAGAATCCGGGCAGATTGTCAGCCACGGGAAAAGAGCAAAGGTCCAAACACGCGTCTAATTGCTTTCTGGGTATCATTGATTGGTCTTCATGGCTTCCAAGGCGCTTTCCAGCAAATCGCACTTCTGTTGCAATGCACATCGCGTCACTCATTCCCGTTATCATTTCGCATGTCCGTTCATCTCGGCCACTCCGTTGCCCAACACCGTGCCCTCCCCGTTGCTGTAGTATTGGTCTTGTTGCTCCTTGATTGTCGCCGCTTTCGTGGGTTCTCGAGGTGCCATATCTTTGCTCTTCCACAGCTCGGCTCTTTCATCCAGGATCTCCTGGGCCCACACCTTCATCTCGTCCAGACTGATTCTCCTCGCCACCCAGCTGAATTCACTCAGGTCAATGGCGCAGTTGTTGGCACGCTCGTACTCCACCATCTGTAATATCAGCTCCAACTTGTCCACATCATGAACGAATTTCGACTCCAAAGTCTCGCTGTCCTCGTATTCTTGCCAGACTGCGCGAAGATCCTGTCCTGCAATGCCACCATGGACCTTCCCAAGTAATGACTGGGCAACCCAGTCCATGGTCTCAGCCTCACGTCTGTTCTTTTCCACTTTCGGTACACCATCAACCGGCGTCAAGTCCCCAACGAGCCCTTCGGCCATGTCATGTACCAGTGCCATCTTCGTGCATCTCGGGATGTCCAGTCGTGAACTCAGTTCTGGCGGAGCGAGCATGGTGATCATCGACATGCGGTACATGTGGTCTGCTATGGATTCGCCGGTTGAGATACCAAATCTTCGCCATCCTTCGCGCTTCTCGATCTTCAGGCGTTCAAGGTAGTGGAAGAAGGGTATGGGAGAGGAGGAGCCTTCGGACGGTGGATTGGGGAGGTCGCGTAGCACAGCACGTACGGACCATGGGTTTGGCTTGGGTAGCAGGGATGTGTGAGAGTTTCTGAGGGTGAATGAAGGTTGAGTAGGTGGAACTAGAAGTTGTCAGTGTTGTAATATGGTTTTGGGGAGAACCACATACTCTCAGGTCTTTCTGAAGCCATTTTGCTGCAGCGCAAAGTGATGCGATTGTCGGCACGATGGGGGAGGCGGGAGATACGGATAACGGAAAGATCAAGACAACGGAAACAGAAATCTAGATACACCACCCACTTTATATCGCCGTGCCTCTAATGCTTGAATATACAGACCAAACTTGCAGGACAAAGACGACGCTGAAAGGTGCCGAAATGTTTGTTGAGCAAACACCAAATGAGACTTGGTTGTTTACCAAGCGACGCTCCCCCGCCAAACAAAAGGAGGCTGCCCGTCCCTCCCGCAAGTGCCAAGGACACAAAGCAGCGCGTAAATTTATACCATTTGGGAAAGAAAGTGGTGCTGCTCTGCATTTGCCTCTAAAGTAGAAAGTTTCCCGATACTAGCAGCCTTGTTGGTGCTGCTGGCAAGGCTGGAGCTACTTTTCTTGGAACCGAGTCAATTGCTTGGACCAACGCTTGTCTCGACCCCAGCAGAGCGAAATGAGCATGATCTGGGCCTTGAGCGCAAATATTTCAACTGATGGAGTGCATGGTTCTGCAAGCCACACTCCGTTTTTCATTATCATCAAACCTTGGGCACATTAGGTCAAACAGCGACAAACCGCACCCGCCAGTTTGATCAAAATACGTTCCGATGCCCCCGTTTCGAACCTGGTCGGCAACTATTACTCCGTATGGTTCTGAAAGCTGGAAAAGATGCCAAGTTCGTACGCTCTGCACCTTGTTCTATATATACTCTTATCTTGCAGACTGCAATGCATGGAATACCGATCCCTGTCCTTGTGCATAGACACAGATCGAGTCCTACATATATTGGTTTCTACCCTCCAGAATCCATCGCCTCTTCCTGCCAGTATCTCTGGCCTTTGACTGTGGCGCAAGGAGCGTCAAGACCGGACAACGTTTGTTTGCGCAGGGATTTTTTTCACGCCTTCTCGTGTTTGGCTATCCGGTGGTTGGTGCTTCGGAGAATGCCCGAGGAAAATGTTCGGAAGCTGGGTCAGCGCTACAACTGAGGAGACCTTATCTCATTTTCTAGACTGGAAGCTGTCCAATCTAATCAGATCTTATTTGATCATCTAATCTGATAAGTCCCGACGAACTCCATCCAGCTCCGCTACCAACCGTTCCAGGTCGAACAGCTGCATGCCTCGATACAAATTTGGAATGTCATGTCCGATACCGCTTGCAAATTGCGGCCAATTGCCTGGTCGTCGAAGCAAGAAGGAGAACTCTTCCTCTTTGAAAGGTTTGCTCTGATTTGTTGACGAAAATCTTCTATGCTTACTTCGGAAATGTTACCAGTGCCCTCTTGAACCGCCAGACCCATTGGCTCTGAGGAGTATACTTCTGCGGTGCTATGGAACTCTTCAGCGGGTGGACTGTCCTTGACACCATAATGGAGTCTTTCAATTTTTCCTTTGGCGTGGTCTGAGTGGCACAAAAGGAGCAGCATTGACTCTCTGATTCAACTTTCCTTCTCGACGTACTCCCACACGATTCACTTCGAAATTCACGTCACGATTTCAAGTCTCAACACTTCGCCTCTGTCGGCCAGTATGCAGCCACAACAAAGGGTTTTCTCTCTGCTTCTCCTTCTCCTTGCCGGAGCTTGCCATGTCTTAGCCACGTCAGGATCCGAGGTGGCTGCCACCACGGAAAGTTTGCTTCTGCCACGATCTGTACCACCGGCAACAAAACATCGCTCTGACAAGGTCCACGGCATCATTATGGGTGTTACGGTTATCATTCTCTTCCCATTCGCCTCGATCTCTTGGAGACTGCTGGACCGCCTTGTTAGTGGAAGAACGCTTCTCAAAATCCACGTATGCTGCCAGCTGTTGGCCCTATCGATGCTCATCGTCGGATTCGGCCTGGGGGTTTGGGTCTGCATTATCCACAACGAGGTGAGTCCGGAAAGCCGGGTTGGTGGACCATTGTCCTACTGTGTGGACGGCATCTTTTCAGCATGCTCATGCTTCACCCACGTTGCCCCATGCTTGGCCATGAGACTAACCGACCCGCGGCTATAGGTGTACAACGATGCATGGGGCCATGTGATCCTCGGCACCATCCTCATGGCCCTCTTTATCCTCCAGCCACTCATAGGGCAATGGCATCACTACCTGTACAAATCGACAAGTCGAAAAGCCAAACCTTGGATACGCAGCTTCCATATCTGGCTGGGACGACTGTTGATGGTCGCGGCCATTGTGAACGGCGCCACAGGCATCGTGCTGGCCAATAACACTCCTGGCGGCGAGAAAGGCTACAGTGCTGCGGCTGGGATCGTCGGCGTGGTCTACATCGTGATCCTTCTGCTTTGGTACTGGAACAGGAGCAGGCAGAACCGTGAAGAAGCTCGTCAAGACATGGCGCTGGGAGGACATGCAGATCTGGAAAGGAAATCGCTTCCCGGCGTCGCAGTTGACCAGATGTAGTTTCCAGTCCTCATCGGCCTGCGATACGAGCCCATCTTGGGACTGACTAAGAGGAGGGGGTTTGCCGTCTACATCGGCACTGAATGGCGAGATACCTGGCGCAGACAGATCAGCGCCAGTCAGTACGAACAGAGGTGGCCCGGTGCCACCACTGTGCCGTTTTGCGGGAAGATTATTTGTTTGAAACAAATAAATAGATAGAGAAAGACGAAAAGGGGAGGTATCTATCTACAACTTGAGTTGATTTGTGGAATGTCTATGGACAACGTTTAGCACTCGTACCAAATGTGGAACATTGCTCTGAACGAACTGTACTCAGCATCCTTTTTCGTGTTTGTTCCACGGCAAGACTCACGGCACACTACCCGTGTCTGATGACCCTAGTCCAGCTGGATCATCTAGTCAAACAAGCCCAATGCGCCATCGCCTAATATGTACAAAAGGAGGGTTCCACACATGGGGGCCCCGCAAACGATTACCGTCTCTGCCCGAAAGCGTGGCCGACGGCAAGAAAGATGTCAATGTGTCTTCCACTCAACACTCAGACAATGCGTAGGGCATCCATTGTCGTGGGAGCATACGCTATCGCCTTGTTAGATGCCGTCTCTGGCAGAAACGCCTCACCAACCAGCACATACTGCTCAGGCGCTCCTTCGTCCCCCGGGAGCTTTCGCAGGGCATATGGGAAGGTGGCCCCCCTGAAGACAGCGATGGCATCACCTGGCAGGGCATCTCCGGGCAGGAGCACTGGCGTCTTCTGTCCCGCGCAGATTCCCAGTCGTCGGCCAACGCCGTACTTTTTCAACGCGGCTCTAATAGGTCGCAGCGGATGCAAACTCGGCTCAGACGATGAAGGAAGCAGGTAGCTTTGCGTCAATTTCAAATTCAGGCCGATGTATTGCATTTTCAGCCCGTCTTCGCGTTCGGAGAGAAGGGTAGTGTTATCGTCCTGTGAGTAGCGAAGATACCTGCTGGCCATACGGTCGGTTGACAGGAAGTTGACCCAGAAGATCTCCTTTTTCTCGTGGAGCCCGTACTTTGCCCCGTGTTGGCGCCCGTCGACGTCGATATGTCCAGCTTCTTGAGCCTCCTCGGCGAACTGCTGCCATGCCCGGTACACCTCGTCGATTTCTCCCGTGCTTGCGCCGCGTGGAACCACGGTGTCGTAGACTGTGGTCACAGAGTCGAAGACAAATCCCTTTACAAGCAGCGCGTCCTGGTCGAACTCAATGCTGGGTTCTGCGGTGGAGATAAAGTGTCTCGCATCGTCAGCTTCGAAGGGCCGATACTTCCAGTCGTCGATCAGGTTGGGCACCCATGATGGCAGGTCGTGGCGGCGTTCGTGGTTTTGACATGTACCTAAGAGGCGTAGACCTTTTTTCTGAGGCAAGATCGCCCGGGCTGCCGATTTCAACACTTCCGGAAGGGAGAGTCGATAATCTGCTCGGAGCAGGTAGATTTCGGGGTCTGCCAGTCCTAACATCGAGTAGACCTTGTCTCTGAGGTCTGTGGAATTGCAGTGACGGGAGTGAAGGAGTAGCTCATGGAGAGGTAAAAACGAGCGGCCTGCGTGAGAGGCTTTCCTCAAGGCACGAAGGCTCCGTGCTTGGTGGTAGAAACTGAACCCGACCATGCTGTCTGCCGTCCGCTGGTCTTCGGTATCAGAACACGAACTGGGTATTTGGTGGCCAAGGCTATCAATGTACTCGATAGCCATGACAGCTTGCGATATCACATCGAAACTGATACTGTGGTCACCCCAACTGACCTGTGTGCGAGATCCCAAAGAAACCTCTTGACGGATCCCTGCACAGCTCCGTTAATTCCGTACCGCATGCGTGCTTTTCAGACAAAAAGGACTTACAGCTTCGTTCCCACCAAGGTTGACCTAGCAACAGACGGAGAGCGTGCCAGGTTTTGCGCACCTCCTCTTCAGAAAGCTCTGGGTATTTGACTTCCTTCTCCCCAGGACCCCGGGTGGGTGGCCGACCAATCTTGCCCACAACATCCATGGCGAGTGCAGACCCCTCGATGGAATCGCCTAGCCAGACATGAACTGACTGGGCACCTCTATAGATGCGGCGCATCAAGGAGACTTGATTGCCTCTTTCTTCAATATCCTCTTGATTGATGCCTCCAACAAGTCAGCTTAGTCTCCACTGGCACCTAAATGCAGAGAGATATTGCTTACAGATTTGGTCAATCCACCAGAATGTCTTTGGAGATGGTATCCTGGCTGTCGCCGCTTCCTTTGTAGCTCTCTTCCTCATCTGGCGCAATGCACTCTCCAAATTCGGTGTGACCGGAAAGACGTGACCGTCGACGACAACCCGCCCATCCATCTTGGGTTCGCCCCAGCAGTATGACATTGCAGTGTACTGCTTCAGTCGCGCAGCTTGACTCTCCTCCAGACTCACGTGGACCAGGGAGCCTCTGATCTCTTCCGAGTCATCGTCTGCATTGTGCAGAGCGAGCAAACGAATCTCGGCTTTTTCGAAGCTGAGCGGTTTGTATGTATATGGTTCCTCGGAGACGGGCGATAATGGAGCACCTTCAGGCTGAGAAGTCGAGGAAACGAGGTCTGGCCCTCCACTTTTTGGCTCGGCCTCACCAGGTATAGAAATGTTCAAATGCTTCAGTATAGTGTTCACTGCGAGGTCGAGCCGGTCTAGCTGTTGTTCGATGCCCTCTAAACGGTCCCAGATAGGGGCTACCATAGGGTGCTTTTCGAAGTGAATTCCGAAGCTGTGAGCCATGGTCACGGCAGATATTCGCCAACGCCGTGGCGAACAATACCCGAACTATGTCTGTTAAGGAATGCTTGGATCTACAGGAGGAAAACTGGGCGGTGCTGAAAATGATCGGGCAGACAGTGAGAGTTATATCGTAGCAACCTCGTATTGTTACCACTCTGAAACGAGAACCTCGTATCGATATAGGCCGCCTGAAGCTCCCAAGAGATGACTGATTGGTCTTTGGGTGTCTCAGTCTCACAGTCTGAGAAAGTGCAGGCAGAGTGTATCACTACCTCATCCTGACCCCTAGGAGCTACGAGCAGAAAAGGGGGTTTCTGGGCAAGGCTCGCCTAAACACGGGGTAAATTGCCTGGCGAGGCTGCCTCACCAGCCCAAGGGGAACTTGGGGCCGAGTGCCTCGCAGTCACACCAATCGCTTGCAATAAACCATGCCCCTCGTGTTCAACTGCCTTGATTTGACATGGATCCCTCCTCGTCACAAACCCAATGGCATCCTCGAAACAACAGTGCAATCTTTGTCCATGCCTTGCACCTCCTTAACCTCGACCTCCTCTCAGACTGGCCCAACATCTCCGAATCGATATTCCTTCCTCCCACAAAAGCCTCCACCAATACAAGCACAACACCAGCCCTACCCCAGAACCGCACAAAATCCTTAGAATGGGCACTCTACCACCTATTCCGCCTTTATTCCCCCTCCGAGGCGGCCTCGAGACTCTCGTCGTGCTTTCCTCCTGCAACGCCGATCCAGTCGAGGGATTTGAGAGCTGGGTTATACAAATGGCTTACGGAGTTGAAGCAGAGCGGCGCGTTGCCGAGAGAAACGGTGCTACGAAAGACAATGCTGGATGAATGCAAAGGTGACAAGTTTGAGGAATTGATTGCGAGGTTTGCAATGCTTGTGGTCAGGAAAACGATGGCGCAGGACCAGAGCGGAGTCAACAACAGACAAGTCAACCAGAACACACATGCTGTTGCGCGCCCGAACAGGAGCACCGCGGCAGGCACGCACCAAGATGCGGACTCCTTGGTACCCTTGATTCTTGCCCATCGTGTCTCTCTGCAGCGCTCGCTCCGCAAACGCCAGGAACTCGACGAGAAGGCGACAGCTTATACGCGAATGTTAGCACAGATACGGAAGGACGTTACAAGCGGTTTGCACGACATATCCCTGCACAAGTCCGCCCCAGATGACACCGAGAACGTTCTATCTGCAACGGAGTACAAGCTGCTCAGTGAACGGATTAATCTTGCATTCGCAGGTGATCGTCGCTGGGCAAGGTATATCTTCGAGGGCGTCCCACCTTCGACAAATCCAGCTTCTGCCCGAGACCTCCCAGAATGGCCTTTTGGAGAACCCTGCCAGTCTGCACCCGACAACAGGGGCATCGTACCGTTGGCGGCCAGGGTGGCCGATGCAGAAGACGACCCCGATCAGCCAATGCGCCAACTGCAATCTTTGGTGTCTCAACATCAGGCACGAATCGCGCGTCTCACAGCCATACGCCATTCTCTACTCTCCGCCTCTGGAACAACAAACGAGATGGGACAGACAGCGAGCTTGCCTACGCCGTACTCTGCAGAGACAATCTTGGGAAAAGCTGAATCTCATCCCCACGCGAGCAACTTTTCGAATCGCCCAAAGCCGCAGTTCAACCGGCACCAAGATCTTGTATTGACTTGACGGGCTTGTCCTCACAGAGGGTGAGATTGCCACTACACCGACCGACTTCCCAGCTATCACTCATCTCGTTTGTTGCTAACTCAGGACGTGTCCTTTGAGCAATAAACACAGCGTTGCCAACTTTTAAGAATTAAGACTGGACTCTACGCCAGTCCAACCAGCCATGGCTCCGCCATGCCAGTCTCCCCTCTGACTTTGAAGCTACGTTACATCCCATCACGCGATATAGTAAATGCACACAAAATGTGGAAATCGTTCAATTGGGGATTTATCGTTGGGGGTATCATGTCTGACACGTCTCAAGAAAGGAAAAGAGATGGCACTGAAGGCAATATGAACAAGAAAAGCGAAAGGGGCAGGGACTGACCTCTCTGCCTCCCTTCGCTCCGCAAACACCCCGGAATGTTGTGAGCTGCCCGTGCACCTGTCAGTTCTCCGTCTGGCTGGTTTCGAGGGTTCTCGTCGGGCAAGACTCTTGCTCACAACATCTCTCGACCTTGGCGTTGCAGTCGCACAACGTTCCGACTCTCCAATGAATCTAGACCGATCCAGCAGCCGAGATCTCGCACCAGTCCTCGCACTCTGTCTCGTAGCCATCTTGGATCTCGACCTCCCACTTGGCTTCCAGAAGCGAATCGCACTACGACCAAGCTCCTAGACCAGAGGTTGTCCTTCCATCGCCTCTGTCCCAGTCCCTCGACTCCTTCAACGCATCTCTATCGAGCAGCCCGTCGTCGAAGTATCCCTCATCCACATCCCCGTTATTCTGGTAATCTTCAACTTCAACCTCAATCCGACTCCCCAAAGCTGCCTGCCCTTCCTTTATCATCGCTTGCAATTGCATGTTAAAACGATTCATCGTGGCATCTTGCTTGGCTTCTTTCCGACGAAGTTTCTGTTCGAATTTGCGGATCTCGGGAGACTGCTTCGGTGATGTGGTGACTGAAGCAGATGACAGCCGCCGAGAGGTGGAGAGCGAGGCTCTGTGGACGCTGGAAATACCACTTGGGCGCTTTGAAGGTTTGTCTGAATTGTGGTGCTGGTCGATGGTGGAAGGTGCGGGAATAGAGATCCACGATTGCTGCTGTGCTGAGCCGATGGTGCTGGTGCTGGCGCACATTGATACCCGCGGCGACGCATATGAAGCTGACGACCTTGTCGTCGATGATCGAGGTGTTAAGCGAGGACGAGATACAGGGTGACTTGAGTGTCGGGGAGCCGACGACGGGCGGGATGCATGAAGATTTGCCGTGCTTGCTCGCGATTTCTTGCGGACAGGACTAGATTCCGTTGAGGGCGACAGGGGGTTGGCATCATCAACGACTACCCAGCTGTTGTAGCGGGAGATTGATGGAGAATCTTGATCTGGTATGATGGTCGGGGTTACATTGTTCTCCTGCCTGGGTTGAACAGACAGTCTAGACATGTAGTCCTCGATGAATTCGGGAGTGTCTCCAGGGAATCCACCTGGAACCGGGGTCCGCTCTCGGTCAAATCGTCTCGAGTCGCCAACAGTGTCATTATTACGGAACAAATCACTTTTGGAATCGACTTCCGTCCAAATGCTAGACGATCCCACGTCCGCGGGTCCAATGTCGAACTGGTAACCGTTGCCCCCGCCGGCGTAAAAGCCCTTGAAGGTAGTGTTCCAACAGAAATTGAAGACTTTACCTGCCAACCCACCGGTCAAAGCCCATACTGTCTTTCCCCAGCTCTTCATCGGTGGCGCCGGAGGCGACAACCTCCGTTTATTTCTTCGGGACCGATCTGGGGCTGGTGTCTGCGGACAGTATGACGTGGAAGGCGGGAATGGATTTTGGCTGTTGTACCTGTTCGGTCTGCAGTCGATCTCATAGTCGAACTCGTGGGCGTCCTCTTCTTTCTGGATGTCTAGGGCGGTAGGCGTATCCAAGCCACCTGCGATACGGTAGTTGGTGTTGACGAGTGGTGGAGGGCTGAGGGCTTCTCGCCAGAAGGCGGTCTCTGATGTGGTGTAGGAGTCATCGCAGACGGATTTTGTGTCTAGCCGCGGTCGCTTGCGGCTGTGTAGTTGATCGTCGTCTGGTGTGTGAAGGCCGTTTCCCGTCGCTAGTGGTCTCAAGGCCCGTGGTTGCGACCAGGCAGACGAAGAGTCGGGAGTAGGATTGCTTTCGGAGGGTGGCAGAAACGGAGAGGCTTTGAATCGCGCACAGTGGAGTGAAATCTTGTTCTCGGGCAGATAGGAGCCTGGAAACCCGCCTGAATGTTCCATCATCGCAGCCATTTTCGTGCAACAAGCTGATCAGGCGGTGCAGTCGGTGTGATGGTGTGCGAAGGACTGACTATGGTCACTCGAGACTTGGGGATGACATTGTCGGCGTGAAGACGATGATTCAGATCCAAAGCGCGAGAACAGAGCAGGTGACGAGAGATTCAGGCTGCGCGCGGGATGAGCTGGCAGCGAGATGTCGTGGTACAATCAGACTCCAGGCTCCAGCTGGCACAATACGAGAAGGGCAGCGACTCAGAGCGACGAGTGAGCGGCGAGTGAATTGTGGAGATGTTGGGCGTCATTGTTTACGCTTCACGGTTGGCGTGGCAATCAATCGTGGCCACTGCTCATTCTACGCGCGGCTTCCACCGCACCCTGCTGCTCTCTCTACCCATCACATTCTCCTTGTTCAGATCTCGCAAACACATCCCCTGCAAGTCTGAACCCGTGCAGTATAGCCTGCGCTCAGACTAACCATGGGAAGCCGCACCACAACTGCAGTCAACCTCACAAGTGCGTCACTGTTGCCGTCTAGCAATCACAGGATTCACATGTAAATGGACTCAGCCTTCGGTGCACCGGCCCTTCGAATGCCCATGCAGTCGGGAAGCCTGCGCACCTAGCCAACCACGAGAATAAACAGGATATACCGTCAGGTAAGAGAAAGAGGAAAAGAAGGGAGACTGCAGACCGCCAGAAGAAGAAGCCCATAGTCTTCTGAGGTGGATGCCCCGCGTTTACACTTAAAAGCCAAACACCTGGCTGATATCTTTGATTTTTATTCCTTTCGCTCTTCTCAACGAGCTCGTCTGCAACCCCGTGCCACTTACCCATATTGACTCGCACAGCCTGCCACTTATCTCTGCCAAACACTCTCCAAATTTGGAAGGAATATTCACCAGAAGCACAAATGGACCCCAGAACGCAGTGGCAAGCGGACTTCGACCGGTCAATGGAATTTGAGGAGCGCGAATGGGAATTGAAGCAGGAAGAATGGGAGCTGAAGAAATGGAGGTTGGACATGGACCGACGGAAGGATGACGCAGAGAGACGGTTCAAAAATTGCGTTGATCTCACCGATGTCGCTGAGGGAGAGGAGCAGCAGAGGGACGAGGGTGAGACAGAGAGCCTGGCGACCGTCAAGCCAGCCACCATTCCGCCTCTTCCAACGCCTCAAACCTCGGCCTCATTAACCACGGAAAGAGCGGCTGGCAAGGAAGCCACAATGCCCAATTCTCAGCAACATCGTTTCGCCTTTAAAGCCTATGTGCCCCAAAAGACTCGACAAGCTCCTAAAAGAAAGGTCCTGGTCCCGGGTGAGGTCCATGCAAGAGCCGATGTTGATAGGAGGGTGGCAGCTAACTCTTTCTTAGAAGTCGAGCGTCGCTCTCCAGATACATCGCCTACCCGTCAGGATACGCGCGTGGGTATGCCCAATACAACAGCATCAGCACCAGGTTCAGTGGAGCAACAGAAGACCTTGGGCTTCGAAGATCTCTTGCCCACGAGTGGAGAACAACGAGATACCAGCGACGATCCCCAATGGACTCGTGCATCGAAACGACGTTCTGTTGCGAGGAGGAGGCCAGAACATTAGCGGGATGAGGCCATACATATTAGCGGATGAGGCTTCCTTGGCCAGGGAATGTCAACATCTTGGCGGTAAAAGATGAGTAAAAAGTACTCGGAGCTCACGTGCGACTCTCCCCAACCGTGCCGCTTTATCACCCCTCACCCTCGGACTCTCCGCTGGGATCTTGAAACGGTTTAGGGAGGTTCACCTTAACTTCCATTCATACTTGTACAAGTAGACGTTAGAGAAATAAAGCGCCGGCCGCGACGAGCTTCGTATCGAAGGCCGAAGATTTGCCTTGAAATCCAACTGAGACCCGAGGGCTTTTTGGAACTTGGTACGGCGGGCTCCTGTTTTCACGAAAAGAAAACCGACTGACATTGAGATTGGGTAGCACGTTGAGGCAAGGCGACTCCGTCACTTACAATGGTACTGATTTCCTCGTCCTGGACAAGAAGACGGGTTTGATCAAAGAAGGATAATGTCGCTCAGCACCTCACGACACTGTTTCACAATCTGGGCCTCACAGCTGTGACGGTCTGATACGCCGTCATCTCGGTTGGGACAGCAGCTGAAGCCTTGGGACACTCGACCACAATCAGCGGGAAATGGGAGGTCAGCACTTGTACATACTTGTACTTTCTCTTCCTGAGTTGCAGACTCAACATGGCAAAGCTTTCTCGAATAAATCTTGTGAATCGGATCACAATCTCATTTGGATCTTGTAAGGATCCTTGGCAGTTGCCCGTTTTCTGACCACTTCGACCTGATGGCCCAGACCGCTTCTTAGTACCCTTTGCTCTTGCTGACTGTAGTGTGCCTGATCCATCGCCGTGCTCATTTTTCGAGGTCAGGTCGAATCTCCACACTTCGGTCGATCTCGGTCGATCAGAGATCCTGATGAGGTTATGCAGTCGTGAGGCGTTGTGATTTGGATAGGTAGAATATGATATGACTTCACATCACGTCGCAGCTGCAAGGTTAGGGTGTCGGCACGAGTGCCGTGAAAAAAATCGCACAATTTGCGCAGTGGCCATTTCAACGGCAACGTTGAGGTATTTGGCCTTCGTGATGTCGCCGACATCCATCAGGTTGATGATGATCTCAACAGGCTCCTTTCGGCCTCATAAAGAGCCCGCTCCAGACCATGTCCAATGTCCAAACGGTAACTCTGTCAAAAGTTGTAGTACGTCTCCTGCGAAAGCCGTGTGGTATGTTTCGAATGCTAAGCAACCCACTTTAACCTCCCCTCAACCTCAGCACGAGGTGAAGGGTGTTGTTTCGTTGGCTACACACAAACATTTCATCGTTAGCAAAACCAAGCAGCGAAGGGAGCGAGGATCTTGTGCCACGTACACATTGTAATCTGACAATGTTCGGCCGTCCTCAAGTTGCTTGCCGGCAAAAATGATGCGCTGCATATCCGCCGGGATGCCTTCTCTGTCGGTTATTCTGTCTTTGAATGCACTGACCGTCTCAAACGGGTCAAAGGGAAGGACGATGGTCTTTCCAGTCAGTGTCTCCACAAAGACCTGGTTACTGCGCGGGTCGACCTGCGTTCTGTTGCTCGTGGGATAAAGGGTGGAAGTGAACTCGGCCCTTCGCTCCTCGATTGCTGCCGTGTTCGGCTCGGAAGTAGATGCTGATGCTCGTGGTGGTAAAGTTTTATTATCCAGGTCGCTGACGAGTTCGGTGGCTAAAGTGGCGGTCGCGTACGTTGGCACGCTGGATTTGAACTGCGTATACTTTTGCTTCAGCATTGCCGACGACTTGGCAATGTCATCGTCCAGCGATCGCGTTGGCCAGTTGAGGCGACCTATACGCGGTTCTAGTTCGATGCCCCGAGAGCCCCAGGTGGACGGCTGCGGTTGACGGTCTTCATCAAAGGAGCTTTTCTCGGTGTGATCTGCTGCCGCAGGTCCTTCCCCGAGACGCTTTCTCCCTTGCAGTGCAATACTGGACCATTTGTTGACCTTATCTCTTGGAGCTCTGTTGTCCCTTGAAAACTTTTCGACGAGTGACGGATCTATCTCTGCGGCCAAGTCGAAAAAGTCGAGCCAGTGATTTCGGTCGTCATGAGAAATGTCCGTGCCAACAGCTTCGACGTAGTGTGAACGAAAAGCCAATTGCTCGGCGCCTATTTTCAACTGTACGTCCATCGCCAGCCCAACTTCGGTGGCGAAAGCCAAGGCCGCCCGGGGGCCATGGAGCGACTGAGTGTTCGAAATTCCTGCCTCGAAGATCGGTCCAGCCTCATTGGGGCGTCCTTCCCGCAGGCAGGCGAAGGCATAGCTCATCTGGAGTGGCCACTGAACACTTTTGGAGATTGTCCGTTCGGAAATGCGGATCTTGCCTTCGAACGCGTCTTGATATGATTTGATCATCTCCAAGTTGCGTAGCGCGGTCTGGCCGACGGACGAGATGACTCGGATTGCTCGATGGCGATCATCATCCAACCAATTCATCGGGTCCGCCAGGGGGTTCGTGTTATTGTGATGGGACACACCCACGGCATAAGCGTAAGAAATTGAAAGTTGCGCGCAGGCAGCAACGGTGAGGATTGAAAATTCTTTGTCCAGGCGAGGAGCCTCAAGCTTTTGGATCAGCTTGTTAACCACCGGCGCGTGCTCAACCAATTTTTCCCAGAACGAGGCGTCGTTGACCACCGTCGCATTTAATATCAAGGCGTGAGCATATTCAGACTCCTGTCTCAAGAAACGTTGGGCCGTGGTGAATATTTCGCCCGCAATATTGCATTCGGAGGCGCGCAGCTTCCGCTCCTGGAACGCAATTAAAATCGCATATGTGTCTTCAAAAGCAGAGTGTGGCAGTACCCAGTAGGACCCGTTCGGGTCCATCTCCAGACAGTGACACCGATCAAGAAACGTCCGGAATCCCTGGAGGATGGCCATGAGATCCAGAAACGAGTCTACCATCCCGCCACCACCAGTTTGGAATTGGCCAGCTCTGAAAATGTTCCTCATAGCCTTCGGCCCGGCCAGAGCCCCACCCAATCTCTGAACCTCATCAAGCATGATCGCATTCCTCAAATCCTGATGATTAGGATGAGAATCCAGAAGCAGTCGCTGTCTTGGCCCTTTAAAAGAGCGCAGGAGGTTGAACCCAAGGAGGTCGTCGTCAGCTTCTCGTGCGTCATCCTCAATGCTGTGTATGAAAACCCACACTGCTTCCAGGGCAGCGCTTGACTTTGTCTCCGCCTCCATGCTTTCCTTTGCCCACTCATGCACTAATGGATGAATCCACAGGTCGTAAGGGTCGTCCTCGTCTTTATGATCATCCTCATCCGCTGCTCGTGGGGCTTCTGCCTCGGCAGAAGAAGCTTCCATGGCAGCCCGATTCCAGGGCCTTCTTGAAGAGGTGTTCCATTTGAGGAAAGAAAAGTTTTTCAGTTCTATCAGGAGGCTGACGAACTTCATTTCGTCCCAAGAACCACCACTCGTGCATGCCGAGACTAGCCAAGCGGGTACTCCAGCATCAGTTGGCTTGAGACTTTCCAATCTGCCAATTGAATTCCAGAACGATTTTCTGCGGACAGCGTGTCGGAATAGCTGTGCATTCAGCTGAGAGCGGTCAAAGAAGGCGCACAATCGTAGAAATTTTGCTGCATTGGGATTTCTCTCCGATATCATCCGGAACGAACGCCTCCAGGTGTCGAAAACGCCGAGTTGGTAGTCGGAGAGGAAACGGTCTGCTGGGCCAGCTCTCAGGGAGTCATACAGCACTGTCTCATCTTGTCGTTCGACAAGGCTTGCATACATCCTTAAGCCGCCAGCTCCGATTTGTTTGGCGTAGGCCGCGGCAAGCTCCAACCCAAGGGGAAGCTTGCCCACGTATTCTGAAACGACTTGGGCGCACACTAGGTCGGTGGCCGTCGTGTTAGCCACGGTGTATCCCGCGAGCCTGAGCAGAAGCTCCTCCGCCTCGTCATCTTCCATCGGTTCGACAGGAATCGAGTGCCCAAGTGCACAGGCATCTGACCTCCGGGAGGTGACAATGATGTCTCCCAAGAGTGATCTCGGGAGAAAGGGGGCCAACCTCACCGCCGCAGGATTGTCGTAATTGTCGAAAATCAACAGCCACCTCGACTTGCACTGTTCCAGCTGGAGCTTGACGTATGGCACTAGTTTCCTGTTCGCGGGAGAATTCCTGCCGGGCTGTCTAACGCTGGCTTCTGTATCGAACATGTCCGCAATTTCGGCCAAGCTTTCGAGGATGGTCTGTTCGGTTGTAGCATCGATCTGGAAACAGAGCATGTATCGTTCGGCGTAGCGATGTGCATATGCCAGCGCGGCCTGAGACTTGCCCACACCACCCAGGCCGGCCAGCACTAAAGGAAGCTTACGAGTGCCGAGTTCACCAGCGTTGTCAAAATACGAAGCAATCTGCGTCAGGAGAATGTCTCGACCGACAAAATGAGGGACCGGGTCCGGCGTGTTCCACAGGCGCGTCATCTCGAAATCTAGTGGATCTCTTGCAATGAATCAGCCGCCATGCTATCATTCAGCTACCTAAGAAGATCAACTCACCCACTAATGGCCTCGATCGGCATGTGGAAAAACAGCTGCCGTGCATAGGCAGCTGCCACCGCCGCGGCGTATCCATGCCACACATCGTTCTTGTGGGAGTCAGAGTAGTCTGAGATGCCTCGGATGACCATGGCCGGAAAGCCCTTCAGGGCTCCGGCTGCCTCAGTTTCGAAGCACAACGCATTGGACTGCCTTGCGAGCTCATCTCTCAGAATGGCGTTTCTCATCACCAACCCTCCGGAGGCAATTGTCCCTCGGTGCACCACAACAAATGCTTCATTTCCACCACCCGCCTCGTTGTCAGCAGGAAATGGAATCAGCCGAGATTTGTGGCATCCGCACTCGTCGCAAGTCTTTCCTTTCCTTTCGTGCTCATACTCAGCTTCGAAAAGCAGGTCTTGCGCCGCACCAGGGTATCTGTACTTGCGAAGCCCTGGGATGGTGGTATCGATCCGTTTCAGGTTCTCCGCGACAGGATCTGTCCGCAGACTCGCGCGCTTCGAGTCCAGATCCTGTGCAGCATTGAGGAGCGCTTGCGGCGGCCGGTCCAGAGCGCCGGTACGCTCAAAGTCGCCAGCTTTGGCCTTTCCGCGGTCGTATTGCACCACGCCGGAATTAGGACCATCTGGTTTGCTGACCACCACGTCCCCCAGCCTGATCATTCCGGTGTCAGTTTTCACGGGGACACCTCCCCCGATGCCAACCAAAAGGCCAAACTTGAGTTTGGGGAACGTCATCTTCATCTGGGTGAGCACGACGGCAGCAGAGGGGTTGTCGTTGTCGGGAAGTCCCGCAATGACAACGTTGTGGCCATGGATGCTTCCCAAAGTATATACATTGTGATCTCCCGCAGGCTGAGCCAGCCGTTCATGTTCCTCGTCCAACATCTGCAACGCCGGGATCTGCTCTAAGAGCATCGGGCAGATCCACCCCACCTCATAGGCGCTGTGGGTCAATTTCTTCGGCATATTGGGTCAGGGTGGACTTTAGGCCTCGAGATGATAAAGAACGGCCTCTCGAGCAGAGGCGGCCTGCGCGGAATGGGGGTCCCGTCCAAGGGTTCGGGCGATGTGAGCAGACTTTGCGCCTAGCCTGTCGAACGAATCCTGCCTGCGAGAGGCTTCCAGGGACGGGGAAAATGCTGTTCGACTGTGCTAGGGGGGAAAATGAATGAATGAGATATAAAGGGATCTTGGACGAAACGCAAGAAATGTGAACGTACGCCTGGGCTCAATTTCAGCCTTGAATCAACTGCGTCGACATGAGCGCTCAGCCGCAAGCTGTCTGGGAGGCTCATCGCAGCCTCCTTAGCAGTCTTGCTATTGGCTTAAAGGAGCGCCTCGTTACGATAGATTTAGTTAGTCCTTCACACGGCTTTTTCGCACCCCTGCCCCTGGAAGTCATGAACGCGCTCGGCAAAACTGCCTGGATGCCTCAGAAGGCAGCCAAATCATTGCGCATGGAACGGGGTTGACCAACTCGTTCTTTCAGCCGCCTTTTGGGGCAGTGCAATTCTTGTGCTCGGATTGAAAAACACGTTGCTTTTCTGGGGACAATGTTCAGCCGATCGTTCAATTTATGGTCCCAAAAGTCATTGCATTGAATGCCCTGCATGGATCCAGCTTCAATTCTAGCTCCCACACACGTAGAAACCTGTGCCGGTCTGGCAGTGTCAGTGGGAAAGAGGAAAGAGCTTGAACTCCTCGAAGTAGCTGTCGCGAGTCCTTGCCTGGGCAAGTCGAAGCACCCACCTCTCCCATTTCTGAAGGTGAGATGTGGAATTAAAGTGCGCTATTTGTACACAATGCCAGGTTCTGCAGCCAGCACGGGGAGATTGAACTCCTGCTAGGGATACCTGATCGATGGACCCCACGAGGGGTCAGCACAGAGCGGCATCACATGGCCCGAAGCAGGGTGAGGCGCGAGCACTTTTTACTCTCGGCTAGCCTCAAGGCCTACGGGGCTGAGGAAGACAACATGCATAAAAGGGGAGCTTAAGAACCTGGATTATTACCCGGGCAATAATACTCTTCATCTCTGAATTTGTACAAGTACTTGGATACCGGTGCCTCCTCTAATTTTCCAGATGCACCCCTGACATTCAGATCTGGGGTCTCGGTTAAAGCCTCGTTTGTGGAGTGACATGTCAGCCACACGCGTGAGCCGTGGCGTGACGAAACACCCAAAACTCGCGCTCCCACAACGCAAATCATGGATACCCGACGTTTCTATATGCCCTACATTGCAAATGCCGGTACCTAGGCACATCATAAGCCAAAAACCGCAAATAAAAGGGCTCGCTGGAAACCTCCCTCCCGCACGCCCGCGTATTGAAATCGTCCTGGTTTGGCACCACCCACCCTCCTACGCTACCATCATATGAAGTGGTACTGGAATAGACTCGGTCTAGTCCTCGTATTCTCCATCCTTGCAGCTCTCCTGTCCATGCTCGCTGGCCGTTTCCGGATGCCGTCGTCGATCCCTCAAACCCCCCCAGCTGCCGCCGCGCCCGCCGTGCCTTTCCGGGTCATTGTCGTTGGCTCGGGCCTCGCGGGCCTGAGCGCCTCTTCCGAGCTCGTCGCCCGGGGCGTTGCCGTCCACATTCTCGAGCGCCAGCCGAAGCCCGGCGGGAACTCGATCAAGGCCTCGAGTGGCATCAATGGCGTCCCGACCCGGTTCCAAGCCCCCGGGTCAGACACCGTGGCGGAGTTCTACAACGACACGCTGAGGTCGGCGGGCGCGAGTTTCCGGGCCTCCAAGACGGAGGCGAGGCAGAAGCTGATTGCCGAGCTCACTGATTCCTCCGCGTCGGCGATCAATTGGCTCGTCGACGAAAAGGGGGTTGATTTGTCTCGCGTCGCACAGCTGGGCGGCCATAGCCATCCTCGAACGCATCGAGGGGCCGGCCCGACCCCGCCCGGAGCCAGCATTGTCTTGACGCTGCTGAAACAGCTCCAAGCGAGCCCTCTTGTGACTCTTCAAACCGGCGCGACCGTCACCAAGATTCTGAAGTCGGACGGGGAGGTTGTGGGCGTGCAAGTCTCCCGCGACGGCACGCCGGAGACCGTCGACGGGCCGGTGGTATTCACGGCTGGCGGGTTCGCAGGCGACTCGACAGGTCTTCTGGCCCAGTATCGACCGGATCTCGAGGGGTTTCCGTCCACCAACGAAGCGCTTCCGGGATCTCAGACCTTGTTGACCGATGTTGGCGCGCACCTGGTCGACATGGAACAGGTCCAGGTCCACCCGACGGGATTCGTGGATCCCAAGGAGCCGTTCAAGCGGACCAAGTTCCTGGCAGCCGAAATGTTGAGGGGCGAAGGTGGCATCCTCCTCAGACAGGGCCAGAGGTTCATCAATGAGTTGAAACTGAGGAAGAATGTCACAGATGCCATCATGGCACAGCCTCCCAAAGACGTCCAGCCGACCAAGCAGTGGGACATCCAGATCTTGTTGGACGAGGCCACGTATGAGGCCGCAAAGGCACACGTCGACTTCTACATCTGGAAGGGACTGATGCGGAAGACAACAGTATCAGAGCTGGCGCATTCAGATCTGGTTCTGGAGACTCTGAAGCAATATGCGGCAACTGTCCAAGGCACAGACCCCGATCCACTGGGTCGATCGGCATTCGGACACTGGGGACTCCAGGATCCGACGCCGGAATCAACGGTCTATGTCGGCACCGTCACTCCGGTCGTGCACTATACCATGGGAGGAGCCATATTCTCGCCCCAGGCGGAAGTTCTGGATGGCAGCGGAAAGCCTATCAAGGGGTTGTGGGCGGCTGGAGAGTCCACAGGCGGCATCCACGGAGAGAATCGACTGGGTGGAAGCAGTCTACTGGAATGCGTCGTGTTTGGGCGTATTGCAGGTCAAAACGCTGCCAAGGCGAGGTAATTAACACCCAGCTCACCCCTCTTTGGTCTGTTCTACCACAAGCGCTTTTGGGAGTCAAAAGCGCTGTCGAGCCAAACAGGGCCCTAGACTAGATACAAGGGCTGATGGCTGAATGGACTCGGCTATCGAGGGGCACGAGCTTAGGGAGCATAGAACACGGAAGAGAAGACTCAAACCGAGCTACGCCTAGAGCTAAAGGAATGGGAGAGACAGTGAGAGTGGGAGCGGAAGAGAGGGCACAGAATGCGGGCTTCGACACCATCTAGCAAGGAATTGGGGGGCGATATGCAAAGGCTGGTGACTGCAGATTTGGGCTCCCATGGGGCCTTTCTAAGGACCCTAGTCCCCCAATCGGTCCTCGGCCAAATCTGCTACTGAAGCTTCTCAAGACTGCGAAGAACTTGTAACCTAGTTTTGGCCGTGGAATCTTCTGTTCTTTGGGATCATACTGGGCAGTAGATTACAGAGCTTCCCGAAACGTTTCTACCCTGCGGACCCAATACCGTGTCGCCTACGCAAAGCGTCTGGTGCTATGGAAAACCCCCTGCCCCCATATGTACGCAGTACTGCAACGAGACGTGTGAGTGGCAATTCCCCAAGCCAATTAACCTCCTAAAGTGCATGTCGGGGTATGTTGTGCAGATCTGCAGAGCTGAAGAAAACTATTTCGACGCGAAGGCTTCGTCTCTCCGTCCGATTGTAGAAGTCTTTGTGGATGCAGGCTGGCTTTAAAAAGAAGCCGATCCCAGGGGAAACCGCTCCATCTTCCTCAATAGTGACGACAAATGTTCTTGACAAGCCGCCGGAGTGGGATGGTTGGCCCCGAGGACCCTATTGTAACCCGAAATGGCACGTTGATAGAGACCCATAGGCAAGGCAGTCGACGCTCGTCAACGTAGCGGGATTGTCTACGGAGTACCCTCTGGCACCTTCTCCTTCCCTACCGGTACCCGTCGATTCATCGATTCCGCCTCCTTGTACTTCCCTTAGTTTCGTAGTATCGTCGCTAGGATGCCTACATGATATGATGTCTGCTCGTAATCGAGGCCGCACACTTATTCACCCATCAGGATTTGGAGTGTGAGGGAGCTGCCCCTCCTATCCAGGCTTCTTAAATCTGACTTCATCCACCTGAGCGAAAGACAAGCATTGAGTGAGCTTGAAGGAATCGATACGCCTACGGACGGCTCAGAAGATCATCTGTCTACTACAGCGGATCTTGGCCGACCCTTGGTGGTCGAGAGCCTGGACGTATGAGGAGGAGTATTGCTCGCCCATCGACTGGGCTTTATTGGTTCCATGCGGCGGAGGATCTTCGCATCGAAAGCAAACCCGATGTTGGCATTACACCCAGGGAAGTCGAGATAACAATCGGTTGAATTCCGATATTGCGTCAGCGAGTTTTGTATTGCCTGCTCTTGCAAATACTGCAAAGGGTAGAGAATTATAAATACTGCGAAGATATGGCCATCTCATCAAGGATCCGCGAAGCTCAAATATGCGCGCGTTGCCGATCTCGCCCATGTCGTGTCAGCCAACGGGATATTTAACAAAAACACACTAGATGAAGGGGGGGATAAAGTACCCGCAGCCTTAGTAAAAGTTCTTTCCCGTGCTTTAAGTTAACATCTTAACGTTTTTCAGGGGTTGAACTGTATTGAAGTTATAAACTCCCGCCTACCCCCCTTCCCCCATTCCCTTCCACTGCCGCTGGCTCGACCAAGCCGCCTGAAATTAACCCCGCGTCTCCTGGGCCGCTGGAGGCGTAGGAAAAAGTAGGGGTGGTAATTCCCGTTCAGCGTAAACGTGCGTGAGGGGACTCTGCCGAGGCTGCTCACCCGTGACCACTCGCTCCCGTTCTCTGACTACACGCTCCCTCAACCACCCAGGCTCCCGATCGCCTGTAGGATCAGGCATCTCGTCTCCTGCAAGGGCTTCCAAGGTCAGCCAGGCGGCCGAGACAGGCGTTGTGCGGTGCTCGGCTCGTCCGCGATTCGGCTCCGCGGGTCGCCTGTCGGACGCGGTGCCCCGTCGTGACATTCTCTCCGCGAGGAAGGCCGCGAGATTGCTGTGGCCATTTTGACTAGCGATGACGAGGGCGGTCCGTCCACGTTGATCTCTCGCACCACAGCTAGCACCCACGTCCACCAGCATCCTCACAGCCGCGCGCTTTCCCTCCGATGTTGCTATCATCAGCGGTGTCGTCCCGTCGTCGGCGGTCGCGTTGACATCGGCCCCAGCCTCGGTCAGCGCCTTGATGATATCCGTGTTCCCCGCCGCCGCCGCTGCCCACAATGGTGTGCTGCCGTTAGTTCCTCCGCGTGCGTCCACGGCGATACTCGGCTGCCCGAGCAGCAGCCGCGTCACCTCAGTCCATCCGCGCAGTGCCGCTAAGTGGAGGGGTTTTGGTGCGCCGGTAACATGGTGGGCGTTGCAGTCTGCCCCGAGCTGTAAGAGCCTGGTCGCGAGGGCAAGCGCCAGCGTTGCATCTCGGGGAGCAGCGTCCGATCCTGCTCCGAGCGCGGCGAGGAGGAAGGGCGGTGGTCCGCTCTCACGTGCATCCTCACCCCTATCTGATGTTCCCATCGTCGCGGGGAGAGAGGTCGTCGTATGGTTGAGCAAGACAAGCGCGATTCTTGGATTCTTAGTTAAAGCGTTACAAATCACGCTCGCGTCGCATCCCGTGGCGCCGCGACGTAGCAGCATGCGGAGAATAGGCTCATCCCCTCGGAGCAAGGCCATCTCGAGGACAGTGATACCATCGCAGTTCCTCGGGTTTGCGTCCGCCCCGGCATCGAGGAGCATGCGCACGATACGTGGATCGGCCGACTCGACGGCTCTTAGGAGCGGCGTGGCCCCGTGCGGACTCGCCGGGTTGACATCCACCTTTGCGCGCACGAGGACCTCGACAGCCTTGGCGTGATTGTTGGTGACGGCGCGATGGAGCGCGGTGAGCTCGTCGTGGCCGGTCGCGGTGGGGTCGGCGCCGCGATCGAGGAGGAACGAGAGGATCCGGGCGTGGCCACCGAACGCGGCAATCTGCAGTGGCGTGAAGCCCTCGCCGTTGGCTGCTTCGATGTTGGCGTGACCGGTGTCGCAGAGCAGGCGGACAATGTCAAGGAAACCGAGTCGACAGGCGTCGTGCAACGGGGTCCAGCGTTGCGAGTCGAGGGGGTCCACCTCAATGTTGGGCTGCCGAAGCAGGAGCTGGACTTGACCGTAGTGGTGCGCATCGACAGCGTTCTTGAGCGGAGTTTGTTCGTCTTCGTCCCGCTGGTTGATGTCGTGGGCCCCTGTGTCGAGCATGGCCTTGAGGTCGGACGTATCGCCAAATGCGGCGAGCATGTGCAGGGGATACTTGTGGAGCTTGTCCTTGAACGCTGCGCAGGCCGCGTAGGTCAGAAAGATTTCGGCTCTCTCTTGGGGCAGCGACTCCAGGGCATAGAGGTCGAGCTCGTCGCTGATGGCCTCGAAGCTTCGATTGAGGATCGCCATGAGTTCCGCCGTGCGAGCTTTAGGGGAATCTGGAGACTGGATATCGAGAGCCTTGTTTAGACATGATCCGATCAGTTCACACTCCACCACGAATTCTCTTACACCTTTTTGCGTTTGGAGTTGAAGGGGTGGCTCACGCGAGCGTCGACGTTAGGCTGTGACTCCTGGTGAGACAGCTCAGCGAGCTTCCTGCGCAAGGAGCGCCAGATGTCGAACGAACCAAGGTCAAAGAGCTCCGAGTGATCCATTGCTTTTGGGCTCAGGATGCGGTAATGTCGAAGATTGTATTCGACCTTGGGGAGTCAAACGCCCCAGAAGTGTGATGCGAGTTTTGCAGCAGATATAGCACGGACCCAAGCTGCCCAGTTATGTCGCCTCAGTCCCTCCAGTGGTCTGATCATGCACATGGGGGTTCAGCAGATCATAAGGTTGTCACGCTCTGCTGCTTGCCATGCTCACTGCCCATAGCCAGTTCTTCACATGTTTTCGGGTTCAAGTCGTCCATGACATTGGCAACTTGAACGCGGTTCTCAAGGCTAATCTTCCGGAAAAGCCGGAAACGTCCTCTCGCTCTTCGCCCAAGGCCTATGAAAGTGGGAATCATGAGATACGTGCTGGCTACACCATGGCTATCACAGATTTCTGCTTAGTCCAGTCCCATCATCTTCAAAAACTGCGTCGTGGTCAAGTTCTTGGGATCGAAGCCGTTGGACTTTAGGTCTTGGACCAACACCCTCACCTGCATTGACTCCAGGTCCAGCAACAAATCCATTCCTGTGCCAATGCGATCGAAGCTTGGCAGCCGATGCGTTGGACTCTCCTCTCTCCCTGTCACAACACAAAGGTAGCGACTCACCGTCAGCCATCGAGCAGCTATGAGAAACGGTCGCTGAAGGTACGACGAATTCAATGGCTGTGGGTTTACCGGTATCCTTCTCATCGGCCCTGAGCCGCCGAGCGGCTCGACTGCCCGAAGGAGATGGTCCAGCCCTCGGTCATACTCCCGGTCCTCTTCGAGGTCCTCTTGCGGTATAGGAACATCTCTGACGTCTGGGCGGGTGAAGAAGTCGTTTATTTCCCTCGGACGGTCTTGTGTGGAGTTGATGGACCAGTCAAATAGAAGTCTCTGGCGGTTGGCCTGCTGGGACTCTAGGAATCTGTCATGCTCGGTCCTAAGTCGGTTGGCATGATCTGCGGCGGCCATGGACTGGCATTTGTACTTTTCGGATCTGTTGTCATCGCCGAGGTTGCGGTAGCACCGTGCACGGATCCTGCATCGCCACGCCTCGGAAGAGTGTTTCTCCCGATCTCCTTCGACGTATCCCGGCTTGTTCCTGATGTCCAGCTCGGTAGTCTCTATGCGGTCGAGGAAATCAAGGCACGCTTTCCAGTCCTTTTCCTCTTCACTCATCTGGTAGCAAGCAAGACCGGCATAGGTCAGCGAGGTCGAGGTCGTGGTGGGGGAGAAATAGGGGGATTGTTGCTCACACTAAGGAGGCAATAGAGTGTGTGAAGGAGTCGATCTACTTCACTCCTCTCGCTTGAATCGCGCATGGTACGTAGCAGGGCTGATCTCTCGTCTTGATACAGGTCGGGTCTCCTGTCTCGTAGATGTTGGATCGCTTTAATGTATGCTGAGTCGTCGTTTAATGCCACTAGCCTTTCATCCAAGGCAGATTTTACGAAATATTCGGTGTGTTGCCAATTCTTGAGCAGCAGTTAGCGTCCCGCATGTTTGAGAACAAAAAGGGCAGGGTGAAAGAATCAGTGTGGTCGGTTCAACTTACGGAGATGTTCTCCTTCGCCGTCTGGATGTCAAGCTGATACCAATTCAACCTGAACCGGAAGTCCTGATCCCAGGTTTGTAGGAAGAGAAGCTGGACCGGGTCGATTCCGAGTTCGTCGGTGTGCTGGAGTGCTTCGTACACAGCACCGTAGTCCGCTTGCGCCCAGTTCAACCTGGATCCACCCATCTCAGCTTCCGCCAGCCCGGAGACAGCCTTGATGAAGCGAAGCAGCGCAGATCCCTCGTCTGCTTCCCCTGCCAGCAGGCTTTTATTTTCGAGGATCAGACTGATATAGGAGTTGGCATGCCTAGCGGTTGGCGTGCTCAGTCTGAAATAGTGCAGTGTTACCCACTGCAGCAGCTGGAGCACGAGGAGGCAGTCCTCAAGGGGCATGATTCGGCTCCTGCTGTGGAGAAGCGCGGCATTCAGGATATGGCACCCTTTGTTTTCCACCCACTTCAATCCGGGCACAAAGAACGGCAAGGCCTGGTGAGCGAGGTCGCTCACTACCTCCTCTTCTTCCCACAGCGCCTCGCGCGTCTTGCCACAGTAGACAGTGGCCATGATCCACGGCAGATCAAACGTTCGCCGGTCCGCCTCGGACAGCTCGGGGTGCTTCAAGATGAAGTGCAGCGCACCGAAGTGGGCGAGATATTGGTGAGCGTAACAGTCCGGCGCCTGAACAGGGCTGACCATATCCTCCTGAGCCCAGCGGCGTGCGCAGTTGTGGTGGTACATGGCGAGGCTCCTGAAAGATTGCTGACACTGTGAGGATGAAAACACTCGGTCCCGCAAGTAGATGCAGAAAAGGGGATGGAGCTGGATCTTCTCGGCGTAGGCCCAGTCGCTAAAGCGAGCGATGCCACAGTCGCGAAGTGTCATGAGCAGATACTCCATCGCGCAGCTGACTCGCTGCTCGGACTCCAGTTCCGGTCGGGAAGCCCACGGAATAGTGTCAAGGTTGCGGTGGATATGTAGGCGGATATAATCCGTGGTACAGGCGCTGTGGATGGGAATGAATATGCTGAGAAAGGCCCCGAGCTCCTCACAAGCACCTGCAAAGCGCACACACAGCTTGGAAAGATCCCCAGAGTCCCAATCGAGGTGCATTGGGGATATCTGAAGCTTCCAGAAGAGATCCCTTGCGGACGAGCCTGTGGCGAACAGGCGCGGCAGGAGGGTTCTCATTGCGAGCGGGTGATATGAGCAGAGCTGGATAATGTGATGGAGGTAGCGGAATCCACTGCTGCCATGGATTTCAGGTCCACCCCATCCCAGTATCCCAGTGGCAACCTTCATCTGGTCGAAGTAGTCGGTGGTGAGCGAATGGTACCGGGGTTTTCTTCTTGCTTCTCGGACCCTGCAGCTCGCCCAGGCTTCGGTCGATGTCGACGTGATGAGGAGGAGGCTTGCAAAATCGGGGTCAAAGAAAGCGGACGTGAAGCCGTTTAGTGCCTTTCCAAGCTTGGATTTGGCGGTAGGGCGAGGTTTGAGGTAGTCGGTGTTTTCCAGCAACACGAGATAACGGTTATTTCGGAGGAAATCAATCGTCAGCTCCGCTGGCGTGGGTTTCTCGGCCAGGCCAGGTCGGAATTCCACAAGACCTTGACAGATGGTCTCGATGGTTGGTGGTTCCGAACCGCCGCCGGCCCAGCATGACGGGGTGGTTCGAAAGTCGATGTGGAGGACCCCTTGGACGAAGTTTGTGATAATCCACCACGGCTTTAGACAAGACAGCAGGGTTGCCCTGCCCTCCCCTTCAAAGGCCGTGAGTGCAGCGACCTTTGACTTGATGAGGTAGCTCTCCAGCAACAAAATCTGCTGATCCCTTCCGAAAACCGACTGATCGGAAAGGAGTGAAGAGACAGTGTTCGATCGATTTGTTGCAGGTTCTTTCTTGGGTACCCTCACTCGAATCTCCCCAGCCGATGCCTGGTAGAGCAGTGGTACCGTGTAGTCGTCCAGACAGACCGGGAAACCAAAAGCCGAGTCGCGCTGTTTGGAAACTTCGAGGGCACGTCTGGCCTTGGTGACGGCGATTACCATGTCTTGGCCATCGACAAGCAAGCTTTGGTAAAATGATCTCAGAAAAATGCCTACTGCAGCTGGCGTTATCTCGTGCGACATGGCGACAACGGCCTCGACAGAATCGCCCATCAGCATGGCTGCAAGATTGGTCTGACAATCTCCCTGGAGGAAGGCACTTTGACAGGCGTTGAGGGTAACCAAACGGACTTCTCGGCTCTTGAGAAGAGTCGCCACGACCGCTCCTTCGACAGCCTGCCCATCGAAAAAGAGATATGGGCTGTTATTTGGGAAGAATTAGTGACTTGATCAGCCATCATTGAAGAGAAAGAAAGGGAAAGGGATATCCACACACACCGTTGGCCGTGCCCAAAGTCAGCCACCTTCCCGTGCAAGTCAAAGTGCACCATGTCATATTTGCCGACTTTCAGAGCATGAGAAAATGCATCAAGTGTACCTGGACGGAGGAGCCGCACGTCGACGAAACGATTATCGAGTTGGTGCAGAATCGAGAATAAGGGGAGCGACACAACACGGTGCGGAATGTCTGCTCTTTCGGAGGAGCGTGATGTGACGAGAAGGACGTTGAGTTTCTCAATAGTGTGGGTTTTGCCGGTTGAACTCCCGTCCAAGACTCTGCGGACGTGGATCCTGGGACCAGCTGAGGCGATCTGCGGCGACTCCAACATCTCCCACGGGATTCCTTGCAGAGAGTTGGACACTTGATTTCCGTTTGTGTCAGTAGTGCTATCGACGATGTTGAGCTGGATGTCAACTTCGGTGACATTTAGTACCGGGCCGCAAGTCTCTTCCAAGCAACCGACGAGGTTCAACTTCTTGGTCAAGAACTTCCCGTGCTCCTTAAAATTCTTGAACGCCAACTCGGCTCGATGCGATTGGAATGGGTCTTTGACGTATCCCTGAATGGCCCATGATATTTCCTGGCTCAAGAGCAGGGGTGAGATCGGAAGATTTCTAATGATGGATCCCTGGGAGAGCTGCTCTCCGCTTTTGGAGTACACTTTGCAGCCAACCCGAACGTTGTGTGATTTTCCTTCTTCACTCGACGGTGCTTCTTCGACAATAACCATGAACTGTGTCTGAGACATTGTAAGGGGTTCTTTGGCTGTTCAGGTTGGGTGTGGACGTTGGTTTGCGATCGGGCCAGACTTGGGGGAAGAAATAGATTTCCGGAAAGGTCTGGCGTTGATAGATTGAACAGCACGCAGACTGTGTGAAATGTTGCGCACTCTGGAGAAGTCAGAGCAAGCGACAACGTTTTCGCCGGGGAGCTTCAAATGGGGAGAGAGCACAAGGCTCGATTCCATGACCTTTGCACCTACCGGCTTGGACAATCAGCCAGTGAAATTGCTCGACGGCTGCGCTAGTGATGCACCCAGAACGCCAACAGTGCTTCAAAGCATGGCGAAATGCAACAAGCACCTGACAGGGTGAGAGATCAGCAGATGATAATCTGACCTCTTTCTGCCAATCTGGACCTCCAAACATCTTCAAACAGTACGCCATATTCTCATGATCATCTGTTGCCGATATGCCAAAACCTAGGCTGCTTTTAGCAATTCCTGGCGATGATCAAGCGTAAAGGCGTGATTTTGCCTCCTGAGCTCCAGACTAGTATTCTATTCACGTCTAATAAGGTCTAGTGTCTCCCTTGCCTCCCTGTTAACTACCTAATTAAACCCGAACTGCAACCAACATCTTCAATGGAACACCACCCACTCAAAATCATCAATCAGCAGTCCAGTCTCACAACAGCTGAATCTCTATCATCAAGATGCCAGTTCCTTCGTTCCTGATATTGGGAGAGGGCGACTTACTGGAGCCTGACCGAATCCCCAGTCTCCTGGGACAACTATGCACCAACCCAGACCAGCCACTCGGCGATTTCGCCATTGAAGATCCCACGGTCTTCTATGAGGAGCCACCCTCGGTTATTTCGCTGGCAAACTCAAAAGCCGTTGCAGAAGGCATCGCCGATAGCAAGGCTCGAGCCCGCCTGGGAAGAGTGTTCGATGGCCTGCTCCAAGAGGGTGTTAAGAAGGGCATCACCATCTCGGCTCAATCCATCCGGACGTTCAAGCTCCTACAGCAGGAGGAAGTACTGGCCAAGATGTGGGCAGACGACGAAACACGGAGAAGAATCAAGCGCGTGATGGGCTGGTGGAATCCTCGCAAGCTCTACATGATTGTCGGCTTCAAGAGTTGTATAAACGCTGACATTGGCTACCTCGAACAACACACGCTAAAAGGCAGGCTCAGTGTTTCCATCAGAGAAGCACTGGAGCTTCTGGCTGCCGCAGGTGTGCCTGTACCACCCTGGCTCGACGCCTTGATCGATATTGGAGTGGACACATCGACATACCTCGTTCAGACCGGCCAACTTTTTGGAGAAGTGGTGTTTGCCGTCCGCTACCGCGAAGTGAGCCGGAGAGGCTTCATAATGCGGAACGTGTTCAGAGATCACTTCCCCAACATCACCGGAGGGCCTGTGACGAAGTATTCCGACGGAACAGTGGTTTATGCTGGAGATAACGTGTCGCAGTCCGTAGATGGTGAGTAACAAGCCTGGCGCTTCGTAAGGCACCCGCCCCTGCCCCCCTTCTCTCTCACACACAAAAGGATTTGAATCCAACGAGCTTTGACAGACCAGGTGGATTTGGATAAGTGGCGAGGCCTCGTCAAGGAGGACATCCCAACTGATGAGGAGGATGACGTTTGCATCGTGCCGTACGAGGAGGATCCTGCTTTGTCAGTCGAGGATGGGATCGAGGTGGCCTTCAGCTGAATTGCGGGCAGGCAGGCTCCAGTGTATTGATCGAGTCTGCTCGGGACCACGACTTGGTCGAATCTTTACCACTGTTCTTACGTCTTGGTGTAAAATAGTAAGTTCCTGCCCATGTGGCCGTGCGGTATTTGCCGTACGAGTTGAAAATACGCCCATGAGTGATTGGTGGTTATTGTGGAACTCGCTATGGCAGATTTGGGGAAGCGTAGCTATTAGTGTCCTTGGCATAGAGTGGGGAAAATTGCTAATGTGTCTACGTTTCGGGAAGATCTGTAGAAGATAGCACAACGAGCGATCGAGGTCGACCCTTCTGACCATCCTGACTAGCACGCCGGCTGAACAATCTTGGCAACCAGCTTCAGAGGCGATTCGAGAGGACAGTCCCCTCCATTCTCGGCGCTCATGGCTCAAGAAACCACTTCGTGCTCGCTTGCAGAAGATGCCAGCAGAGCTGAATCAACCCCGCATCTCTGATGACTTTTGAGTGGTCTGGTCACCCTTCTTCTCCCTTCGTATCCGTGTTTCAATTGGGCTCTACAAGTTCAAATATGGTGTGAGTGTGAAAATATGGTGTGGACGTGCAAATATGGCGTGAGTTCCATTGCAAGCATGCCATTTGCCTCACTTCAAGCATGGCTTGATGAAATAGGCATTGCCACTCATGAGTATGTTACTCAAAGCCTTATGGGACGACGCTTTTAATCATCCTTCGTTTGCTAGGATAAACGAGGTTATTAACTCTCCGACGATGCCATAAAGAGAACCCCATCTGCGTTATTCTCTACTTTCCCAACAATATTGACGTTCGTCTTTGTACTCGTGGACACCTCGAAGATGGAATCGTGTCCACTTTCGTGCTCTCCCTTAGAAACGGAAGAAAATGAACGCAAAGGCACAGCGCCAGCATCTGGCGATGCTGGTCACGATCATCACGACGAGCACGGAAGCTCAGATTCCGATTCACTACCACCAAATATGGACACGGTTCAGCCGGTGGATCGTATCCCCGAACGCCAGCCTATCCTGCTACTGTCTTTAGACGGTGGAGGTATTCGAGGCTTGTCGTCCATAATCATCCTCGAACGGATCATGGCTGAATTTAACAAAGATCGAACGATACCATTGCAACCTTACCAAGTATTCAGTATGATTGGAGGAACAAGTACGGGGGGGTAAGTTTGTTCATCAGGCAACGCGAACTGATGGGGATGAGTCCTAAGGTTTCTCAGGTTGATTGCCCTTATGCTTGGGCGGCTTCGGATGACAATCGATGAAGTAAAGGAAGCTTACATCGATATTTCACAAGAAGCATTCAGGTCGAGCCGTTACCCCTTCGATCCGAGGCGGATTCTTGATTTCTTCACCTTCCGGGCACGATTCAGTGGAAAGGCACTCACGAAAGCAATTAAAGAGACAATCTCAAGATCCGGCAATAGCCCTGAGTGCAGATTATTAGAGTATCGCGCTACAGCGCCAGAAAATGGCTCTCTCGAAGAGCATGGAGCAAGAAAGCATGACTGCAAAACGTACATGAAGTTGTTATTTCAGATATAACGCTAAGCATTTCTCAAGTTTTGTATGCACCGTCCATCAAGGCAATGCGTCTCTGGCAATCCTCAGCGACTACGAATCACCTCACACATTTGAAGACCAGCCCAGAGGCCTGAAAGTTTGGGAGGCTGCAAGGGCCACGTCGGCTGCCACATCGTTCTTTCCTGCGATGGAAATACGCAGCAGCAACTTGAAGATGGGCTACGTCGACAGCGGCGTTGTCAGTAATAATCCGATCCATACAGTCTGGAACCAGGCCCATTATTTCTGGCCTCTCGATGAATATGAACTGTTCCTGCTTAGCATCGGCACCGGAGTATCTTCTGATGCTAAGTTAAGCGGAGGCCTCAACAAAATTACCAAGGCTTTGATTAAACTGGCGACAGAAACAGAACGAACCGCCGACGAATTCAGCGAGGACCATCACCATTTGATCAAAGAGGAGCTCTTCTTTCGATTCAACGTGACCCAGGGTCTCCAGGATATACAATTGGATGAGGCCAAAAATATGAACACCATTGTAGAAGCGACATTGGCATACCTACACAAGCCTATGGTAGCTAACATGGTGACGAGATGTGTGAAGAGAATCAAGGAGAAGATGTAATGTAGGTTCATGCTGTCCCGGCTCCTTATTACAATCCTTCCAAGTCAGTGCTAAAGCCTGTCCTAAAACCTCCAGTCGAGCCCGATTTACATGGAACTGAATACTCGATCACTTGCAGTTTTTGCCATGAAGGTATAGGAACTATTCTCTTCTCATATCTGGCATCTGAGCATTCCTAATAAAGATTACAGGGATCAAATTCCGAGATCCATATGCTTTCTGCTGCAAATGCCTACTACCATTGTGTTGGCGCTGCGCTGACAATCGCCACATTTCGCACAGCAGATATTGTCTTGATGTATTTGCCCGGATGTGGCAAAAGGAGTCGAAGAAGAGAAAGTCAGATGTTCGCGATGCGGTCGACAAGTCCGGTGCCGGCTGCAGTCTTACCATCAAAAGTTTTACCTCTGCAAGGGATGCATCGACTCCATCGGACGGTATCTTCATTTCTTCCTGCCGGTTCTCTGGCCTGCTGTGGTTATCCGACCTCGTCATTGGTCGGTGCCCAAGGAGACTACTTACAACGCTAGGAGCTGCGACTGTAGAAAGCACTCGGCTGTAACGCACTGCGAGAAGTGCAACAGGGGTGAGTATCGAGCATTTCGTCAAAGTTACTAGGATAGCCACTGATCTCGAAATTCGAATAGCCATTACTGTCGAAGAGGAAACATATGTTTGCAAGGTCTGTGCAATCAAAGACAACTGGAGTCAAACAATCTGCTCCACATGCAAAGAACAAGACACCTACAACCAAGAGGATCATTATTTGCGAGAATATGTATCCATGAATTTCACAGTCAATACGAGCACTGGAAATGCCATCAACTGCAAATTTTGCCATTATAGTAAGTCCCTCTTTGATGGTCCTTCATTACTCTCGACTCTTCGGCTGTCTTGCCCAACCTGTGACATTTACTTATTTTCCCAGGAGATTCGTTCTACTTATCTTCTCTCGCATGGAGCATTGATCGGGCACTCTATCACGAGCATTCCAGTCTGAACATGTCGCTTGACGAGGAAAGTTTGAAAACGATTGCCGAATCAGTCGAAGGAAACTGTCCCAATGGTCCCAGGCCTACGCTAAGTAAGTTGAACTACCTATACGTCGTGGAAAGCTGAATTATGTGCACTAACACAACAGCCCTAGCTAAGGATGACAACGCCAAACGGAAGCGAGCCAGGCCTAAGTTCACTCCCCCTTTCAGAATCTAGTCGCAACAGGCGAAATTAAAAACGAAATGTGTGGTTCACAAGTCGTTGAGACCTCCCGGATGATAGAAGATACGCTTGCCACAAGAAACCAAGCTGCTAAGCGAGCACCGGCAGATCTAGGGTGTGGCCGGGGCTCGTCACCATTTGGCTGATCGCAGGCTATATCATGCTGGCTGCTGTCTTCCAGTATCATGCATCATGTCGTTATCGATCTTGAGCAAATGCAGTTGCATGATATGATGCCATCATCGATCCTTCCTCTGTATCCGTTCCTTTGACTTTCAACTTCAACAACAATCACTCAAATATCTCTCCCCAGCCCATTTGAAGCCAGCCAACCTGCAGACTCCAGACCTGTCTGATCTTGGCATTCTGGATTCTGCGTTGATCCTTCTTGAACAAGACATATACAATATCCTGTCTCGATACCTAGAAGGCTCAAATGTCATCCTCAGCTGACAAATCCCCCATACTCGCATTTTCCAAGGATACGAACCTTGCGTCGACTGTCTGCTCTTTGGGCTTCGTTGAGACGATCCCGTCGCTATCTTCTCCCATTCTTGGGCGCAAGGTCGTGAAGCTGGTGAGGTAGCACGGTAGACTGATTCACCCGCGGAGGATGCTGCACTTCTTGTCTGGCTCCGTCCGAGTGAAGGGCAATCTGAGTCAAGATTCCCCCCTAGACATATTGGAAAATTAGCTTCGAGATGATGCATTTGACTTGGTCTGTATATCTGACCGGCCGCTCTGCTGGATGCCGGGGCGGATGTCACTATTTAAAGCGCAGCGTTAGTCTACGAGGAATTCATTACCGGGGACATAGGCTCTGTAGCGGAACTCGTGAGTCCAGACGCTGACTCTCGGCTTGTATCTGTGTCAACCCAACGACGGAAGAGGCCTTGGGCCCAGTTGAGGCTTATCCGGTCTCTCCCCAGGAAAGCCAGTTGACTAAACCAAAACCAAGAATAGAAGGCACTAGAGGCGCAAAGGACAATGCAAGAATGACAAGGCGATTGACCAACATCTCTCGTTCGTCCACACTAGGCGGAGCAGTAGCGAATACTGACAAAGGGCATCCTGCAAAGGACGGTCTGCCAGTTCTCCAATTGGTCCCCGTACAGGCAACTCGAATGGTTCTCGAGCATGAATTTCGAGTCTGCAAGGCATCCGGCCTAATGCTGGAGCAGAAGCAGTGGATGATCGTGTGGGTGTAGAGACATCCAATCACGAGCTGACAACTCAGCGGCATGATGCGCTGATGAATTGCTGCACGAGCAGAGAGGGGAGGGATGTAGGGACCAAACCGAGCCAGGAATGTGTTGACCAGGGGGCATTTCAGCTCGAGCCTGCGGCTCTGCCGCGGTTGGAAAGGGAAAACGCTGCTCAGCCTGCACCTGCTGGTCTCTTCGTAGAGTCTGAGAAGGAACTGTTCAGAGTCACTCAGAGTTTGAGATAACTTACATCCTCCAACATTGGTCTCCTGCGTGCCTTTTGGTTTACCTTATACACCCCGATTGCTTGGCAATGTCTTCCACTCAAGGAACAATGACAGTGACGGGAAAATGGATGGCTCGCCGCAAAGCTGATGAGGCTGAGAAAGAAGCAGCGGCACAAGAGGAGCGAGCGATGTCACATCAAGAGGTCGAGAAACAAACTGCAGGAGTTCTATCAGGTGGGAAAAGAGCGGGTGCCAAAGTGCATAATCCTCCAAGGCCAGTCTCGACACAGTCGCCTTTACCCTCGCACCAGAGCGACGTGTCTGGCCCCGACTCACCGTCTCACGACGACAATTCTTCTACCGGGCGATCCCTGACACTCACCATCTCAAGGCTGGAAGAGGACCTGAGGAGTGAAAAGGAACAGCATGCACAGTGCGAGGAGAAATTGAAAGACGCCGAGGCCAGAAGGGACGACTTGGAGAGGGCCCTCAAAGACGCCAGGCGCGAACTCAAGGTCGCGACAGGCGCAGGCGACGAGGCCGAGTTTCGGACGCGAGAACAGATAAGAGACCGTCTGATGGGACAGCTGGACCAGGCTCAGGACGAATGCGCGGCGCTGCGCAAGGCGCTGGGGCAGTCGAGAGTCAGGATCGACGAGCTCGAGAAGGAGAACTGGGATATGAGACGGGAGAACCGGAATATGCAGAGAGAGCGCAACGCTGCGCCAAAGGATATTGACCCGAAGGAGAACGTGGAGAATGAGGCTCTGCAACCGAAACCGTCGTCTCTCCCACTATCGAAGACGAAGAGGCAGGGGGGTTATACCGTTGGAGGTAAACTAATCCAGTTCGCGGAGTATGCGGCATGTAGAAATCAGGGGCAGGGTCGAGGGGCGAGGTAGACATGCTCTTCTTGGTCAATGGGCCTTGACTCTTGGATAATTACCATTGTACGAATGCCTGAGCTGAGCTTTGTGTTTATGCAAAGGTGTGGATTCCTCTCGACCTTCCCCACCATCTGGATGAGAACGGCTAGCGATAGGAAAACGATCATATCGAGAAAGATACCTTTTACGGGGTCCTAGACCCTTCTCTGAGCAATGATGCACTCCCACGGCCTTGGAATTATGCCGACATGGCATGGATCGAAGCAACCGGTGGCGCCGCTGACCGCGTGCTGCGGCAAGATCTTACAAGGCTGAAAAATGGAGTGTCCGAACGGGAGGCGATCGGGAGGAAGGATTCCGGCGCTCCGTCCACACTAGTAGTGGCAATGTGTCTATTTGACCAAGTCGGGATCGATAAGGATATCAGTTTCTCCATCACCTGTATCCCAAGCCAGAGGCAAGCTCGGAAAATGCCTACATGCGACGCCCTCTCCGGGAAGACCATGGGCTAGTCCAGCTCTCCTTTTTTCCGTGCCTTGCTTCGCTGGCTCATGGCGACAGTTGTTATGTTATGTCCGAGACACAGACGTCCCTGATGTACCGAGTGACTTCGGTGTCGCGCGGTTTCCCCAAGAGCAGTTCCATGATCTCCGTGAATCCATTGTTTCTGGCTGCATAGACTGCAGAAAGAGCTGTGGGCTGATCAGGGACGGTTTCAAGGTCGACATATGCTTGTAGAAGCCTCTGGACCACCTCCTTGTGGCCCCACCTGGCTGCTGTCGTGAGTGCATCTTCGCCTAATGGACAACTTATTGGACCCAAAACCAATTCTTTGTCATGGGCAAGGAGAAGGTTGACTGTTTCGATTGAGCCTTTGGTAGCTGCGAGTTCCAAGGGACCTATTGGATATGCTCCATGGCCCGGTGTCCGGAGGGACTGAATATCGAGGTTTGTCTTGAGGTACTGGATATCGAGGTTTGTATTGAGGTACGGCTCTATGAGCTCCGTGAGACCCTTATCTATGACCACCATGAGTGCGTAACCTAAAGTCTTGGGGTCGAATAGGAGGGGGTTGTTGGCGATGATTTCCAGAGCCGCCTTCGAACGTTCATCGCTCGCGAATTCCACTTTACGCCAGAATGCGTGCGGGTATCGATCGATCGCTGTCGATACTAGCGCCACATGACTCTGGGACGTCGCCCATAAGAAGAGCGGGCCAATATCTTCCCACAGGGACACCAATTTTGAGTCTGTCCTCTCATCCGGGTCCGTTTGCCATGGGCGGTTAGCCTCACGAACATCCCCAGTGACACACTTGAAGAAAAGTTTCTCATCCTCCTTTCTCTCGAATCGTTCCAGGTGCCGGAAATGATGGATCCAGTTTTGTTTAGCATATGGAAGGAGATGGAAATGTTGTTGCCCCTTAGATGGTTCCCTTGTGCCGACGATGCCTTGAATGCCCCGTTTTAGATCTTTCGAACTCATAGATGACAGCGCTTTGTTTCTGCTGAGGATCTGCTGTGCAAGTCGGCTGGTGAGGTCTGACTTTGCGTCGAATGCAATCCGTCCCATCAAAACCGGGTCAATGGGAATCGACTTTCCAACCTTGTCCACCTGGGCGCTGAGTTCTTTGAAGTTGAGATATGTCATACACAAGACCCCGACATGTGTATCAATGGCGGCGCGATCGAAGTCGGCAGATCGTGGATTTGGAGATTCAAAAAGGTGTTGTTCCACACTGTAGTGGACATAATGGACTGTGAAATGCTCCTCATCGGCGTAGACCAATCCGTGACAACTGGCGACAACGCCCGCGATATCGTTGGGAAGATTGCCCCTGTCCAAAGTTACTTGGCCAACCTCGATACCGAGAAGTTCCCGAAACTCTTCCAGATTCAACGGTCTTTTTGTCACACCACAGAATTGAAGCAGCTTGGTACAGAGTTTAGAGCGAGTTGATTGAGCGATACGGGAAAGCTTCCGGTCAAAGATGTCTGAAAGCTGTAGTGGAAGATCCTCAAGGGCACGCCTGATAGCGTTGTCATTTGTTTGTTCGCAAATCTCATCAATCATCAATCGAGTCCAAAGGAACCTACGCATATAAAAGCAAATCAGTTCTTAGGACATGTCACTGGTGGAGGCAACGAGCCGGGTGTTTAAGTCGTGCACGATCATCCGAAGGGAAGGGGTGAATACTTACATTCCTCGTGACCCTTTCTGCAGAGCTTCTGCTATGGTCACAATCAGTGCAGGGTCGCCTAGCTTAAGCCGACCAGCTTCTAGTTGTTCATCAAGGGCTGCATCGATGTATTTGACGATGTCGCAGTCCGTTTTCTCCGAGGTCAATGTTAGTCTGAAGTTGGAGGGAAGAAATCTTGCTATCTCATTTTCGGTGTCTGGTCGTGCAGCACAAAGTATCTTGAGTGTAGTTCGAGGCTCCTCAATCAGTTCCGCAATCGCTCTTACGAGGCTTTCTCTCTCAAAAGGCTCGCATTCATCTAATCCATCTAGGACAATGTAGTAGGTTTTGTCTGGGTTGAGCCGGGTAGCGAGAAACTTTGTAACGCCGTCTAGGTCCAAATCGCACGTCTCAGCGAGTAGGGTATCCAAAGAGTCACCCTTGGTGGATTCGATATAGGTGCTAAGTATCTGGCAGGAGACACTGCCCAGGATATTCCTGGCTTTGGTGGTTTGTGCATCATCAAAGCGACAGAAGAAATGCGCCACAACTGTTGATGGCGTGGAGTTCGTTGAGAAGTGTGCAATGATATTGGAGACAAGAATTGACTTGCCTGTTCCAAGGTTGCCTATGCACCAAAAAATCGAGGTTCGCTGCGCGCGTTTCCAGCGCACGAAGTCAGGCTCTGTCGCAAACCACTCGGCCGTACTGGAGACGCGTTGTCGTAAAGCTTGCTTCCATGCTTTGTCGTGATCGATCGGTGACAGATTACTTCGTATGGAAGACCTGGTCTTGACTTCCTCTCGTGCCTTTTGTCGCTCACGCCACAGCGCTGCTCGGTCTCGCTCTTCCCTTCCTTCTTTATGATACTTAAATGCGGATTTCCAGTTTAGCGAACTCCTTCGTCGGTCCAATTCTAAGAGTCTGGCTGTCTCTCGATCCGCCTGTTGAGAGGCCAGCTGGATCTGCAGTTCCACCTCTCTGCGGTCCTGTTCCAGGCGGTCAAGGAACGGCCTGAACTCGGATTCAAATGGGTTGGCAATGGGTGATAGAAACTGTTGCCACAAGGTCTTCTGAGAGCCTAGAATAATTTTCGTGCAGAGTTCGATGATAGTCGCGTAGAATCCGCAAAGGGCTGCCTGCAAGCCCGCTGCACCTGGATACAGCGAGCCAAAATCATCGTAGACAGGGCAGAAGCGGCCAATGTGCATGATCAAGCCAGTAATCTTCTCAAAATATGACGCGACGTTGCTTGCAACCAAAATGGCGGTTTTGACGCCGCCCCAGACCAGCGCAGCGAGCTGGGGATGGGAGGAGACGAATGTGTCGACCGCATCGCTGAACTGACGGGTGGCATTGAGGAAGGTCAAAAGTCGAGGCGCGAAACATCGCCTCGCTCGACCGCTGTTGTCCTCGTCGAGTCGAGTCACGAAGGCGACCACGCTTGTCACGTCCGGTTTGGCACAAGCCTGTTGATAAAGCTGCCTTCGGTCATCGCTGAGGACAGTTTCAAAGGTCTTCAACGCCTGCTTCAGCGACTCTGTTGGATCGGAAGCAGCTCTCTGGCGCAGAGTCAGAGCCATGGAGATGGAATTGACATTGCGACGGTCAGTTTGCATCGAGAGAATGCCATGTTCGCGCGCTGAGGCTGAGGCTGTCGAAGTTCGCCGACAAGAAATCGTGGGCTGAGTCGTTTGCGCCTTGAAGTCAGCCACGCTCAGCCTCACTTCCTAGCCAGCCGGCCATTGGTCTCTTTAGCGGGTTTAGCGATGTTGGGCAAATGCGGACGGCGGCTGGTAATTAGCTCCAATGATTGACGGATTCGAGGTAATTCCAGCCTTTCTTCCTCTGCGGCATTCCTTATCTTGACGCGTTTGTATTGCTTCTGAGGTGGGCAGGCACGCCGCACAACTGAAGCATCCCCCGAACTGTCGCAAAAGCACATAGCATCCAAATTGTACGATGGCCTGCTCCTCTTGAAGCAGACATTAAGAAAGGAGCATGGCCCCAGCGGCTTTGTTTTACCCATTCATTTCGGGGATTTACTGTCTCCTTCTCTAGCATGAAAATATATAGTCCTTCATAGTATCAAACTGTCGACACCCTTCCTCCTCCCACCTATGAATGTCCTGGGGTGATCGGCTGGATCTTCCCTCTTTTACTCCACCCCTTTTGCTATCCTTGCTTCGAGTAACAGACTTTTGGGTCAGAAATATTGCTGATTATCGCTGTCTCCGCCTGAATGCCGCTATGATCTTTGCCAACCCCGAGATCACGTCTGCCATGGCACATCGAGGAATAACGCCCACCCACGGAAGCCCAGGTGGGTCAGATTGATCCGGCGGCCACGCCCCAGAAAATAGTATACTGCCTTCGACAAAATGTGATAACATGGTAAGATTAAACCGGGTAGATGGTAATAAATGGAAAGCAGCGCCGTCAATGCAAGGTCCCGTTCCCCTATTCGACATCGAAAACGCACGGGGAACTTTGCAGCACTTTTTTTTCGTTTAGTTCTCCTCAGACTTTCTCCGGGTTGAGTTTCGCCTGTCTCTCCTGCCACTCCTCATAGTCGGCCACATCGGCGTCCTTGTTCTTGGTTTCGGGGATCAGGAAGAAGGTGATGATCGCGCCCAAGACATTGCAGGCGAAAAACACCCACAGGACATTCGCGAGGCCGATGATGTTCGGACCGCTGAGGTAATTGAAGAGCAGCGCGGACAGGATGGCGCCCAGTTTGCCGACGGCGGCACTGGTACCGTGCGCCAACCCACGTACCCGTGAAGGATAGACCTCGGCAGGGACGATGAACGTCGTCGAGTTGGGGCCAAAATTGAAGAAGAACTGCAACACATTACGGTTAGAATTCTCACGTTGACACGGTGGAGGCGGGCTTGATGCCGTTCACGTACCTGCGCGAAAGCGAAGCAGACGAACTTGCCGGCCGTCCCGAGATGGCCGTAGTCGCCAGCTATGATACCGAACATCAACGCGACGATGAGGAATCCTTGGATCTGGATCCACTTCCTGCCGAGCTTCTCGATGAAGAAGATGGTGAAGAAATATCCGGGGACGTAGCCGGCGACAGCGATGATGAGGTTTCCGATCGCGTTCCGCATCAGGAGGTCATATTCGTTCTTGCCGGTATCGAAGCCAATTTCGTCCAGGAGGACCGATTGGTTCAGGTTCGTGCCGTAGAAGGCCACGTCGAGCAGGAACCAAGTCGAGGTGGTTCCCAGGAGGACTTTGAGGTTCTTCCACTTGCTGAAGTGGACAAAGAAGGCCTTGTACTTCGTCCGTCCTTCGGTGCTGCTGGTGGGAGTGAGCTTGTTCTCCTCGGCCGGGGTCGTGGTATCGAAGGCAGAAGGACCAGCATCGGTTAGAACGCTGCCGTTGCTTAGGGAGTTCAGCTCCGGTTCCTGCGCCGCCGATTTCGAGACGCTGTTGCCTCCTTTATGATTCGTCACGGCGGCATGGTTCAGTTCCCGAGACTGTAGGTACTTCCGACCTTCCGGCATTGTGAGACGAAAGTAAAGCGTGGCGAAAGCAGGAACGAGCCCAAGGCCCATCTGGATTCGCCAAACTGCATCTAGTTGGTTGTAGTGTCCCTCTATATCTAGGGCGTGGCTGAAGCATGTAAGAATGATGATCGTCGCAATGGAGCCCGTGAGTGTGCCCTGGGAAATAGAACCGAGTCAGCTGAAGAGCCTTTGAACTTGAGGGAGAATATGCAGAGCTCCACGACTGGAAGGGGAAGACTCACCCAGCCTTGGTTCGAAAAGATCCACGCCAACAGCTGACCACGCTTTGGCAGCAAGGACCTCTCCGACACGATCGACGCGGACATGGGGTAATCGCCTCCGATACCGACGCCCATGAGCATACGGAAACAGAAAAGCCATATCATTTTCAGCGTGGGCGTCGGAATGTCGTTGGGAAGGCTGATGGTCAGGATGGTGCCGATGATCACCACGATCAGTTCCTTGCCGTACACAAACTTCCGACCAAAGACGTCGCCGAGGAAGCCGAAGATCAGCTGTCCGAAGATGTTGCCAATGTTTGACCCAGCGTTGACAAGACCTCGGAGAAGAGGCGGGTAATGGGGCTTACGGCCTTCGAGGCCCCCCCAGTATCTAAAAAGCCATATATCAGTCCCTGAGTGACATTGAGACTGTGGTAGCAGGAGCGGTGAGCTTACTCGTAGAGCCATACTGGTGTCACTAGGTTGATGATGAACAAGTCATATGAATCAAGGAAGAAGCCGACGCTGGCAAGGTGTCAGTAGTCTTGTTGTAGGGAAGTACGCAAGCCGTACCCTGTGACGGCAAACATCTTAAGATCGCCCGTGGTCAAGTTCCATCTGAAATTCTTGTTGGCGGTACCGACCGACTTCTGTCGATACTCTTCCTGTTCGCAGCGATGAGTATAAGGAATGGCCCAAGGGAGCGAGGTGTTCTCACAAACGTCACCGGTCTACCATCATCGTCCCTGCGCGCATAGCCATCATCCTCCCACTTCATCTTCGCCTATAGAAAGGATATGGCTGGGAGCGACAAGCTTTGCAAAGGTTTGTTGTGCTAGGTGTTGGGAAGTTGTAGATGACCAACTCTGTTCGTTTCAGGATTCGAGTTGGATCCAAATGTCGTTCGTGTCGGTCAACGATCTTGTCCAGGATCTTTCCATGGGCCTGTCGTCCGACGGATTCGCAGTAGTACATATAGTCCAGACCCGGACGCGAACCATTGTGCATGTCCGTCGCCACAGACGGTATACCATGACCTTTGAAAATTGCTCCATCACTGCCAAAAAGCGCAGTTGTCTGGGGGGTGGTCGACAACAAAGACAGCATTGCAAAACGTGTTGCGGGAACCCCAGGTGATTGATGGAGATCTAAGAGCATCACAGGCCTCGAGATTCGCATGTTGGCCCATGGTGTGATGTTTTGATGCATGAAATATGCAGGTAGAGAGATCCCCACGAGGCTCGTGAGGTTAAAGGGTCGCCACTTCGTCCAATGGCAAGGCATCAGGCTGGATCTGGGCAGCTGAGCGCACCCCATAGCACCCGTACAGAAGCGGAATGACACTATTGGCCAAGAGGAATAGAGATTCTAGAAGGCCATCAGGCATTTCCTACCGGCACCACCCGGTGAGGCCGGAGGGATACTATCTGGGGCTATACTCCGTTCTCTCAGGGGTGAGAGGGTGTCTCGTAAACGAGGGGCATTGTCCCAGCCCAGGAACTCCAGTTCGTCCACGGACAAGCGAGCTAATTGGGCCTGATCGTGCATCAGACTTAGCATTGAAGCTCCGAGTCCTTGTACATTGTCGCGTGAAGCAGCTTTAGTTAGCCCAAGTACCCACTGGATAGTTCGGAGGGTGCTCGGTTCACCACCAATTAGAATAGCCATCTCTTCCTCGTGCTCTCCTCCTCAACTCTCCGAGAACGTAAGTCGATATGCTCGACACATTGTCTCGTATGAGCTGTCTCCCGACCTGACTGTCCATGGCAAGTTTTATGGCGCATGATCGGACCTTGAATACCACCCTTCGTCCGTATTCTGGCCCGAGCTCTGCTATAACTCGCACTGCTCACTCCGGGAGTAGTAATACCTCGCATATAACATTATGCGCACTGTCATCCTGAACGCCTCTCTGGGGTACAGGGGCTAAAGGTGGTCTGGAACGCCCAGACACCCTCAATACCAACAGACATGTAAGTAGTGGATACACTACCTCATGAGTCTTGTCAATGGTAGACCAGCATCGCCAGGTTTCGGTCACCACGTACTCTGTGCTCGTCCTTGCATTTTATATTCATCTGAGATCTACCTACATCTGTTGTGACAACCGCCGAACGTAGCACTATGAACGCCGAAGTCTCAACATCAGAGGGTCCGGGACCAGGGGTCGGTCGATTAAGGCGCCTGACGAGCAAACTTCAGCACCCAGTCTCCTGCAGCGCAGCCGACCATCTTTTCTCGTCTAGCCTCAGAACAGCCCTCATCCCCCCTTCCGCCCGTTCCTTTAATCCCTCTCCTCCGGCAAGAGGGTCTTGGGCTGCGACCTGCTTCGCTTGTTCCTCCCGCTTCTGGACTAGAACCAGCAGATCGGTCAACGCGCTGTCTTCCAGCCTCTTTCTTAAATCTGCACATATTCTCCCTCTCCAGTAACTCACCGCGTCTTTGCCCAGTCCACGGTTCGATATATTGCGCAGTGCGTTTTCTACCTTGTCGCCGGTGATTCCGGACGAAGTCGAAATACCCAGGAGGACATCGAATATATCAAGCATGAGGAAGATCGTGTACACATTGGTAGGGTTATGTAGCCCAACAAAGCGCGCTGGATTGACGAGGAAGTAGATCCGGAGGACGTTCACCAGAGCTTCGTCGAAGGCTTGATACTTCAACCCCTCCAGGATAAGTCTCATGGCCGTTTCGGGGAACTTGCCAGTGGTGCAGAGGGCAGGGTAGTCAAGGAAGCGGTCTGACTTGTCCATGCCCGCTGCAGCCCGCCGGAAGGCATCAGGGCTCCTCTTTTCTTGCGACAGATGGCGTGCAACAGACTCGGTCCACTTATCAAACTGGGCTGGGAGACTAGGTTGCTCGGCGGCTAGGTCCGCAGCAGCCTTGGTATCTGAAAGGCACTTGGGGCAATTGCAAGTGAAGAAGTAGTCCTCCATGAGCTTCGCTCTTCTGGCGGTCGCTGACGCCGTGGGAACGATGTAGCAGTTGAAAAGCTCCTCGTCTTGTTGAATGTCTCGTAGAGGAATGACCCGAATGAACGTCCGTCTTTCATCCTCCGAGAGCTCCGTTGAGCTCATCCAGCCAGGCGTCATAGTGTGCTGAGGTCTGTGGACAGCCAGATTCGGTTCGCAGCTGTGGTTGAATTTGGCCACGAGAGGCTCTAACATGACGCCTATGCCCCCCTGGATTGGAGTAGGCAGCTCGGTGGCGTTGGACTTCATGATGAAAATCAGCCGCTGGATCGTCTCGATGGCCATGCCTGACGCGGCCAGGTGTTGGATCCCTTCTGCCATTTCCGTCAGGTTGGACCGACCTCGCGCGGCAAGGATTTGTTCATGGGAGGTCAGCTGCGTGATGCGGTTCCATTCGTCACTCGGCAGCTTGTCTCGGTCCCTGAGGAGCACTGCCCGCAGCACCGCCCTGAGGATGGCCGGAGGCAGGTTGTTCTGCACCCTTTTGAAGATCTTGCACTCAAACTTGTGGTATGCGTGCCACGACTTGACCTGACAGTTGCGGCTGCAGAAACGAGCAGCGTGGCAGCCATTGCAGATCTTCAGCTGGACAGATGCGTGTCCGTATCCAGGGACGGGCAACGGACTCTCCGTGACAATGAGGCAGTGGTAACACGTTGTCGGCAAAAAGTCTGAATCGATCGCCATCATGGTCGGGTAGGTTAATGAACAGATCGGCTCCTTCACAGACAAGACCTGTTTTGCGAATACCCCTTGACCTTTGCCCGGAATCTGTTCGAGCTTGAGGGTCTTTTCATCTTTGCTCTCGATGTACGACGCCTCTGGAGCCTTGCGCTGTTCAATCAGCGAGTCGATGAGGGCATCCAGTTCAGCCATTGCCTGGATTTCCTACCACAACCTGAGTAAGGTGTGGCTGGCCCGGACTCACGATGGAGCAAAGACTGTGGCTGTTTCAAGTTAGATGTCCCGTAAATGTCCCCAGAGCAAGCGGACTACTTGTTAGCCCAATTTCTGCGCGCGAATGCACCGTGGTTCGACTCGATTATGCGATGGGAACATGCAGGAACCATGAGATATTGGTATCTGATGAAACTCGATGCTTCTTGCGTAGGGCTGTGTGGGGATTGTTTCGAGGTTTCGCTAGCGAGAAATGTGCGGCGGTCCACAAGCGCCTAATGTGCACTTGGCTTGCCCTATCAGCTGTTGTTGTTACAAGGACCTCTTGGTGACCCTAGGACGGAAAACCCGTAGAGAAGTTGGGCTAGAAAAATGTGTTTCTCCATTCTGTCACACGTGACCTCGTGCCGCTTTTGCTCAGGCCAGCTGGGCCAGCTCACCCTGCTGACCACACCGTAGTGGTGGCCCCAAGGTCGACCCTACTCCAGACTATTAAGTATTAACGAGGACCCAAAACGAGGCTGTAGGGGGTTTCCCTGGAGGTGCACCACGGCACGATGGGCCTCGCACGATGTGCCTTATGCCTTCGACGCGAGGGAGGTCCAGGAACAGTCTCTTGCTCCTTCTAACGTCTCGTTAGGTTTCTACTTTCTTTATCGTCTATTCCCTCCCTCCCTCCCTCCCTCCCTCCCTCCCTCCACGGCTGAGGAATGTACAAAAAAGGCAATGATACCCTGTAAACAAAGCATAGTGTGGATGGAAGCATTAGGACGGCACGGCCAGCGATGGCCTCAACGAGATACGAGAGTCGCGCTCGGGGACAGAGAGCATTGCAACAACAATCGAGATCGATGATCGGGGTCAACGTTATCCACTGCCACGAACAAAATAAATCTGCATTCGGCTCTTCTAAGCTATGAACGTGGAGCTTACCACGTGGATTCCTTAGATACATGGTCTGCGTTGTTTGCTCATTTCCGACAAAACAGGATTGTCATGATAAGCGCGCCGTTGAGTTCCTTTCCTACCAAACCATTGACGTGCTGGAAAACTGCTTACACCACGACTCCATCGTCTGAGGCCCTACTTGCCTTAGTGAGCACTTACGTCTGTCGAATCCTCAAACACCGAGAAGATGAGATTGATCAAAAGTGGTACGAGAATCCAGATCAGCGTGACCTTGCTAGCGTCGGAGGGGCAGAACAGGTCACCCTGGAGTTTCAGGAACATGACGAAAAACATCCAGTTGCCGACGTTGATCACGATGCTGCTCGCCACCATCAGGGCGTAAGCCTTGCGGAATGCCGGCCAGTCGATGACCAGGCCTTCCCCCCACCGCGGCGCATCCTTTTCTCCGTCCAAGCGTTGGTGTTGTTCTCGAGCGCGTATCTTGTTCACGGTCATGGCGATCATCTCGATGACGCCGAGGATCGGGAGGAAGCACAGGAAGGCCGTGATGATGCCGAGAATGGCGAGGAAGATGAAAAACCCGCCCACAAGGTCGGCCGTCACGATCCATGAGAGGAGAAGGATCAGCGCGAGGAAGATGAATGCAGGCGCGGAGGACAGTAAGGCGCCGTGACCCAGGATCGCGAGAGCCGCAAGCGGCGCGGCAGGGTTGGAGGGCGGGTCGGTGAAGATGTACCAGTAGCGGACGAGGAGACTCGTCCCCGCGACCCAGGACAGCATTCCATCCGCGAAGACGTCGGCGAGACCAGTCTCGGAGAAGCCGTGGTAGAAGCCCAGTAGGCCCGTGAAGGGCGCATTCCGCGGGCGGACGGAGTACAGGAGGATGGCCTGCCAGAATGCCTGGGACATGGAGAGGATGCCCGAGGTGTGAGACCGGTGGAGCACGAGCACGGTGAGGTAGGCCGTGAGGACCTTTTCGCCCACGGACTTGAGGAGCTTGTGGGCCTTCAGCACGTAGCGGGTCTCGGGACGTCGGATCTCGTCTTGGGCGAGCTGGTAACGGGGTGGTGACTTGGAAGAGCGGAATCGGACTTTGATCATCTCCCACATCTGCCGCCCGTACAGTTTCGACAAGACGATGTAGAGGAGAGAGCTAGCCATGGACAGTGCCTGTGCGATGATGTAGGTGCTCGTTTTCGGGCAACTTTTGGCGCCCTCGTACAGCTGGAACTGCGGGATCCAGTCGACCTTGACCGCCGTCTGCTCGACGCAGGCGGCGATGTCGTCGTAGGCCTTCTGCTGGGTGCAGCGCCAGTATTGCAGCGTCCTGGGCGGCATGAGCATTCTCTGCGCGCTTGGCGTTTGGGCCCGAGGGGGTCACACCTACGTTTCTGTAGCGCAGTCGAGGTACCGACTCATATTCCACGCGTAGGCGCCCGAATCCGTGCAGCTGATACTCATCTGGCTGTAGTCAAAGGCGCAGGTGTGCTGCAAGATCTGTCGTGACGAATGTTAGGTACTGTGGAACGCCATCGTGCGTGAAGGCCTCTTAATGCCGAGTCAGACGTACAGGCATGAAGTCGGGATACTTGCAGCTCTCGTTCCTGGTCAGCTGCGGTGGTGAGCCCAGGTTGGCGATGTAACTGTCGTATAGCGCGGAGTTTGCATCCGTTTCCCACCTGGACTCGCGTCAATACTGCAAACAAGTATCAGGACTTTGATGGGATGAGGCTGGCATACACGAGACCGATGCAATTGGCCGTCTGGTTGACGATTTGGAACCGTGTCTGCTGGTTGACCGGCGTCACGGCGCATGTCTGCAGTGAATCGATATACGGCTTGCAGGCCTCGGTGACGGACTGCCATGAGATAAGGCAAGGTTAGCTTGGCTAACTAGGTATCTAGATTGCCCATGAGAGCTATCGAGAGGAACCACCGAGGGAAGAACGAACCTGAAACACTTGGCTTGTAGTGTTACAAGGCCCGGGACCTGAGCTCAAGAAGCTGGAGCTGAGGCTCGCCATGCTGCTGAGTGTGGGCGTTCTGGTTGACCAGGAAGAAACATTCGAAGCAGACGAGCGAAGCTCAGGGAGGTGGCATTTCTTCGCCTCAAACGGTCTTTTGGGCATCGGCGAACTGCGCGCTCCATCATTTCCATTTCAAGCCTTTCGTGTTGTGATCAACAAGCTGCGCCATCAAGCATGGGCAAAAAAAAGGGGGTTGTTTGCCTGCACCACCATCACGAACGCAAGGGATGGTTCGGTTCGCCTATCTTCCTGGGCTGAAAGAGCGTGTCTGCCTCGTCGAGACACTCCTGAATTCAGCCATCATGACCGTGGCGTCCGACATGTGGTCACTGTTGGTCGTTTTTTGAATCAGTGGAGCGCCCGTTCGTATTCCTTTGGCCTCGGTGATTGGCAGGTGAAGCTCTTGGAATTGGCAACGAGGCTGTCTGGGTGTCTGTATGGTGATCAGAAGTCGCAGTGGAGTCGCCGCAGGGAGGATCTTGGCTAATGCTTTTTGCCTGCGACCTGAGCTTGGATGAGCTTCGACGCCGCCACCACCCCTTGTCGCGCGTACCTACCTAGACACCAACCTACTTCGTGAAGGAGTTAAAACAAGTACGTCTCAATGCAGTAAGGAGAGCCTAATGCGGCTCAAGATGGCAATGTGCTATAAAGTGAGGGTCGAGCCCCTTTTGGGTTGTTGCTCCTCCTGCTGGTCCTGTCGACGGGTGCGAAGTCCCATCAACCATTACCCACCTATCTGTACCCTGGCGCAGTTACATCCCTCATTGCAGTATTCAGGACCTCTGTTCCGTCTATCACTATCATGGGCTCCACCGGCCTGTTATCGACGTTCGCTACGTCGACTCTCACTTCTACAGCCTCGCCCGCACCCTCACCAAGCATCATCGTCCCGACATCGACGCCGACACCCACTACCTTGTCCAGTGTGCTCGCCAGCACCACGGCGTCGAGCACCAATGTATCGTTCAATCCAGCATTCGTTGGCTATGAAAGTATTGGCATGCTCGACTTGACCACGGTTTGTACGTCCCCGTTATGACCTTCCAACACCTAGATACCTTCTTGGCATGGCATGGATTTGATCTGACGGCCGTGCAGATTCAAGCGCAAACTGCCTCGACTCTTCTACCTTTTACTCCTCGAGCTACTGGGCCACATGCTGCTCGGGCTCGTGTAATCTGTACACGGGGTGCTTGTCTCAGAGTATTTTGCAAGGTCCGCTGAGCAGCGAGACATGGTCCGTTTTCTTTCCCCTGGATGCGCCCTTCAGATCTTTCTTCTGCATGCACGAGTTGGTGATGCAGGTTGATGATGCGGGTTGCTTGGCCGGCCGGCCTGCGGCGTCTTTTCTCTCGTCGATCGTTCATCTGCCTGCCTTACAATGCCCATCCTTCCACACCCGTCACATCTTCACCTCACATCTCTTCCAATCACCACTGACCAAACAATCCTCCCACAGCTCCGCCACGTCGACCTGCCAGATGAACTTCATCTACCCGTCATCAAACCCCTTCGACGCCGTTCTGACCGCCTACATCTGCGACGGCGACGGCGCCACCCCAGTGAACTTCTACCGCGTCCAGCCAACGGACGGCATTCGTTAGTGCCCCCCAAGTTACCCCATCTCCAAGACCGTAGACTTACCATGCGTGCGTAGTATCGAGCAACACCTCCGCCATCAACGCCGCAAAGCAGTCCCAATCCTCCAACCCCTTCGGCCTCGGCCTAGGCGGCAGCCTCGGCGGGGTGGCCTTCCTCGCAATCATCGGTCTCGTCGTATGGAGCTGCCTCGGCTGCCCAGGGTGCGGCGGCCGTTCTCGTCGCCGTCCCACCGGCTACAGCGGCCGGACACACATCCCGCCGCCGCGGCGTCTTCGCACGCCCTCCCCGCCTCGCGTGGCCCCTGACGACCCCGACGCCGACCGCCAGTGGCGCAACTGGCAGGAGCTGATGGCCGCACGACAGGACGAGAACGAGCGCGCCCGAGAAGAGTACAACCGACAGCAGGAGCAGGCGAGGATGGACGACTACCAACGCCAGCAGGACGACTACCAGAGTCGGCGAGACGACTACCAACGTCAGCAAGACGACTACCAACGCCAGCAAGACGACTATAATAATAACTACAATAACAACAACGATAACAACAACTATAACAACAACTATAACTGACGACTTGGCAAGAGGAGCATGGCCACATCGACAGAAAAGGACGAGGGTTGTTGGGAATATGAATGCGAATGCAGATGTACCAGTAAAGCGGCGCGGTTCTCGCTCCGTCACGATATCAATTGTCTATGTGTGGAAGCTCAAACACACTTCGTTGTACCATGTACAAATACAATTCGTTTGTACTTCAGCAAGCCAAGCGTATAGCGCGATAGAATGCTGGGGTATCAGTACCCTCGAGGTGGTCGAAAACGTCCTCTGCCCTTCGAGGAGAGTTGCGGATCTACCTACCTACCCACCCACCCATTGAGACTGGATACGAAGTAGACAGGATAAAGACTATGTTTACGAGTAGCATTACAAAGCCTCACCCTCGGACCTCGAGTCATTCAGAAACGCCGTCGTCGCCGCGGCAGCCGTCGCGGCGATCAGTCACGTGCCGGACTTGCTCAGGTTGAAGCGGCGAGGCTCAGGTCATGCCCAGGTCCTACGCTGGAAATTGAGAGTGCCCTCGTCGAGATTCCGACGTCGAACCCCAAGTATCTGACGCTCGCTCAAAACCTCAGCCACAAGAACTGGTGCGGCTTCATATGGATGCCCGCGTTCCGCAAGTTGATCATATACCCATCTATCAGATCCTTCGCCTCAGCAGGCATCCCCATGAACCTGTCTCGCCCGATCCACTGGGCCTCATCCGAGAAGTTGCAAAGACACAATACGCTGGACTTCGCCCCTGGTCGTTGGTACCCAAGGATTGCCGGGTTGCCGGTGTAAAACCCAATCGCTCTTCCTCCTGCAAGCTCCTCTGTGTTTTTGCGAAGGGAAATGAGATGCTTCATCCCGGCATATATCTTCCCTGGGATGCTGTTGGCATCGTGTCGCTCGGCATAGCGCTGTTCGGGGTACCAAGGGCGGTTCACCCATCTGCTGTCGTCCATTTTAGCTGGGTCGTTAAGGTAGCTGTAATCGTTGAGTTGGCCGACTTCGTCTCCCAGATAGATGAGTGGAATTCCGCCTGTGCTCATGGCGATGGAGTATGCGAGCAAGATCCGCTCAATGGCGTGATCTTGCATCGACTCCAAGCCGGCTAATGATGCCGTGGTGCCAGATATTCTGCAGTCCCCGGTCTTTGGATTGTCCTGAAAGGGGACGCCTCGAGCAAAGCTGCCTGGATGGCGGTTCACGAAGAACGCATTGAGGAACTTCCTGTGGTTTCGACCGTCCTTGCCAAGTTCCTCTGCATCCTCGTCGCTGAACGTCCAGCCTATGTCATCGTGAGACCGGACGTAATTGACCCAGGCACAGCCTCGGGCTATATTGTGTCTACGCTCAATCGCCTGTGACAGCATTGACACATCTCTAGTTGCCAGCGCCTCCCACGTCAAGGCCATCTGAAGCGGGTTGTAAGACAATTGGCACTCGTATCGATCGATGTATTGCACCACAAAGTCTGGATGGACAATGGCTTCAGACTTGAAAAGCACAGACGGCGCTGCAATCCGACAGAGGGCGTTGAAAGCTCGGAGCAGTTTGTGAACCTCTGGCAGATTCTCACAGTCCGTGTTCATCTGTTTCCACATGAATGCAACGGCGTCCATCCGGAAGAGATCGACACCCACATTGGCCAGATACAGCATCTCACCAGCCATGGCTCTGAATACAGCTGGATTCGAGTAATTCAGGTCCCATTGGAAATGATAAAATGTTGACCATACGAATCGGCCGTCCGGAAGTTGGATGAACGAGCCAGGGTGATCGTCCGGAAAGATCTCTCGCGTCGACCGTTCAAACGCTGAGGGAACATTTCGGTCAGGGAAGATCCAGTACATGGCGGAATGCTCAGGATCGCCCTCGGCTGCTTTCTTTGCCCACCGATGCTCGTTGGAAGTATGGTTGAACACCAGATCAAGCACTAAGCTGATTCCCGCCTTTCTCAGCTCGGTTGCCAGGTCTCTAAGCTCCTCGATAGTTCCCAGTCCGGGCTGCACGTCTCGGTAGCTAGACACAGCGTACCCTCCGTCATTGAGAGGCTGAGGAGCAGCGAACAGAGGCATCAAATGCAGATAAGTCAATCCCAACTCCTTAAAATAGGGAATGCGCTTCTTGATCCCAGCCAAGCTGCCAGCGTACCGGTCGACGTAGCAGACTCCTCCCAGCATCTGATTTGAGAGATACCATTCGGGGTCGAGTTCTCGCTGTTTGTCGACCCTTTGCAAGTCAGGGGATCGGTCCTGCCAGCTTTTGCCACACATTGTTATCAGGTCGACAAGTTGGTCGAGACAGTCATGTCGGTAGCCGTATAGCTCGGCAAAGATGGCAAAGATGGTGATGAAGTTCGTATCGAGCCTGGCAGAAAAATCTTTGTCCTTGAGGATCGAGACGCCATCTTCGGTCTTCCTGAGCTCCTGGAGTATGTAGGCTCTGGCGGCGCGAGCCTGTTGCTCGATAGATAGACTATTCATCGAAGAAGAAGAGGGGGGTGCGGTCTTGTAAACTCTTCGGTGCTGGAAGGGTGTAATACGCTTGCGAGGGGCCAAATGCAACTGAACCAAGGCTGAGGAGCATAGCCATAAGGAGATTACTTGCTTATTACCTTTTGAATATTTCGCTTCTCGGGACCTGGAATGCTGTAGTCTTATGCGGCTTAAAATCCTGCTGCCGGCTCTTCTCTCGGCCAAATTATGGTTTCGAAAATTACGCCGAGCGAGCGAGCGATGTACTTTGGTCAAGCCAATTTTAAGTGATCGACAATTCTAGAGGACGCAATTCTATAAGGACCAAGGCTGTGTACCTTTGTAGAGTGGGCTGAGATGCGACGTCGAAGCTGACCAAGACGTCGGGGCGCTTGACAACACCTTTAACCACCCTGGGCTTTATATGAACGGCAGGACTCGTTCAAGTACCCAGCTATTCAGCTATAAAATAGTATAGCTTAGCCGTCAACTATCGACCTAGAGAATGGACACTACAGGCCGGGGACGGCAAAGTATACTCCCTCTAGTTGCTTGGTCTTGGTAAGAATTCTGTATTTCAGACAATACAAGGAATCTATTATGCCTCATGCATCAGCCTGGAGGCTCTTGGTTACACAAATGCCTTTTCTTTCCATCAACCCCTTAGGGACTTCGCCTATTCCACCAGTTTGAGCGCCGGAATGAACCAAAAACCCAAGGAAAAGAGACTCCGACCCGACGATCCTATATTCGCGCTATTTAACCGTTCACCAAGCGTACAATCCCCTGCTGTCACACCTCTCCGGGCCCCTTCAGAATGCCGACACAGCAACAGCGATTGCCTGGCTTTCGCTGTGGCTGATGCTGACATTTACCTTCTTGACGCCAGCTTGCTTCGCTGCCTCAAGCGCCGCACCATGGAGGGCAACCTTGGGTGCTCCGTTCTCATCGGCCAGGATCTCAATGTCGGACAGAGGGGCACCAGCACCCTTGCTGCACACACCCAGCGACTTGAATACTGCTTCTTTCGCACTCCACCGTCCTGCATATGAAGCCTGAGGAGACGGTGCCTTGTTGCAATAAGCTCGCTCTTGTTCGGTGAAATTTCTCTCAACGAAAGTCTCGTTGTCAATGTTGATTGCTCGGATATCTTCAACATCAACACCGATCTTCGACCCTTCTGTGGCATTGGCTTGCGTCAACGACTCAAGCATGGCCTTGGTCTCCAAGGCATGAGGGCTTGAGGCCTTCTTGGGGGCAGCAGTATGGTAGATCAGCTCGCCGGACTTCTTGTCGGCGACCACGCGCTGCTCAGGGTTGAGGAAAACCTTCTGCATGATCTCGTCTGGGTACGGGGCCTTGGTCTTGGCAACGAACACAGTGTTGTTGATCATGCCGTTATGGAGGTATCTGTAGGCCTTCTTCTGTCTAGCCTCAACCTTGACCTTGTAGCGCTGGAACTCTGCCTCGTCCAATGCAGCATAAAGGTATTTGGGATGGATGCCGATTGCTTGAGCGCCTTTCTGACCGAAACCAAAGGAGGTGACAGAGAATGCCTTGATGCCATCGGTCTGTAGTGATCGGCTTGGATATACGATGTAGTCGAACTTCTCCATCACCTGGTCAACATTGTCGGCGTTACGGTTTCCAGGAACGAGCCCGCTGTTGAGGACTTGCAAGCAGCCGTTGAACATCCAGGCACCAGCGGCACCCTTAGGATGACCAGTGAGGTACTTCTGGAAGATACCGAGCATGGCGTTGCCCTTCTTGCGGCCGAGATGCGCCATTTGTTTGCAAAGGACCTCAGATTCGTTCTTGTCGTTGGCAACGGTGGAGGTACCGTGGAAGGAAGCAACATCAAGGTCGTCAATCGTAAGACCCCAAGTAGCCAGGGCACCGCGGAGGGGAGCAATAGCGGGATCTTGCTTCCAGAAATTGTTGCCCAGGCTGAACTGTGCCTCCTTTTCTTGTCGGACTGCTTCGCGTTCAATGTGTGCGGCGCGCTCTTGCATGTATTCGGCCTCGTTGAAACCAAAGCCAGCTTGAGCCTTCATTGCTGCAACCTCTTCATGGAGATAGAGAAGTTCGGACTCTTGCCAGTTCTTGATGGCACGTCGGCGGAGGTCAAGCTGTCTCCTGCGGTAGTTGATGTCAAGCAGAGGCGACGGGAACTTGCCAGGGTTTTCACGTGCGGTGGTCAACACACCTTGACCGGGAGCCGGCACTGATCGACCGATCTTGTCGGTGGCAGTCGAGACGAGACCAAGAATGCCGTAGATTGGTGTACCCATGTCAAGAGCAAGGCGAGCCGACATGATGATTTGCATACCACAGCCTTGGGATTCCATGAATCCATTTCGAGTAGTGGTAGTAGGTCGGGACATCTCCTTGGGAGTCCGGCCATGCGCAAATTCATCCTCGGCATTGCTGGTGGCTTTCATGTTCGCAAACTCATAAGAACCCTCTTCTTGGAAGTCATCAAAGCCACCAACAAAGCACACACGAGCCTTTCCTTCAACAATAGTCTCGTAACCGATGTCGATTGACTCGACAGCGGTTGCACAAGCACCGACAGGGGTCTTGATCGGACCAGTCGAAGACAGGAGCAACATGTTGACCCAAGCGGCCATGGTGTTGATGAAAGATTCCTGGAGAATATCCTTCTGAACAGGCTTATCCATGAAGCGATCTTTGTACATGCCACGAAGTGCGGTGGTACCACCGATACCCGAACCGACGCAGTTGCCCACCTCGGACAGATGCACGTATTTGTAGAACTCGTATGGGTCGGTAACACCTGCTGAAAGGAGAGCTTCGGCTGTGCAGACAAGCACGAACAACGTGACCTGGTCCACTTGTGAAATGATGTCGTCCGGAATACCGTAGGTCTTCGCGTTCCAGCCTGTCGGGATTTGACCAGCGACAAGGCGATCAAATCTGAGTGCCTTAGGGATCAGCAGAGTGGCGCCCTTCTTCAGGCGGACACTGTACTCGCCAGATTCGAGCTCGAAGACCTCGACCTTGTCACCGTGTTGTCGCTTGAACTCCTCAGCGGTCTCCTTGGAGGACTCGAACTGGTCGAGATCTTCTTCGATTTGGATCTCCTGAAGCAGCTGCTTCTTCTTGGGATCATACCCATTGAACAGCTCGGGCTCAATAAGACGAATACCCGAGTGTTCGAGGATGTGCTTCTCATATTTGGCTTTGACATCCTTGTCGTCGACAGGCTCGCCAGTCTTTGCATCGACCCAGCCGGAGTACGATTTACCCTTGAGAGGCCCATTGTGATTCTTGATAAGGCCCATCATCCACGCCATCTCGACGCAACCTTCGAGTGAGAACTGACCGTAGGCTTCCATTTCCCATCGGGTACGAGAGTTGCCCCAAGGCCCGACCTCAGAAAAGCCGGTGACCACAACCACCTTGTCGAGGTCAACCATGCCCTTGAGCTTGGCGTTAAGGGGCTGGACTTCCTTCTGCCAGTCGGGGAGCTCGGGGAAGTCGAATTTCAGGTTCGCTCTGGGCTCGATGGTAACTTTCTTGTAAAGGGCTTCGCTGTCCTCGCCGTTGACAACCTTGTTCTCCAAGGCCGTCTCCTTGGTAACGGCTTGCCGGACGGCGCTGGTTTCCATAATCTCGGCTCGAAGCTTCGTCATCAGGTCCTTGAGATCTGGCAGGAATTGCAGACCGCCGTTCAAGTCGGCAAAGACGGGTTCCTGTTGACACAAGTCGACAATGGCTGGAGACATTAGGCCAAGCAGGTTGAAAGCCATCTCCTGTTGAGAGAAAGTCCGCACACCGTATTTCTCAACCCCGTCAGCGACGATGTTGTTGCCGCTCATCAAACCGGTGCCACGAGTCCAGCCGATGACTGCGCCGCAAATTGTGAGGTAGTCACCCCAGCTCTCGGAAGACCAACGGTTGAAGAGAGTCTCCAATGCGAGCTTGGACTCCGAGTAAAGACCGTCGTTACCGAAGGTACCGTGGTTGGGTGAGAGAGGCAGCATGACTTGAGCTGGTCGAGTGTTGAATCCGTTCTCGAATTTCTTCGACTTGACGGATCCGAGTAGACGGATCAGGTTCGTCAACATGATACGATGAGCAAGCTCGGACTTGGAATCGATGCTATCGATTTCGCGACCATTCTCGGGGATAGCGGCGAAAGGTACAATGTAATCCAGGTCCCAGCCAAGACCCTTCTTTGTGTCGTAGATATAGTCAACCAGGGCTTCCACATCCTGCTTGCTTCCTTGGTTGAATGGCACCACGACGAGCTGAGAGCCACGGCCGCCAAATCGAGCATACATTGACTGATAGTACTCGGTAACCTCACGCGAGTAGCGACTGGTCGTGACAACGACCTTGGCACCACCGCTGATCAGACCTTGCAGAACTTCAGCTCCGATGGAACCGGCACCGGCGCCTGTCATCAGTGCCATCTTGCCCTGGAAAGTCAGGCCTGATTTTGCCGCGTTCTCGAGTCCTTCAAGGTAGATGCCAGTCAATTTCTTGCTGTAGTCCCAACCATGTGGTTCCTTCTTTTTGAGATGTAGGAACGGGATTGTCTCGGTCTTGCCTTGTTTGACATTTCCGTTCATGGTAGCTCGTGGTATTCCGTTGCGGCCAGGTTTCTTGACATCGCCATTCTCCTGTGGCATGATCTGCGACTCGTTCATCGCCAGAGCACGGACAACATCTTTGTACAAGGTGTTGAACTGCAATTGCGAAGCCTTTGATAGCTTGTGCTGCTTTCGGATCAACCTGTAAACGTTGCGAAGGTCGTTCTGCACCTTGGTTCGATTGCTGTATTCGGAGATCTTGCCACCCTCGGCCATCTCACGCACGTAGTGCTCGAGCTTCCGGGCACTTTGACGAGGGACCTCTTGATAATCGAGATTGCCTCGAGCATCGATCGTGGTCTGAGGGCCAGTAGGGACCATAACGTCCTTGTAGACCGGTGCTTCATTCAAAACGTCCTTGCAGTTCTCAATGAGTTGCTCGCCTAGCTCCTTGGCCAGCTTGTAAGTCTCGCCTCGCTCGGTCGGGCAGTTGTCAATATGATATTGCATATATGCGATGAGGGTGGGGTTTGATCGGTTCATGATCCGGATGCACTGGCTGACAATTTCTCGGTCGACTGCCTTGAGACGGCCGAAAATGATGTCGTAGTACATGCTCAGAGCGTCTTGCCGAGCCCAGTTCCACGAGGAGTCGTAAACACGGGCTTTCAAGGGGCTAAAAGAGGGCTCAATTCCCGAAGCGTAAAATTCACCATGTTCGGTGTTCCACAGATCGAGTTGGGCTTGCAGAGCCTTGTTGGCCTCTTGAGAGCCGACGAAAGCCTTGTCGCCAGCACGCAGATCCATCTTGAGGTAGCGGGCTAACAGTTCGAGTTGCTGTTTGAACAGAGCCCGTTGATCCTTGGTCAAAGCATCGATAGCAGCCGGATCCATCATCATGCCAGCGCCAGCAGCACCAGCCGCGGCGCTGCCAGCTGAGGCAGAGGAAAGGCTGATGCCAGCTGTTGCAGCGTACTTCTGGGCCACATCACTGAAATAAGTCTTGGCATCATTCTCTGAGCCTAAACGCGAAGCTGGCTCCATGGTGAGAGCGAGCAGAAGAACACCATCCTGTCTGCCAGGCCCGAGGCCGAAGCTGGTCTCGAGGTGTTTTCTGACAGCCGTGATATTGAAGCCACCAGGCATTTTGGAGGCGACCAAGCGAGCGATCAGCGACTGCGACTGCTTGCCCAGCTGGCCATTGAATGTGGACTGCATTGAAGCACCAAGTTCGTCTAGAGGGGTGTCTTCTGGCTTCTCAGGTGTCGAACCAAATTCTTTGCCCAAATCTCCTAAAATTTCATTCTGCAAGGTCGATTTCCCACCGACCAAATCCTTGATCGCCTTGCTGAGGGGAATATCTGCGAGTGGTTTCTTCAGCTTCTGAGCCACCAATGCTCGCAATATGTCGACGGCTCCAACCGGAGCATCTGGTACCGCAGCAGCAGGCCCAGCGCTGGCTGCTGGTGGAGGAGCCGCCGCCGCGGCAGCGGCAGCAGGAGCAGGCGCTGAGGCCGCCGGAGCGGAGGATGAAGCTGGGGCAGCCGCTGGAGCAGCCTCTTCCTCCACCGGATCGACATCATAGTAAATTTCTTTCAGATCCTTGTTGTATGCCAGCACTTGTCGTGATAATGAGGTGGCAGCATCGTAGGTCTCGTATTTAGAGGCAAGAGTTCTCTTTGCCATTCCGCCGAGGGTGTCTGCGGGACCAATTTCAACAATTCTTTCTGTTCTGTTCGTCTCGAGGATGACATCTTGAGTCTCAATCCACCTGACTGGCGAGGCAAATTGGTATGCCAGGAGCTCAACGAGGAGCGTGTGGGCGAGCTCTTGCTCGATTTCGGGACGCATGACGGCGGTTTGTGGTAAATTCAGAAAATATGGAGTGTTCTCGTTCTCGAGTCTGAGGTCGGATTCACAAGTCAACCTATTGCCCGGTGCTGTATGAAGTTAATCAGAGCAGGGCAATGGCGAGCACAGGTTGTTCAAGTGAAGGAACTGTGCTTTGTCTAACGATCCGAGTCGGTAGCTATTATGGGAGGAAGGAGAGGATGGATGCGAGGAGGAAGGACCGGGTGCGGAGGAACTGGGAGGAGGGAAAGTGATGAAGTTGTTCGAAACCTCGATCTTCAGGTGTCCTGTGGCTTCGGGAAAGAAAAAGTAATCCGCAACCAGACGGCGATAAGTCCACGGACAAGAGGGTTGAACAGGATATGGAGACGGAAGGGGACAAGCGGCAAGCAAGGTGAGTTATGGCGATTTCGCTTTGGTTTTGGTTGGGATGGGATCTGTCAAGCTGTGTTTGGATGCTGTAACCAACTGCGGGCGGAGATGGAGAAAAAAATGGCCGCCGCTCAGCAGCCTGCTCAGCACAAAGGGCAAAAGGCTTGGAGATCTGTTGGCGGTTGGTCCCATGCACGAATCAGCCTGATAAGCTTGAACCATGACCACCTGCAGTGTTTGTTGGAGACGGCGAGAATGGGAAGGTTGAGAAAGGAGTGGGAAAAGAGTGGGCACTGTGGGTAAGCCGAAGTTGGCCGGCTGCGAGCCTGGCTCCCCCCACGAAAAATTTTGGGGAGGCAAAAAATCTCTAGGCAGGGTTTTTCCGCAGCCTGGCACCACCGGAGGTCCCCTAGGCACCTAAAGCATAGCTGGGAATTGGGGAAGTACCTGCACAGCTACGTAAAGTTGAGGTCACCACCTCACGCGTAGGGTTTTCATTGAGAGAACACAGTATCCTTTTCTGCTCGTGGACGCGACGGCTTGGAGGTTCGTGCAGGTGCTCACCCATTTAATCTTGCTGCCTGCGCTGTCTATCCACCCAGCGCAAGTCGGCTTGATTAGTATGAAGCTGTTGTCTGTGGTTTCCATTCTTCCGTTCAGAGGGTTGAGGAGGAAGCGATGACGCCGTTGCTCCTGTCCCTGCAGAAGCGCGCTGCCCACCAAAATTTTAGCGTGGCCTAGAGACCGGAGGGGCCCTGGTCCGGGGATTACCATTGGTCTAGATGTGGTGAGGGACCGCCGGGAGCAGGGATCCACAGCGCCCCGGCCGGCGTGAGGCTGGGCTTGGATGGGTTTCGATGGGCATGGATGGCCTGGAATGGCGGCGCTTTGGGGTTGCTGAGAGCCGAGCGATCGTTTGGGAGCGGCGAAGCGGGAAAAACTTTTGTGCTTCGCTCAACAGACACTCACAGCTTCGGCCATATTCGTATCGCAACATCACCAGATCCATCCAACATTGAAGACCCCCAATACAATCTGCTCTTCAGTGTCTTCCGTTGCTCCAGTTGCCACTTGTCCAGTTCCTCAATAACTAATCCTATCGTCCTACCAGCTGGACTCGCTTCCCGTCTAACATAACCTCTCGACGAACACTCCTTCCTATCTTCCTCACTCATTCCCTTCGCATAGCAACACACACACACACACAAGTCTCCAAGTGGCATTAGCTTGCTCACTTCGATAATTCAAAACTCCCTCGCATTATCATCATCGCACAGAATAGAGACATTCCATTCACACGACAGCCACCATGTATTCCGGCGGTGCGACCGGCACTCACACTCCTCGATCTTCCCAGAACCTCCGTCCTTTGATCCTCACTCACGGTTCTCTCGAGTACTCGTTCCTGATACCCACCGGCCTCCATTTCCAGGCATCACAGCTGAAAGATGCTTTTAATGCCTCGCTTCCAGAACCCACAGATGAGCTCGCTCAAGATGACGAGCCGTCATCAAGTGCCGAGCTGGTCGCTCGTTACATTGGCTTCATTGCCGCTGAAGTCGATGATGATGAGGAGGCTGCCGGTTTTGTTGAGGTGCTCAAGGTAGCTCTAAACGAGTTCGAGCGAGCTTTCATGCATGCGAACGACGTACATGCTTTGGCTGCAACACTACCGGGGATTACCGCAAAGAAAAATCTCCTCGTTCAATGCTACTACGCTGGTCGAGCAGCAGTGGCACGGCCCATTAAACCCCACGATTCGGCTCTGCTCCGAGCAGCAGATGACGAGGAGGCCAGTATTTTCACCGTGTTTGGTGGCCAGGGAAACATTGAAGAATATTTTGAGGAGCTGCGGGAGGTGTACACCACATATCCATCCTTCACCAAAGATCTAGTTGAAACCTCGGCAGAGCTCCTGCAGACGTTGGCCAGAAGTCCAAAGGCAGACAAGTTTTACACCAAAGGCCTAGACATCCTCAGTTGGCTCGCCGACAAGGAAACACAGCCAGACACCGATTACTTGGTCTCTGCACCCGTCAGCTTGCCGCTGATCGGACTGGTCCAGCTTGCCCATTATCAAGTGACCTGCAAAGTCCTCGGTAAGACGCCCGGCGAGGTCAATGAGCGCTTCAATGGAACTACCGGCCACTCCCAAGGTGTGGTTACCGCTGCCGCCATCGCCACTGCGACTTCGTGGGAGAGCTTTGCGAAGGCCGCTAGAGATGCCATTACGATGCTCTTCTGGATTGGCATGCGAAGTCAGCAAGCCTACCCTCGCACAAGCATGGCGCCCTCGATCCTGCAAGACTCGCTCGAAGCCGGCGAAGGCAACCCCACACCCATGCTTTCAGTGCGAGATCTATCCAAGAAGCAACTTCAAGAGCACATTGACGCGACCAACGAGCATTTGCCCAAGGATCGACACATTGCCATTTCTTTGGTGAACAGTGCCCGTAACTTCGTGGTGACCGGGGCTCCAATCTCGCTGCACGGTCTGAATCTTCGACTACGAAAGGTCAAGGCTCCGACTGGTCTGGACCAGAACCGCATTCCCTTCACAGAGCGTAAAGTGCGCTTCGTCAACCGGTTCCTCCCAATCACCGCACCTTTCCACAGCCCTCTCTTGAGCGAGGCATACAAGCATATCCTCGAAGATCTGGCCGAGACTAGGATCCCTGCTTCTCGCTTGACCATTCCCGTGTACGACACAAACACTGGTGAGGATCTTCGCGCCCAGCAAGACAAGGATGTGGTTCCGGATTTGGTGCGTATGATCACCCAGGATCCTGTACACTGGGAACAGGCTACAGTTTTCGAAGGCGCCTCCCATATCATCGACTTTGGCCCAGGAGGAATTTCCGGCCTCGGAGTCCTCACCAACCGTAACAAAGATGGTACCGGTGTCCGCGTGATATTGGCTGGTGCCATGGATGGCACCAACACGGAAGTTGGATACAAGCCCGAACTTTTCGACCGCGACGAAGAGCATGCAGTGAAGTACGCAACCAACTGGGTCAAAGAACATGGACCCAGACTCGTCAAGACTTCCGTCGGTCAGACATATGTCGACACTAAAATGTCCCGCTTGCTGGGGGTGCCGCCTTTGATGGTTGCCGGCATGACTCCCTGCACAGTTCCGTGGGACTTCGTTGCCGCGACTATGAACGCCGGCTACCACATCGAATTGGCTGGTGGTGGCTACTACAACGCAAAGAGTATGACGGAAGCGCTGAACAAGATCGAGAAGGCTATCCCCCCTGGGCGAGGCATTACTGTCAACTTGATCTATGTTAATCCCCGCGCCATGGGCTGGCAAATTCCGCTCCTCGCCCAGCTCCGCGCTGACGGTGTCCCCATTGAAGGTTTGACAATCGGTGCGGGCGTGCCGTCGATCGAGGTCGCTCAAGAGTACATCGACACTCTTGGGATCAAGCATATTGCTTTCAAGCCTGGCTCTATGGACGCTATCCAGCAAGTCATCAACATTGCCAAAGCCAACCCCACATTCCCTGTCATTCTGCAGTGGACGGGTGGTCGCGGTGGTGGGCATCACTCTTTCGAAGATTTCCATCAGCCAGTCATCCAGATGTACGGCCGTATCCGGAAATGCCAGAATATTATCCTGGTGGCAGGCAGTGGTTTCGGCGGGTCTCAAGATACTTACCCGTATTTGACCGGTACCTGGTCGCGCAAATTCGGCTATCCGCCAATGCCCTTTGATGGTATTCTCTTTGGAAGCCGCATGATGACGGCGAAAGAGGCCCATACCTCTCTCAATGCGAAGAAGGCCATTGCTGAGGCAGAAGGTGTTGATGATACGGAGTGGGAGAAAACATACAAGGGACCGGCTGGTGGTGTTATCACCGTTCGATCAGAGATGGGCGAGCCGATTCACAAGCTTGCGACCCGCGGTGTGAAATTCTGGGCCGAGATGGACCAGAAGATCTTCAGCTTGGACAAGAAGAAGCGAGTCGCAGAGCTTAAGAAGCAGCGCGAGTACATCATCAAGAAGCTCAACGACGACTTCCAGAAAGTTTGGTTCGGCAAAAACTCTGCTGGGGAGACGGTTGATCTTGAGGACATGACCTATGCTGAAGTGGTTCGACGCATGGTTGAGCTCATGTACGTGAAGCACCAGTCTCGCTGGATCGAGGTTACACTTCGCAACCTCACTGTCGATTTCATCCGCCGAGTCGAGGAGCGCTTCACCGTTGGCTCTGGGAAACCCTCCCTTATCCAGAGCTACGCAGAATTTGAGAATCCCTTCCCCGTCGTGGACAAAGTTCTGGCCGCCTATCCTGAGGCTGAAACTCAGTTGATCAACGCGCAAGATGTCCAGCATTTCCTGCTCTTGTGCCAGCGACGCGGTCAAAAGCCTGTGCCATTCGTCCCCTCTCTGGACGAGAATTTCGAATTCTGGTTCAAGAAGGATTCCCTTTGGCAATCCGAGGATCTGGATGCTGTAGTAGATCAAGACGTTGGCAGAACCTGTATCTTGCAAGGACCCATGGCAGCCAAGTACTCCACCAAGGTCGACGAGCCCATCAAAGACATTTTGGACGGTATTCACCATGACCACATCAATGGGTTGATACAAGATTTCTACGGTGGACACGAGTCTGCCGTCCCAGTCATCGAATATTTTGGTGGCAAGATCATCACATCTGCAGAGAGTGTCGTGGAGCTGGACGGTGTCACTGTTATTCCCGACGGCTCACGGACCACATACAGGCTTTCGACATCGCCGTCCGCTACACTGCCTGATGCTGAAGCTTGGATCCAGCTCCTTGCCGGTAAAAACTACTCATGGCGACATGCCTTCTTCACGGCCGATGTTTTCATACAAGGTGCCCGTTATCAGAACAACCCCATCAGGCGTATCTTAGCCCCCACTCGAGGCATGACTGTTGAGATTGCCCATCCGAAGGATCCTTACAAGACAACGATCGTCGTCAAGGAGCCCAGCCAGTCCGGAAGGATGGTTAAGACGCTCGACATTAGTCTGTTAGGCAAGAATGAGATCCTGATGAACATGTGGGAAGAAAGAACCGCAGAAGGAGAAGCTGTTGCCCTTCCGTTCAAATTCATCTACCACCCAGAAACTGGCTATGCGCCGATTCATGAGGTTATGGATGGTCGCAACGATCGCATCAAGGAATTCTACTACCGAATTTGGTTCGGTGAGAAGGATGTGCCCTTCGACTCCCCCACTACGAACGTCTTCGATGGTGGCAGGGCGACCATTGTTACCCAAGATGTTGCTGATTTTGTTCATGCTGTTGGCAACACTGGTGAAGCATTCGTCGACCGTCCGGGCAAGGAAGTCTTTGCTCCCATGGATTTTGCAATTGTGGTTGGGTGGAAGGCTATCACCAAGCCGATTTTCCCTCGCGCGATTGACGGTGACCTCCTCAAGCTCGTTCATCTGTCGAATGGCTTCCGCATGCTTCCTGGTGCCGAACCCTTAAAGGTTGGCGACGAGCTTCACACATCTGCCCGGATCAACGCAGTGCTCAACCAAGACTCCGGCAAGATGGTCGAGGTTTGCGGAACCATTACCCGAAGAGGTCAACCCGTGATGGAAGTGACCAGCCAGTTCCTCTACAGAGGTACCTACACGGATTACGAGAACACCTTCCAACGCAAGCAGGAGACGCCGATGCAGGTCACGCTCGCTTCATCCAAGGATGTCGCTGTTCTTCGATCCAAAGAATGGTTCCACCTTGATGAGCCGGACATTGATTTGCTGGGACAAACTTTGACATTCCGTCTGTCAAGCCTCGTTCGCTTCAAGAACAAGACTGTCTTCTCAAGTGTCGAGACTGTCGGCCAGGTCGAATTGGAACTCCCCACCAAGGAAATCATTCAAGTTGCTTCTGTCGAATACGAAGCGGGGGCTTCTCATGGGAATCCAGTGATTGATTATCTCCAGAGGAACGGCCAGACCATCGACCAGCCTGTCAATTTTGAGAACGCGATCCCTCTTAGTGGCAAGACCCCCTTGACCCTCAGAGCCCCGGCTTCCAACGAGACCTATGCTCGTGTCTCGGGCGACTACAACCCCATCCACGTGGCGCGTATCTTTGCCAGCTATGCCAACCTTCCTGGCACCATCACACACGGCATGTATTCCAGCGCTGCCGTTCGAAGTCTGGTTGAGACTTGGGCTGCGGAGAACCATATTGGCCGTGTCCGAAGCTACCATGTCTCTTTGGTCGGCATGGTCCTCCCCAACGATGACTTGGAGGTCAAACTCGAACACGTCGGCATGGTCGCCGGTCGAAAGATCATCAAGATCGAGACGACCAATAAAGAAACTGGCGACAAGGTGCTGCTCGCTGAAGCCGAAGTTGAACAGCCGGTGTCGTCGTATGTGTTCACTGGTCAAGGTTCGCAGGAGCAAGGTATGGGCATGGACCTCTACGCACGCAGCCCCGTGGCCAAGGAGGTGTGGGACCGAGCCGATCGTCACTTCATGGACAACTATGGTCTTTCCATCATTAATATTGTCAAGAACAATCCCAAGGAGTTGACCATCCACTTTGGAGGGCCGCGTGGCAAAGCCATTCGCCAAAACTACATGGCAATGACTTTCGAGTCCATCAATGCTGACGGCTCGGTCAAGTCAGAGAAGATCTTCAAGGAGATCAACGAAAACACATCGTCTTACACCTATCGCTCACCTACTGGTCTGCTGTCTGCCACACAATTCACGCAGCCAGCCTTGACACTGATGGAGAAGGCCGCTTTTGAGGACATGCGCTCCAAGGGCCTTGTCCAGCGCGACAGCAGCTTTGCCGGTCACTCCCTGGGAGAATACTCTGCTCTCGCTTCGATTGCAGAGGTCATGCCCATTGAGAGTTTGGTGTCTGTCGTGTTTTACCGCGGGTTGACCATGCAAGTTGCCGTGGAACGTGACGAGCAAGGACGAAGCAACTACTCCATGTGCGCGGTGAACCCGAGCCGTATCTCCAAGACGTTCAACGAACAGGCGTTGCAATATGTCGTGGAGAACATTGCCGAAACCACTGGCTGGTTGGTGGAGATTGTCAACTACAATGTTGCTAACATGCAATATGTGTGCGCTGGTGATCTCCGCGCGCTTGACTGCTTGACGAACGTGCTCAACGTTCTCAAGATGCAAAAGATCGACATCCAGGCCTTAATGCAGCAGATGTCTTTGGATGATGTCAAGGCCCACCTGGTTGAGATCATTGGCGAGTGCCGCAAGAGGACGGAAGCCAAGCCGCAGCCGATTGAGCTCGAACGAGGCTTTGCCGTCATTCCGCTCAAGGGCATTGATGTTCCTTTCCACAGCACCTTCTTGCGATCTGGCGTCAAGCCATTCCGTTCTTTCTTGCTGAAGAAGATCAACAAGACGAGCATCGATCCGGCGAAATTGGTAGGAAAGTACATTCCCAACGTGACAGCCAGACCCTTCGAGATCTCCAAAGAGTATTTTGAAGAGGTCTACCGGCTGACCAACTCGCCTCGGTTGGCGAAGATCTTGGAGGACTGGGACTCGTACGAGAATGCGGGAGATTCAGGGGTGAGGCGCCTTTCTTCGGTGGCATAGTTAATCACAGCATTGTCTTTGCTTCTTGACGGGGCGTTGTTTGCTTTTGCGGAGGTGTTTCCGAAAAGGGAGCGAGGATAGCAAAATCGGGCGCATGGGGAGAGTCGAACAAGGTTCGGTATGGGACAGCATGGGTTGAACTACCACAGCATTAGATTTCTTTTTTTTTTGGTGTCCTTTGTGTAAAGATAGTGGCGAGGACAGCAAGTCCAGCGCACCCTGTGGAGATAATGAAAGCGGCATTCATTTCTCTAATTCAATCTTGAAGTATCGTTAATCGGTTCTTGCTTCCTCCTCCGCTCCTCTTCGTGCCAGCTATTGTCAAGCCACCGCCAGGGTGAGGATTTGATGATAGCGTCGCAGGACATTCGCACCTTGGTGGCAACAGAAGGATACTGTTCGGTAAGGAGCCGGTACAATGCACGGAATATGGAGCATCGCTACGCAACCTCGTTTAGCTACCGATGCGCGCCGTTCGTGTAACAGGCTGATAATTCTGGAATTTGAGGCTGAGATTGCGTTACCTCAGATCACGGGTCTCATCTCCACCGCGTTGGAGAAGGAGCTGAATCCCAGCTTTTGCACGAGGTCGGGCTAGTGGGAGAAGGGATCACTGACAACGGCGATGATGCTGACTGGCTTGAAGACGAGGGCGCCTCAACGCCTTCTGCTTGTGACTCGGCGTCAGTAATGGCTCTCCGGCGGGCACCTCACCTGTCGAGTTCTAACGCGAACTTCACTTCACCACTGAAAGCCTTGACCAAGTTTGTAATAGGTGAAACGTGATGAGCAACAGGATGTACTCGTAGAGGGCTGCTTTGTCTATCAGTGGAGGAAAGCAGAGGCACTCCAAGCATCAGTGCCGTCCCGTCGACGGGTACCTAGGGCGCAGAACAAAGGAAAGAACCGTTCAGGGGCCGAAAGACGGAGGGGGGCACGCCTATCAATGGCCCTTATTCGCCTGTTTTCGGTAAGAACCCATTCCCCCCCGCCTAGGCTGGGCCCTTGGCAGTGGAACCCAGGGCTCTCCTCTCCCCTGGGTGGGTGCCTGGTGCCCCTCCGCAACTTGCCATCCGGGGCCTCGAACTTGATCACAGCTTCAATCCGTCCACACACTTCTTCTGAATCTCTTCTTCCCTGTTCATTCACCATGGGCACTAATGCACGCCGATTCCTGTCCTGGCATTTGCTCCACGCATCTTCTTTGCATGGCCCAACCAGATCCCTCTTCCCTGCCTCGAATTGGCTTTGTGCAACCGTTGCAATCACTGACCCAGCTGCTCAGCACTGTTTGGAGGCAACACCGCACTTTCGAAAGGTAAGGCTACCATGGGAGGCAATCGGGCGCGCCTGCGCCTGGCCGACCGCAAAAAGGCACTGGACTTACCCTGGTCCTGAGTCGTGTTCCGTTCCGTTTGCTCTCGTCTGATCAATTCTATCCGTGTCTCCTGTCCTGATACCTTGCTTCCGAATGTATTGCGCCGTTGCAGTCGACGCGAGCGCGGATCTGCGCCATGAGTTGACTACCTAGCCGACTACAGGTTCTGCTCAGATCCCTCGCCCGGGAGGAATCAGGCCGAGATGGATATCTCCTCCCTGGTTCGAGCTGGTACGTTCCTATCTCCTAGAGGAAGCTCTGGCTAACCTCTGTTGCCAGTTATCGCAGCGTTCGATGATGCCACGAAACTGGTCCAGCGAATCCGTGACCAAAGAACGAATAGCGACGGCATGCAATTGCCGGAAGAAGCGACTCGAGACCTTCTGGAATCTCTTGCCCTTGGGCCCATCATTGTCCGTGGCCACTATGAGCACGACCTCAAACGGTTCGGAGAGCCTTACGCCTGTGGTGATATACAAGCGCGGGAGCAACTGAAAGATGTCTTGATCACCTTACAAATGTCTCTGATCATCACCTTAAGGACAGTGTATATGGACGGGATTGAACTTGATTTTCTTGCGCTCCAAGCAGCGTCGGATGATTGTCGAGTGAATGCTGGTGTCTGCCTGGGCCAATTGTCTCAGCGACTTTCGGACGCGATGAGAGCACAGGCATTCTACCCCCAAACCTTGTCTTACTCGTCAGCCCCTGGACTGCTGCCTCCTCTCTCACCGTCCCTGGGCTATTCAAGCAGCCGCAGCACTCACTCATCAGCCGCCTTTCCTGCTCCTCGCACACCCGACCCGGTGGCGGAGCAGTTTGGTCAGCTTTGCATTTCGCCATCTTTCCGTCAACCATTTGAAGAACGAAAAACGTCGATTAGTTCCGGGGGCTCTCAGGAGCAATATCTACATCCTCAGTCCACCACGGCCCATAGGCCAGCCGCCGGGTTTCATGTGAACATACCCTCTGTGGGAGTTCACAGGATTGACGAAGCCGATGACCGAAGTTTGCGACGAAGGTCATCGCAGGCTCTGGCATCCGATGACAACATCTTGCTGATGTTTCCTCAGCCCGGTGGCCAGCCTGTTGTGCCACCCCCCGCAAGTACACAAGATATCCATCGAGAATCCTATATCTCCACGGGTAAGAACAGCCACACGCCTTCGTCTCCCGATCTCTCCCGAGCGTCTAGCGGCCATCAAAGTCAGGGTTCAAGAGATCGATTTGGGCCTGATGACTACGGGGACCATATTAACCGGGAGGATGGCAGGCAATTCAGCAATGGTACCATCTACGACATGTATCAGCCAACGAGCCCGGAGAGACAGGCTTCTACCTCTTACTCCTCGAGAGCACAAGCCTCTAACCACAGCAGCTTTGAGTATGTGCGATACCTTCAAGAAAATAGCAGACCACCAAGACGAGAACCGAGATCTGATTCACTTGGCGTTGCAACGAGAGTGGACCGAGAAATTCCTCGACGACCAGTTCGATCCCAAGCTGACACTACAACGCTATCGCGAGAATTTCACTCTCGTCCGTCTGTGTCTGCACCCATTCCAATCGAGCCAGCTCGTACACCACCACCAAGTGGTCCTCTCCCACCACCACCAGTTCAATCTCATCCTCAATCTGTGGCTCCTAAACACCCGTTACCGCCTCCCGGCCGTGCGCCTTCAGTACGTACCATGGCATCGTCTACCGCGCCCTCGGTCACCCCCCTGATAAATACCGGGCCAGTCGTCCTCCCTACAGATAAAAACCTTCTGGGATTCTGCAAGGGAGCATTTCGTCTTCAAGCCGGCATGGAGCGCAAAGCATTCACCATTGCCAACCGCCCACACGGTTTGTCTGGGATGACTGCATACTGGCGCTGTGAGAAGTGCAACTTCGAGGGACCTGTCCACAACACGGTCAACACTTCTGATGACAAAAAGAAAAAGGGAAAGCCCGAGAGAGTCTTTGATCCTAGGATCCGTATTTCGGAAGGTGGCGGTATAAGGTATCGTTGGGCTTTCCTCGCGAGGTGTCATGTTTCATTGAAAGGAATGGCACCCATCGATACACCCTCTGGTAGGGACGGGAGTTTCGGAAGTTTTGGATGCATCTTTTGTTGCGCGGAAGGGAAAAGTCGGGGGTGGATTGACTTATCAAGGACGGCGAGTAATGTTGCTGGGTCGATTGCCGGGTCAAATGGGAGCATCAAGTCGGGGCATGGAAGCATTAATCCGACCAAGGTTAATGGTGCCGCACAGGTAACGACACCTATCTTTGGCAACGTAAGCAGTTTCATGCAACACCTCGAGAGCGTCCATCGACAACAGGATGGTTGGCCGAATGCCGAGATGGTCGGTCGATTCCGCGTCGTGGTGGGCAGAATGGCACCGGTGGAAGAGCCTGGTTGGGAGGTGAATTTTGTACCATTTTGATCAGGAAGATTCAGTCGAAGCAATCTATTTTGTATCCGGCCAGGCGGACATGCATGTTAGGGCAGCATGGGGGTAACCGTCCATTACTGACCGTTCTTGACTCTGATGCTAAGTATCGCGGGCACGTAGTTGGGACTGGGGAGGCACGAGGGTCTGTTATCCGTGTACCAGGATCGTCCCATTCCAGGGGGCTTCAGGGCATTTGGAAGACTGGCCTGTATACTATCCAAGATATATTGTTTTACATTTCCTTTCCAAAGCCGCATGTACCGTCTTGACCTTTTCATTGAATGGCCGAAGTGGACGGCACGGCTGTGGTGACGCCCAGCCTTGTCTTGCTGATTCCGCTGCAGAATCTGCCTTGCGAGGCTGCCAGACGATGCAGGACGCTACACACGGCGGTTATCCACAGAGGCTGCCAATCAGGCAGCATTTGCCTTGGGCACGAGGACGTCTCTTTCCGAACCCCATGTCATCGCCATGACAGTTCCCAAATCACATCCACGACTCTCACATGTCCTCCCGATCCCTCAAACCACCGAGGTTGACCGCGCACTATTATAACACTTTGAAGCAACCTCGCAGTGCTGAAGCCGGTAGCCAATTTCGTCTTGAGAAGCACCGCCAGGACCCCTCATTTGGTTCAGCCGCACAGTGCACGCCAGCTCGGTGGTCATCAAAATGGAGGCTGTAGCCGCTCTCAGTCTCGCATGCAATATCATTCAAGTGGTAGACTCATCTTTCAAGGCTGTAGAGACGTGCATTCAGATTTACAAACATGGAACTACCATTGATATCGAGCATCTCAGTTATACGAGTGATCAACTGTCTCAAAGCTCTGAAGCGCTTGACAAGGCTCAGTCTGTCCAGGCGAGAGCACAGCTGTCCAAAAACGATGCCGACCTAATCGAGCTTGGCAAAAAGGTCCATGATGCAGCAGAGTCTCTGAGCAAGGAGCTCAACTCTCTCAAAAGTGCTCCCGGGGCGGGCCGGAGAGCCGCTCTTGTCAAGACTATAGCCTTGAAATGGCGAGCGTCACGTATCGAAGAGCTAAAGAGGCGGCTCGAGGGACTGGTCCAGGTTCTGGATAATAAGATCCTTGTTCAACTGAGGTACACCACAACATCTTGAACATAGAGGAACTCGCCACTAATGATTCTGGACAGCGAGAAATTGAGCGTCACCATCCGAAACCAGGGAGATATCCCGAAGATGTTAGACGAAAGACAAGAGGAAATTGCTCGGAAGATCGCAGAGGGTACCACGAATGTGGCACAGCTGGTCTCTTTGATGAGCGATCAAGCAAGAGCTCACGTCACGCAGGAGCATATTGACACCAGAAACCGCATTGACACAATTGACAAGAAGATCGACAAGCTCGTGGATGTTCAACATCAAAAGGCCGAATTTGACAAGTTCAAGCAAAGCCTCCATTTTCCGGAGATCAATTTGAGACAAGACAAGATCGAAGAGGCTCATGAGAAGACCTTTGAATGGATATTTGAGAAGCAGGACACATCTCAACGTTGGCACAATTTTCCCGATTGGTTACAGAATGATCAACCGTTATACTGGATCCTCGGAAAGCCGGGCTCAGGCAAATCTACTTTGATGAACTTTCTCGTGCATGACCGAAGGACATTGGAAGGACTGGAATCCTCAGGACAGCCAGTGACCATACTGTCTTTCTTCTTCTGGGAAGCCGGTGTCGAACTGCAGAAAAGCCGCGTCGGTCTTCTACGCTCCTTGATATATCAACTCCTCGAGGATATCGATCAGTCCAAGGCGCTCCAGGTCTGGTCCGATGTTATCCAACCTCACATCCCAGCGCTACCGGTCATATGGACCAACAAGCAGTTACTTCACCTCCTACAATTGATCGTGCATGCCGTGGACCAACGGTTCTGTTTCTTCCTGGACGGACTTGACGAATTCCAAGATGATGTGGATGGAACCGAGGCCATTAGGTCTTTACAAGACGTATTGAATGGTCAGAATCGCATAAAGATGTGCATATCCAGTCGACCCCAGATCAACCTTAGAGAGTTGTATCAGGGCTGTCCTAACCTTGTGATGCAAAATCTGACGAAGGCGGATATTAGACGCTATGTTGAAGACAAATTACTCAGGAATCCCTTGACGGTTCAGCTCGGTGACGAACATTCGACGCAGGTATCTCGACTTTTGAACGATGTCGGTGTCAAAGCCGAAGGGGTGTTCCTCTGGGTCACCCTAGCTGTCCAATCGTTGTTACGTGGAATCAAGAACGAGGACCGCTGGGATACCTTACGGGAACGTCTTGACCAGCTGCCGTCTGGGATCTTTGACCTCTACACACACATGTGGAGAAGAATGGCGGACGATTATCCCATATATGCCCAGGAAGCTGCACTTTATCTCAGAATCATCCAGCAATTTGGACCAAAAAGCCTGGTCCGAATGGCCATCATGGTTGACGACGATCTACATGCAAGTTTCTCAAAACCAGCAGCCTCTTGGAGGATTGAGCAACTTGAGCTAAAAGTGAATTACGAAAAAACGGAGAAAAGAATTGCAGCATGTTGTGCTGGATTTTTAGAGGTTATGCGACTCCCTTCTTACCCGAGGTTGGATGAGCATATCAAAGCAGCCAAAGAAAGGCTGGAACACCGCACCCCTAAGATACAGCCTGATATCATTGAACGCTGGTTGGACCAGGGGCTCGCAAATCAGACAATATTCGTGGACTTTGTGCACCGGACGGCTGCAGAATTTCTCAACACCTCCGCAGGCCAAGAATTGCTGCGCGCTCGGCTGTGTACGGAAGAAGAGCTTGTCATGCAGTTCCTCAGATCAGATCTCATCTTAAGTTTTCTTGCTCCTCAAGGACCGACTTTCGATGAAAGTGCTTGGATGTTGTTCCCAGCTCTGTCGCAAATGGAGCCGGATACAATCACCCAATACTGTTCAGAGCTGGAAGCCATCTGCAGGCAACTCTTCGCCTGGGGTCTGTGGGATATGCATGAACTGGACCCAAGACTTCTTATGCGAGGGAGGCTCGGCGAGGTAGACTACATCAAGCTCTTCTTTAACTTTTGTCATCCGCAGTACGTGATGAACAAGCTGAATGAAGACGGCCTCGCGAATGACCGGGATTACATCAACGAGTTGCTTGTTTGGTGGGCTTATGGTCAACTTAGCAGATTTAATGTTATTCAGATCGGCCTGCTGCTGATTCAGCTGGGGGCTGACCCCAACCAGATCCTCCATCCAAAAGCCGGTCTTAACTCCCTGACGATCTGGACAGCAGTCATAACTGGGGTATCGTTCCGGCAGGGCAATGACTTTAGATCCCTGGTGCCGCAATTGCTTGAAGCCGGGGCTGATCCAAAGAGCGGCCTCACCTGTTGCTTCGAATGGGGACAGGGAAAGTCATACTGTCAAGAATGCCTAGAACCGAGCATATCAAATGCTTTCATTTTGTGCAAATGGAGCGTTTTGGACATGGTCACAGAGTTTGCTGATGAGCCTGCAAATGTCATTGAAAGCACATGGCTCAACTCAGGCGCAGTAAGCACACAGAAACAAATTCTCTGGTTCCAGCCGCCGATATCGTGGCGCATATCTCCTAACAAAGTTTTGAAAGGTCGAATACACCTGTTTTACAGTGGGCATGGAGATCCCCCCGAGCTCCTGTTTGATCTAAATGATCACACTCTGGATGATCTTAGAGAACTATACAAAGGCGAATTTCGTGCCTTCAGCAATGGCCTCGATGCAATTCATGCAGCTGGATGGACGGACGAGGAGATCCGCACAACTCCTGGCCTGGAAAGGCTGTGGGAAGAATTGCAAGAAGCCGATCACAAAGGTCAAGAGGGTCATACGGAGATTCCGGTGCGGGAAAGCAACATCGAGAATGCGTAGCGGAGTTTCCCATCTCTACAGATACGAACTGAGACTCTGTCGAGGTTGCTGTTGGTTTTGTTTCTATAATGTGAAGCGGATTTCTTGGCCTTACACTGCTTCTGATTGATGAATGAGCCTCTGAGCCGGCCAGACTTTCAGGCTTTAAATTACGGAATGATAGCTTCTGACTTCTTTAAATCGTGCCCATGACCATTCAGAAAGCTTCGATACGTGAACAAGCAACGTCCACATACTTACCTTCAACAGATATAAAGGAAGCCGTCGGCGAATGACTCCCAGGTGCAATCACCTATATGCTCCTCTATACCCTCACCCTGTGAGGGCTCCGAAGCTCTGAGCGCGCTCAAATAGAAGCACCGTTGTTCATCATACTACCTATGTACCAGTAAAAGCCTCTACATTGTACACAGACATTGAACAGAGGATGCGTGGATCGGGTTATGTGCGCGAACCTCGGCAAGGCTGCGATTCCCAGGGGTACGAACGCGCCAAATCCTCCCGACCGGCCGCGCTGCACTGTTTCGTGTCCTCTTCAAGGGTGGCTGACTACCTGTCACTCTTGTCACGGACGAAATGGCTGCTTCCACATTCTACCCAATTTGTAAGAGGCACAAGGTTTGGCGGCATCCGAGGCGAATACGACCCAGGCAAGCTTCACGAAGGAGTCCCCTTGGGGCAACACGCGAGGATAAAGGCCCAACCCTGACTCTCCAGCGACCTCGGCTCGGACGCTCGGGGAGCCTCGAAGGGGATAACGTTATCAAACAGAGTGGGCGGGAATAGAACTTGGAGCTGAGGTTCTTCGACTATCCATCGTATGACAGCCATCTGCAATTCTACGGACCGCAACCCTCCGAAACCCGTGACGCTGGCTCAGAAGAATTCGTCCGTCCCAACCACAGCTGAGCCTCGATGCAGCCTCCCCCATATCATGAGTCTGCACGTCCCTCGTAGTCTAGATGTGGGTCTGCGCTGATGGTGCTAATCCCTCGCTAGGGCGATTGTTGCCTGGAGCTAAATCGTTCCAACAAATAGCGAAAGGGGCAAAGGCAGACTAGCGCATGGTCAACAGCTTCCATCAACCTCTTACTCCCACGGACTGCGGTGTGTTTTGTATCCGCGTCTTTGCTCTGTTTATCTGCCGCGGACGAAAGACGGAGAGCTCGCAAGTGGTTGTCCCGAGTGTTTCAATGCACTATGACATGGCGTGGTCGGGTCATGGAAGCGCATCGTCGCATCGATGTTGGCGAGGTCGAAGATGTATCCTGTCTTCGATGTATTGTGTCCTCGTGGCAGAGGTGCAGCCCGGAAGGTACGGAAAAAAGACATCCGCTGAATACATCGTACCGTGACGAACGTGTCAATGAGGCAAGAGATGGGAAAGCGAGAGTTCATTGAACCCTTTCATTGCAGATCGACTCGGCGTAAGTTTTCCCGCCAAACGAGGTCGTAAACCCTATTGTAGAACCGATAAATAATCAGCGTTGGGATTACTGAACCGCTCAAATTGCAGTGCGAATACGCCGTCAGTAGGGCGCGCTCCGACGTTAGCACGGTGCGAGGATATAACTATTCCAGACGCGGTGCGTGGGCTGACAAGCTCTCTTCAAGCACACACATAGCTCTCGACACCTTTTTAAGAACTCTCTCTAACTCGGTACGCTGTCTCTCGAAGCTGCAACTCCATCCTCAAAAGTCATTATGGCATCTCAAGAAATCTCGGCCGAGTTCCCCTTCACCAAGCAAAGAGTCCCCGTCCTCGACTCGACAATGGCATACGTAGACACCGGAGCCCCGACTCCCGCGTCGCCGACAATAGTCTTGATGCACGGCAACCCAACCTCGTCCTACCTCTGGCGCAACATCATCCCGCACCTGTCGCCGATCGCGAGATGTGTGGCGCCCGACCTCGTGGGGTTTGGCGATTCCGGGAAAATGCCCGCCAACACGTACTACGTGCGCGACCACATCCGGTACTTCGACGCGTTCATGGACGCCGTCGTCCTCGACGCAGACGCCGAGAAGCCGAACAAGGTGTTCCTGGTGCTTCACGACTGGGGCAGCGCCCTCGGGTTCCACTGGGCGAGCCGCCACGAGGCGCGGGTGGCCGGGCTGGTGTTCATGGAGTTCATCCTCGCGGGGATGAAGCTGGACGACCTCCAGGGCGGCCGGCAGGTGTTCCAGAACTTCCGCACCGAGGGGGTCGGGCGCCGGCTCATCGTGCAGGAGAACGCCTTCATCGAGCTCGTCCTGGCCAAGCTCGGCGTCGTGCGCGGCCTAACCGACGCCGAGCTCGCGCACTACCGGGCTCCCTTTGTCGACCCGGCGACGCGCGAGCCGATCTACCGGTTCCCCAACGAGATCCCCTTCGACGACCACCCGCCGGACGTGGCGGGGCTCGTCCGCGCGTACTTCGCGTGGCTTGCCGCCACCGACGTGCCGAAGCTGATGTTCTGGGCCACCCCGGGGGCTATCGTATCCGTGGAGAAGGCCAAGGAGCTGGCGAGCCAGATGAAGAACATTGCCAGCGTGGACGTAGGGCCCGGGAGCCACTATTTGCAGGAGGACAATCCGCACCTGATCGGGAGAGAGACGAGGAACTTTGTCGAGCGAGTCTGGAAAGAACAGGAGCCGAAGCCGGCCCTCTGAGTCCCCGTAGTAATCGTCCTCCCGGCCCTTACAGAGAGGTGGACATCCTTTCTTCCCTCCAAACGGGAAACCTCGTCTGGGGCCTGGCCAGAATTCTATATCCTTCATATACAGTCGCTTAAATTGAGTCATGATGTCCCGGGTTTCTTCATGCATTCGCGCAGCTGTACTGAGCCGAGCCTGGTTCGGTGCGTTATTCCACGGCCATTCCGTACCTGATCCTCCCAAGTGGATTCATGGAACTCCGCCTCCTTTTTTGCCGCAGCCTCCGGCACTCTCAAGGATGTATTTTAGTTCCGGTCTTGTTGATCTCGGCTTCCTTGTTGAGTGGTCGGTCTGATTGAACGGAATGAGGGATCCAGCATGTGGAGACAGCCCAGAGAAAACGTTGGGCACATAACCACAGATGATGCGCTCGGGATCCTTCCGGAGTCGCTGAGCATTTCCGACCGTCAGATGCGAACGGGGCTCCTTCTTGACTACCGAGCGAGGATCTTCTCCGCGGTGAGATCCTCTGCAGCCACTAGCGAGGCAATGGAGAACTGTCGACGTGAGAACGTAGAGGCCCGCAGCAGTGTCAGGTCAGGAGCAGGATCGTCTGAGACTCCCGGAGGACAGTGCTCCACGAGACGTGCAACTCTCCCGCATCACGTCGCCGCCACACCTCTTTCGCCACCATCTCGGCGGCCTCTGCGTTCTGGAATCCTGCCCAAGCGGCGTGCCTCATGCAAAGTATGGCGCGGCGGCGCAGGTTGTCCCCCAGAGCTTCGCACGCGGCGATAAAGCTGGGCCACACGGTGACTCCGAGCCGCACGCCTGGGAAGAAGCATTGCTTGCTTTCGTGATGCAGTTCGAGGTTGCTGAGGATACTCTCGACGTAGTGCTGCAGGATAATGGGATTGGTCCCCCGCACAAATCGGAAGAAATACACCATCAACGCGTGGTGCATTGCCGTCGCGATATTCGACTTCATCGTCTGCGACGGATCCGGGAGGCCGTCGGCAGAGCTGCAGCTCAGCAAATCGAAAGGGTTGTCGTTGGTCTCGGCCGGTTTTTCTGGTGTCTCCCAATGACAGATATCTCGCTCCAAGGCGGCGGCGGCTTCGACCAAGGTTGCAGGCATGTGAGGATGCGCCGTGCCGTGGTGCTGCGGCGGGTCGACCTGGGCAACCATATTGTTCGTCCTTGCAATCAGCCTCAAGATGGAAGCGGGCATGCCGTAAAAGTCGTTGAAGGATTCTTCCTCGGGCCCACTGAGCCCCAGATCCGCCCAGGTCTCGTAGTTTGACGCCAGGGTTGCCGAATAGGGAAAGCTGTCCTCCGGGATCTTCTTCACCAGTTCTACTTCGTTGGCAAGCATTGGCTTCTTGCCTAGTGTCACGAGATATTGATCCCGCGTCTGGACGAACGTGGTTTTCTCGATGACCCTGATGTAAGCAAATATTCGATGCAGTTGCAGAGCTCGCTTCGAGAACGTCGCCTTCTTCCGGCCGATCTTGTTGACGATCTCTTCACATTGGAGGATGAAAAGCCGGGAGTCCCAAGGATCTCCGCTCACTATCTGCAAGCCTGTCAGCCTGGAATGTTCACGGACTTCAGAGTCTCATGGAGGGAGACGTACCCCGGTACAAATCAGGTTCATTGCACTCACGAAAACCTCTTTGTATTTGACGTGTTCCAGTTGCTCGGTTGACATTGCGTGCAGACATTTTCGAAAGGCTGTCCGGGCTATCTCCCTGAACTTGAGCCCCTGGGAGTTCCAGTATTGCAAGTTCGATGCCTGGTCGTCAGTCGGCAGTACCTGCGTGTCAGTTCCGCTGCCGGTTGCCGTAGGCTTGTAGAGGGTTCCAAGGTGGTAGCATGTCAAGGAAAGGAGGCTGTACAGGAGGGAAACTCTGGCGAAACCCGACTGTCCCATAATATCCAACTCCCCGTACGCTGTCATGGCATACGGCACGTGAATCCGTTTCCAGGGAGCTTCGGTATGCGGCAACCCGGAAAGAGAAGCAATCACGTGGTTCATGTAGTGAGATAACAAGAATCGGACATTGGAAGGCACATATGGTGATCCGTTGGAGAGGGACGATGCGGAAGGGTGGCCGTAGGTAGCAACCTTTGTAAATCGGGGTTGAGTGAGCCCAATATCCCCTGCGAAGGTAGTATTGGTGTTCGTTACATTAGCACCTAATGTTTTCAGCAATGAAGTTCTTCCAAAACTTTCAAGCATCCTCACCTTCAAACAGGGGGGTGTAGGTGGCATTGGTGAAAGAATAGTTGAAGTTTTCTCCGACAGAGGCGTCGGTGAATAGTGCCTGAGATCCCATGTTGCTGTCTGGCACCGACAACGACCAGTCAATGCCGTCGAGACATGCCACGGTTTCCCGATCGCCATCCAATGATGCCATGGGCTCGGGATACTGGATCGTCAATTGCTTTTGATTTCGAGCTTCATCATTTTCCGAGTCCGATACGAGATGCAAGACGGAAAAGGGGCCTTGCGATATTTGCCAGCTTTCCTCAACCCGAGAACTCTTGGACTCTTTGACCTGATCATCGAGCTGCTCAAGGACCTGGTCGAGGTGCTGTGGCTTTTGTGTGTTTGATAGACGCCGGATCAAGTCTTCGGAGAACCGAGACCGCGATTGGGCTGGAGCGATCCTAAGTTTTCCAGCTCGACGAAAGGCAGACCTGATTGTACATACCATCAAATATTTCTGTCCGAGTGCGGCGACCCTCTGCTCCTTCTGTCGTGGGGTTGCCTGGTGAGGACGTATCAGGCTGTTCTGGATCCCATGCCGGCAACCACTGAAGCTGGACTTGATAACCCCGACATTGCAAACTCAGCCTCACACAGTTGTTACAACTTGGGCGATGCAAGTCACATTTCACCTTGCGAGTGCGACATGTCAAACACCCAGTGAAGGTCCGCGTCCTCGCTCTAGGTGCTGGACGGCGCGCTTGAGCCATGGAGCTGGGGCATCTCCTGGGGAATTTCGGAGGAGGGAAGAAGTGCCGTCTTTCGAGAGGGAAAGAAAATGGAAGGCTTCGGCGACGGGAGGCCTTTATCTACGCCTAATTGGTGGCTGCTTATCGTCGAGTCTCCAGGTGAGCGGGCCACTAGAGTTCGGTAAAGCTTCGCGCTGTCGGTCGGCAGCGTGGAGGGTCGATCTATGCACAGCGCCTCCCACAGAATATCTGGGGCTGCGGAAGGACTCGCCACTTGGAGTAAATGTTTCTGTTGTTATTACTGTCCAAAACACCACGCCAAAACCCTAATGCTGCAGTTTGCGATCGCTTTAATAGGGCATCCTTGGCCGATGGCACCTATTCCAGAGTCATTTGCTGAAAGAAGGTTTCATAACGGACGCAAATAGTTCCGCTGCTCTATCTGGCCGTACTCTGTGAGAGCCGTTCTTGCTTCGGTCACAGGGCACAATGTTGTGCGAGCAGGATGCAAGCAAACCGCTCAATCTTCTATCGAAGGGGTATGTAAATTCCACTATAACAGTAGTTGACCACGCGGACTACGGGCCCTTTCTGATGCAATTCTACAGTGTCAAGCCTCTCAACTATAACCTCAAAATCTTCAATATAGAATTTGGAGGAGAATGGGCATATGAAGGCCGGGTGATCATCGATGCTGAGGTGATTACTCCTGCAGATCGACTTGTTATCAACGCCTCCCAGATCGAGATATCCCGCTCTGAAGTTTCATTCGATCTCAATGGATCCCCTTGTACGCCGCCAGATTGATCCCTCGAGCTTGATCATTGCCACAATGACTGAACATGTTTAGTGACATATGCCGCTACTTCGATAGTCTTCAACGAGAATGACCAGCAAGCTTGCATATCATTCCAGGACACTATTCCAAAGGGATTCTTCCAGCTGAACATTCCGTTCAAAGGGAGAATCTCCCATTCAATGACCGGCTTTTGTCGTGCTAGATATGAGCCACAATCCGATACCAGCACCGCAGGTGTCAAGGTTGGCAGGTATCATTGGCAGTTAACAACTGACTTTGAGCCTTGCGATGCCAGAAAGGCCTTCCCTTGTTTCGATGAGCCTCACCTGAAAGCGAGTTTTGAGCTCGAGTTGGAGATACCCACAGCATTGACGGCACTAAGCAACATGCCAGAGAAGTCAGTGCATCTGCTCAATGGGCCACAAAACGGCTTGAAGGCTGTGCGCTTCGATAAGACACCAGTGATGAGTACATATGTAAGTGAAACGACCCCTTTGAGGTCGAAGTCGCAAACTGAAGTCCTCTCAGCTATTGTGCTGGGCGATAGGTGACTTTGAGTACATAGAGACATTCACAAAGAGAGAGCATGCTGGCCGGAGAATACCAGTCAGAATCTATACCACCAAGGGCCTCACACAATATGCGCATTTTGCGTTGCAAGACGCCTGCAACACCCTCGACTTCTTCAGTGAGAGCTTTGGGGTCGACTATCCCCTGCCAAAATGCGATCACCTCGTGGTGCACGAGTTCATCTCTGGCGCCATGGAGAATTGGGGCTTGATCACTTACAAGCCAACCAAAATCCTCTTTGATCCGTCCACTTCAGACAACCGGCTCATGTCCAAAGCTTCTTACGTGATTGCACACGAGCTGGCTCATCAATGGTTTGGCAATTTGGTCACTATGAGCGGCTGGAATGAACTCTGGCTAAACGAAGGCTTTGCGACATGGGCAGGCTACCTTGCAGTAGACCACCTTCATCCTGGTGAGAAAAGGGCCGATTGTCCCCGATGTGTTTGCTTTTGAGCTAATCAATGGTGTACAGATTGGAATATATGGGGTCAATTTGTGGTAAGACTTCAATTCGTTTGGCAATTCACTCATCTCCCTCTGACCCCGACACAGGATGAAGCTTTGGAAGAAGCATTCGCACTGGACTCTCTGAAGTCATCACATCCCATAGAGTCACAGGTCGGAAACAACTCTCAGGTGCACCAGATGTTCGACAGCATTACTTACTGCAAGGGCAGCGCCGTGATCCGCATGCTGGCCGGGCATATTGGTCAAGAGGCCTTCCTGAATGGTATCGCGGCCTATTTAACCAGCCGTTCATACCAGAACGCCACCTCGAATGACCTCTGGAAAGCTCTGTCTGCAGCGTCTGGAGTGGACGTAGCAGCGATCATGGATTCATGGATCCATGAAGCCGGATATCCAATTGTCACGGCTGCTCTGACTTCTGATGGACTTCAACTGAATCAAATACCATTTCCCAGGCAGGACACACAGCACAAAAGTACCTGTTGGCATGTCCCGCTTGGACTCGACAGGGAGTCTTTCACAACCGCAGACAATATCCTCGCCACAGAGTCAGGCATTGTTGTACAGCCCCTCTCCTTACCCAAACTCAACCGAGATCATGCTGGCTTCTATCGGACTGACTATCCCCATGGCTATCTTACGTCGCTCTCTCATTTGTCGCCAGGGATGTCCTCAGCCGACAAGGTCGGAGTCATTACCGACATTGCGTCGTTAGTTTTCGCTGGCCTGAAACCCACTGGAGAATTGTTGTCTCTAATGGGCGACTTCCGCCATGAGAAAGACTGTTTTGTCTGGTCACAGATAAGAAAGTCTGCCGCGGCAGTTGTTTCATCCGTTTCTGGCGATCCCCAAGCCGTCCAAGGTGTCAAGTCTTACCTCCGGCAACTCTTGGGAACCGTCAAATCCGAAATCACCTGGACCGGCTCTGCTGACAGCTACGTCAAGGGCGAACTGGAGAAGAATTTGATCCAACTTGCCGCTCTAGCTGACGACGAGGAGGTTCTTTCCGAGATCAAGCGACGATTCTCTTGTTGGAAGAATGGCGACCGGGACCTCGTCAGCCGCAATCTTCAGGTTCCTATATTTGGCGTGTCTGTTGCCAGAGGTGAGGAGGAGGAATACTACGCGATAAAATCAGAGTACATTAGAAACCATACGATCGACGGCCGCGAGATCTGCATCGCCGCCATGGGCAGGACGAGACATCCCGCCATGGCACGGGATTTCTTGGATTTTACGTTCCTCTCTGAAGACCACGTAACACTTCAAAACATCCACTTTGTCGGGATGGCCTTGGGCAACGGGCCCTGCGCGGAAGTACTGTGGGAATATGTGAAGGAGAACTGGGATGCCGTCTACGCCAGGCTCCGGATCAACAGCGTCGCGTTCGAGTGGTTCATCGACAACGCGCTCAGCAACCTCGACAGCCTCGACCTGGAACGCGACATTGCTCAATTCTTTGCAGCAAGGCACCTCCCAGAGATGGATCATCCCGTCGATATTGTGAGGGACAGCATAAAGAGAAATGCGGCGTGCAAGGCTCGGGCAGGGCCTGAAGTGTCGCAGTGGCTGAAGGAGAATGGCTTTTTGGGATTGGAGACCTCTAGGCTATAGATAGTCACCCATTTTTGATCTAAGTCCAGTTCTCTGCCCTGCAGCCCGCTGGTTGGCTAGTGTATAGGAGGCTCGCAGTTTGACTCCTTTTCCATCGTCCGAACCACTATCTGACGGACTTGTGTCGTATCTTTCATTCTACTCCCGCAGTGAAAGTCTGGATGACTGTTATCGTGATTCCACGATAACCGGTGACACGATCACAAGATAGTCGGAAATCTACGCATAGGTGGCGAACTGGGGTAAAGTATCTCTCTGTGGAGTGTTGGGTATCATGTTATCCCTCGCCCACGCATTCCAGAATGGATATATGGCCACCGCCGCGTTCTGGATATGGTCTCGCAAACTGTGGGCCAGATATAGTTGTCGCTTTACGCATATCCTATTGGGTTAGATAAGGGCCGCAATGTGGGTTCATGCTGTTTAGTACTCAGTACTTGTACGCATCAACGCTTATCTGAGGGGCTCTCAACGTGAGTACCCTCACCTGAATAGTGAACTGTTCGAATCTCGAACCCACCTAGACCACGTGGGAACTGTCTCCTGATTGTGAGCTTAATTTCGCCTCAAGCAACTGGGATGGGCCATGTCCGTGCCAGGTACTCTCTGCGCAAAGGCTTACTATCATGCCAGGCGTAGACGCGTGGCGTTTATTACACGTGGCAGCTGTATCTTTCACTGAAAAGCGAGTAGGATTATCCCAAAATAGGGCGACAATATACTCCGTGGTTCAGTGCAGCTATAGCAAGTAACTAATTCACGACGAAATTGTAAGGAGAGCTCAAGGCTCGGTCGATGGTCTTCAGCTACTGCAATTCTCAAGCCCAGAAACACTATTAATATTAGGAACTTGTAGAGTACAGATAAATATAATAGATGGATGTTGGGTGCTTTGATATACCTAGGCTACTACAAAACTGTCCATCACGGTCCCGACTGCGGCTCAGATATCCTCAAGCGTCAAACGGTGATTTCTCATCAGGAACGGCCTTTGACTCTGAAACA